TTTTCGACTGCATCATTGCCAGCGATGTGCTGTCTCAAGGGTCGATGCTCGGATCGCTCAAAGCAGTTGAGCTGTGGCGAGGGTAGCACAGCCGTTCGAGCGCTAGAGAGTGTGCAGAGCAGGGTTGAATACAAATTCATGGTCGTTCGAAGTGGATTCAGCAGCGAAGCTGTACGTCTTGCACTTGTCAAACGGACCGCCCAGGACACCAGGGAACGCTCCCCACACACGCTGATCGACCTCTTCGATGTCAAGACCGGCGTCGAGAAGCTGCTTGAACTTTCTGACGCTGTGGTAGTCCATCCAGAAGCACCCGTCGCAAAAGATCTTGGTCTTTGCGCGGCATCGCCAGCACTTTCGTTGCATCGAGTCGGCCTGAGGAGGAACACACTCGCGTCCTGCCTCTCGGCAGGCGCTACAGTCGACCCAGTGGCGCTCTAGAATGATGCGTCGGACGTTGGTGTGGAGCTGTGGTGGTTTTCGAGCTTCGATTCGCTGCGGAGGAGGAGGCGTCGCAAGCCTTCGACGCTTGATTGACCGTGCCGGAACCCTTGTGTAGCCGGCAGAAGACCGAGCTGGACGAGCTGGGCGATTGGTGCTCACATTATTGGCTGTGCCTTGACTGCTAACAGCCACTGACGGGGCGGGCGAGGCGGCTACGTCAATGGAGAAAGGAATCAGCCTCAAGACTCAAACACATGAAGAGCTGCGCCGTACATACCAATGATTCTACGCCTAGCATCGCTACGAATGTCCCTCTTCGTGAAGACACGCATGTCTATATCTGGCTCCTCTTACGGCGCTGGATACCACTGGATCAAGTGAGTGAGGCGATACTGCAAACTCGTATGTGCGGGGAGAGATGGATCGACAAGGGACTCAGGCTGAACTTGCGCTTGTGAGATGGTTGCTCGGAGACGATCGAGGTGATGAACGGGCAATTCTTATATACTGAGCTCTGGGGTGCGGATACAAAGTGCGGGCTGAGCAGTCAAGGTGTTGCGTGACGAGCGCTGCTGCGGCGTGCGGATCTTAACGTTCATACAGTAGCATGGTAGAGGACATACATCGATCGCTGGAGCTTAAACATGGGTCTCGACTCCGTGGGCAAGCGGAGCAGATTCCAGGCCTTCGGGATAAACTCAGCCCCCGCACGTGCTTATCCAAGGTACCGCTGCGGAGCTTGGAAAGGAGATCCCGCACTTGAGCAACCCCGCACGTCAACTGTGAGCAGAGTGCGGAAAGCAACATGAACTCCAAGTACATATAGTCGGTGGAATACCCGGCACATGGTCTCTTCTCCACCACCGCCTCGTATCGACTCAGGGGAGACCCACATTTTCACAATGTGGGCCCAGAAACGATTTAAGTCGCCTCCCTTCTCGCCACCTGTGTGGACTAAGCCGGCATCGCGCGACGACACGGATGTCGACACCATCGACGGACACCCTGCCAATGTTCACATGGCAGATCCGACCCCCACGTTTGGAAGAAGGAAGCGATCTGACTCGTCTGCAGCTGCGGTTGATCTTTTGGGAAACCCGACTCCCACGTACGAAACAAGGAAGCAATCCGCATCGCCTGTCGTCCCTGCGAGCGGACAACGTCCTTCCACAGAGGTGCCGCCTGCATCCGACACGCTAGCAGAAGCTTCAGTGCAGCGTGATCCACCGCCGCCCAGCCGTTACGCCTATCTGCTGCGTCGACGAGAGCGGGCTGGTGCTTGGAATGTGCAAGCGGAGATGTGGCAAGTCAGTCGCGAGGGCCCTGAACAGATTCCGCTATCTTCACGCCTGCAATTCACGCCGCTTGACGAGATCGACGACTACGGCAACAACGAGTCTGTCAACGTCTTAGCCACGGTCGCCTCAGTGGAAGGCCTGATTCAGCCGATGAATTGCCCGTTCTGGCCGGTCGCCATTACCGACTCGCCCGGTCACACACGTACTCTACGAGTCTTCCTGCGCCGCGAGGCCAATGTGGAGCTCCAGGCGTCGCTGCAGGCGCTTGAGGCGGACGACGTTAGTATCGTGCTCCAGGCTTCGGTCTACAATGGCAGTCTGTCTGCTTTTGACAAGACGTCGATTCTCATTGCTAAGGACCGAGAGAGCGCATGCGCTGTGGCTGCAGCGGAATGAGGGAGGAAGAGAAGCGGTCACACTCTCGCCTTTGCTGGGACCCTGTTTGCGCAAGCTCAAGGTACATTTCGATGAGGCTCTCGAACGAAGCAATCAGTCAGCCCTCTTTCAGCTAGTCTGATCAGCTACGACTGGATTTGAAACTGTATCATTGGAACCTGAGATTCCCTCGACGCACGGTGCATTTCCTTTTCCCAGCGGTTCCAGCCTATAGCGGGTCAGAACCGATTCGTTGAGGCTTTTTTTGCACCGAAGCTGGATGACATGCCAGCATCGGAGCTGACTCCGAGCTTGTTCGGACTCGCAGCACGCGTCCGCGGGAAGGAATCTCGGAGCAAAGACGGCTTGAAAGCATTTTGGGCATGGTTCGAGCACGCTTCGACCACGTCCCGAGTGCTGTACGAATACCGCTCGAGCACGACTCGAGCACGAGTCCAGCACGAGTCCAGCATGACTCGAATACGGCTCGAGCATGTTTGCACTAGGTTTCGAGCATCAAGGAACACAGAACAGTCCCATACCGCCTGATCTGTCACGATTTTGCGTCCTCGGGTGGCCGAAGGTAGCGAATGCTGAGGTCGGGAACCAGCCGAATGTTGAGAACCGCAGCCGCTAGACCCTCAGGCGATTAGTCATGTGATCCCGGAAGGGAGTGTGCCAACACAAAGGATTCTGCGTGGCTTATTGTCAGATGGCTAAGCTTCGGATCGTGGGCGAGATCACTGAATGCCGTGGGCCGACGCAGAGATGCACTGGCTTGCGGAACTTCTCTTGCATCACTCAGACCTGACTGATTACACGCGAGGAACCCTGGGTCGGGAAAGCCGATGCGGGCAGGCGCCGAAATGGCTCACGAGAGAGGGAAAGAGACCGCAGGGCCAAGAGGAGACGGAGGGATATAAAGGATCGTGCTCAGCTTGAGGGTGCCCCCAGTTCTAGTCTTCATCCTTACAGCGCTCATACTTATTCGATATGGCACGTACAAACAGGCGTCCGCAACGCAGGGTGACTCAAGGGGAAGGCTCTTCTGAGCTGCAGCGAGCGAGGTCGCTGTTAAGGGATGCGGCGGGAGAAGCGAGCGCATCTTCAGGCAATGCCCGCGATGATGTGAGATCCTTCATGTCGTCTCATGGCGTTGACCTTGCTGCAATGGAGTCCGCTGTCGCTCAGCATGACCTGCCTGACTACTGCACAGCGATTCTGCGGCGTTCGGAAGCGGCTTTTCGGCACTTCATCGACTTTCTCGCAGAACGCGAGCTCCAGAGGCAGGAGTCGCGGGGCCAAGCGGGCGCTACAGCCAAGAAGTCCTTCGAGAGCATCCAGAAAGAGCTTCGACTCGAGCTCGAGGCGGGCTCGATGCCTGAGGCCATCCGAGATCCTCACGTTTGGATCGTCTATCTCCATATCTACGCATTGTCTGGAAGAGGAAGAGTGGATGAGGACCACGTTGCCCACACAAACGTCCGCGCCTCCTACCCTGGACATCGTAGCAGCACCGCCGGTTCCAGCAGGCTTGCCGACGTCAGTGTTGGTGTGCAGAATACGCCAGACTCTATCCGACCGATCGGACGTCTTCCTCAGCTCTCGGCCGATCTAAGCCTCTCCTCGGCGCAGATGGAGTCAATGAGATCAAACTTCGACAATGAAGAGCTCGATGATATGGACATGGCTTCGATCGACGGAGAAGGATCCGGCTCCGCCCCTGTCCTTGCTGCAGCCGATCTTCAGATGGCACGAAAGCTTCCACGACCTATCGCTGGCTCGACACCGCTGGCAATCGGTACGATCAAGTGCAGGTTCAACGACATTGTTCGTCACCTGATGATTCTCGGTATCAAGATCAACGAGGAGACACGTTCGAATGTAGTTCGAATCATCGAGCATCTTGGCCGCGAGGGTTACTACCCTACTGGTCAGCTGAAGAAGTTTTGGATTACGGATGACACCGTTGCTGCCTTGAGCGCAGCTGTCTGGAACGTGCTTGGCACAGACGTTTCAAGCACAGGCGCTCGATCGGTGGCGAATCTTTTGTCGCTCCACACTATGGTCCTCCTGCTCGATCAGTGCGGCGGTCGCATCACATCCTGGGTCGACATGCAACGCGAACCAGGAGAGGTTGGCCGATACCTGCGATGGTCTATGCTTTCTTTCAAGTTCTGTGGATACGACGACAATGCGACGAGCGAGCCTCTCTTTATTGTCAACGTTGACTCCAATTCCTCGAAACACGCCGGGAGACAGGCCGACAAATTTTTCCACGCTAATACCTTCGTGTCGCAGCCGGGAAAAGCGGAGCAAGACATCGCATTCGCATTTGCGGCTCTCGCGTTCGCCCAAGGCCTATTGCCGGATATGCGAAAGGTCTTCAACGATCCGAACTACGGGAAAAGACTGCTGGAGGCAGCTTCGAACAGCTTCCACGAGTTCAAAGTTGCGCGTCAGGAGCAGGACTGCCCCGTTTTTGTCCACGGGCGGGTAAAGCAGCTCAAGCCTGCGAGCGAAGTCAGTCACTCATATCGATGTCTACACGCCTCGGACAAGACGGCTGCAGGTGAATTCCATCGCCCTCTGGACACGAGACATGTGAATCGCGCCTTGATGGTGCTTTCGGAGGAGCTCAATCTTTCGCAGCCGGTCACGTCCAGAGTCTTCCGCCGGTCATACGCGTTCAAGGTGGTCGCCTCTGGGAAGGTTCCCGGCTGGCAGATTTCCGAACGCATGGGTCATTTCGGTCCGGACCGATCTCTGTGGCGAAAAGACTACGTGCCGACAATCACTCCCACGGTGACTTCTCGTTCGACGACCACAGTTCCTCCAGGACTTCAGAATGCACTGGACGCAAATGGCGCGATCTCACGTCTTCCTGAACCGAGCTCCATCTCCTCTGATCACCTGAATCAGGCTATTCTGGCGTTGACCGCATTTCAAGAGGCTATGCAACAGCACACACAGACAACGGGATCAGGCTTCCCAGCTGCAGCAGCCGAAGAGGTGATGGACGTCTTCCAACGAATCAACAGCGGTATTGGCCTTCCGTTGAAGGACTCTTTGCGCTATCTTCTATCTCTCACGGACGATGGTTTTGCTTCCGAGTCATGGCAGACCGCTCATCCTTTCGAGAGCTCATCTGTCGGACAAGGCGGGACCAAGTCGATCATTAGCTGGCTGGAAGGAGGAGGGCCGATGCTTTGCCCTTCTTGCCGCTCTTCAATGCACGAGGAAGGCCGTCCGGACTTGGAGCATACGAAGGCAGAAAGGCTCTTTGAGCTCTTCAATGCATGCCTTGCTCGCCTGACATCTCATTTTTGCTGCTTCGTTTGCAGCGAGCAATTTGCGCTGACGGACTGCGACCACGTCCAGCGCTGCCTTATGGAGTATCTCAAAGGATGCGGTTCACTCGCGTTCAATCACATCGGCACGGTCAGCACACCAAAGAAGGGTATTTGGATCGCTGCTACCCATTTTCTTTGTCCAATCGAGTCGTGTCTCGACGAGGACTGGCATCGATCGGAGAAAAACGCTCACATGGCACCCACAAGTGTCGTACACCGGGCCGATCTGAAAGGATCCCAGCCGGAGCGAGGAGGGGGCAAGCTTCCCGTCTTCGATCACATCAACAAGTGCTCCGTCCACATAGCGAAGCATTTCTTTGTTGCAAAAGTGGTTGAGGTCGATGGTACCAGGGTGTTCCGTGCTTCTTTGCGTCTACCTGCCACGCCGGAAAACGAAAGGATCATCTGCCCGACCTTCGGTTGTTCAGAGTCCTGGGTGGGAGTGGGTAAGGTTGCTGCGCAATGTTTCCTACGTCATCTCATCAACGATCACAAGCTGCCGATCCTGCGGTACGGCGATGGATCTTTCGTGGAAGAGGTCGATGACTCCACAGTCTTGGACAACTTGGCTCCATTCCAGAACGCCGAGACCGAAACCGTCAACGGTGTCGTCCTGGAGAGGTCGCATGGGACGTCTGCCACAGGTCAAGTCTATGTCTCGTTCAAGAGGGATGTTCTGAGAAGAAGAGCGCAGGTTGGTGTCGAAGAACCCGGTCGAATCGCACGCATCTCGAAGCAGGTTCCTCCCTCCGTCAGGAAGAAGCAAAGCCGCGAAAGGTACCAAGCTCAGCTTGCTCAGAAAGATGCGGAGCAGCTCGCTGAATTCCGGGCCAAGGCCAACGCCAGGGCGAAAGAACACTACAAGCGGAAGAAGGAGGAGGAGAAGGCTCGGGCAGGGGGTAGCGCTGCGAGTGGACCTGCGAGCGGATCTGCGAGTGGACCTGCGAGCGGATCTGCGAGCGGATCTGCAGGACGTGTCTCGAAGAGGCGGAAATGACACGCAATTCTCCCAGCCGAGAAAGTGTTCGTCTCCTCACGCTTTCAATGTTAGTCAATCGCACACCAATTACGCATCGTCAATGTACTACGTCTGTTCAGCATGAGCATCCACTACAGTGCACAAGCTGATCTAGAGGACCACATGATCTTCGCATCCCTCTCACATTCACCGCTTTCCGACATTGGATGCATTCCAGCTCGAGTGCAGCTCGAGTGGAGTCCGAGTCGAGCTCGAGGCCTGTAGGAGTCGAGAATCAATTGAACAGCTGGTGATATCTACAGATGAGACGGGAATCGGCGACAGGAGATGCATTTGACGTACAAAATCCAGTACGGCGGAGGACGTTGAGGAGGATCTAATTGGTAGAGCAGTTCACGCGAGTGAGGAGCTCGAGAGCGTTGTGCACAGATGCGCTGGACGACAGGAAGATGGAGCTGCAGTCGAACACAGAGAGACCTCGATGGTAGAGCGAAGCAGCCAGTACGATAACGACATCGTTCCGCTTGACTTGGATGGGAGAACCCAGCTGGAAGGGCGCCTCTTTGTAAGGGAAGACTCGGACAGTCGTGACGCTACTGCCTTGCGAGTCACCAACAATCTTGAGAGCCCAGTAAGGCTTTTCCCTAGGCTTGGCGAGAGGCTTGACATCCGTGACCACGCCGATAACGTTGACAAGCTCGTCGTCCGGAAGCCCCTGAAGCCGATGGAGGGGAACGCAGTCAAAGGCGAGGGGGATTTGGATGTTCATGGAATGGCCGACGTCCAGGAAGTGCCAGAGTCTAGGCTCTACATCGACACGCACTCCAGCATAACCATTGAAGGATCCGACCGCCGCGCTGCCGATCTGAGGGCGACCGCTAGTGGGGGCCGGGGCCGTAGCCTGCTGCAGTTGCTGGAAGAAAGAGGCCGTCGAGCGCTCCGCTGGCGAGAGGTGAAGGAGGATCTCGTCGTTTCTCGTCGCAGCTACGTCCGGAGCACGAGGAGGCGAGGAGATCGGATCGGGAGCATGTTGAGCAGGGGACGAGGCTACGCCAAAGTTGGGTCGAGTAGACGAGGAGGCCAGTCCAAAGAAGTCGTCCAGTGCAGGTGAGGAGGCCGGGCCTGCGGCGCGAGGGGCCGAGGGGGAGACTGGGCCAAAGTCATGTCGAATAGGAGACGAGAATGAGACATGCTCGTGTCGAGTAGGAGACGTAGCTGAGGCGTAGTCGTGTCGAGCAGGCGAGGAGCTGGGACCAGTGACGGGATGGGCAGGGGAAGAGGCTGCACCCAAGTCAGGTCGAGTGGGCGAGGTTGTCAGTCCAAAGTCGTTCCGAGCAGGCGAGGAAGCTGACATAGAGGTGCGACGGACAGGAGACGACGCCGTTCCAAAGTCAGGTCGAGCAGGAGACGAAGTGGACGTGTGGTCGTCTTGAGTACGTGAAGGTGTATCGGGGCCCGTGCTTGCAAGGTGAGGCTGTTGAGCCGGCGAAGTCGAAGCTGTAGGCTGGTGATGGCTAGCGAGGGCATCAATGAGTTTCTGGATCTCCTCCGCCTTGAAGTCGGGTTCGAATTGGATGCCGCAGAAGCCCGGTAGCCTGGTACACTGAAGGAGGGAGTCGTGCAGCTGGGATCGGGGAATCTCGAAAGAGACCTTGGCGCTTACGCGCTTGCCATGCACCATCGTTTCCACTCGTCTGATGGACTGGAAGCCACGAAGCATGGATGCCTGCAGCTCTAGGTCGCGTTGAGCATCATCAGCAACGTCGTGATGCGAATCGAAGAGGACGTTGGTCTCCGACTGGACGTAGACGTTGTTTACGAAGGTCTGTACCAGGGGAGCACCGGGAGTGGTCACGGTGCGACGATACGTCATGGTGATGGAGGGAGAGGTCGAGGTCGGAGGAGAAAAAGGGACAGGCGGATGTCCTCTAGAGGCCAGTGGTGGATAGGTGTGAGAGGGCGGGGCGGGCGGCAAGAGGCTCCTTATATGTCTGGCAGGAGGGGAATCGAGTGACGATCTGGTGATGCGGAAGCGCACTAAATCCATCCGCGAGGCGTGCGGACATCCGACTCCGTTCCGCACGCTACCGGTGATTGGCTCTGCGAACAAGCCGAAGTTGTCTTGTGCAATCCGATCCGCGCGCAGCTCCGCGTGGGGACGGCTTCGTAAGGGAACGCTCGACGATGGCAAAGAGTAAAGCAAAGCCGAAAATATGACTTTCCGCGCGATTGCGGCGCATGTGTCATCGACCTCATCAAGACGTGGGTTATGCAGTACTATCACAGTCCGTAGGAAACCCCAGATCTCGACTGAAGACGAAATTAAGTTGGTGCATCACAGACATGCAGCAGCCGCACTTCCGGCTCGAACTCGAAGCGGCTGCAGCCTCGGTGCGGGCCTTTGCATTGCCGCTTGTTCCCGCATCTAGTCAATCATGCGCTCTTCCTAAGCGACTACCACCATCTCTCCCGTCCTCGGCCCTGCAAGCAACATGGACGAAAGCCCGGCAAACTACTTGAGCTGGGGTGCGGATGGCCGCTTCATCATCCAACGTGGGCCCGACGATCAAGAGCAGCAACGAGAGGAACTCGGCATGGCTTCGTCCGAGCAGCGACAGGACGAAAGGTCGACCGAACGCGCTCAGCCTCAGGAAGCGAGAGGAAGGCCTCGAGAGCAAGATGAATCGCCATCCAGCCCTGATCGACCGCATCAACGTCAGAGACAGTCGCCGGGACAAGCACGCGCGCCCGAAGACTCCATCGACCGCATTGAGCCTCGACACCGACGCTTGATTCCGATCGCCCAACAGATGCTTCGTCAATTTCTGCTCGAGCGCCACTGGCCTGACGTGGCATGCGAGGACTGCATGACGAGGAACATTCCGTGCGTAAAGCCCAAGGCCAACAGCACCTACGAGAAGTGCAAGAATTGTTCGGACAGAGGCGTACGTTGCACCCTCAAGTGGATACTGGATCGTCGCTCGGTCAGCAAGATCTCCGACCTTACTCGAAGCGGAGCCATGTCGAGAGAAGAGGCAGAACGCATCGTTTACGGTCCAACTGGACAGCTAGGAGGACGCTGGGATCGCTGCAAGACCTATCCACCTATGCCAGCAGAGCAGCCCCTACCGTACGATCCCTTGCAGCCAGTCCGCAGCAATTCTCACATCCCTTTGATGGCAGGTCCTCGAACTAGGTCTTCACACCGCTCTCCTTCCGATCTCATTGCTTGGCCTCAGAGCAGCGACAATATCACCCAAGCCGTCGTTGCGGCCATGCGAAGGATGGTCGATCGGTATCACGCGATGCAACCAGGCGCAAGTGATAGCCAAGTAGCTCGGCTGCATGATAGGCTGGCGCAAGATGTATGGGAAGCGATGAGTCTTCCAGGCAGGTGGAATGACCCCCTGCTGTAGTTTGACCATGGCGGCGTGGTCCGTACCCGAGATCATTTCAATTGTAGCCTAGCATCACCAATGAATTCTGAATCATCCGACGTCGATGCGTGCTGGACTCGTGTATGACTCAAACATGTCTTAGGACTCGTAGTCGACTCGAACAGGTCTCGAACGACACGCTACATCAGCAAGGAACTGCCACCGGCGCCGTTGCTATGGCAGTCAATGAGTGGTCATGTGTTTGGCATCAACGGAGGAAGTCCGCAAGTGGTATCGGCAAGGCAATTTCATAGGGTGATGACGTAATGTACATTAATGATCAGGCGGGAAGGGAATGTTACACCTTGACGGTAGCGCGGTCCTCGATGGACTTGTTGAGGCCATGCTCCTTGATCCACCTTGGCGTCTTCCAAGGTGCGATGTTCTGCGAGTAGAGGTACTCGACATCCTCGAGGGCCAGACCCTTTGTCTCGGGGATCATAAAGTAGACGTAGAACCACGCGAACACGAGGATCGAGCCAAAGATGAGCATGATGAACGGACCGTACTGGGTGGCGATCTTGTTGGAGAAGTAGCTGAGGAGGAAGTTCCAGAGCCAGTTACTTGCGCTTCCGAGCGAGATGGCCTTGGCCCTGGTGGGCGCGTTGAAGGACTCGGAGAGGTAGAGCCAGGGGCCGGGGCCGAAGCAGCAGCTGTAGAAGATGAGGTGGATGATGGCGAACGAGATGAACACGGCGCCGGCCTGGTGTTGCGAGGCGGTGATCATGTCGGCAGGCGTATCCTTGGGTGCGGTCTTGTAGTGACCAACAAAGGCGACGATAAACGCACAGGCAGCCTCGCAAGAGGCACCGATGAGAAGCAGAGGCCTACGTCCGAGCTTCTCGATGGCGATCAAAGCGGGAACGGTGGCGAGGAGCGATGCGGAGCCGAGGATGAACTGGATCTGGAAGGGGTCGAGAGGCAGGGCGAGGGTGGAGCTGAGCAGCGGAAGGTAGTAGTAGTAGAAGTTCTGACCGTTGAGCTGCTGGAGCGTCTGGAGCATCATGCCGTTGACGGTACGCTTCCACATCTGGTTCTTGGAGGAGAAGCAGACGAGGTAGGAGCCGAGGTAGCTGTGACCGGCAAAGATGCGGTTCTCCTCGTCGATGCCCTGCTTCATCTCGAGCAGTTCGGCCTCCATCCACTTGTCGCCGCGCATCTCGCCATTGACGTCCTGGAGCTCGACATCGCGCATCGAGGCCATGATCTTGCGTGCACGCACCACCTCGCCGTTCTTGAGGCAGTAACGAGGCGATTCGGGCAGGAAGAACATGAGAGAGAGCATGACGATGCCCCACAGCAGCTGCAGACCCACGGGGATCTTCCAGGCCGCATCGGACGTCTTGAAGTTCTGGGTGGCCCAGCTGATTCCGTACGAGATGAAGATGCCAAAGATGATGAGCAGCTGGTACCCAGTCACCATGGCACCGCGGATGTGCTTGGGCGCCGTTTCGCCAAGGTAGAGCGGGCATAGACCGGAAAGTGCTCCAACTCCGAGACCGGCAAAGGCTCTGCCCACGCAAAACTGCACCCACGACGAGATGGTCGAGGTCTGGATGATGGCGCCCACCATGAATGCGGACGCCCAGGTGATCATCGACGGCTTGCGGCCAAAGAAGTCCGAAACGGGCGCCTGGAGTAGCGCACCGACAAAGGTACCGATCGAGAGAGACGAGTTGATGAGCGACGTTCGCGAGTCCGGAAGCGCACAGCCGTCGGGACCGCAGTCGGACGGGTCACCAAAGGCCAGAACGAAGGGCTTCATGATGAAGCATCCAGAGATCACACCTGCAATGCATGTTTACTCGTCAGTCGAATGCCTTCGCTGGTAAAAAGCGTCGTCGCAGTGCACTTACCAATGTCGTAGCCGAAAAGGAAACCACCAGTGCAGATGGCAAGGGCAAGAACCTGTGCGCGGCGAGTCATCTTTGACGGCGCGGGAGCATCGAAGCCCTGGACCTGGTTGATGTCGACCTCGCCGGCATGGACGATCTTGAGGTCATTCTTCTCGGACTTGTAAACGTCCTCGTGGGACGAGTTGGAAGGAGACTCCTGCATTGTGGGCGTTCGAGGAAGTTGGTGCGGACAGGTGGTGGACCAGGACAATGTGGGGATGTGAGAGGGATGCGGGGGATATATACTTTGCAGGATGGAGCGGCCGCTGGGTGACTTTGCAGAGGCTGAGGATGTCGTCAGTTTCATTAGGTCGGCCATGCGGGGCGGCAGAGACGCGGGGCTCGATGCGAGCCACCGGTGGGGTGCAGTCCGGGGTGCAGGGGCGTGGGTAAGAGAAAGCCGAAACGGATGGTCGAGCGAGGTTGGAGCGAACCGGGAGTCAGCCGGTCGTGCACCTGTGTCTTGACAGCGAGCGGGGTTGTGAGTCAAAAGGTAGAGTGGAACAACGTGAAGATCTCCGAAGCCCGCATGGAAGCAAGTGACCGACCCGAGCTGGCCCTGCTCGAACCGCTTTGAAAGGCGGCGGCCCATTTCACCAACCTCACACGCCTCGCTGCAATCTTGTTGTGATGAATCCAATTTCTCTGCGTCGATATGATGGTGATGCTGGCATTGATGTGTGGCTTGGTTGGAATGAAGTTTGAGCATGGCAAGCGCTTCATAGGGTGCAAAGACAAGCGCCTCGTGAGACTGTCATATGGTTGGCGCTTTTGGCGGTGCGCGCCTCAGAGTGAGTTGCGGTTCGGGAATCTCGAGGACCGGTCATTGGCAAACCAAGCGGGCGCTGAGCCGAGAGACACGATGAAAGGGCCGCAGTGCGCCTGTGAGTGAGCCGCGAGACCGAGGTCGCTCTTAGCGATGCTCGGCTAGACGAAATATCCTTTCGTACGCGCGGGGGGTGCTTGGGCTGCTGGCGGTTTGCCCCCCTCGCTCGCGGAAAATAAGGCAGGCGTGGATGAGTTACGGAGATCTCTGCGGCTATGATCCATGCGGTGCATGCGCTGTGTTCTGCATCACATCTGCAGCTGCAGCTCAGCGCTTGAGGTCGATCTCCCACACGGCGGCACACACGATCTCAATTTACGAACGGCTTTAGAACGCCCGCATGTTTGTGCAGTACTCACGCCAGCCTTCATCTGCGGCTCTTCGGCGGTTGCAAGGTGTTTGCCGCGAGTCCAGCGAGATGAAGGGCTGCGGGCGTGTGCGAGGGTTCAGCAGCTGGCTTGGACCTCACCAGGCGAGCTCGCTTGCCCTGATTCAGCAGACGCCGCCCAAGGACCACAGATGGTCTTTGCCCAACGTGGCCGTTTCTGGCGTCTTCAAGACGACATCAAACGGCATTCGACTGCACTTGTCCCCGCTCGAGCTGAGTGCTTCGGCCAGAGCGGCTTAGTCGGTGGAGGATGGCAAGATGAGATCCGCCTTGCATTGATTGTTGCTGCGACACGAGCGTCATCGAGCACTGGCGGAGTTTCATTCGAAGCCGTCGGCGTGTGTCTGCCTTGAGCGAGTGACGGCAGGCGGACTTGGAAGTGGCAGGAAAATCGGTGCACTTGGCAGAGCGCGCTTCCATGTCGGACGTGGAAAATTGGGCGGCATGGAAGCGCGTCGCACAAAAATCTCCTCGATTCCCGCGCTATTTTCCGCCATTGTGCGCTGTTGGCCGGCCTTTGCTCGCCGTCGTGCGACCCATCCCCAACAGATCTGTATACGAGGCTGCTCAAAGCCTACCTTTGGTAGTGCTGTACAAAGTGCGTCTAATCGAGCAAAGGGAGTGAACCCCGGGGATGTCGTGTGTGAGGTTGACGCGAGCCCTTACGAGGGGTCGTACGCGGTGGTCAACCGGCAAACTCGTTCGAGGCGGCAACCTAGGCGCTGTCGCCCCCCACAATCACCGGCAAGGCTGCTGAACTCCGCTCGACACTAGTAGCCGCGTTCGCCTTTCTTGGCCGAGTATGCCGAGTGCCGGTACACACGCTAGCGACTGCCATGACCCTTGGCTCAAGTCACCTCCTTCCATCCTAGGCAGCGCAACACGGTCACGCGCCTCCACACAGGGGCGGCAATCCAAGCAGCCGTACAAGATTTCCGAACCTCCTTCCCACACGAGGCGGCTATCTTTGCGGTGACACTTTTTTGACAGAGTGCGACCAAGTCCGACCGGCCCTTCGCGGTGAAGAACGCGGCTTGACTACGTCGGCAATCTCTCACAAGATCGAAGGCTTTGTAACTCGACCAAAACCCTGTCGCCACGCGGGGTCGGCAGGTACGTTAGCGCCGACCAGACCGAACGTTCCTAGCAGGGATCGAGAATTGCGGGGTCCGCCGTGTTTCCCGAGCATGGATGTCTAGGTACCAGTGTTACTCGTGGCCCTTCTTGGCCCAGGGTCGCAGCAGCAGCGCAGAAGGGTGGTTCAGAGACATGGGTGCGCGGGAAGCTGGCGTGAGGGGCGGACATGGACGTATCGGGATCGGGCCTTTGACAATGGCATCGCCGATGACCACCATATCCTGCGCCGTCCAAGATCGCTGAGACACACCTCCCTGAAACCTAGCCATTTGACCAGGATTGTTGACTCGGAAAGCTCCATATTCGTACGTCGAGAGCTCTCTGGTCTTGTCTCAGAATACACGCAGCTTGCAATGAAGGACAGTCAAGCAGAAGCCAAACGATCTGAACGGCTTGGATTGCATGGTCAGACACGAGAAGTTTTCGACGAGGCGATGGGTATCATGTGAGTGGGCGAGAGAGTCAACTAGAGATCATGATCAAGATAGTGACCATGGCCAAAAAGCTGCCTACTCCGAGCTGCAAACGGGTTGTTGACTGGAGCTGGAACTGTGGCAAGCGCTCGTGTATTCGCGACTAAGGGTCGACCGAGATGCGTCCGCTCCTGCCGAGAGCAAAGGACCAGCGCTTCATGCCCCACCTGCGCAAGTAGAGCACGCGCGGGATAAGCGTGTACTGGTGCATACGGTGGTTGACGTGAACGGACGGCATGGTTGCAGTGTTTGACGATCGGTCTTTTCGGTGTGTTGGTTGCGTGGGGGGTCGTACTCTTTGAAAAGTCCGAGTCGCTTGTTTGTTTGCGATGGCTATACGCCCGATTGAGCGATTTGGTGTCGTGTAGAGACGATGGTGGTGGGGTAGTAAGAGCAAAGGGTGGAACGCTGGGTGGCTTTTAGTGGGACTCGAGGGCCCGTGTGAAAAAAGCCGACTGCGGACAACCCTTCGCAACGTGGCTGTACGGCGTGTGGAGGCTTGGACGTGCAGTGACGGCTCAGACATACGTCACTCTGCCATGTGCCACAGGCTATTTTCAGTTTTTTTTCGCTCCAATACTGTTACGTCGTGAAATGAGTACATGAGTGTGCGGCGCGAAAACCAAAATCCGCAAGAGCCGTCGGGTGGGCCTGGTCGGCTTTGTGATTTTGGCTCTCCCCCACGCTGTTCTGCCGACGGCCCGCTGCACCCTGAGCACGGTCAAGGTGGGCATCCGCAACGAGTGTTGGCCCCAACACTCCCGACTCAGCCAACTCTGCGCAAGCAACACCTGATCCTAGGCTTCTCTTTCCGCCGCTCCCTCCGTCTCAGGCAATAGCAGGATATACGCCAGCACTCACGCTTAGCGACTGCAACAGTCACCGCACTCGGTCTGGTACGCCGGCCAAGTACAGCACCGACCGCTTCCTTCGCCGCATAGAGGTTGCATCACGTTTATAAACGCGCTTCTTCTCACTCGAAGCACAGTCAGACAACAGCATATGACGACGAGAGCCACACGGTATATCACTCCTATACTTGCAAGCACTGCAAGAGTTCAAACACCAAGCGCCGCAAGAACGTCGGCAGCTTTACCAAGAACACGTCTCATCATGTCGAGCGTTGCACAAGCCTCGGCAGCCAATGGCGGGTCGGCCATGCACAAGATCGCTCGCAACGGGTTCGATTCGTCCGGAGGTTCGGGGCTGTACGATCGCGCGCGTCCTTCGTACCCACCGGCGGCGATATCGACGATCATCACGGAGGCGACCAACTCGGCGTCGCCGGCGCCTCTTCGCATCGTCGAGCTCGGAGCGGGCACAGGTATTGCTACTCGCATGCTGCTTGCTGCTGCCACTTCGGCTGCAGCCGACGGCACGCCCCCTCCGGGGATCGCATCGCTCACAGCCATTGAGCCATCCGAGGGCATGCGATCGCACTTTGAGACGGCCATCGCCTCGGGTGCCGATTCGCTCAAGCACCAGATGCAGAGCAAAGGTCTGCTATCTCCGCAAGCGAGCATCTCGGTGGAGGAGGGTGGATTCGAGAGCTTTGATGCGGGCAAGGGTAACGATGCGGTTGTAGTGGCACAGGCCTGGCATTGGTGCCAGGATTGGGACGGTGCACTCAAGCAGGTCGCCAACGCCCTGAGGGCCAACGGAATCCTGGCGCTCATTTGGAACCTCGAGGACAGAGAGGCTGCCCCGTGGGTGGCAAATATCCGCGATCTGTACGAAAAGTACGAAGACAACACGCCCCAGTACAGGCACATGTACTGGCACGCCATGTACAAGGCTCCCACCCTGGCGAGCGAATTTGTCGCAGACGAGCCGAGGCACTACCACCGCACCATCCCAACTACGATCCAGGGCGTTATTGATCGTGTACTGTCCAAGTCGTACATCTCGGTACTGCCACAGGAAAAGCAGGACCAGCTCGCAAAGGACATTAAGAGCTATCTCGATACTACCCCGGACGAGGTGCTCGGCCGCAAGTGGATCGACAAGGAAGCGGGCGTGTGGGAATATCCCTACCGCACCGACCTCTTCCTTTTCCGCCGCAACTAGATGCTCTCACACCGCGCGATCCACACGCGCAATGGTTAATCTGAATGTGCCAAAGCTCGGATCTCTTGCACCAGCTCATCGAGTGGTGGACGCGTCTTGAGACCGTGATGAACCCGCCCCTGCGCCGGTATGGAAGCATCTTCTTGCTCTGCTCGCTGGGCAGCACGATCGCGTCTCAATGTCGTAACTGGAGGCTCGAGCAACGTATTGATCCTGCCTGACTTGCAGATCTCCACCAGACGCCAGCTAGGTGGGGGTAATGATGAGACGCCCCACCGAATGAGGTGGGCAAATGAGGTGGCGCTGCCGCCACGCACCACGCTGCGCATCAAGCCATGCTAAGCACCCCGACAAGAATCAGCATTGGTCCATTCGACCAGCTCACCATCACTTTCACCCTTCACACCGCAAACATGTCGGACGACAAACGTGATCTTGAGCGGCGAACCCCGCACATCGTCGTACCGTACACAGACGACGAGGACGCCAGCAGCTCGGCGACAACCACTCTGCTGCCTCAACCGCAGGCGTCAACTTCGACCTCCAAGTCTCGACGACGATGTTGGCGACTAGCGGTGCTGGTGGGTGCGATGCTGGCCATGTGTATCGGGGTGTTTGAGCTGCTGTTCCACGGTCGGGAGGTCGAGTCGCTACGCGCCGCACACGAGCAGATCGCACAGCTCAAGCACGACCTCGCCGAGCAAATCCAGGGCGGATACCACAAGATCATGGCCGCCACTAATCTCCGCCTTTCTCCCTCCAGCGGCGACGTTGATGCGGGAGTGAAGGCGGTGATGGATCGTTCGGTCATTGTGTTGAAGACCGGCTCGTCGGTTGCGTACGATCGACTTCCCGTCCAGCTCCTCCTTGCGCAGCAAACCCTCCACCCTGAAGTATACCGCAGCGGAGAAGCTGGCTACAGCGGTCCTCAACTGTTGCTTTACTCGGACTCGGACATGCAGTTGGGCGAGTTCGAGGTGCACAACGCCCTCGCCAACGTGTCGGACTATGTTCGTCACCAGCCTGATTTTGCGAAGCAGTATGCGCAGCTGCAAAAGCTGTTGCAGGAGGATGACCTGGCAAAAGTCAAGGAGTTTCAGGATGGATGGAATCTGGACAAGTGGAAGTTCCTCTACATGTGGCAGGATGCCTACCACCGTCAGCCCGACGCAGACTGGTATATTGGATACGAGGCCGACACGTACGTCTTCTGGCCGTCGCTATTCGCCTACCTCGGCACGCAAAACTCGAGGCAGCAACAGATGTATGGATGCGCATCCATCCTGGTTCGCAACCAGGAGCTTTTCGCAAACGGCGGATGCCCCTACGTCATCTCGGGTGCCCTTATGCGAGCCAGCTTCGGCAAGGATGCCGGCTTTGCAGCAAAGTTCGACAAGGAGGTCGAGGCGTCTTGCTGCGGGGATGCCGAGTTGAGCATCGCGCTGCGCAAGTCAGCCAGTCCACCGATCAAGGAACTGGCGCCTACGGGCGGGAGGTTCATCAACGACCGTCCGCAAGAGATTACCTTCGACGAGAACAACTTCTGCGAGCCGGTGTTCAACTTCCACCATCTTACGCCGACCGAGATCCAGTGGCTGGCAACTATCGAGCGTCAAATCCGCACTGCCAAACCGAACGTCCCTGTGCTGTATGCGGATGTCTTCGACCACGTCTTGCCGCACAAGCTGCTGGACGCCGTATCGGCATCCGCTAAGAAGGGAGGGAAGAAGGATGTGGAGCTTAATCCGACGCTAGAGGATTGGGAGGCTTTCGGGAGCGGGGATAGCGGCGTCAAGAAGGGCGAGCGAAGCAAGGACGTGGAGAGTTGCAAGGGAGAATGCGAGAAGAGTGCGGGGTGTACGACGTGGTTCTGGATCAAGGTCACCGAGACCGACGAGGATGGTGACTGCTACATGCTGCACGATCGCGTGCGCGTGGGCAAGGCGTACAAGGGCACGGGCGTACGCACGAGCGGATGGATCGGCGAGCGTGTGCTCGACTTTAAGACCAAGCACGAGTGCAAGAATCGCCCCACCGTCTAACCTCACCGATTGCGCATCCGACTCCTCGCTGTGTCGCAAATTTTAGATTGAACGTAGAGTGTGATCCGATTTGTGACAGCGGATGAATTGAGGTGGTGGCGGCGAGACGCGTGACGACCGAGCTCCGCGCGGTGGAGGACCGACGCCGGCCGTTTCCGCACATCGCACACTTCCGCACCTGGCTCGTTGGAGTGATGGGGTCAGGCTCGTGTTCCAATGAAGCTCGTTTGCACGTTGACGAGGTGCGGCCGAGGTGATGTTTCCGCTTCCGCACGGTGGGGCCGCTTCCGCACTCGAGTCCGCTCTGCTATATCTAGAGCGTCTAGCTCGACGGTCGTCGTCTTCCCCTCTCCCATCATCCGACCTCTCCCCTCTTACTCGAGACAGCCTCGACTTCGCCGATCAACATCCACTTCTAGATTTCAACGACAGACTACACCTCGATTCCGCGCATCCATGGCGCCCGGCGGTTCGGATGCCAAGCCGGAGCGGCCGGGCGAGCCACCTCCCGAGGCTGAACGCACGATTCGAATGGACGGACGACTGTCTGGGCGCGGTCGACCCGAGGACGTGACCCGGGCCAAGAGAGAGATCGCGGAGTAAGTTTTCCCATCCCTAGCTTCCGACGTTGGACCATGCTGACGCAGCTGTTGTGTGCAGAGCGTTTGACCTTGCGGACGAGTTTGCCCAAAAGACGGCTGCAGGTTCGCCGATGTGGGACTATATGGAGGCGCAGTGGCCGTACGGCTATCCCGACCGTGCGCTTCCGGACATCTTCCACCGCGGCCTAACGCTGGCGTTTGTTCCGCCGAGCTGGAAGAAGAAAGCGTACTGTCCGATCTGGACGACGCTCAAGCGACTCGGCTTCCACCCGGACGATGAAGAGCACGTGTACGGCACACTGGAGGTTGCGTTCTTTGCGATCCTTGCGCTGGAGCTGCGCACGAGCGGCGGACGATGCCTTAGCAAGGACATCAAGTTCGTCAAGGACCAGCACCGAATTGCGTTCAAGGAGATCATCTCGCTCAACCCCGTGATTCGACAGTGGATGGAGCCGGGCGAGCGGTGGTTCGAGCGGCTGCGCGAGACGATGCTACGCAATGCCAGGACGAGGATCGAGGTGGTCGGGGCTCAGATTCAGCTGGCGAGGGATAACGATTCGACGGCAGTGGGACAGATGCACATGACGCTGGAGGAGCGAAGGAGGCTGGGGATGGAGAGGCTTAGGCTTTGGGCCGAGGCTCAGCATACGTCGATGGTGGGCTACGGGGTTCAGGCGGTGCTGCAGCAGCTGTGGGGCAAGGCGGAAGCAACGTGGCTGAGTCGGGCGCGACAGTATCTCGGATCGGACCGGTCGCAGTGGAAGGAGCTGCGCATGAGGTGCGACGACGAGAGACACGGATACTGGCTGGCGACATACGACCAGGCGATGCTGCAGCCCCCCGATGTCATCGTTGACGGGGCCAAGACATACCTCCGACGCTACCTCGAGCGTCGAGCTGCATCGCTGTCGCAGGGTCGAGCCGACAGGTGAGTGCAAAAGCATTGCGGATGGCACATCGGGTACGGAGGCTGACTCGATCTCGATTCGCATCGCAAGTGGAAGCGCCAAGCAGAGCCAAGCTTAACACGCGCAGGCGACCATGCCTGCAGAAGAGGAGAGGGGGGCTGAATGCAATGCGATCTGCTCTGTAGCGAATGCATGCCAGCAGAGATGTGCGGAAGCGGATCGTCTCCGATGCGCGTGGGTGAGGCGAGGCGAGCGGTGAACAATATGGCGGCACTTGAGAGTCAATGCCGAGGCAGGGTCTGGTCTGGGCAAGCACGCGCGCTCTCGGTCTTGGCAGGGCGTCGTGGCGTGGGCTGGGAGCGCGCCAAGCATTGCTCACTGCGCTGGGCGGTGCAGCGTTTTGCGCAGCTGCAGCTCGAGTGTGCGCGCGCGCTTGGCTCGTCGCAATCGATCCAGGCGATCCAGGCGATCCAAGCGCCCAGCTTATCGCGACGTCGAGCTCGAGCCGTGACGATGCAGGGGTAGGAGCATGTCGGCGACTCCGATGCGCTCGGTGGAGGATGCTCGATAAAGTCGAGCGCCCGCACGGATCGCCGAAGCGCATTCCAAAAGGCGAGAGGAGAGGCGCGAGGAAAGGGCGAGCTTAAACCGCCCTCGCAGCTGCACGTCTCGCCGAGACCGAGCTGAGACGCATGACGCATCCAACCAGCCGAAAAAAAAAAAGAAGCCAAAATGCCAACCTCGGCCCTGCATCGCCTGCGCTTTTCTTCCGAGTGACGAAAGGGAAGGCAGAGTCAGCTTCCAGCTTTCCCCCGCGCGCTCCTCCCTCCACTGCGTCTCGAAGGCGCCTGTCATCCTCCGAAGCGCGGGAATCCAGCACCGACAGCTTCCACCGCCCTTCGTTGCGCGTCCTCCCATCAGCATTCGTCGTCCTCACCCTTCTACCCTCCCCCCTTCCCTCCATCTGGATGTCGTAGAAAGCCGCAAGCACTCTCTCTTTCCCACAACGCTTCACCCAAGCTCTTTGGACTAGCATCGCCTACGATGGCGCTCTCGCTCGTCATCGACGACACCTCGCTGGTGCTCATCCTCGTGCTCGTCGCAGCGCTCGCAGCGTCGATCTACGTCTCGCGATCCTACCAGCCGCTCATCCACCCGCTCATCCTCACTCGCCAGGCAGACGTCTCGCAGACACGCCAACCCGACGAGTCGGCCATCTACCGCAATGCGAACTCGCCCGCCGGATTCGACCTCGCGCTGAGGCCGCGCAAGGAGATCAACGACATTGCCGACCTCATCAAGCACGGCGCGAATGGATCGGAACGCAGCGCTAAACGTGCGATATATGGAACGGCGAAATCGAACCAGCAGGTCGCAGCGGACGCAACTTCATTTGCGACCGGATTCATCAAGCTTTCCTCGGCGCCTGTGCCGCAGACTGTGCTTGCGGTAGCCGCCGAGTCTGACGGCTACGAGAGCTTCGTCGCGCTCCTCTCCAACGCACACACTTCGGTCAGCTCGCGATACAACACCGTCGTCCTCCCTCCCAACCAGCTGGAGTCCCGATGCCCCACCTCGCTCCCGCAAGCCCTCGCGAGCAACGGCGCACGCTCCGCCATCGGCGTCTACACCACCGCCAAGTCCATCCGCGCCGTGCTCCAGCTCGCCTTCCTCGACTCCTCGGCGCTCATCATCGTCCCCGACGCTGATCTTCAAGAAGCGACCCGTCTTGTCGCCGACCACTTCGGCGCGTCTCACCGCCTGCGCCTCTACGCCTTCGATGCGGTGCTCGCAGCCGGCAGCCCGGGTTCCCTGCTCGGGCCCGACACCTCCGCCCGCGATGTCATCGAGCATACCCAGTCCCACTACTGGAACGCCACCAGCTCCGACTGGCTCGACGTCAAGCACTCCCACCTCGTCGCTGGCGTCACCTCCAACCTCGCCGCGTTCCCCGCCGACAAGATCCCCAACACCAACGACCACATCTTTGTCGAGGCATGCGTGGGCTTGCACTCGCCAGCTTCCGAACTCATGGCCACGCGTACGCCGCTCGGCTTTGCGCTTGCCCTTACAGCCCTCTACACCGGCGCGGCCATCACCGCCGACCTGCCCACATCGAGCTACGACGATCCCAACCCGGCTGCCTCGGCCGCGTTCGCTCGCGCCCAGCCTACGCTCGTCTACGCCACGGCAGAAGGCGCTTCCTCGCTCGCCGGCGCTCTGGCTAGCCGCACACGCCGCTCGCCCCTCGCCTCGTGGGCAGCCACCAACAAGCTCTTTACTCTGCGCAACGGCAGCTTTGCCCGCAACAGCTTGGCCGACACGCTGGTGTACAACAGCGCACGCAGCGCCGTCGGCTGCTCGCGCGTCCGCACCTTGATGATCGCAGGACGCGGAGACACAGTGCCGCAGGCGCTACTCGACTCGCTGCGTGCCCATTTCGGCTGTGCCGTCCTGAACGGATATGTGCCGCAGCTCAAGAAGGCGGCCGTCACGGCTGCCGTCAGCGTCACGCATGCGTTTGATCTGCAGGCGTTCGCCGAGCACGAGACGGCGGGCATGCAGGTGCCTGCGCACGTCGGCCCGCCCTCGGTCGCGGCAGAAGTCAAGCTGCTCCAGACCCGCATCGCTTCGGACGCGGGGCTTGCTATTGCGGGCGACAGGCCGGCTGGTCAGGCGGGTGATCCCATGGGCGAAGTGCACGTGCGCGGCAACGTTGTTGCACACTTTTCTGAGGCGGGAGAGGTTGATCCCGAGACGTGGTCGGCTACAGGCGATCTCGGCGCCTTCCGATCCAACGGCACGCTCGTGGTGCTCCGCGATGCCGACGACGCCGAGGTGGTGGGTGTGCCTACGCTCAGCTCGCGCAAGCCCGTCAGGCGACAGGGCCGCACCGCCACGGTGGGCGCCAAGAGCGTGCTGGCCGCTGCGCTCGTGCTGGCTGTCTCGCTCTCGCCCACTGCATCCGCGGGGGTGCTGCACAAGCGCGGGAGCTCGGTGAACAGCACCATGAGCGACATGGCCAAGATGGGCATGCTTGCCGGCCAGCGTGCGTCGTGGGAGCAGGGCGTGAGCCAAGCGGCACTGCTCGAGCTCGACTTTCCTGGCTGGTCGGTGTTTTCGTCTTCGTCCGGCGGTCCGCCCTACCGTCCTGGCCTGAACCGCGGTGCTTCGGGCCCGCCGAACGAGGTGATCGGCATGGCGTACCACTCTGCCTCACGCCAGGACAGTCTGGGCCGGCTGGCGTTCCGCATCACGGGCGACGAGCAGCTCGGCACGGGTAGCTCGCTCGACGGTGCTGCGCCCGGACCCGAGGTGCTGCTCGCCGCGTGGCTCGACGGAGAGATCGACCGCCAGACGGGCGCGATGGGCAGCGGGTTCTACGCCGACTCGGCACGCGCTACGCTCGACATGGTGCTGCGACGCGCCCCGAGATCGCGCGCGGGCGCCATCAGCCACCGCCTGCAGTACGTGGCGCTGTGGAGCGATGCCATGTACATGATGCCTCCCTACCTCGCGTTCTACGGGCTCGTCACGCGCAACAATACGCTGCTCCAGCTGGCGTACGATCAGATCCGACTCTACCGCGATGGCATGCGTCTCACCCAGGGCGCAGCCACCAACCTGTGGGGCCACATTTATCTTCCGGACAACCGCACGTGGACGGATGGTGGGGCGTGGGCGACGGGTAATGGATGGGTGCTTGCGGGGATGGCGCGGACGCTGGCGACGATCGAGCAGAGCCAGGCGTCGCAGGCCATGGTTGCGCAGAAGAACGATCTGGTGGCGTGGATGAACGAGATCCTCGATGCGGCGTATCCGCTGCTCGACGAACGTGCGCTGCTGTTTCACAACTACATGTCCGACCGCTCGACGTTCTTCGACACGGCCGGTACAGCACTTATTGCCTACGCTACGTATAGGCTTGCATCGCTGGCGCCGGGGAACGATAGGTGGATTGGACAGGCCGATTTGATCTACCGCTCGCTGGCGACTGCGCTCAACCCGATCGGACAGTTTAGGGATGGATATCCAGTCGTGGATGTTCTGGCCTTTGTTAGGCAGGGCGATACATCGTCCGAGTCGCTGGCGTTTATGATGCTCATGAACGCCGCCAAGCGCGACCACGCCAACGGTGATGTGGTCAGGATCACCGATGCCCAGGGCAAGTCCAACGCCGCACCCAACCTCGCGCCCAAGTTGATGGCGGCAGCGGTGGTACCCGCGCTGGTGATGATGTCCGTGTTGATTTAGATGGCGAAGTTAGGGCCATGACTTGGTCCCTCGATGCAAGTGTCGAATGGTGACAAGGTCGTGGCCCCTCGCCGGACAGGATTTGTTTTGGATGCGGCTCGCAATTTCATAGATTGGACAGGAACACCGCATTGCACGACAACAGAGTCGTGCGTGGACGAGCGTGACAGATGATGGCTGTTCGAGCCTCCTCGTGAGCAAAGGAGGTGTGCATTTGCACGGCCGACATCCAACACTTGTCCGGAAGTCGACACTCGGTGACAGGTGGGTTGCGGCATTTCTCGCTTCCTACGCCCCACTGAGCCAGGTGGACGTTCCACCCAGCTCAGCGTCGAGACAAGATCTCGGGACTGTCAGTAACTTAACTTATCAGAATCTGCAAGAGACCTCGGCTGTCGATTGTAGCGATTCTCAGAGCGCTTTTGGTCGACACGGCATTCGACTGCTCCACACATTTAAGCGCGACTGTGCATTCCCTCAACGCAATCTACTGCCGGAGAGATGGTGTACAATTCCACGAGTGCCAATAAATCAACAGATGCAGGGGGCATTGATCCGTACCCGATACCACTTCTGGTGAGAGGGTGCGGGATCAAGCACCGGTGCCCGCATCATTGTTCGCCTGGACGAGTGCATGGCTCTGCGGCAACGCCATAGTCCCCGTCGCACTGGGCATCGCCACGACCGCGGGGCTACTTGACGGCAGTGGCTCCTCCAAGCTCGCCACGTACTGATCGAGCGAGTTAATAAACGATGCTGTAAACGGGCTCAGCGGAGCCACTGGATAGCCGAAACTAGCATCCTGTCGTCCAATTGCCGCCTCGGCCCTTGCGAGATCGTTGAAACTCGCATCGGGCCCGAAGAAGCTAGCGTTGATATACGGACAATCCGGTGTCCCCTCGCTACCAACCCCAACTGCCTTCTGTCCTTGATACCCCCCTACCGCGTTGCTTCCGGATGCAGCACGTGTCTTACCGGCACGATTCATGGCGTTGGCAGGCGAGGTACCCATACGTAGCGATGCAGTTTGCCACGGTTGCTTCTGCCACAGTGCTTCAATGTCGTCGAACGAGTTCGCCGTCGCAGGTGCCACCTGCCCATCGAAAGGCAGTTTAGGACGGGCGAGTTCGGACGAATGCGCCAGACTGTGCGAGCTATTGCTGCTCGAACCGGGCGAGTTGTACGCAGGCGGTGTGCGCTGTGCCAATCCAGGCGTAGATCCGTTCGAGTATCCCGACGATGCCGAATACCAGCTCGGATTGCGAATCGGCAGACTGTCCATCGACCTGCTTCCCAACGGCCCTCCCCCACGAACACTCCCCGCGGGACCCACTGCCTCGTCTGCCTTGCGCTTGTTCCGGTTCGACTCGGGCGGCTGAATCGCCCTTGCGCCATCCAGAGCCAGCTTCGACTTGCTCGACAGCGCCTGCAACAACAGCCTCACAAACTTGAGGTCGTCCGTAATCTGCGCGCGCAGCTCGGAGCTATCCCAATCGCAAGACTCCTGCGGATGCGTATCGAGCATGGACACAAAGTGGATGAGCACCAGCGACGAGATGATCGACATCTGCGCAAAGAACCACAGCCGCGACACCGAGTTGTGCTGCGTGCGCATGCCCTCGCCGATCATGGCGCGCTGTTCGTCCAGCGTGGCATTCTCGCGCGGCGTGAACCACTTGAACGCGTTGCGGAAGACCTTGATGATCAGCATGGACGCCGCAAAGCTAATGTCGCGCGACTCCTTGTACTTTGGATTCGACCACGACTGCACGTAGAAGCGCTTGTGCAGCGTGAGCAGCTGCATCTGCACGGCGAGCGCCATGGCGCTACGATGCCAGCGTTCCGGGTTGTCCGGATCGTCCGAGTCGATGAGCGACTCGTCGAAGCGCAGATGCTCAGGAATAGAAGCCTCGATGGCGACGACCTCCTGGTGAAGCTGCTTGGTGAACTCGTACGCCTCGTCCTCGCTCATGCGGATGCGATGGCTGGCGCGACGCGAGACGTCGCTGAGCTTGAGCTTGTAGCGCATGGGCACGGCGATGATGTCGTTGGTGTCGGCGTCGGGCCCAAAGAGCGAGGGGAGGCTGGTGTTAGCCGGATCGATCATGTAGCTGCGTTTGACGTTGCCGGCGGAGAACCAGTCCTGGATGCAGATGGTTGCAAAGAGGCTGATGCGGTCCTTGCGCTCTTCGAACGGCAGCGTCTTGGGCGGCTCGACGTCGAGCTGGAGCGCGTAGGCCATGAAGCAGATGTTGGCGATCATGGCCGAGCCGACGGCGGGGCCCTTGAGCGCACTGAGGCACGAGCTGAGCAGGATCATGGTGCGGACGTTGTCGATGTGGAGCTCCTCGTATATGTCGAGCATGGAGAGGGCGTGCTGTGCGGCGTCGAGGAAGATGGTGAAGGCCTGCTTGCCGTACTTTTCCGGGAGCGAGTCGGCTTCGATGGGCTCGCCAAACACGAGCACGGCGCCGCAGAGCGCGTGGATGGTGGCGACGAGGCGCAGCGAGTCACGCATCTCTTCGTAGCGATAGGCGTCGGGACGGCCGTCCCAAAAGAGGCGCTGCTCCTCGACGGTGCAGAGGCGTTTGCGGAAGGTCTCTTCGGGGAGGAGGTGCGCCATCCAGGACAGCTCGCGGAAGTAGAAATCGGTGAGTGCGCGGACGGTGCTGTTGTCGGGGAGGAGTTTGTAGAGCTCAAAGAGCGTTCTGCGCGTGAGTTCTTCCGAGGAGACCTGGCTGGTTTGGGAGATGCCGAAGCCGAAACCCCAGGAGATGGGGCCGATGCCGTAGGATGGCTGTGGATCATCGGAACGGGTGGAGGTGGCAGCGAGGGCAGCGCGGTTGGCCTCGCTTGCGCCGAGTTCGGCGAGGGTGGATAGTTTGGAGGTGGAAGCGTTGGCGCTGCCCGGGTTGGTGGAGAGGGAGCTGGAGGAGGAGTACTTGCGTTGTGCGACGCCGCCCGGAGTGAGAGTGGCCGAGGCGGGCGAGTTCTTTGCGCCGGGCAAATCGACGCCGAGGGATGCGGCGATGGTACCCATCATGGCTTCGAGACGATCGAGACGGTCGTTTGTTTGGGAGGCGTCTCCGGTGTCGCGGCCGGTGGTCTGTGGACGGACGCCCTCTGCCCACTCACACTTGCTCGACTCGTTGCGATCGCGGCAAGCGCCGCAGGGCCATCCACGGTCGCATTTGAGTTTGCGGCGACGACATGGTTCGCAGGAGACGGCCTTCTTTGTCGACTTTTTCTTGGACGCGTCGTTGGCAGCCTGTGCGGAAGAGGCGGCAGGATCCGAGGCGGACGACATGTTGACGGGCGGTGAAGACGTGTGCGTAGGATGCGAGGCGGAGGTGGGTGTGTTGCGTGGACTGGCGAGGTGACGGTGGGATGGTGTTGAGTAGGGCGACGAGGGTCGATTGGCGAGGTAGCTAGGATGAGGATAGGTGGAAGGATCTGGACGAGGCGAGGTGACGGCGAGAGGATAGAGAGGCGGTGTCAGGGTGGATCGCGATGGCAGGGACGACGGGGCCGAAGCGAGAGCGGTGTGAAGGGGTGGGAGGAGGCGGTGGTTGGAGGAGGTGGTGGTGGTGGTGGAAGGGTTGGCTTGGAGGTGAGGTTGTGATGAATTGGCCTGATGCCCTGAAGCGAGATGCCTGGGCATGTCCAGATGCGAGCGAGGCGGAAGGAAGGTTGGGGGAGGGCAGCCAAGGTATCAGATAGCGAGCTGGGTTGGGCGAGGGGGAGGGGAAGGCGGTGTTGAGCGACGAGGAGAAACGTGCGTGTGATTCGAGGGCGAGGCGCACTCGGTATCGGCTAGACGAGCGTGTCTCTCATGCAAACCTGGAGCCGCAATGATGCTGCCACGCGATGGAGAGTCTCGAGCTCGATCCAGCTCGTGGTGCAAGAGCGGTGTGCGAAAAAGTAGCTACGGAGATAGAGTGTGCGTTTGTCGCAGTAGCAGCGCGATGAGCAGCAGCAGCAGCGACGACGAAGAGTGGATGGGCGAAGGTGGACGGACGACCGAACGAACGGGATGGATAGCAAGGCGGATGGCCAAGTCCGAGGAGTTTGACGGAGTTGCGAGCGAGCGAGGAAGAGACTCGTGCGTGGCCGCCCCCGTCTGAGCAAGGAGGCCGATGCACGGCGACGCTGTCCTCCCATCTTGCAGCCACGCTGTGGACCTGCATGGGAACGCGCCCAAAGGCGAAATCTTGGCTCGTTCGACTCAGCTCCCACGGAAGCCGGGCTGCATTGCGTTTCGCGTGCGAGAGAGAGAGGAAATATTCCTACTTCGTGTCAGGCCGAACAGCCGAACAGTTGCAACATTGCTGTTACGTCGTGTTAACAAACATGCTAGAGACGGGCTCGCCGGAGCTGGATGTGCAGCTGAGCCGATGCGACCGGCAAAAAAGAGGGCGGAGGCTGCGATTGGCTGGAAAATCGCATTCCAGAACACAGAAAAATGCGCGCATCCACTCTGCCAACGCCGGCCATTGCGTGCATCGAGTAGCCGGTGGGCGGGGGGCGAGCTTTACATCATCACCGCCTGCGGGGCCGCGGCCCGTCCGTCCAGCCAAGCCCAAGCCCAGCCCAGCCCAGCCCACTGCCGCAACTTGGTGAGACTCGGCGTGATGTGTGGGGAAGCAGTGCACAGCAGCAGCTGCACGCGGTTGGCAGAGTTTGGCACGCGGGTGCAGTCGGCGATCCATCCGCCAAAACCGGTTACGCGCCAAGCCGAGCCGTGCTGCCCAATTCTGCCTCGATTCCGGTTCAGTCGCTGCCGCGCCTCACCGGCTCCATCCACTCGGCATGCCGTGTGTAACCATCAACGGCCCGGCTCGATCTTCTTACCCACGCTTGCAGCCCCGCCTCTCTTGGCTTATATACTTGCACTCGATCCACATCCGGCCCCGCATCCATCTACCCCACGCCCACCTCCTCCTCCTCCTCCTTTCTCGCCACCAAACACCAACCACCATCCACCTTGTACCACCTTCTGCTGCATTTGCACCGCTTCGATCCAATCTAGAACCCCCGTCGCCACCCGCACATCATGGCGCCCCCTCGCTTTATCGAGCTCCCCGCGGGTCTCAAGCCCGCCGGTGTCTCCGGCTCCGAGCTCCTCGCACACGAGCGCTCCAAGGCCTCGTTCGACTCGCGCGCCATGGCCGAGTACATCCACGGCAGGGACCACCTCGAGCTCCAGGAGCGCCTCGTCTCCATCCTCAGCCAGGACCCCGTGTTTGACAAGACCTCCGACGCATACTACGGCCGCGCTGACAAGTTCCGCCGCGCCATGCTCAAGGACAAGCGCCTCGCCCAGCTCGCAGACGAGCACCAGTGGGGTCAGACCGAGATCAACATGGCCGAGAAGCTCGCAGACATCCCCGGCCCCATGGGCCTCCACAAGAGCATGTTCCTCACCACCCTCTACAACCAGGGCAACGACGAGCAGCGCAAGGTCTTCTACGAGCCCGCATCCAAGTATCAGATCATCGGATGCTACGCCCAGACCGAGCTCGGCCACGGCTCCAACGTGCAGGGCATCGAGACCACCGCCACCTGGATCCCCGAGTCGCAGGAGTGGGAGATCCACAGCCCCACCCTCACCGCCTCCAAGTGGTGGATCGGCGGCCTCGGCAGGACCGCAGACCACGCCGTCGTCATGGCACAGCTCATCACCAACGGAAAGAACTACGGCCCCCACCCCTTTGTCGTTCCCATCCGCGACGTCAAGACGCGCGAGGTCCTCCCCGGCCGCACCATCGGCGACATCGGTCCCAAGGCCGGCTACAACACCACCGACAACGGCTTCATGCTCTTTGAGCACGTCCGCGTCCCGCACCTCAACCTCCTCGCGCGCTTCTCCAAGGTGGAGCCAGAGACGGGCAAGTACCTCCCGCCTCCCAACGCCAAGCTCGCCTACGGCACGCTCACCTGGGTGCGCGCCAACATTGTGCGCGATGCCTCCACCGTGCTCATGCGCGCCGTCACGGTCGCCATCCGATACTGCGCCGTCCGCAGGCAGTTTGCCGACCGCGATGCGCCCAAGTTCGGCCAGGACGGAAAGCCGCTCGAGACGCAGGTGCTCGACTACACCATGGTTCAGATCCGTCTCTTCCCCATCCTCGCACAGGCGTTTGCATTCCACTACACCTCGCGCTTCATGTTTGAGCTCTACGAGCAGAACCAGGCCAACATTGAGTCGGGCGATCTCTCGCTGCTCGCCGACACGCATGCATCCAGCTCGGGTCTCAAGTCGCTCACCACGCTCTATGCCAGCGATGCCATCGAGGTGTGCCGCAAGGCGTGTGGTGGTCACGGCTACTCCATGGCCTCGGGTCTGCCCGAGTTCTACGCAAACTACCTGCCCAACGCCACGTGGGAGGGTGACTCGTACATGCTTTCGCAGCAGTGCACGCGCTACCTCTTCAAGACCATGCGTGCCATCAAGAGCGGTCGTGGCAAGGTGGACAAGAACATCACCACCGACTACATGCAGCGCTACCTCGACAACAAGCACGAGAAGGCCGCCATTCAGTTCTCGGGCGATCTGTACGACCCGCTCTTCTTCATGCGTGCCTTTGGTCACCGTGCCGCCTATCTGACCGAGCAGACGCTGGCGCTGCGCGACGATGCCAAGCGCTCCTGGAACTCGCTCCTCGTCGAGCTGTACCGTTGCTCCAAGGCGCACTCGCAGTACCTGCTGGTGCGCAACTTTGGCATGGCCATCCTCAAGGACGAGAAGCTCAACTCGCAGCCGGCCCTGCGCCAGATTGTCCAGAAGATCTTCCTCCTCTGGGCATGCCACACCATGGAGCAGGAGTCGGCCGACTTCCTCGCCTCGGGCTACATTGACGGCAAGCAGTTCCACCTCCTCGGTTCCAAGGTCCAGGAGATCATGGCCGAGCTCCGTCCCAACGCCGTGGCGCTTGTCGACGCTTTCGCCGTGCCCGACTATCTCCTCAACTCGGCCCTCGGCCGTTCGGACGGCAACGTCTACGAGGCGCTCTTCGACTTCGCCCTCCGCGAGCCGCTCAACTCGGTCAGGTGGAACGTCGATATCAACGACTTGGAGACCACCGATATCGACTCGGACCTCCCCCGCTCCAAGCTCTGACCTGCTACGTGTATATCATAGACCCTTGTTTCGTTGGAATAAGTCACCTTCCCTGTAGCGTAGAGTTGCGTGTGCGAGGCAGCCCTACCAAAAGCGCGTGGGTTGCACGAGAGGCCCGTAGCAAGGGTCGACACGATCGCCGATCCGCATCGGTGCTTGTTTGCCGCCCCGGTTGTGCTGTTTGCCGCCATGCGCTTGCTCTTCTGGAGTAGCTTTGCCGATCTCGTTGCCGGCTATTTGGGCAGAGTATGATCCCGGACCAAGATCAAACGAGCAACAAGGCTCAAAGTTGGCAAGGGGGGTGACAAGTGTCGCAGTGGGCGGCCATGTGGTGACTGGCCATGGTTCGATTTGTATTGCCGAGTGAGTGCAGGATTGGCCCGGCAAAGTCGCCGAGGTGCTTTGCGAGGTGGATGCGCTCGTGCACACGCCAACTTCGGCTGGATTCACTCCGCTCTCCCCCACTTTTGCCCCCACAACCACAGCAGCTTATCGGTCTTGCTGTGTCTTTGAATTGCACTTACGCCCGTCTTGTTCCGTCTTACCACACCTTCCCCCTCGCACAGATATAATCCCTCCGCGCACCTTGTCCACCGACATTCGTATACTCAACTTTGCGAACATGGCTTCACGCGCAGCGTTTGACTGGTCGGTGACCGACCCGCACCACAACGCCTCGTACATGCGCTTTGCATCGCGCCGCTCCACGGTGCTCTCGACCAAGGGCGTGGTGGCGTCGTCGCAGCCGCTGGCGTCGTCGGCGGGCATCGAGATTCTCAATGCCGGTGGTAATGCTGCCGATGCAGCAGTGGCGGTGGCGGCGGCACTCAATGTCACCGAACCCTGCAACACGGGCATTGGCGGCGATGCCTTCTGCCTGTTTTACGATGCGCAGAAGCGGACGGTTCGTGCGTTCAATGGCTCGGGCCGTGCACCGCAGGCCATGACACTCGACGTGCTGCGCCAGAAGGGTGTGGACGGTGTCGAGATCCCGGGAAACAGCATCCACAGCGTTACGGTCCCCGGTGCAGCCGCGGCCTGGATCGACACGGTGGAGAAGCTGGGTAGCGGCAAGCTGTCCATGCACGATATCCTTGCGCCGGCGATCAGGCTGGCCGAACAGGGTTACCCTGTGCATGAGAACACGGCATATCTGTGGGGACGTAGCGAAAAGCTCATCAAGGCTGCATCGGCCAATGCGGACGAGATGTTGTTCGAAGGTAGGGCGCCCAGGACGGGCGAGCTGATGCGCATGCCCAACCTCGCACGCACCTTCCGCGAGCTCGCCACCAAGGGCAAAGAGGGTTTCTACACGGGCCGCGTTGCGCAGGCCATCGTCGATCTGGTCAAGAGCCAGGGCGGTGTGCTGGAGCTCGAGGATCTTCAGGACCACCTCGAGCGCGGGACGGAGGAAGTGACGCCGATCCAGTACACGTACAACCACCCCGCCAAAGCAGGTGATCTGGCCGGCAGCGAGGGCGTGACGATGTACGAGTGTCCTCCGAACGGACAGGGCTTGACGACGCTTGTTGCGCTGGGGATTCTGGACGAGCTTCAGAACCAGGGCAAGGTGGCGGATCTTGCGACGGTGGAGCACAATGGTGTCGAGTATCTGCATGCGCTGATCGAGGCGCTGCGTCTGGCATTTGCCGATACGAGGTACCATGTGTCGGACCCGCACCACTCGGAGCACGATGTAGCTAAGCTGCTGCTGGACCAGCGATACCTTGCGCAGCGGGCGCAGCTGTTTGATGCGTCGCGTGCCAGTGTGGACCTCGAAAAGGGCAGTCCGGCCAATACGTGCGATACGGTCTACTTCTCCGTCACGGACAAGGAGGGCAATGCATGCAGCTTTATCAACTCCAACTACGCCGGCTTTGGCACGGGCGCCGTTCCCGCCGGATGTGGCTTCACCCTCCAGAACCGCGGTGCGGGATTCACGCTGTCCGAGGGCCATCCGAACTGCGTTGCGCCGCGCAAGAGACCGTACCATACCATCATCCCCGCCATGGCTACGCGCGGCGACGAGCTCTTCCTCAGCTTCGGCGTGATGGGCGGCTTCATGCAACCCCAGGGCCAGGTCCAGGTGCTCATGAACATCCTCCACCACGGATTCACCGTGCAGGACGCACTGGACGCCCCGCGCTTCTGCATCGGCGCAGGCATGGCTGGCCCAGAAGGCGCCACCAGCGAAGTGTACTTCGAAGAGGGAGTCAGCCAGCAGGTGGTGGACCAGCTCGAAAACATGGGCCACAAGGTCAAGCTCGTCAGCGGCTGGGGCAGATTCCAGTTCGGAAGGGGCCAGGTGATTCAGAAAGTCCACAACAACGCCGGTAAGCTCGTCTGGGCCGCAGGATCCGATCCGCGCGCCGACGGACAAGCCATCGCCCAGATCTAAACCTGCCCCTCCCCTTTCCCTCATCCAATGTCGTGGAGATGCAATCAATGTCATGTGAATCAAAAATCAATATGTTGCCCCGTGACGATACGCTAGTGGTAGTACAGATTGTACTCGGTCTGCACGTCATCCTTGCCGTGGAAGCGCCAAGTGATGCGCAGCACATCAGCATCGAACCCCTCTGACCGACTTGGTGGCTGGACCTGCTTGAACCAGCTGTCGATCGCCGTGAACGGCAAGATATCGCGTTTTGCCTCGTGGTCTGCCGCGGGGCCGTGGTGGGCGCGAAAATGGTTGTTGTGCACACACACGTGCTTGGGCACGTCGAAGTACACGCACCGGATGCGCGCGCCCGTCTGCCGTGCCAGCTCGATGTAGTGCTTGCGCGTCGCGCGGTCGCGATTCGTATTATCCACCACACACGACTGGCCCGCGGCGATGGTGTCGGCGACGACGCGCAGACACTTGTCGCGCGTGCGCAGCGCGTCCTGGTTCACATGCACGTAGTGGGCGGGTGCAAACACGCGCTGGAACAGAAACGTCTTGCCCGACGCAGGCGCCCCAACAAACAGCACGATCTCGGCCCCACCCGCGCCGTCGCCCAGCACGATGCCACGACCGTCCTTGCCCTCGTCCAGCTCGGACAGATCGACGCTCACCATCTCGTCCTCCGGCAGCGCGACCAGCCCTTTCAGCGATGGACCAGGCTTTAGTGCCGACGGACTCCACGGTCGCGTGGGCACGTCGTACTCTTTGGCCTTGCCGAGAAAGTACTCTTCGGGCGTGAAGAAGCGGATGCGCGCATTAAGAGCCCACTTGAGGTCCGTGTCTTGGTGGTCGCGGTACTTGCTCCTCCCCGCCGCATCGCCCACAAAGAAGCTGCTCTCCCGGTCCACCTCGACGCCCATATTCCAGCGCTCGGTAAACTCGACCCACGATCCCAGTCTCGGCTTGCGGTAGACATCGTCGCCGAGCGCAGCGAACACGCGCATGGGCACATCGATCGCCGCGGCAATGTGCGCCATCTTCTTCTTCCACGTCGCCAGCCCGTTTTTCGCCGAGTACGCCGTCTGCTTCTGATTCGTGATGAGCACGATGGCAAACTGCTGTGCGTGTTGCTGGCGGATACGTGCTACAACGGAGCGATCGGACGAGGCACCGCCGAGGCCCACACGCGGCGACGAGAAGAGGAACTCAAAGTCGTACTCGTCCGTCTTGCTCGGAAACGTCTTGCCGCCCTTGGGCCGCACGATGGTGCCGTCCAAGTCGTAGAACGCCACCTTGGCGCTGGGCGCCGGCTCGCCGTATACTCCGTGTAAGCAGCTCTTGGCCGGTCCGATCGGACTGAGCCACTTCAGTCCTGATCCCGAAGAGGAACTGCCAGCCGCAGAAGACGTGGAGCGCGGCTGGAAGATGGATGCCAATTTGGGACTCGGTGCGCCCTTTGCCGCAGTGCCCTTTGCCGCAGACGTGCCTGGTGCTTTGAGGGGCAAGACGGGTTCATCGCCATCAGAAGAGTCGTCGCGCGCCTTCTTGGTTGCCGTGTCGGCGCTGGTGTCGAGGGTGCGCTTCATGGAGAGTGCGGCGCGCAGCACAGGCACGCGAGGGCTGCGCCGAGTCAAGCACGCCGCACAAGCGCTCGAGGGCTTCGTAGCTCGTGGCAGCCACACGGTAACGGTCGTTTACGGCGTTGCTGCGAAGTGATCTCAGCTATCTGTGCTGCATAGACGCCGATGTGTGGCGGCAATAAACTGAGCAAGATGGTCGTCGGGAGTGAGGATGGCCAAGCCATGCCGCAATGCGTCTGGATGGCCCGAGCACGCCTTAGAAAAATTGAGGAAATGAAAAAATGAGAAACGAAAAAGTGGCCAGAAAAAGGACCGCCAAACTGGACAGCTTTTCATACTTTTGCATTAATTGCACCTGCCATCGCGACTTTCTCCATCTCCTCCTCACCTCGTCCCCGCCTTGGTCACACTCTCGCGCCCTCTCGCCCTTGCCTTTGTCACACTATCACGCCCTCTGGCCGGTATCAAGACACGCCTTAATGTGTGCAAAACATTAAATTGTCGCTCTACAGACATTAAGCACCAATCTAACGCGAATCTACTCGCTCGACGTAGTCTTCTGCGCTACGACAGGCGGACACTCCGGCCTGGTCAAGTTGGCACCGAGCTGGCCACCGAGCCAGATAGCCACGCCATTGGTCCACCCGAACCCTACCTGAACCTCGTATTCACCGCCGCCGCCCGCTGCGTTGATATCGCTCGCGTTGAACTTCTCAAACATGTTGCCGATGGCGGTGGAGGCGTTGAGGCCGTTGGCGGTGAGCACATCGTCCGGTACGGCCTGGAAGTTGGGGTCGGTCGTGTTGAGCTTTCCGCCCGTAGCCCTCCACGAGCACAGGGCGGAAGCGACGTAACGGTTGGCGAGCTCACGCACGAGCTCGTCGCGCCAGCTCTCGCCCGTCGTCGAGTTGCCTACGTTCATAATCGGGTTGACCTCCTGCTCGGGATTGTTCGGGTCGGTAGCGCCAGCCTGGGTCTCGTTGATCATGCTGCCGGGCTGGTACTCGATGGGCTGAATGGGCAGGCTATCCTCGGTCTGACCGAGCTGGTTGGTGCCGTTGGTCATGGGGATGAGCGCGAACGTGCCGTTCTCAGCCGGAAGCTGCGGCCCCGCCGAAAGCGAGTCGGGCAGATTGCGCAGCGCCTCGAGCGCAATGTACGTGTGCGGAGGCCAGGCGTTGGCAAAGTCCCACTGCTGACCCGTCGTGACGAGCGAGGCAGGAATCGTGCCGTTGAATCGGTCGATGATGTATCGCAGACCCGAAAAGACGCCCTGCAGATTCTGCCTGCGCTGGTCGAGGCTGATGGTCTCGTTGACAAACTCCTGCGGCAGAATCTGCGCCCAGAGCGGGAAGAAGCCCGCCGGGGTGTAGTACGGCGCACGGTCACCCAGAGTCACGTTGAAGTCGTAGAAGAACTTCCTGCTCGGGTCCCAAAAGACATCGAGCACCGCCTGCTTACGAGCCTGCGCCTGCTGTGCCCAATAATTGGCCCGAGTCATGTTGCTCTGCGTACCGTTGCCCGACACCTTGTAGAAGGCCGAGAGCTTCTGCTCGCACGCGAACAAGATGGCGTTGAGGTCCACGGGCAGCTGCTGGGCCGTGTTGAGGAACCGCTGCGCAGGGATGGTGTCGGTGAGGTTGATCGTCGGACGCTTCGACCATCGCGCGCCCGAGTAGTCGCTGCCGCTCTCGGCACCCGAGGCGAGGTCCGAGTACAGCTGCGCCTTCTGCGTGTCATTCAGCTCGAGACCCGACTCGGACGCATCCTCGACGGTCTTGTAGTCCTCGAGGTAGCTCTCGGGACGCGGTGCCGAGGTGTCGACCTTGTAGTGCGTGATGTTGTGCGTGCTGTTGGTGAAAGGAGAGGTGAACTCGATGGTACGGTTGTTCCTCCAGAACTCCATCTCCTTCTCGAGAAGCGGGAGGAAACGCTGCAGCACCGACGTGTCGTTGTACGCCTCGATGTACTTGTCGATCATGAGCGTGAAGAAGGGTGGCTGCGATCGGTTCTCGTAGTAGACACGGTTGCCATTGGGGATGAAGCCCAGGCGGTCGATGAGGTCGCCAAAGTTCTCGAGGATCGCCTTGACGACCGACTGGAGCTGCGAGGTGATCAATCCTTCAATCACAAAGAACGTGTCCCAGTAGTACAGCTCTCGGAAGCGGCCACCGGGAACCACAAAGACGCGGCTCTCGTTGAAAGGAATGAACGAGCTGACGCAGCCATCGCACTGGACGCCCGAAGGACTCGACGAGTTGGTGGTGCGTGCGAGCAGCTCCCAGTACGAGTGGACCTGCTTGAGCCAGTCGCGCACCACCTCGTCCTCGACGCCCTGCAAGAATTCGGGGTCCTGAACAAACTCGTCGCCAAGATCGGCGGGCACGAGCTCGACACCTTCGGCCACAAAGTTGTCGTCGACAAACTGCACGATCTCTTCGTAGGTGATGTTGCTGGTGTTGCCGCCACCGAGCTTGTTGAAGTTGTCGAGCACCTCGGATTCGGGCCTCGAGGTGGCCTTGTCGACGAACGTCTTGCTGTCCTCAAAGATGCCAGCCAGCTGCACCGCCTGGAGCAGCGGGCCAGGGCAGTAGATGGGCGAGGTGCACAGCTCCTGCGACGGAGGCAGGGGACCCGAAGGGATCATGGCCGACGGTGTCGTGGTCGCCGAAGGAACGGCCGCAGGCGGCTTCTCGGTGAGCGGATTGACCGATGAGCTGGAGGCAGCGCCGCTCGAGGTGGCCGTTCCGCTCGAGCTCGCGGAAGCGGTGGCGGCGGTGCTGGTGAGCGAGCTCGATCCGGATGCAGACGAAGCGGTGCTCGAGCCCGTCATGGAAGCCGAGGAGGCGGACATCGAGGAAGAGGCATCTTGAGCTGCCACTGCTGCTACAGCCGGCAGCAGCAAGGCCAGCGTCTTGAGAGCTGGAAGCCGCATCGTTCTCAATGGGAAGGTGAATGCAGGGGCTTGTGATAGAGACACTGATGAGGAGAACACACTGGAAGTCTGACTATATATGGCCAATCCGCGTGGCTAGCCTGATCCGAAGACATGCCAGGATCGGCACCAGATGAGTGGCCATGCAAACCACGTGTGATGCTATTTCTGCCGCACAGCTGTAGTCCTGCTGTCTCGCGGCCGTTGGACTGGGCATGAAGCGCGGGGGAGGACAGCCATAGGAAAGAGGGCGGGCTGACCTTGTTTGGCAGGGCGGAGGCTGCCAAGCCCGGCCGGGCAACGTCACTGACGCATGTGAGGCAGCGTTTGTGCGAGGTCACCATGTCTCAGAAGGCTTAATTTTTTTTTGCGTCGCAGCGGGGACTTATGCGGACAGGACAGCTGCCACTGGAATTGGGGGACCGGCATGAGCACGAGCTGCATGGTCCACTGCAAGCGAAGTTGTGGGCCTCCACGGCGGATACCTTGCAACAGCTCCGTCCATGCTCACCATGTGGGGTATCAAATCCAAGCCATTCTCGATTGGCTCGAAGACGATACTGTACCGAGCGGCACCCCATCGCGTGGCCGCTGATCCGCAAACAAGGCTAGTGGGCATGATCTGCACGCACAGGCGTACGCAAACACGGGGAGGATTCTCGGTCGAATTCAGTCGGCCACAGAGCTCGGCTGGACACCATGAGGCGGCCATCGCGGCCGAGGTTAACAAGGTGGGCAAGCGAGCGGCGCTGCGTTGCCGGGGTGAGTGGTGGTTGCGTCGCGAGGCGTTCCTGGCTGCGGTTGCACTCTTGCGCGTGGGGTTGGCTGCCGATCGCGCTCGCTCGGGATGCCGAAGCAGATGCTCGACGGTGCTGCAACTGCTCTACAGGCCATCCGATCGTCGAGGGCAACACCCAGCAGAGCAGGCGTGGGTGGCAGGTCAGCTCGTACAATGCATCTCGAGTGCGGCAACTCTAAGCGTAAAATTGACTCGCCGCAGGTGTGACGGCGTCTTGGCTTCGCACTTTCAGGCCTCGCTGCTTTCAGCTTGACTTGGAGCTGGGGCAACATACGCCAACTCACTGCGTGCTCGCGCTTGCCTCTACCGTCCCAGCACGAGTTCAGCTACTGGCACGAGGTGGAGCTAGTGATTGCAGGACGGCTTCTGGTGCGCACAACGACTGGATCTGGCGGCGATGTCGCGGGTGCTTTCGGGTGTCCGAAGGCAGCGAGCGGCCACGACGGTGTTTCTGCGTACGACTTCGCTTGGACTCTTGTGACGTCGGCGTGCAGTGCGGGTCGAGCAGGGCTTCCTCGGATTTTTCTTTCACTGTTAAACTCTGGGGAACTATCGCCGATCATCTTACCGAATGCCTTTTTTGTCGTTGATGGATCGGGGAAATGGCGGTTTGGTGAGGGTTGCTGACATCTGCATTCTGAACAGCTTGTTCATGCGGAGACAGTGTTCCGACACTTATCCGCGGACGACGAATGCAGACAGTGAGTGGCCCGCTCAAGCCACTCGACGTCATGCCATGGGGTCGGACGCATCGATTGGCTGGCCTGCGTTCGGAATGGATGGGGTTCACCCCACTAAGACGACGTCAACGAGAGATCACGAGGCAATCCACATACACGCCCGGGCATGTGGGAGGGAGRGAGTCTTTGACAGTGATTGACAGTGGGATGGATCGTCTGATCAAAGCGAGGAGATCGCCATGATCGCATGCGCCGTGGAGATGGGAACTCCTCCATCCTTCATCACGGCGGCCGGCTCGTCTCCGTGGAACGAGGGCTTCAGAGAAAGGCAGAGGTTGCCGGCCGACGACAAAGCGCAGGTGGGGCGACGGCAAGGGCGGTCCGGTTCAGGTTGATCAGCGGGTGGGGTCCGGTTCGGCATTGCCGTGGCAAGGCGGCGCCGTGCGAAATTGAAATTTCACGCAAAGGTGCTGTGGTGGTGGAGCGCAAATTGGCTTCGGATTTGGCCCGCGCCCGCGCGCACCCTGCCCCAGCTGCGTACGGCAGAGGCGGCGCCTGATCCCTTTCTCCCACCCCGAACGGTGGGCAGCGCGGCGGAAACCGAAACTCTCTTTCCCCCACCTGCGCCGATCCACGACCCGCCATTGTCGACGTTGCTCCGCCAATAAGCCAGCCGACCAGTCAGTGATCCGAGATCGATGAGAGCATCGGACTTGGCCCGCACTGCGAACGCCCGAAATGAAATATGCCAAGATGCGGCGAGTCGTGTCGAAACGAAGAGGTGGGAGAGAGAGAGAGAGAGTAACGCGCATATCTGGTGGTGCATTGCCGTGGTTGCATCGAATCAGCGCCATTTCGAGCGAGACGAGCGAGGCGAGCGGACGCAGCTCATTCTTGGCAAGCGGGAAAGGCTTCCAAGATCAGCCGATGGCAGTTTGCCGCTTGGGCGCAATTGCGCTGGCAACCTTGTGTGCGCAAGTCGAGTTGGCCGGCCGTGACGATTCGGGGGAAGGGGCGACATCTGCATTCCAACAGGCTCAGACCAACCAGGACCCTCGCGCCGCAAGGATCAGGAAAAACAGGGTGGCTAGCTAGCGCCGGCTTACTTCCGAGAGCACGCGCTCCGCCTCGCCTTGTCGATACGGTTCAATTCAGCCGATCCCGTCGGCCATTGCGTCCGCGGTACAATCCCACCCTCGCAGACCTGTCATAGGAGTATCCCGTGTGTCTACAGCGCCCAGCATCGCCGCAAACTCATCTGGCACGCTCGCTCTGATCTCCGGGGCGCAATCGACTGTGGGCGGCTGCTGCTCCTGAGTGTAAGTTATCGGAAGGCCCGCACTCCACTTTGAGCCCTTCTTTCGGTTCGTCCGCTCTCCAAGCCCATCCTCGGCGCTCCTCCCTCTGATCCCGTCCGCTTGTTCCTTGATCTCTTGGCTGCGTCGGTGAAATCATCCGCATCGCTACCTCCGACAATCGCTCGACTGCCGCTTTGCGACCTCATTTGTACTTGTGCCTACCTTTGCAGCTCTATCTCCATCGCGACCGATCGCCTGGCTTGCCCCGTCTTTCGCCAACCTCCGAACACATCGCTACGCCTCTTTGCTCCATCTTGACGTTCAATCACTCACAGCAATCTCCTTGATCGTCGCCTTCGTCGGATCGGATCCGTACCGACGACGCCTTCGTGGCAACCCTCCCCGACCACACACCACCAACAACGACGATAGCACCACCACCTACAGACAGCGATGCACCGAATCTAAGCATCCAAGCCCTGCACATCCATCCATACACCACCATGGACGGCGCAAACTGTGCCAGTCGCAAGGGCAAGCGCGCCCTCGTCCACTCGTGCCCGTCCTCGTCCAATCCCAGCAAGATCCCCAGGACATCTCCGCCACTCAGCTCCGAGGCCGATCTGCCACCATGCCGCCCCAACGCGTCTGTCACCAACGCAGGCCCTTCCATCAGCCGTGTCGGAGTCCAGCACAGTGATCGTGATCGTGCTCGCAGCCCGCAAGCATCGTCGTCATCATCATCATCATCATCATCGTCGTCGTCGTCGTGTGCTGGGCCCAGCGCCGACCCCTTTCCGCGATATGAGCTCGGCATCCCGCATCTCGATGTCTTGCTTCCCACCCGTGATGGCCTCGACCTTCTTCACGCCTACCAGCAGGGCGTCGGCTGGATCAACACGCCCGTCGATCGCACCACCCTCCTCGAGACGCTCGAAGAGGCTCAGCGCCACGGGCCCACCTCGATTCACCCGCATCGCCTCGCCTGCCTCCTCGCCGCTCTCGCTCTCGGCGATCTCTTTGGGCCTTGCTTTCCATCCTCGCTTCCATCCTCCTCCCGTCCATCCGCCCACTCGCCGTCCAAACGCGGCAAGATTTGGTTTGGCGTCGCCTCTGCATGCCTAGCAGGCTCGCGCCCCGACATCGAGCTCATGCACAGCCCCACCCCGGACGCCTGCTCGGCTCTCTATCTCATGTCCATCTATCTGCTCTGCTCCAACGACGACGAGCTCTTCCAGCGCTCACAAGGTCTCACCGGCCTTGCGCTCATCCTGGCGAAGGCCGCTCTCGTGCCTTCGTGCCTCCCGTCCTCGCGTCCCATCGCATCGCGCCATACCACCGCTTCCGCCTCTCTGCACGCCAACCTGGTCACCCCCTGGCAGCCTGTGCTTTCTACCGCCGCACAGAGCGGCGACAACGACCGGCTTCAGTGCAATCGTCTTCTCAGCGATCTCATCTTCCATCTCCAATGCCAGGTCCTCACCCTCGCCCTCCCTTGCACTTCAAAGAGCGCTGGCAACGTCGGGTCGATCCCCTCGCTCGCCAACTTCCCCGACGTCCCCACGATTCAGGCCATCTGGACCGCCTTTGGCACTCCGCTCTACGCCAGCATCGACGCCTTCGGCAGTCGCTTCAGCCCCAACATCTTTCACAACTGGAAGCTGGGCCTGGCCGACCTTATGCACCAGGTTTCGTGCCTCACCAATCCGAGCACTGCAGCAAAGCCCTTAGCGCCCTTGTCATCCTCCGCTGCCGGCCTCCAAGCCGCAGACAAGGACGCAGGTGTGCGCTCGGTCAAGCCGAGTCTGCCCGATCATTCGCAGATCATCAAGCTCGACGAGCGCATCCGACGCTATCACGCCAGCCTGCCCGACTTTCTTCTCCTCCACCGGCCCTTGCCCGTCGAGATGGCCGGAAAGGTCGACGAGGACGAGCTCGCGCAGATCATTTGCCAGCGTCACATGGCTTGCTCCATGGTCCACCGCATGCTTATGGCGCTCCATCGTCCGTGGTTCCTCTCGGCGCTTGCTGCAAAGTCTCGCCCTCCGCACACCAAGGCCGCTGCGAAGCATGGGCAGGCTGACATCGCACGAGGATCCGAAACGGCACAATCCAACAAAGGCGACCCCACTCCGCCTGCGCAGCAGCCTTCCGCGTCAGACATGTACTCCTTGTCAGCCGTGCTCCGTTCGGCCACATGGCAGACCGAGACGTTCGCGAGCGCGGCATCGTGCGCGCCTCCGCAGGCTCTGGCGTGGTGGCAGTTTACCAACAACGCGCTTGCGGCGTCGGTCGTGCAGGCGACGGCTCTGCTTCGACTGTGCGGCTCCGGCGCGCCTGGTGCCGGCTCCTCCGGGTCAGCCAAGGTAGCCGGCACTGCGGCGAGCGAGCCCTGTACCGCCACATCCCAATTCCACCGCCAAGTGCGCACCGACCTCGACAAGAACGTCTGCTCGTTCCAGAACGTCGCCAAGCGCTGCAAGCTCGCAGCGCGCGCCTTGCCCTTCCTCCAGCGCGTATGCGCCGCCATCGACACGGGCCTCTGCAAGTCCAAGACGCAGCAGATGCCCGACACCGACGCGTTGCAATCCAGCCTGGATGAGTCCGAGAGACCCTTGGACCACAGCGAGCTGGATGCATGCGGCCTGCGCACCCACCCTCCACAGCATACGTCCCCATCTCAACATAGACTCGACACGGACAACAGCATCAGCATCAGCACACGCATTCACTCCGAGACCGCTTCCGACATCAGTAACAGCATTAGCAACAGCATTAGCAACAGCAACAGCAACAGCAACAGCAACAGCAACAGCAGCAGCAACAGCAACAGCAAGGGCCACCTGGCAAGCAACGGTAAATCAACCAACGACAAAACAAATGCAGGTATCAACAGGACGACCAGCGACATGGACACGAGCAAGGCTGCGACCGACGGCAGTTGCTCGCACAATAGCAGTGACGAGGAGGCTGCGCATCGTCCGCGGGCTGGGGCCGAGGCTGCATGTGATCCGACGCCCGAGCAATGGGGCAGTCGACCGGCCGTGGCCGTGCGCCGTGCATCGAGTGCCAACTCACGCGCAGGCTCGGATCTCGAGGCGATGTTTGGTCCGATCGCCCAGGGTCTCGAGCCTCCCGAGGCGACGAGTGCTCCGCGCACGAGTGCCGGACTGGCCAAGCCGTTTTACCGCCAGAACTGGGACTCGCTGCCGGTGCCGCGCGAAGCGGATGGGGGCAGCTCGCAGGCGCCGCACAGCGACGCGGGCTCGTCGTCCAGCAGCACCATGCCCGTCACGCCGGCGGCCACGCTGGGTTCGCGCTCGCCGCGCATGGGCTCGCGTGTAGAGATTCCTGACGTCACTCCGTCAGCGGCTGGCAGTGGCAACGAAGGAAAGCCACCGACTGCGGCGGCGACAACGACATCGAGGAAGAAGGCGAGCTTCGAGTCGGATCTGGTGCTGCAGTGCATCCGATTCTGGCAGCCGGATCTGCTCGCCATGCCGTCGCGCGCCTTAGCCGCTCCGAGGGACACTTGAGCTCAGTAGGCACCTGCGGGAAAACATGCATTTTGGTTTTCAAAGCTCGTGCGTGTGCGTGCCAAGGCTGGATACAGGGGTCAGGGAATCAGTCGAGGGCGGGGGCGTCTTGGCCTGCCTTCCAGGAGAACTTGGAGGCGTAGTGGTCGGTGCGGAAGTGTTTCTGGCCGATGCCGTAGAGTTTTTCGCGCGAGGTGAGGCCGACGTGTTCGTTGAGACCGAATCCGTGTTTGGGGCCGTCTGTGACGCTGTCTGGCTGAGGCTGTGTAGCTTGTGGGTAGTCGTTCCAGACGACTCCTCTCTGCTTGAGCACGGGGACGACGAGTTGCACAAAGTCCTCGAATGTGCCGGGGGCGAGGGTGTAGGCGAGGTTGAAGCCGTCGACACCTGCGTCGTCGACCCACTGCTGGAGCTGGTCTGCGATCGACTCTGGACCTCCCACGATGGTGGGACCCAAACCGCCGAGCTTGATCTTTTGCGCCACGGCGGCCTTGTTCCACTTGGGGACGGTGGGGTCTTGGGTGGCAAAGTTCTCGACGGCGGACTTGATGGCGTTGCTCTCGGTAGCACGCAGCTCTTCGTCGTCGCTGTACGTCGAGAGGTCGATCCCCGTCCATCCACCAAACAGGGCCAGGGCGCCTTCATCGGATCCGTGGCGGAGGTGCTCGTCGTACTTCTGCTGGGCTTCTTCGTCGGTTCGACCGACAATCGGACAGAGTAGGGCGAGGACTTTGAGCGAGGCAGGGTCGCGACCAGCAGCGGCGGCACCGGATCGAGCGGCTTCGACGCGCTTCTTGGCTACTTCCGGTTTGTGCGCCGCAATGAAGATCACCTCGGCATGCTTGGCTGCAAATGCCATTCCGGGCCCCGACGAGCCGGCTTGGTAGATCACGGGCGATCGCTGAGGCGACGGCTCGCAGATATGCGGGCCAGGGACCGATTCGAAGTACTTGCCACGGTGGTTGATCTGCCTCACGCGCTCGGGCCTCGTATAGACGGCCTTGGCTGCATCGTGAACAACAGCGTCGTCGGCCCAACTGCTCTCCCACAGCTTGTACACCACATCCATGTACTCGTCCGCCACCTCGTAGCGCTTCGCATGCAGCTCCTGATTCTTGGCACCGAACTGTCTAGCCGCCGAATCCAGATAGCCCGTGACGACGTTCCACCCCACGCGACCGTTGGTCAGATGGTCGAGCGTCGAGAATCGACGTGCGAGCTCGTAGGGGTGCACGTACGACGTGGTGGCCGTGATGCCGAACGACAGATTGGTGGTGGCAGCCGCCATGGCCGAGATGAGCAGCAGCGGGTCAATCACGGGAAACTGAGCACCCGAGGCGAGAGCCGCATCGAGGTTACCGGCATAGACGTCGTAGCCACCCAGCACGTCGGCGAGGAAGAGCCCGTCAAAGTGGCCCGACTCGAGCAGCTTGGCATGGTCCACCCAGTAGGAAAGCTTGTTGTGGTAGCGACTGCGGTCGGCTGCATGCGTCCAGAGACCAGGGGATTGGTGGCCCGAACAGCCCATCATAAAGGCGTACAGGATCATGCGCTTCTTGTCCTCGCCCGCACTGGTGCCCAGGCTGAGCTGGGCCAGGCTTGCTTCGTTCGTGGCGGTAGGCGGCGTCATTGTTGCTGCGGTCGGACGAGTTGGTGGTGCATGGTCAACGATAAAGAGGTGTTGAGCACTTATAGTGCTGCAGGAGCCTGTATCTTTGAGGAATGCTCCACACGGCACTAGCCCAAGTCAGAAGATCTGGATCTCGCCGGATCTCGTGAGTGTTGACTGGGCCTGTGCGCGCAACACAATGTACCGCTCCTCAAGTCATGGATGGCGCCATCGATACGTGAGTGTAGCATGGTATAGCGTGTTCGAGGCGACTATCACAAGCGATGAGCGAAGACTGACCTTGGGGCGGCGGGGCGGCGGGGAAAGCGGCCAAGCGAGTGGCACTAAGGCGGAGGGATGGCGTGCTATCGCGATGTTGGACAGCTGCCTCTGTCGCACGCCATCGCGCCGAATGCTCGCAACACCTCTTCGCGCTCTAACATTCTGTCCCAAAATTATCGATCGGGATGACCTTCTCCCGATGCGATTGCCTCTCCACATGCGCCTCGTTCACGCGCCTCTTTGCGGGGTTCAACACCCCTTCTTGGTCGGCGCTTGGCACACGACCACCACGCATAGACACCATAGACTCTCTCAAGCCTCGGTAATGTTCGCATAGACGTCTCTCGCACTCGAACTCTAGAATACTTGGGTATGGCGTCCGAGGCGGTGCAGGCCGGCGCCTCTTCGCCGTCGGCGCTGGTGGATTTCATCGCCGGTACCGCCGCTGGCATCGCCTCGCTGCTCGCAGGCCACCCTTTCGACACGGTCAAGACACGACTACAGGCCCAACCTGCCCCAACAACGCCTACACCAAGCTCGGCTCTCGAATCTTTGCGGCCATCGCTTGCGTCGTCGCAATTCGGCGGCTCGTATAGGGCGATCCCCACTTCGGGCGTGCTGAGCTATGCGCATGTCCAGTCGTCGGCCGTTGCAAGCGAGGCCGTGTCTGTGCCGATATACCGGTCTGCCACCGATGCGTTCCGGATCATCATCAAGGAGGAGCGTGTCGCTGGGCTGTACAAGGGTGTTACGAGTCCGATGCTCGGGGTGGCCGTGATGAACGCGTCGATATTCGGGCTGTACTCTGTGTCGCTGCGGTACCAGCAGCAGCACGGGTATCTGGAGGGCTATCCGATCACGCAAGTCTTCATCGCCGGAATGCTGAGTGGGCTCGGGAGCTCGCTGATCACATCGCCGATCGATCTGGTCAAGATCCGCGAGCAGATGAACACCCATGCGCGGTTGAGCACCTGGCAAGTGTTGCGCGACGTTTTGCGAAACGAGGGACTGTTTCGCGGAGTGTATCGCGGCTGGTGCACTACGGCAGTGCGCGATCTGGGGTACGGACCGTACTTTGCGTCGTACGAGATGCTGAATAGCCACATCAGGGCACATACGGGCCGGCCGCTGTCGAATGCGGATATGGCCGTCAGTGGCGCTGTTGCCGGCGTGGTCGCGTGGGTAAGCACCTTCTGGGCCGACGTGATCAAGACCAAAATCCAGGCTACCTCGGCGAGCGACCACCGCGGCGGAAGTTTGTTCTGGACAACGGCAAGGCAGACGTATGCGCAGGGCGGATGGAGAGCCTTCTTTGTCGGTGTGGGCCCTACCATCCTTCGTGCGCTGCCGGTGAATGCGGTACTCTTCGTCACGTACGAAACGACCAAGCAGATGCTCATCTCACACGGCTTCTGACAACTGTATTTGTAGACCCACTGTCATTGCCATCAGCGTTGCGGCAAGGTTAGTGGTTGAGGTGGTGCGAGAGACGGTTGATGTGGGTGGTGAGACGGTGCGCTTCGGCTTGAAGGCCGGAGCCCTTGTCGAGCGTGATGGCCTCGGTGACGCCGGGGAAGGTGGTGGCGCCGTAGCCGAGCCATCGGCCCGGAGCGGTGCCGAGGTGCTTGTACCAGGCTCGGCCCTTGAGACCTTCGTTGGAGATGAAGCCCTGCTCAAAGGTCTGGAGCTTCTTGTTGATGCGCCTGATCTGCGCAAGCACCTTGCGGATCTCCTTATCGTGTCCACCCTGCTTGTGGTGCGTCTTCTTGGCGAGATGCACGAGCTTCTTGCGCAGAACGGCCTTCTTCTTCTCGAACCCTCGGGCTGCTACGCCGAGCGAGTGGATCGCACTACGCAGCTCACCGAGCCAGGCGGGGTGGCGCGCGCCGAGGGGGATGCCGAGCTCCTTGGCGGCGAGCTTCTCGATGTTGGCGAGGTACTTGGTGAGTTCGTGTGCGTAGTCGGCGACATTGATGGGTGCAAAGAGCTGCGTGGACGTCTCGATTGCCATGAGGCCGACGATCTTGGCCGCAGCTTCGTGGCGGCGGAATCCCCGGTCGCCAAAGTTGTCCATCCAGAAGAAGCTGTCGTAGTTGGAATGGTACATGTAGACTGGGTCTTTGGCGGCGCGTTTGTAGCCCAGGTCGGTGGAAGCCACACCGAGGTGCTGGAGGAAGACGGTGTAGTCCGACCCTGAACCGAGTGGGTTGAATGCATTGAGCTTGATCTTTCCCGAGGTGTTGGGATCGTCGACCTTGGCAGCAGCGTCCTGGACGAATCGCGAGAGCGAGGGCGACGAGCTCGACTGGATGACGGAGCCCGAGACGGAGACGTCTACGTTGTGGTAGGCGACGACGTGGTCCTGGATCCAGCGTGCATAGTCTTCGCCGAACTCGGTGGATCCTACGAGGCCGTACTCTTCGGCGTCCCAGGAGGCGAAGACGATGGTGCGCATGGGCTTCCAGCCGGAGCGGTAGAGCTGACCGAGCCCCTTGATCGCTTCGTGGAAGGCGGCGGTGCCCGAGTTGGGGTCGGCCGCACCGAACGTCCACGCATCGCGGTGGTTGCCCAGCACGACGACCTCGTCGGTGATGTGGCCGGGAAGCACGGCGTACGTGTTCCAGATATCGCGCACCTGGAGGTCGACAAAGTTCTCGAGGTGCACAATGTCGTCGGAAGGACCGGTCCAGTACTCGACGCCGTCGATGGCGCCGGCGAGGCGGTCGTTGACGTCGCTCGCGCGGATGCCCTTGCCTTTCATCGCCGCGAGCAGCACATTGGCCTCGGTGTACGAGAGCGGAAGCGAGGGGATCTTGGGCAGCGAATCGGCGTCTTCCGGTTCGAGGCGCGTTGCATTGCGATACGACGGCTTGCCCGGCGTCGAGGGATCACCCGGGTAGAACGAGAGGCCTTGCACCGAGCCGCGCTGGATGGCCGAGGGATTGCGAGCCGGACCGTCCGGGTACGCTTTGTAGCCGTTAGCCTCGGTGACCTCGCCATCCTCGATGGTGTCGGTATAGATGATGACGCCGACTGCCCCTGCTTCCTGTGCCGCACGCACCTTGAGCCCGCGGAAGTTGGATCCATAGTCGACGAGCACGATCTTGCCCTTGACGTCGATGCCGCGCGCAGCGAGGTCGGCAAAGTCCTGCTTCCTGCCCATGCCGGCGAAGACGACCTGGCCGGAAACGCTACCGGATGCCGAGTAGCCGTGGAAGAAGGGCACGCCGCGCGAGCTGGTGGGGTCCTTTTCCAGCACGTCCTCCTGCAGCTTGGCGGACCAGTAGGGCGCGTCGAGCGCGTCGGGCTTGGCGAGCGTGAGCGACGAGTTGATGGGGTAGTTGAGCCAGACGGCATACGTATCCGTCCAGGCCCTCACGCCGTTCTTGTCGCCTTCGCCGCGCAGGTAAGCCTGGCTCTGGGGAGAGCCGGCATCGAAGACGAGTTGCTTGAGGTCGTCAGTGAGCGGTGCGCCGACGAGGTTGCCCCACTCTTCGAGGATCTGGAGCGCCGAATTGTAGTCGCCGTGGGAGCCGGCGTAGTGGGTGACGTTGGTGTAGCGCTTGAGTGCATCGCGCGCGCTGTCGGCACTGGGGACGGCGAGGAAGTCGTGCTCGAGCTTGTCGAACCACTGCCTCCAGCGCTGCTCGGGATCGGGCTTGTGCAGCGAGTCGGCGGCAGTGTTGGGGCTGAAAAAGCCGGCACTGCGCAGATGCTCGGTATAGCCTCGAACCGAGCTTACGGCATGCGGGCACGGCTGCGTGAGACGGTTGAGCGCCTCGGAGACAAACTCGGACGTCGACTTGAATACCAAGAACGGCACGGCAAACAGGAGGGCCAAGGCAACAAGGGCGCGGAGTCCACGCAGAGAGTAGGTCTTGCCGGTGGGAGGCACGTGGAGGTTGAGTTGGATGACGCCGGGTGCCTTGGAGTCCGAGAGCGTCGCCTTCTCGTCGGCGTAGTCGTTGTCGAGCATGAGTGGCGTCGAGGCGAGTGCCTCCGTGTCGAGGGGCTGGAAAGGAGCCATGGCGACGTAGCACCCTTCAGAGGCCAGAAGGGAGGGACGAAGCAGAGAGATGGTGGCTTGGTCTCAAGGCTGTTGCGGGGCAGAGGTCGGGGGCCTCAAATAGTCTCAAGCTGAAGCTTGTGTGGCATGTTGCGTGCTTTGTGGGACACAAAAAGGCCGCCTAATTCGCCGGGATCGGCTTTGCACTGTGATCCTGCGCCAAGCACGGCAATGCTGCGTCTGGTTGCGGTGCGAAGTTGCTGGGGTGGATTGCCGTGCTGACGTCGCATTCGGGCAGCCGATCTTCGCTTTGGTTGTCGAAGCCGGACGGATGTGTTCCGACGATCCGAGCTTGAAAGGCAAACGAGGCCATGCGCCGGGCTGATCGATGTTAAACCCACCTCCCATCACCCGATCCATTCTGCCGATGTGGGAACGATTGGGTGCTGGGACCCTTTTGGTTTTTGCCTCCACCTGCCTCTCTTCTCCATCTGCACCAGAAGGAACCTTTGGCGGTAACCATCATCATCGACAACGACAAGCGCAGCCATGTCGAGTCTGGGCGCGCGCGCGTCCGCTTCCGCAAGCACCAGCAAACTCGCGCACATTCCCGGATGGAGCGTCATTACGCGCTACTCGCGCTCGCACCGCAAATCCACCTTCCTCATCGGCGTCTTTACGGGCCTCGTACTCGGGCTCGGCTCGATCACCTCGGTCTTTTTCCTCGCCGAGCGTCGCGAACGTCGACGTCGGCGCCGCAAACTACGATCGTACGGACTCGATGAAGAAGACGAGGAGGAGCGCCGGCGTCGCGAGCTGCGCGGTCGGGACCCCATCCAGATCCGCTCGGGCCAGGTGGTGCGTGGCGTCGAGGGTCTCATCGGCAATACGCCGCTCATGCGCATCAACAGTCTGTCCGACGCCACGGGGTGCGAGATTCTGGGAAAGGCAGAGTTCCTCAACCCCGCCGGGTCGCCCAAGGACCGCGTGGCGCTGCAGATCCTGCGCGATGCAGAGGACGAGGGGCTGCTCTACCCGCACACGGGCAGCTGCATCTTCGAGGGCACCGTGGGCAGCACCGGGATCTCGCTCGCAACGCTCGCGCGCGCAAAGGGATATCGATGCAGCATTGTCATTCCGGACGATGTGGCGAGGGAAAAGGTGGAGCTGCTCACCAAGTTGGGAGCGGAGATCCAGTCGGTGCGGCCGAGGGGCATTGTGGATCCGCGCCACTTTGTCAACGAGGCGCGCGCGCGCGCCGAAGCGTTTGGCGACGTTGAACTCATCGGACCACACCCCACGGGCTTCGGCTCGTCGGGACAGGCAGGCTCTGACGGGGGGCAGGGTGAAGAGTACGTGCACCGTGACGACCTTGTAGTTTCGTCTCGGCGTCCTGCGGGGGATGTGGATGCAGATGCGCCCGAGATGGTGTCGGAAAACCAGCCGCGCGGATTCTTTGCAGACCAGTTCGAGAACCCGTCCAACTTTTGGGCGCACTACAACGGCACGGGCCCCGAGATCTGGCGGCAGACAGGGGGGCTCATTGATGCCTTTGTCGCCGGCGCGGGCACGGGCGGGACGCTCTCGGGCTGCGCAGCGTATCTCAAGCGCGTCTCGTGCGATCCAGACGAGTCGATGCGTGGAGGCGGCTTCATCACACGCCCAGGCTCGGCTCAGGAAGTCCAAGTGGTGCTCGCAGACCCGCAGGGGAGTGGGCTGTACAACAAGGTCAAGTACGGCGTCATGTACAGTCCGACCGAAGCCGAGGGCAAGCGCAGAAGGCATCAGGTCGATTCCGTCGTAGAGGGCATTGGCATCAACCGTGTTACGCGCAACCTCCAGATGGGCCTCCAGTGCATTGACGACGCAGAGCGCGTTTCCGACGACGAGGCGGCACGAATGGGCAGATACCTCATCCTGAAGTAAGTTCCTCCCGTCCTTATCCTGGTGAGAGTACGAGCTGACCTTGATTTTGGGGGTTTGGGTAGTGACGGGCTGTTTTTGGGTTCATCGTCGGCAGTCAACTGCGTCGCGGCGGTGCGCACGGCGCTCAAGCTCAAGCGCGAGCGCGGTGGCGATCCGTCTCCGGTGGTGGTGACGATTCTGTGCGACTCGGGCGCGCGCCATGTGTCCAAGTTTCACGACGATGATGCGCTCGTGCGTCTGGGTGTCACCGATGCCGGCAGTGCCGACATCTCGGACATTCTCGATTCCTAATGCTCTGGCAACTCGACGTTGTACTCTCTGCATGCGTGTTGAGCGATCGACACGAGTTCTTTCCACTGCCAATCCTTTGCATCCACTACGTCTCGCTGTGCCGCACAGGCGGTCGCTGTGCCCTTGGATGTGATGCGCTCGACGTCGTCGACGAACTTCTTGGCTCCGCGTCGTCCGTCGGTGTAGAGTGTGGCGAGAAGTTGGGTCGAGATGCGGTCGAGCCACCACTTGGAGTTCCAGAAGTCGCCCTCGCGCCGATGCAGCACCGCATGCACGAGGTTCGACAGCGGGATGCCTTCGTCTGTTTGTACTAGGTTGTGGGCGGCATCCAGGTCGTCGTTGAGCAGGTGGAGCGCTCCGCGTACGGGGATGGCAAGCGTGCTGCCCTCGATGGCGGTTTTCGCTTCCGTAGAGTACGGCCGTTGAGGGCGCAATGGTGGAAGTGCACCGGCCGCGTCGCGCTGGAATAGAGCCGATACTTCTGCGGGTAGTCGATGTGTAGATGCCATTGCTGTGTGGTGGGATGGTGGGAGCAAAGATGGCCGTGCGCCAGAGCGAGAGAAGCCTCCACCTTAAGGTCCTTTTTGGCCCGATTTCGTTCCCCGATGTACCGATGCACCGATGGCATACCGAGCCGCCCATCCGACCATGCTCCGTTGGAGATGGAGGGCGCCTCGCTTCGGTGCATGGAATGGCCCGCCGACACTCTTTCCGCCGGGACATCAGGCACAGAGGGCTTTAGCTGCAGTGAGGGCGCGTCATCGGGACGCTCGGGAATCTGCTCCTGACCAGTGCACCGTCGAGGCTCGTTGGCGAGGCTGCCAGCCCGGGGCTGTGTGACGCCATGTTCATGCCTCGCTCCCGTGGTCGTCGGTGCGACCAAAGGGGTAGGCACCCGGCGGGCCACTTTGCCTGCGGCTCGAATCCCCCCTTCGATCGCATGAATGCAGTCTTTGGCGCTAGTGCGAGGGCGGTGCCGCCATCCCCGCGGAATTCGACACTCAAATGTAGCGCGCTCCCTGACAGCCTTAGATTGCCCTCGCTCCTCCCGGCCTTTGGCACACCCCACCATCTCTCTCCTCCTAACCTTGCGACTTTTTTTTCACCATGACTTTCATCGATACCGTCGTGCCTGCAGCGCAGTGGGCATCGCAGGTGCTTTCCATCGTCTCGCTGATTCCTGTGCTGGTGGCGGTGGGCGCGCGACCGCGGAATGCGGTCTACGTGTCGGCCGAGTCCCTCACACTGCTCGCCTTGTCGTCGCTTGTCTGGTCCTTCAGCCTCGGCCCAGCCCAGCTTTACCTTGCTCTGGTAGTGGCTACACTTGTGCTCGTGTATCGACACCAGCGTTCCATCTTTATTCCTCTGCCATTGCCGTCGAAGGGCGCAACCGAGGAGGACGAGGTGGAAAAGGCGCTGACAGAGACACCGTTGCGTCGCTTCCCGTACGACGCCAAATTGGTGGTGTCCAACACAGTCGCAGCGGTGGTACTGTCGTTTTTTAGCTCCAACGAGTCGCTAGCTACACATGCCATCCATGTTGTCGCGGGTGAACCTGTCGGCTCAACCCTCGCACAAGCAGTCGAGTTCCAGCTCACCTGGTTGGCCGCCATGCTCGCATTGCACGCAACAATGATGCAGGCATTCCGCGTCCTCATGCTCTACGGATTCCACCCCTCCAAAACTCCCCACCAAGACCCCCTGCACTTCACCCACACCCACAACGAGAAGCAGAGCAAGCCCAAGCTGCCCGCATTCGTCACAGCCTGGATCGCACTCTCCATCGCTCGAGCAGCTGCTTCCGCTATTGTGCTCACAAGCAGCTTGATCGACGACCAACAGCACATCTCGAGCCACGTCGGCGTGTTTGCGTTGACCGCCATGCAGCCTTTCATGTGGGCAGGCGTCGTTGTAGCCATCAAGATCCGAAACGCCCGAACCCGAAACCAAACCCTCAGCCCGTCCTTAAGTCCATAAGATAATAGCTCCATTGTACATACTTGCCGAATCGATTCAGTGCTTTGCGGCTACAGTTGCGCACCGTGGAAAGAGCTGTGAGCCTGCGTCTGAACTGCGTTGCGGATTCGCTGCACCGCGTCTGCCCACGCATCGCGTGCGAGTCGCCTGCCCCTGTCCTCCTCTCGACGGATCGTCTCGTCGATCAAGCGCACAATGGCGTCGGTCTTGTGTGCCTCCTCGACCCTCGTTTGTGCGGCCACACGCAGCGTGTCTGCAAGGTACGTCGCGATCCTGTCCACGTCGCCCTTTCGGGGTCCCTTGGACGCAAACGCCCCGACCCATTGTCGGATCAGCTGCTCTACATCCTCGTACCGGGTCAGTCCCCGGATCGACGGCGTCTCCACCGCGCTCGGGACTGCACTATCAAGAATCCTCGCTTCCGCACGGGGGATACGCCATCGCGGACGCGCCACCAAGTACGCAGGCGGTGCAGTAGGATCGCTGTGCGCCGCACGCAGCGTGTCGCGTCGGCGCTGCTCGGCATGCGTCAGCTCCTCGAAAGTGCCCGTCTTGCCCGCCTTGAATCGTGCCTGTTCCGACTTTCGCTGTTCCGAGTGGTGGCGGAACGTCTCTCGCTGCAGCTCCACCGGCAGCGCACGAAAGACCTCGGCGTCGATCCCCAGCCCCTGTAGCGTCTCGGTCGCGATCTTGCTCGGGTCCATCGCAAGCACCTCTTCCCTATCCACCGCGCGCTGGTCCTTGGGCGCATACTGCCCCGCCGTATGCAGCAGCCGATTCACAACCCGCTTCTTCGTGGGCGACTCGGACGCCGATCGGAACAGCGCCTGCTTGGGATCCTGCTTCAGAAAGCGCGTGAGCGTGGCGGTGGTCGCGTTCTTTCGGCGTGTCGGCGTGCTCTCGACGGACGACGAGCCTGCAGAGTCGTCAGGGACAAGCCCGACTTGACGCTCAATCTCTTTGCGCACCGAGGCCGGCAGCTCGGCGAGAACGGCCGGGTCGATCTGTGAGGCAGACGGCAGCATGAGCGCTTCCGCCATCGCAGCCGACGGCGCCGCTTTGGCTTTTTGAGGTGTAGTCGGCGTCGACCGCGGCAAGATTCGCGCCCGCGTCTGTGAGCCAGGCTCGGAAATCGAATCTTCTCCGAACTTGGCCTGGATCTGCCGCCGGTACGGAGTGGGCAAGGCGTCAAAGACGTCGGAATCGATCTGAGATCGTGACGGCAGCATGAGCTGCGTCGACAGAGGCAGAGCTGCAGGAGTGCGCTCGACACTCCCCTGGGGTGCCGATGCTGCGGTGGGTGGCCGCGGTGTGCCCGCGGTCGGGCCTTTCTCCAGGAACTCGGGCAGCTCGAGACCAGGCTCGTCGATCTGCCCACACGCTTCTCCATCTGCGTCGTCGTCTTGGTCCGTTTCGCTGGCCTTGTGCAGATTCAAGACGGTCTCTCTGCCGACCACTGGCTGCTTCGGCGCTGCCTTCGAAGACGAGCTGGCATTATTGAAGTTGAGCACGGCCTGTCCGCCTTTAGGCTTGGCAGGCGAAAGTGCGTTCCCCTCCGCAGGCTCGAGCTTATTCAAGCTGATCGCGATGCCGCGCAGCTCCTTGGGGTCCGCCCTCAAATCGCGGATCAAAGGCCAGGCCGCAGCGCGGATGCGCTCTTCGTCGTCGATCGCCACTCCACCAGGCCCGCTGACCTGGACGCTCCTATGGTGCGTGTCGCACACGCCGTGGCCGAGAAACTTTGGTGCTTCTACGGGCGCATCTTTGGCGCGCACCATGACCTGCACCGAGACCTGCCTTCCCTTCAACTTGACTGCACGCGTGCGCTGGGCGACCTCCTGGCACATGCCCGTGACAAAGGTCTCGGCCTCTTGCTCGGTGAGGAAGCGGATGCCGTAGTTGACGTGCGAGCCGACCGATTGACGCAGCTTGTTGCCCTCGAGTCGATCGGCGTCGATGCCGTGCATCTTGTCCCAGATCATCTTGCCCTTCTTGGGCCCGAATTCCGTGGTGAGCTTGCGCTCGGTGGTCTTTGCCAGGATCTGACCGACGTTGATGGTCTCAAACATCTCGCGCACTCTCTCGCGCAGGCTCCAGCCGATGCCGTGTAGGTCGTCGACGTCGAGCGCGTCGAGGAACGGCTGCTTCGAGTCGTCGGTGAGATGGAACGAGCCGCCAGGTTTGGCTCGGCGGGTGGCCAGACGCGCCAAAAGGATGTTGGATCCGATCCCGATGCTTGCTTCGCAGCCGCAGCGATCGCGGATCTCGTCGCGGAATGCCTCGGCGAGCTGCTTCTCGGCGCTCCATGCGTCGCCTTGCGAGCCGAGGTGATCGCGGTAGCGGTCGTACAGTGAGCCTGGTGCCGCGTCGCCATCGCGCATGCCTTGTAAGAGCAAGCTCACGTCCACGAGTGCCTCGTCCACCGAGACTGCCTGAAGCGCGTCCGAGTGCTCGAGCAGAAACGCATAAAACGAGAGGCTGATGTTGTTGTACGCCTCAAAGTCGTACGGAATCGTCTCGACGTGCGGACAGAGTCGCTTGGCCTGGCCGAGGCTCATACCGTTGCGGATGCCGAACTCGCGCGCCTTGTAGCTGCAGGAAGCGATCTCGGATGTGCTGGATGACTGGTTGTCCGCCGGCCTGTTCTCGTCGCCTGGCTTCTGAGCCGGCATCCCGACGCCTGTGCCGTGGCAGACGACGACCGGCTTGTCGTGCAGATCAGGGCGCTTCCTGAGGCCGACGGCTACGAAGAAGCTGTCAAAGTCAATGTGCATGATGACGCGCTGCACGCCTTTGGGAAGGTCTGCACTTGCGAGCGGCCGGCCGGCCTCGCGGAGGGCTGAACTGACCATGTCCTGCAAGCTCGTCTTCCAGGTGCTGAGGTGGTGCAGACGTGACTTGGCAAAGTAGCCGGCGAGGAAGCCTTCGCTGGTGGCCGTGTTGCGTTCGCGCCAGCTGGGACTGGCGAGCAGACGTGCGGCATGCGTGTTGGAAGGGCGTGAGGCGTAGTGGCTCTTGGTGACGGCAAGCGCTGCTTTCTTGGAGGCCGGGTCGGTGCCCACACTGGCGGGTATTGTGTCGTCTTTGGGCTTGGTCGGAGTGACAGGCTCGGGCCTGGCAGGCTGTGCTTTCTCTTCGGGCAGTGGGACCACGGGCTCGATGAGGTGATTCTCACCAAAGCGAACGCCTTTGCCTTTGCTGGCCGTACTTGCGTCAGCTGACTCTGTCACATCAGCGACGACGTCGTTTTGCTGCGGTCTTGAGAGAGCTATCGATGGCTGGTTGTCTGTGCGCGTGAACCGATCAAGGAGCGTCGTCTGGTTGGTAGGCTTGCCCCAGGGCGTATCCTGATCTTCGTCTCCGATGCGAGGCAGCGGCTTTGGCAGCTTGGCAGTGCGGTCCAGGTTCCTCCAGTCCGACACACGCGCATTTCCTCCATGCTGCTGTTGCGCTGATTTTGCGACCATGCTGTGCGAAGTGTGGCTGTTGGAGCCGGTGATCGCGTCGCAGCGCCACTTGCGCCAATCCGCCTTTCTGCCGAGCTCGATACTTTCGAGGATCCAGCCGGGCAGCACCACCTTGTAGTCCTTGAACTCGATGCGCTTCTTCGGCGTAAGATTGGAGGCGACAATGTGTGTGACGGGCGACTTTTGATCGAGGTATGCCATTAGGTCGCCGCCGTGCAGGACGAGGAGGCGGCGCAGTTCGCTGTAAGGAGGATGCGTCTGGCCGTTGATGTAGATGCAGCAGCCTTTGAGGGCGTTGGAGCGTTGTCCACCTTCAGCTTCGATCTTGGCTGCCAAGGAGCTCTGCTTTGCTGTGCTTTCGCTTGCGTTGGCTTGTACGCGGAGAAGAGCTTCTTCCTCTTGGAGGAGTGCGGCTTCCTGAACCTTGAGCTTGGCACGCTTGTGCTTCATGTAGGAGCGGAAGTCTCCATACTCGATGGGGTTGTAGATTTCGGAGCCTAGCTCGAGCTTGTGAGTCTGAGGGTCTGCGGCATCGACATGCTCGGTGTCGGTTGTGGAAGCGATGATGGGCATGCCATTCTCATCGACGCGGGTTTCGGCGAAGTCGCCTTGCGCCTCATCTTGAAGCGCAGGTGGCCGTACATCATCGCGATCGTCGTCGTCAGCCCACTGGACCTTGCGCTTGCGCGATGGGCCTGGCTCTGGATCCGTGGCGGATTGCTGTTTGATGCTTGGCCTGTGCATGGCGGGCCAAGGCAGCTGGTGGCGATCAGGCGAGTGAGCTGATTGGTGGCGCACTATGCAGCCCAGAGATAGGCGCGAGGCGGTCCATGGCGATGCGTCGTCGCTAGTGTAATGGCGTAAGGCGGAGGGTTGGGATGGTGGAGGAAAGAAGCGTAAGGGTCCGGGATGAGGAGCGGCTGAGTCGAATGAATGCATGCAAAGCGCACTTCACCTGCATATTCCGCCGAATCCTCCACCTTCGCACCAAAAAAACGTCCAAATTGTGAGATCGAAACTGTCCACTTTTTCGGCGAAAATTCGGCTGGATTTTGTACGCCCAACTGGTGAGACAGGTGGGACAGCGGCCGTGCCTGAAAGTGTGGTTGCACAAACACAACGCCGTGCCACCACCTCTTCACCACCCACCACAACCTCGACCCTCTATCTAGACCGTTTGAACCTTCGACACCGCAGCGATCTTGGCTGCGTCTCTCTACGATGGTGACGCTGTCGTACGAGCAGGATGAGGTGCAGCATCCCTCACACGTGCGCCGTGCCTCCCGCCGACGGAACCAGCGCATCGTATCGACCGCCTCGATAGAACGCCAGGGCTCGGCGAGTCTGCTTTCGAGCATCAGCAACCTCACCAACACCATCATCGGCACGGGCATGCTCGCCACGCCGGGCGCATTCAAGTACACCGGCCTGCTGCTGGGCATGTTTCTCATCGTCTTCTGCGGCTGCACGGCGGCGTTGGGGCTGTACCTGCTGACACGCTGTGCGGCGCGCGTGGGTGGGCGGAAGAACAGCTTCTTCACGATTGCATCCAAGGCGCTGCCGGCGGGCGCGTGGTACTTTGACCTGGCGATTGCACTCAAGTGCTACGGCGTCAGCATCTCATACCTGATCATCTGTGGCCAGCTGATGCCCCAGGTCATCATCAGCTTTTTTAGGGCTTTCCACCGCGACGTCCACCAGATCCCTACGCTCTTTCTCGATCGCAGCTTCTGGATCCTGGCGCTCATCATCCTGCTTATCCCGCTGTGCTTCCTGCGTAGGCTCGACTCGCTGAGACATACGAGCTATCTTAGCCTGCTCGCGGTGTTCTACCTGGTGATCATCGTGCTGCACTACAGCTTCAGCTCGGACGCAAAGGCGTCATTACCGCCTAAAGGGGATGTAGAGGTGGTGGCAGTCTCGTGGCATACGATCAGCATCTTCCCCGTATTCGTATTTGCGTTTACGTGCGCACAGAACATGCTGCCCGTCTACAACGAGCTGTTCCACAACGTCGAGGGCCGCGTCAACACGGCCATTGGCTCGTCCATCGGTACTGGAGGCACGGTGTATCTGATTGTGGGCGTGCTTGGGTATCTCAGCTTCGGCAGCAATGTGGGCGACAACATCATCGCCATGTACCCGAGCACGAGCTTGTTCGTCTGCTTCGGTAGGGTGAGCATCATCATCCTCACCATCTTTAGCTATCCGCTACAGGTGCATCCGTGCCGAGCGAGTCTCGACAAGGTCTTTTCGCGCGCCAGTCGGCGACAGCAGATCCTGGATGCCGCCGCCTCGGCTGCACTACTCCCCGACGGCCAGGACGACGAGATCGAGCCGTATCGCGACGATGAAGATGCCGATACCCCGACGGCGAATGGATACGCTGCCCAGCAGGTGGTGGAGGATGATGATGAGATCCCACTGGGCAAGTGGTGCCTCATGACAGCGGGCATTTTAAGCACGACGTTCATCATCAGTCTGCTGGTGGATGACCTTTCGATCATCTTGGGATTCGTCGGGTCCGTGGGGAGCACGACCATCAGCTTTATCCTGCCCGGTGTGCTGTATGCCTCGCTGTTTGCGGATCAGCCACACTCGCGGCTGCGCAAGGCGGCCATCGCACTCGCCTCGTGGGGCGCCTTCGTCCTCGTCGTCGCACTCTCGGCAAACGTGCTCAAGCTCGTCCATGCCCAGGTCCCAAGCTCGCTCCTCGTCACCACCATCACCAAGACGTAGACAACCTTGATTTTATTGCATAGACTTTCTCACGCCATCGCAGATATGATGTGGCAGATTTTGTGTGGGGAAAGGGTTGAGGAGAGTTTTGGGAGAGGGTGTGGGGGGATTACTTGCCGGCGACGCACTTTGCAAAGAGGTCCGAGGGGACACGTGCGTCGAGGTAGGCGGCGAGCTTTTCGATGGGCGTCCAAGAGATGTAGCCGTTGCTGTCGGCGATGTCCTTGGCGGTGGTCTTGATGGGTTTGGCGTCCTTGAGCACACGCACGTACATGCCCTGGGTAGTCTTGTACACCTCGAACACGACTTCCGACCCCAGGGCTGGCCACTTGAATGCACCATCCAGCGCGAGCGTCTTGTACAGTCGGACCATGGTGCCATCGTGACCGATGTAGTACTTGAGCTTTCGGTGGTCCTTTCCGTCCTTAAGCATGTGCAAGTTACGGGCGAGTTCTTGGGTGAAGACGCCGAAGCCGTAGCGAACGTAGGCGTCGGCGGAGGGGGACGAGTTCCAGATCCAGTCGTACTCCCAGTGGCCCTCTGCATAGGCCTTGTTGGCGAGGTCCTGCGAGATCGTGGTGCCCGTAGAGGTGTTGGTGGGAAGCGGGTGGCCGTGGCACTGACGCGAGGCCATGGCATCAAAGTGGTGGTCGATCCAGCTGTTCCATCCGCTGCTGTTGGCGGTACCCACGACGGCGTTGAGCTGCTTGAACAGGTCAGCCTGACCCGCAAGATGGCTGGTCCAGGTGGGGTGAGCGTTGGCGGCGCTGCGCTGGGTGTCGGCGTAAGCGCACGAGTAGTTGGGCACGATATCGTCCAGGTTGCTGGGCATGGTGTGGACGGGGAACTTGTCACCTTGCACACCCATACCTGCAAGCAAGCCGCCTGCGACCTGGTAAGTGCGATCGCTGTTGCTCGTGCGGATGTACACATCCTCCTCATTCACACCGCGGCGAAGCAGCGGGTTCTTGCCCTGCGGACCGTAGACCGAGTAGAAGTCCTTGCCGTGCTGGATCGAGTCGCGCAGACCGTCGGCGCTGAGCATACCGGCATCGCACGTGCCGTTCCACAGCAGCGAGCGCAGAGGGTGCCACGTAGGGTTCTGGATCTTGCGGTACATAGCATGCCCCTGTGCACCAGCAGCATCACCCGCACCAACGCCGTACGAAACCTGCTGGTAGTTGGAGCAGTCCCAGCCCGATGTGGGGTTGAGTGCGTTCTCGTTCGGGTACAGGTTGTCGGGCGTGCGCTTGTGGTGGCGCTGCACAACGCTCACGTAGACGAGCGTGGCGTTCTTCGCCTCGGGCGCCGCGGTGTAGTGCTTGGCCTTGACGTGCGGCGCATTGCAGTAGTCTAAACCATCCACAAAACGTCAGCACCATTCCCTCTTTCTCGTCGCGAAGGTGGGTGGAGACTTACTGTACGTGTCCCAGGGGAGACCGGCGGGGGTGATGCTCGAGTTGAACACACCGGGAAAGACAGAGACGTTCGACATGGCTGGTTGAGCTGCGTGGAGAGCGAGTTGATGATTCATGCCTCCCATGCTTCCCAACCCGGGGCAGGGTTATATACGCCTCCTTATCGCCCCATGTGAGTATGGCATGAAAGCGAAAGGCGGGTGCTGATCCGAAGGAACAAAGGATGCAAGCGTGGACCAAGCGAGATGGATCACCAAGCGAGGTCGTGTTTCAGCGAGCCGCAGTGTGCACTACCGAACGTGCGCGCTCTGCAGCTGTAGTCGACGGCGTGGACGGCCGATTGACCGGTGTCGAAAAGCGAAAAGAAGGCGCGTCGCACCAAAAAGGTCGCCGATGCACGCGCTCAAAAACGTGCGCCTGCGGGGCGATCATTTCCGACGCTCCAACCGGCCATCTCGCCCATCCCAATCGGTCCGAGCTCGGCCAACTTGCCTGCACACCCTCACCAGGTTCTCTGCCCTCGCTACCCACGCTGCCCACGCCCCCCACGCTGCGCAAGCTGTCGACACTGTTCAAAAACGAGGGGTATCAAATTGCAATTCCAGCCTAGGAAGAGGTGGCCGGCGGTTGGGGCTGGTAGTGGTCGTCTTCAAACTCCTCATCGGTGAGGTGTTCCTGCAGATCGATGCCGGTATGTTTGCCACCGAGGCCACGGCGCTTTGCAAAGTGCCATCCGTCCGAATACGGCGGCACACGCACAGGCAGCAGCACCGTATACCATACACTTTACTCGCCAACCAAAAACGTGTCAGCTTCGAACTTCAACGTGCGAGCAGTGCAAGGGTTGAGGGCAATGGCGGAGTAGGAGCTTACTAGGGTGAATCCGGACCGATGTTGAAGAAGAGCTGCAGATTGCGTCTCCACCCAACGTCGTAGACGTTGATGAATTCGACGCCGCGCTTGCTCGCCAGCTCTCGATAGTGCGCTACCACCCCAACACCACAAGGTCAGTACCCAGCATCGAAAGTGAGGGGGGGAGATGAAGGGGACTTACTGTTGTCTTGGGATTCGACGCTAGTTTCACCGCGCGCGACGAGGATGAGTTGCCAGGCAGCCATGACGCCGAGTGCGGCGCCCATGACGAGCGCGAGGATGAAGAGGAGCATGACGAGCACGCGCGGGGTATACGGATACGGCCAGTTGGCGCTCCAGCTCAAACTAGCGCGCATGACGTTCCAGCCGGAGAAGAGCACCACGCCGCATCCCGTGCTGAGCCACGCCATAAACAGCACAAAGTAGCGCTCGTTGCCCAGCCCCACGCACTGGTTGAGCCAGGGACAGTGGTGGTCGAACTTGAGCGTGCACGTCTTGCACGTCCTACAGTGATGGGCGCGTTCGGGCTTGGGCGGCGCCACGAGCTTTTCGGCCGCCGCATCGCCGAGCCACGCGCGCACCTCGGCCTCGCCCTCGTCGACGTCTTCGGGCGCGAGCTTCGAGGTGAAGGTCTGCGAGGGCGGGGCGGTGCGCAGCTGCTTTTCGACCTTGCGCAGCTCGGGTGGGAGCACGGCGAGCGCGCGGACGAGCGGGATGGTGGTGCACTTGCGACACATGCCTGCGAGCGGAAACACGTCCTCGTCGTCCTGATCCACCTCTTCCCCATCCACATCCGTGTCGAGGTCCTGCTTGGCCAGTGGCGGGAAGAGCGGGTTGGACGAGGGCTCGACATCGGCCAGGGCGGCAGGCGAGGCGACCATGGGGTTGACGTCGTGGATGGAGAGCGGCAGGTCGCTGCGAGGGATGCGTGGGGTGCCTGCTTCGCTGCTGGACGAGGAGCGATGGGACGACGAGAGCGAGGCGCCCGCGACGGGCGGGAGACGTTCGGACGACGAGCGCGATGCGGTGACGGATGCGGACCTGGCCCTGTTGGTGTCGAGCCCGTCGAGCGCCTTGTTAAGCTTCCTCAGATCTGCCACGGACGACACTCTGACAGGCGCGGCCGGCTCTGGCGGGCCATGCGTAGCCAGCTCGGGATGCGTCAAGTCAAGATGCGCGAGCTTGGGACCCGATGCGCGCGCCGCCCTAGCGCGAAACCTTGCCCACCAGATGCTGCTTCCCGGCCCACTCCTCCGCTCAGGCACCGCATCGCCCAGCCCGTCGCACACAGTACCCGGAGAGACGGTACACGCCATGTAGTAGTGCCATCCGATGCTGTAGACGATGTAGAGGCACGCGATCAGCGAGACAAAGAAGCGGAGGGTGGCAAGCGGATCCTTGACGGCCGAGTCGAAGAACGTGGGCACGAGGCCGAGCGCAATGTGTGCGGGCGAATAGGTGTGTAGCAGATTGGCGAGTTCGGGTGGGAGCGGTGCGAGCTCGACGAACATTGTGCTGAAAAACGTCCATATGCCGCCGATGACGAGCGTGAGGCAGATGGCGATGAACACGGGCCCGGCGGCGCCCGTGAGCCAGTCGGCGGCGCGCTCTACGTTGCGGAAGGAGGCATGGACGAGTTGCGCAATTGCGCGCATGTTGGACGCTTAACGGGTGCTGCAGAAAGAGAGTGAGAGCGAGAAGAGCATGCACTTGAGACCGACGAAAAAGAGTAGCGACAGTGGTAGTGGTGGTGGTGGATGAGCACAGCGAGTGGATGTGGTTGCGGTGGTGGTGGTGGTGGTGGTGTTGGTGGATCCGGTGGTTCCGGGTATGATGTGGCGTGGGTATAATGAATGCGAAATGCAGTCGAGCGCCGAGGATGGGGTGATGAAGGTGGGGATGAAGGTGGTGATGTTGGACGACGTGCTGCGCGCTGGTTGGTGCGTCGACTTTCTTACTCTGTCCAGTCAGCAACACCCTTTGAATCCGGCATGGATAGCCGAGACTTTTCTCAGCATTTCCATGCCATTTCTCCTCGCCTTTTTTTTTTTGTGCTTCCCCCGCATGACTGCCGATCCGCACCTATGGAAAACCCCTTTGCAAATAAACCCCTAAAAAATTGAATGCGGCGAATTGATTACTGGCAGAGTCAGCAGAGACATCATTCGATTCTGCACAACCATGCCCGCTGCTGCCCCACACGACCAATCCACTGTTTCATCAGAATTGTCTACTTGACAGAAGGCGTGGGTCGCAGCCTTACGCTTTCACCCGCCAACACCCACGCCCTCGGTGGGATTCGCCTGCCCACATCGTTCGACGATACCCTGCGCCGACGTGGCGGGGCGTGCATGCCGTCGTCCTTTTCGTTGCGCACGAGCGGTGCACCATCCACCCCCACGAACGGGTCCTGCTCCTCCTCCATCTTGGCCTCCACCACCTTGGTCTCTGCCACCGAAGCCACCTTAGGCTTAGGTAGCTTGGTGTGCGTCTTGAGCTTGTGCGTCTTCATGTCGAGGCTGAGCACCTTGGCTGTGCGGTCGGCCTCGCCTGCGATCGCGCGCGCCTTTTGCAGCGATCCGTGCTTGCCGATCACGGGTGCTGTGCTGGAGGCCGATGCGGCTGCGACGGGTTGGTCGCCGAGCTTGGGGAAGAGCGCAGCCTCCTGCTCGCGGGCAGAGCGCGCCGCGGTCTTGTTGAGCTTCTTCTGTTCGCGTTGCAGCGCAATCTGCAGCAGCTGCTGCTCGAACAGCACCTCGCGCTCCGCAGTCAGCTTGGCAACCAGATCCAAGCGTGCCGCTTCCGACAGCAGCGGAGATGCGCTGCACGAAGGACAGCGCGATGCCGGACTCAGCGGGGACGGTAGGATCGCAGAACATAGCACCAGCCCGCACGCATAGCACAGCGGCGCATGCGGAGCTAGGGCGTGCTTGCGCCCTTGGCAGAAACACATCTTGCGCACCACCTCGTCAGAGCCAGCGTCTGGCAGCGAAGGTGGGTTCAGCGTGAGCTCCTCCACCACCGCGTCAATGGCTGCCATCGCCGCCGTCGGTGGAGGCGCGGGCTGCGACCTGTGCACCGCTGCCGACGTCTCCTCGTCCACCGCTGTTGTAGCGTGTATCGCATCGTTTGACGGTGTCGCATCGATCACAGCAGACGCCGAAGTGTCCGGTTGAGTTGCAGGACCTGGCTCGTGCGCTGCATCTGCCTTCGCTGTCGGCTGACCACGCTTCTTGCCCTTGCCCGTTCCTGCAAAGAAGTCCTCGTCGTCGTGCTTCTTGCGATACACGGTGCCCATACCTCCGAACGCTTCGGCGAGCTTCGCCATCTGCTCCTCCTCGTTCAGCCCTGCATCCTGCACCTTGCGTGGCTCGAGCGTCTGGCCCAGTCCAGCGCGCTCAGCGAGCGTCTTCTTGCCGCGCTTCCTCGGTGCACCGCTCGACGTCGGAGCAGCGGTTGCAGGTAGTGTGGGAGTGGACGATCCCGAAGATGCCTGTTGTGGGAAGCGAGATCGTGTAAAGTCGCGCACAAACGAGCGTGCGAGTGGCGAGTCGTCGCCCACCAGGCCTTGCAGGTGCGACCGCAGCGCCGGCTCCGTATCAAACGAGTCGAGGAACGGCAGGATCTGCGTGCGCACCGTCTCGTTGTCGAGTCCAAGCAGCGATACGAGCTGCTCTGTCCATATCGATGACCCTTTCGCCATGGTGATCAGTGTGGTTGGTCTCGATACTTGGAGGAAGAACGTCAAACCATGCCAGCTCGCAAGTGCGGCTCAGTCGGTGCTGCGCGAGAGTGGAGGCGAAGCAATCCAAATCGGGCGATTCTTGCGAGACGAATTTCGAATCGGCTGATTTCCAAGACAAAAGGTGGAGGAATCGAGAAGAAGCCACTTTGCCTCCCGACCGTCATCCTTCGATACCCACGGCACAAGATGGAGTCGTCTATAGACCAGGTAGCTGCCAAGTGCAGCAAGCAGCTCGGTACATACTTCCCTCCGCTCCCCCGTTTCTGCTCTACGCTCAACTGACGTCTGGATGACGCTACAGATACGTTCCAGCGGTGCATCCTTGCGAACCAGCAGAACCCCGGGGCATGCGAGCCGTACAAGGTCGAGCTCTCGCGTTGTGCTGCGAGTGCCGTACCGCTGCTCAACGAAATCAAGAATCGCTGTGTCGCGCAGGTCGTCGCGTACGATCGCTGCCTCGAGCAGTACACGGCCAAGGGCGACGCCGAGCTCGAGAAGAACTGCACCCCGCGCCTGCGCGATCTCTGGTTCTGTACCGAGAAGGTCAAGCGAGAAATCGAAGGTCAGAACCCCGAGGTTCAGAGCAGCAAAGAGGCCGCCAGGGCTGCTCTCTCCAAATAGGCCCCCAACGACAATATGCATGAGTACGACTTGGTATTATCGAGGCAACGTGCGGCGAATGTGGACAGGAGGAAAGAGCGCAGCAAGTGAGAAGGTATTGTCTATCGGCATGAAAGGAAACAGTTCAGGGGGCGATGGCAGGAGCAGCAGCGGGAATCCCGCTCGAGGTGGGAGCGTCTTTGGCCGTGTCGGTGCTGACGCCCAGCTGAGCCACGTCGGCGGTCGTTGATCCGGAATCGACCGAGCTGTGCAGCGCTGCCTCTTCACCCGGCTGCTCGGTCTGCGGCGCCTTGTGCGTTTTTGTGATCTGCTTGATCTTGCCCCACACATGGCCTTGCTTGGCGCGAGCTGTTTCATCGCGGTGCTGCTCGCCATTCGGCCGGACAATGCGTGCGAAACTAAGTCGCTTCCTGCGCACCTTGTTGTCCTCCTCGGCCTCTTCGGCAGCCACCATGCCTCCCGCAACTGGCGGCTGAACCAGCAGCGCTTCTGCTTCCTTCTGATGTTTTGACCAGAACCACGTTCCGTCCGAGACGATGCTGACGGTGAGCACGGCAGTCAAGCCGTCGACGGCAATGTCATGGTTGACGCCCTGCATCCCCGGCGGCATGAGTCCCGCTACAAACGTGACGTCCGTGTGGTACCTCGTCCCCATAAAGCTCGTATTCCCATCGCCCTTGCCCATTGCGAGAGACACGAGGATATCGCGACCGACATTGTATCCATCGGGGACGATCATGTGGTTCTTGGATGCGTCCATCTCCTTGCTGGTCGCTAGGAACCAAGCGCCGGATCCTTGTTGTTGCCAGGCTCGGATGTGGTTGCCACCAACAAGACTCTCGATGCACGTGCCAAAGACGTGGTCGAGCGGCGTGTATACTTGGCGGTAGAGGAATTCTTGATCGCGCCAGCCGCGGGGGTCGATGTAGGCCTTTTGTGCTCCTCCGGCGTGAAGGCCGAGACACTCGCGGTCAAAGTCGAGCGAGCGGCAGTAGGATTGGAACCCCTTGCGTGTGAGGATGGCGGGGGAGGAGAGCGAGGAGATGATGACGTTGAGTGGTTCGTGCTCGCCGTTGCCCACGAGGTCGAACGATGTACCGCCGTAGATGCGCGGGTCGACAAATCCGTACTGGTTCCCATCCACCACCCCTGTAGAGACGTCAGTTGGAGCAGGGAACACGGGAACGGATGTCTGCCCTCCGTGAGTAAGGTTCGCTACCTGCTCGAGCAACGCAGCATCAGTAAGAGGCGTTGTGGCAACAACGGTAGGTACGGCGGTTGCGCGGATGGCGGTGTGAGCGTCGTCGACGAGCGAAGGCTCATTCGGATCTTCCAGCCCCAACACTCTTCCCTCCTCGTCGGCCTGCTCGGTCGGCGAGTCGATCGAGTCGGGCTCAAGGAAGGCAGGGATGCGCGCGGCTTGCTTGCGCGTAAGCGTACTGGCTACGTGTGCATCGACTTCGGCACCAGTGGGACCGGAGGTGGTGCCTTGGGCCTGCTTCTGCGCCTGCACACGCGCCCGGCGCGACGATACGTACTTGGACACAACCCCGCCCAGCGTAAACGGCGTCTTGATCGCTGCAGGCATCTTTGTTGAGCAGCTCAGATATGGTGAGCAGCTCAGATATGGACGAGAGCGCAAAGATGCGGGGTGATATAGACCTGGTCCAATGCTTCACGACATATATGCATTCAGCAGAATCCTATCCGCACTTAGAGTCCTCGCCAAGATGCACATAAGCGCGGGGCTTTGCTGCCAAGTCGCGATCGGCAGCACAAGCTCTGGCTTACTCGCAAGCTCTGGCCGGAACAAGCTCTGGCTCGGCGTTTGTCGCATCGCTGCAACCCTCCAAGCCCCGCCCAGGCGCCAAGCAGATCCACAATGCAACGCGCCACCCAAGCGCCGGCTTGACGGGACGTCAAACCTGCAAGAGAAACACGTCAAAGAACACGGCTCCTGCAATTTTCCGCGCTTGGGGACTGGCAAGGGTCCAACGCTAGTGCGCAACGTTTTCAGGGGAAGCACAGCTCGCTTATGCGCACCTGCCTCGATCCTACGTCCGTGCCATCGAAACCACACTCACCGGGAGCCTACTGTTGCCGCGTTGCATAGACACGCACGCACACCAGCCAACACTCGATCCAGCTCGATCGGCCATTCTCCAAGTTTAAGATCTAGGTTTCCAGTGACGCATCGGCTGGCAGCGCTTTACATGCGTCGGGTAAATGCGAGCTTGAGGCTCGAGATCCGACGCTAACCCTTGAGCATAAAGCTACTTGAAGCCGGTTGGAAAGGTCGGCTCGAACACCGGCAGCGGATGCGCCTCGGTGTTGAGCACCCACTTGTTGAGCGGCAGCAGATCTCGGTCCGAAAACAGCAGATAGAGATACTTGAGCGTCTCGGAGAGCCAGAACGTCTCCATCTTGTCCACCTGCCTGGGCTCGTCGGCATCCACATCGTCGATGCTCGAATAGCCGCCGCTCTCCACCTTGCAGTGGCGCTCAAACGCCTCAAAGATCTGCCAGCCCCAGTCGCGGTAGATTTCATCGCCGGTGAGCGAGAAGGCGACAAAGAGCGACTCGACCGTCTCGGGCCGCAGGATGTTACGCGCATCGATGAGCGGGTTTGGCCGACCCTGGTAGGACGGCGGCGGCTTCTTGATGTACCAGTCGACGTTCTTGGGCAGCGGCGCGCGGTTGGCCGCGATCATCTGCGCGTCGCTCATCTTGGCGTCCTGCGGCGTCTTGAAAAAGGCAATCTCGGGCGAAAGACCCGTCTTTGTCTTGGAGTAGGTGTCCATGCAGGTGCGCACAAACTCGTGACCCAGCCGCCAGTCCTCTTTATCCGTCTCGTCGCCCTTGCCCACATCCGAGATGGGCGGCAGCGGCCACTTCGCAACGTCGCCAAAGATGTCGACGTCCGACGTGGAGCCGAGCATCATGGCGCCGCCAAGGAAGCAGACGAGATGGTCCTGCTTGGGCACGAGCTGCATGTACGGCCTGCCGTCCATGGCGCGCCTGGGCGCGAGCTCGGCGGTAAACATGAGCGGCGGACGCGAGTGCACCGAGGGCTTGGTGAGCAGCTGCTTGATGCCGCGCAGCGCACCGTCGTACATGTGTCGGTACACCTGCTCGGTGCGTCCGGTCTGGAGCCACTGCTTGACGAGGTACTCGTAGTACGAGTCTCCACGCGAGCCGAGGCGGATCTCGCCGTTGTAAAAGTGGCCGTTGAGCGGGTTGAGGAAGATGGGCAGCAGGCCTTGGAGATGCGAGAGCATGGCGGTGGCTTTGCGCACCACCTCCATGGGTCGCTCTGCGATGCGCCAGTACTCGATGTCGCCCGTAAGGTGCGCGAGATACTTGAACTCAAGTTGGATTGTGGTGGCCTCGGCCAGGCTGGACGAATTGTTGTTGTTCAGGTCCGGGAAAGCCTCGCCCGTTTCGAGGTCGACCTCCCGCCACGGCACTCCCGTGGGCGTGTCGAATGCCGGCTTCAAGCGGTCGGCCAGCTCCGCAGCTCGGGCGATGAACATCTGGGCGTCGTCCTCGCTGGGCGCAAAGGCAGGGTGAGGCGGATCTCGGATGAGGGCGGCGGCAGAGAGAAGGCCGCCGAGGGTGCGAATGGTCGTTTCAAAAACGTTCATCCTGCCAGGCACGTCCCAGCTGAGCTCGTTCTGCACCCAGTCGCGCGCCTCTTCGTACTCGTCCTTGAGGCCGAGGAGGATGAGCGTGTCGAGGGTATCGACGATGGTGTAGCCGATGCCCTGGCCCTTCTTGCCGCTGAGGTTCGAGCCGTGCTGGCTGATCGGATGGTATTCGTCATAGCCCCACGCATCGCGCCTGTATGCCGACCAAGAGTGGTTGAAAGCCGCGAGCACGGCGGCTTGCCGTTCCTTGTCCGCAGCGCGCAGCGGCTGTTCGGGAAGAGGCCGTGTGGGCGGGAGCGGGTATGCGAGCGAGGGCGCCCTCTTGTCGGTGGGCGGCTTCAGGTGTGCTTGCTTGTTCCAATCGCTCGAGGCATCTGATCTCGATGGCGGCGGTGAGAAAGGATGCTGTTGATGTGTGGGTGGCGGGTGTGCGTGGCGCGAGTTGCGCCTGAGGAGATGGGTGGGTAGTTGGCCGTCGTTCTTGTAGGTGAGGTAGGCGAGGAGGAAGAGTGCAGCCGAGCACGTCCAGGAGAGCAGACGCCATGTCGAGTTGGCACGTCGCTTTGATGGGGCTTTGCGACTGGACGACGGTGATGGTCCCGAGGAAGAAGGCTGAGCCTTGGAAGTGCGCTTCTTGGCCGACTTTGAGGCATCCCTCGCAGTGGTGGTGGCGGCCATGATCCGATATGAAGTGTGCCGGATTGTCTGCGCCCAGCACAATGGTGCAGCTGAATGAGGTGCAGCGGGGACGGGAGAATGGCAAAGGATGTGTATGCGGCCCCTCTCTATTTCAGAAGGTCGAGAAGAAAGCGGCGAGGGCTCCACGTCGCGCGACCCTGTTCGGCGGGTGGCCGAAATTCCGCCCGAAGCCTCCAACGAAACGCCTCACGTCGGCAGTGCTATTCGGGCATTCGAGCTGATCTGGCAGCCACATTGCGCATGGTTACAATCAAGCTCAGCTTTGAGATGCTTCTATTGAAAGGCAGTGCAGTGCCGTGGGAGCGGTGTGGGAACGAAGTGTGTGGTGTCGGAGTTGCCGCCGTGTCAAAGGGTGGACTGTGCACTGGACCCCACACGCAGCAGACTTGAGTTGCGCGCCGCCCACGCTCTGCGAGTGGGGTGAGCTGGCGGCCAAAGCTGGGATCTGCAGAAAAGTCCAAATTTCTTTTGCCAACACCGCGCGGTCTTGGTTTTTCGGGAGGGCCGAACCGCGTGGACACCTGTAAGCGGATCGTCCGATGTGCCGCATGGCAGCCGTAGTGGAAGCTGATGTCCAATGAAGCCGTCGAGCAAGCAAGCGCCTACAGTCCAGTCAGCCCTGGCGAATTGGAGCTGCCTTGCTGCTGCAGCGTGGGAAGGGAGGCGAGCCTGGGTCGGCTGAATCCGACCGTCACGACGATGGCGGTGACAAGAACAGCTTTGAGCGCACGTCTAGCCTCCGTGAAGTGTGCTGATGAAGACGACCTCGTCGCCGTCCTGAAGTACATACTCGACCTCGCCCTCGAGCTCCCAATCGCTGTTGTTGATCAGCACCAGGATGCCAGGTCGGCTGTAGCAAAGCAGGAGATGCAACCACGGGCGTCAGCTTCAGCGTTCGCAATACACTCGTCTTATCTGGCAGCGCAGCACTCACACCGAGTCGCCATCGACAAACAGCTCTTCGCGTTCAGTGATGAGGTTCTTGCGGATGTACTGGATCAGGTCCGCCACGTCGGTCGCCTTGCCCGCCTCGTCGACGCTCGGCAGCGTCAGCACGTGCTTCTTCTCGTGCGGTGGGGCAAGCAGCAGCTCCGTGCCGCCGCCAAACTCGACCTTGACCTTGACCGTCGATGGTGTCACCATGTTTGCTGTCTCTCGCTGAGATCCCACGAAAGAGCGCCTGATCGATTGACGTCGTCGTCGAGGTTCAAAAGCCAGGGTCCAGCAACAGCCTCGCCCCTCATGCTCGGGAAACGGAAACCTGGCGGTCTTCACCTGCTCGCTCTAACATCTTCAGTTTTACCCCCACGAGGCGATGCCCACGAGCTGCCCAGCGCACAATGACTTCATCGCCACACCGCCTGGCTCGGCCGCTCTCGGATTCGTACACCGCTCAACCACCCCACACGCATACAGTCCACCCACTCATCACTTCGGGAAGCCGGTCGGCTGGTCCAGCGCATCGCTTGTCTAGCCGACCGGCGGCATGGCCATCGTGAGCCCCTCCTTATCGGGGCCCATTGTACCCGACCGGCTGATGACGACTGCCCACATGGACAATGGCCGCAGCTTCGGCGTACCTGTGAATTCATGTCTCGTCTGCCCCGCGTGCCGTTTGTTTCACAAGAGTGTCTCGTGGCGTCCCTGAAAGCGCCAGCCCCTGTTGCGTGTGCTTGACCATCCTCTCCTCCCCTCCATCATCCACCTCCCTATCCTCATCCCCGTCGCTGCGCATGCTCAATTTGTGCGCACATCCTATACATCATGTCTTCCGCACAAGTACGCACGACCCCACCTGCTGTCGAGGCGCAGCAGCCATCCAACGACTCGAAGCCCTCGCAGCCACAACAGCACGAGCACAACCACGACAACGATCGCGACCGTGATGCAGCGCTGCTCATCCAGCGCAACTACCGCGGCTATCGCACGCGTCGACAGCTCGACGGATGCAATATCTCTGCCGATACCCGCTGGTCCGATGCCGTACACCGCATGCGCCTCGAACAGGCCAACAAGCAGTCCAACACCGGCCGCAACGACGCCACCTCCCGCTGGAAACGCGGTAAGCTTCTTGCGGGCCAGCTCTCGGGCGCCGAAAAGATGGACGGCTCGCCCGACTCCGAGGGCGGCCGCGCAGATGAGCCTGTCGAAGGCGGGCCCTCGCTCGAGCCCAAGGACACCGAGGACCACGCACTCGTCGACGCAGACACCAAGGTCGGAGACGTTCCAGGAGCGCAAGATGGCGGCAAGGTCGACAACATCCGCAGCATCGCACGCCCGGGAGACAAGGGTCTGAAGCTCATCGAATGGTGGACGCGCGGCGGAAAGGCGCAGGAGCTCAGCAAGATGATGGAGGAGCAGTACTGGCTCGAGATGGTGGACCGCAGACATCGCTATGGCTCCAATCTCAAGTACTACCACAAGGCGTGGATGCAGGCCGACACGCGCGACAACTTCTTCCAGTGGCTCGACGAGGGCGAAGGCAAGGAGCTCAACATCGACGACTGTCCGCGCGAGCGCCTCGACTCCGAATGCGTCATCTACCTCAGCTCCGAACAGCGTCGCAACTACATTGTCGACATCCAGGACGGCAAGCTCGTCTGGCGTCGCAACGGGAAGCCCGTCGACACCAAGCGCAACAAGCACAAGGATCTCGGCAAGGGCAGAGGGATCGTCGATATCGGCGAGGAAGAGCAGCAGGAGCTGCGCAAGGACCGCGAGCGTCGTGCTCTCCAGCGCGGCGTCTCGGAAAGCTCGCTCGACTCGTACCTCGACGGCTCGTCGTCGTCTTCGTCGTCATCATCGAGCGATGGAGAGGAGATGAGCAAGGAGGAGCGCACGCAGGCAGCCAAGCACTACCAGTCGAAACGCTCGGGCAAATCGCGCCATCTCGACGCACTCAACTCGGCCAACTGGTCCGACATGCTGCTGCGCAAGACCATCGGCAACAACACGTGGATCTACGTCTTCAACTCGCGCCACGAGCTCTATGTCGGTCTCAAGCAGACGGGCTACTTTCAGCACTCGTCCTTCCTCTACGGTGGCCGTGTGCTGTCGGCGGGTCTGCTCAAGGTCGACAATGGCACGCTCACCAGCCTCAGTCCACTGTCGGGGCACTACCGGGCGGGCACGGCGCATTTCCGGTACTTTGTCAAGAAGCTCCAGGATTCCGGCGTGGATCTGGACCGCGTCACGCTCTCCAAGAGTCTGCTGATGCTGGCGGGGATGGAGAAGTACGGCAAGATGATGAGCAAGACCAAGTCGTCCAAGAAGAAGGACAAGAAGGAGAAGAAGCATAAGCAGACAGAGGCAGATGAGGATAACGATTCGCAGCACAAGTCGCTCTCGGAACGCATCAAGCACAAGCTACACATCGGGAGCAAATCGAGCAAAGAGAATGGCGACGAGCATAAGCCGAGTGGGTTCACGAAGCTCAAAGAGAAGTTGAAGGCTTGAACCGCGTTGATTTTATGATACCATTCACGACTCGCACGACCTTGACACGCAAATATAAAGATAGACAAGACGGGTATAACGATTCGGTGGTGCGGGAAGGGCTAGAAGAACGAATAGGGACGGTTGCTGAATGAGCTCTCGCTGGAAGTGGAGTTGCGCGCATCGTCGTGCAGTTGTTCGTCGAACTCGAAGGCGCTCGATCGCTCCACGAGTGGTGTAGTCTCGCAAGGCCAAGATTGGGACGACCATCTGCTGTCCATGCTTTCAACTGCGTACGCGCTCGATGCAGAGCTGCCCGTTGGCGATTGTGTGTTGGGGAGGGAGATTGGGCGCGAGATGGAGTTCTTGAGTTCGGCCAGACGGGTCTCGCGAGTGCGGGTGGCAATGGCGCCGTAGCTTCGCACTTTTTCCGCCGCGGTCTTGACCGTGTGCAGCTTCTCTTCCACCTCGGAGCGACGAGCCACAGCCGACATGATGGCACGGGCAATGCTGACCATTGGGTCTTCGTTCGATGTGGAGGGGTAGCGAGTAGCCTGAATAAGAGCAACCATTGTGAATCGTGTTGAAAGAGGATAGCGCTGGAAGATGCTGTGAGAATATGGAAATGCGATGGGATGGAGACGACAAGACATCGCAAAGACGGCTGGTTTATATGCTTTTCTCCTCCCCCAAAGGGGCGTTGCGACACCAGCATGGTACGGGTATGGCAAGCGGATGAGGGATATGATGGGCACGATGGATTAGAGAGGTGATGGATCAGCCGCCTGACAGGCGTGAGCAGGGCGCTGGCAGGGGTGAGCCAAATCGGATGCACGCCTGCAGCAGGCCGCATTCAGGGTGGGATCAGCCGCTTGACACGCCTGTCAGAACCCGCGTCACGTAGGCCCGAACCTGCAGGCTCTAGAGAACGACCCAAGCCAGGTCCCTTTGTCCGTCGCGACGCGTCGCGTCCTTTTCCCTCCGCGCAGCGTGCTGGGATGGATGGTCAGTGCACACATCGAGCCTGCACCACCGCACCATGCTCACATCACAGCACACTCAAGCAGACTTGCAGGTCCCCTAGCACAAGGGCGCACATTGATCTCCCGTTCGGAATGATGAAGGTAGAAAATCAATTGCATCGCGGAATAGAATCTTGGCGCACCTCCGCACAGCTTCAAGGGTGACGGTGATAGCTCCAAGGGTGACAGTGATCGTGAATGTCTCCTTCATGCCGAATGAGAATGCTCTGGAAGCACCGCAGGAAGGAGGTTGTGGCTGATCTTGTGGCTCTGATGTCCCAGGAAGTCCAGTTTTTCCTCTTGAGACGTCGCAAAGATGACCAGCGAGCCCGAGCAAATCGGATCGCCCTCGAGAGGTCGTACCTTGTAGGTAGCCGAGAACACGATGTCCAAAGCGATTTTGCGCTTATCAGAAGAGATTCGGTTCCGGAGAACGCCTTGCGTCATGGTCGAAAGTCCATCGAGCCTGTACATGGATACACATGGGTGCGGATATCCTTTCGAGACAAATGTCAGGGGCACCCCGTCGAGTTTAGGGGGAGAATCGTAGATCGTCTCCAGAAGCTCTTGATCAAGCCATCGGATGAAGACGTGCTGACCCTCGAAGTGTACCACGGGCTGACCCGCATTCTTTCCTTTGCTGCTCTTCCAGAAGATCTCGCCCACCTGCCTGAGCACTTCGAGCTTTTCAGCTTGGCTCATCTGTAGACCCTGCTTAAGATCAGCCTTGTTGGTGCAAAGCACGTGTTCGGACTGGTTTTTGCTCCAAGGAACCTTGCCGTCCAGAAGATAGTCACTGCTGAGCGTGATTCCCGCGCTGTATACTTTGTCGTAAGACGTCATCACTGTGATGCCACTAGCCGGTGCTTGAGCAGCCTTGCTACCTGCTGGCTTGGGTGGAACGGTGTTCGAACCACTACCGAAGGTCTCCCGAGGACGTTTTGACGGTCGTTGGTTGACAGCATCGGCCGCTTTGGGACTTGACGACTGGGATACGGGAGAAAAAGTGGTATCAGCTGAAGATCCTAAGAGCTCGAAGCTCTCTTTTCTGATATCCACCTGGAGATGGACACTTTCACCACCTGTGTGTACGGACATTGCGCTCTCTTGACCGCTCTGGAAGGCTGGGAAGTGGTAAGGGGAGGTGCGCAAGCAGGACGCACCTACAGCCTCTATATGTTCACCGGACAGGATCCCGTCTCCTTGAAGAGGAGAAAAAGAAATTTTTGCGTCCAGCGGAAACGAGGCTGTGACCACTGTCCGTTGCTGCTCTCTATCCCAGCATCAGCTCAATGCGATGAGGTCTTTGACACGAGTCTGGAAGCGCAGACAGTCATTGATCCGAAATTGCGTCAAAGCGAGATGAAGGAAAACAAGGTTCGGTCCGCTCTATACCGTCCCAGGCGCATCAATGCCATACGCACGGTGATTTCTCTGCCGTCGCTTCGCAGGTTTGCCGCGTTTGCGGTGCTCAGGCTGACCACGCCTGCTCGGGCAATCGCATCCAGTCTCATCCGAGCACGAGCAGCAGATCAGTCTGCCTCGTGACCCTCGACTTTTCCAGACCAGCCTTCGAAGTGTGCGTTTTTTCCTGCGCGCGATGGCAAGCGGCAAACTCGCGAGTCCAAAGCATTTTCACGATCGTCTACAAATGCTTTGCGCTGCTTACTGAGCCATAGGAACGTTACGAGGGGAACACTTTGCATTCGGAAGAGAGTGGTCTGAGACAAGTGAAGCGTAGACGCACTTATGGTGCCGGGCAACGATGGCAGGAGAAGGTTTCGTTGCACCACCCGTTCCGGAGCGCCGATCGGCAGAGAGATGAGCGGTCACTGGGGCAACGTCTTCTTTGTGGCAGAAGCTCTAGTACAGTATGTACAAGGACGACGTTACTAAGCGCACCATGGCACGCAGAAGCAGTGCCTTCCCCACAGCTTTTTCATATGATATGTGGTGAAAACAAGGAGATCGCCAGAGAAGATCGGACCTCCGCCCAGAGAAGGAGCTTCGTAAACACGTGCCACAGCGAGGCACCATTTGTAGGACTGCATGCTTTTTCTGGCATCATCGAGCCTTTTGGCCTCCAGACCTCGGACCTCGAATACCCTGACACAATAGCCATTCAGGCCCTTTGACACGATGTTCATGCGTTTGCCTTTGAAGAAAACATGCGCCCTCCACAGAGCTTCAAGAAACACTGGGTTTCCGAGCCTGACATGGACATCCGTGCCTCGGAAGTAAACATGCGGCTGTTGGTTACCGGTCTTGGGGCAAGTCTGCTCGAAAACAGCAACGATTTCTTCGATGATCTCGATCCTGTCCTCCAGCGTTAACACATCTGTAGACGAGTCGGTCTCTCTAGGTCGGAGTACCGTCTCGAAAGCATTGAAAGACCAAGGAACTGAGCGGTCGAAGAGGTACTCGAGGCTGAAGCCGACCTCGGCACCGTGTACTATCTCCCACCAGAACCGAACCGAAGGCTTCAGGGGCTCGACTGCCTCTGGCTTGACGAGTCCCTTCTCGTCCTCTTGGAGTGCGATGCCTTTGCAGTCGGAGGAAGCGGAAGTGTCTTCGTGGTCGAGAGTTTCAGGAGAGGTAGCTTCAAGAGGGGCCTGAGATCGTACATTGGAGCATCTGGGTTAGCGCTTCGTTCAACAAGAGCGGCTTGTACAGCTTTTCGCACTCACCTCACCGTCCCCCGGGGACATGTCTGCGACCCAGGACTTTTCCGACATGTTGAAGGAAGACGCAGGATGATTTGATCGATGAAACAGAGGGATGGGCTTCCAATGCGTTCGAGTTGCAAGATCGTGAGGTCTTTATATGTTCGTCAAGTGGTCGGGTATGACGCTCAGTCGGCATTCTTGCCGCACACTTCCCTTGGAATAGAGTCTCATCCCTTCCCGGATCTTTGCAGCGATCCTCTCTTTGATTCTCTCACGAGAGCAATTCGCTTAGTTGCGCTACGTCCACTGCCAGCCTTTGACTCACGCCAAGCGCTTTCATCACAGCACTTTTTTTCTGATTATATCAACCTGGCATGTCCGCAGTCGAAGATCGGTGTTCACCGACTTCATACTAGCCTTGACAGCGCAGCCGCCCAACGACAGGCACAAATTAGACGACGGATGTTTCGATAGCCTGATGATGAGCTCGAACCTTCTGCACGGCGCCACTTGAGAACCATGGCGTGACGGACCTCATCTCGAACCCGGGCAAGAAGGTGTGAAGGCCTTGAGCCGAGCGATGGCCGTGAATTCACATGAGCACCGGTGGCAACAAAATCCTCCACGGCGGTCACGCCTGCTCATCGTCGCAGAAGGCGCACAGAAGGCGCAGCACCGAAGTGAGCCCCTCTGCGATTTCATTTTGGGTCCGCCCGGTTTTTTGCGAGTGAGTGGCACGACCATCATTCGGCAGTATCGCGCTGCTCATCAAATCACAGAATCGAGAAGGGACATAGGGGAATGGACATTTCGAAGTTCAATAGAGCTCCTCGCTCCAGCGATCGATATGTCTACAGTCTTCAAGGTCTTCTCCGAGGATATAGTATCTCGAAGCATTTTTCTCCAAGAATTGCAGATACGGCGGCGCTACAGACGAGTACAAAGTCGCCGCGGAAGATAGGGCCTCCCCCGAGATTTTCAACTTCGTATATGTCCGCCAAAATGAATTCCACCCCAGGGAACGTCTTCCCCTCGAGCCTCTTTTCAAGGTCGGCTTTTGTTTCAGAGGGAAGATAAGCCTTGTAGACTCTGGTGCCGCCTTTTCCCAAGCCCTTTGATACCAGCTTCATTGGTTGACCTTTGTATGAGGGCGGCGTTTTCCACAGAGCTTGCAGAAACACCGAGCTCTGGAATCTGACATGGATCTCTTCGCCGCGGATATGTACGAAAGGCTGCTCGGTGAGGTTTTGGGGGCGCACTTTCTGGAAGTAAGTGGCGATTTCCGAGACGATCTCGTTCCTTTCCGGGACTAGGGACAGCACCTTTCTTGATTCTTGCGAATCGTCAAGCCGGAAAACCGTCTCGAATGCATTTGCTGACCAAGGTAGCGAATTGTCAGAGACGTATTTGACGCTGAAACCCAAAGTCTCACCGTAAACGGTTTGCCACCATGACCGTACTTTGAGCCTGCAGGACTGGATCGTTCCCTCGTGAGTGCGGGCTTGCGTTACCTCGTGATGTCCTGCTGGACCGTCTTTGGCAGTTACGCCTGCACAAGATGACCCGACACTTGCTCCGTCAACGCGCACTGTCAACGCATCAGAAGATGCCTACAATAACGATGCAGACAACAAAGTCAGTACTCGTGCCAACAAAGAGTCGCGTAGGAGTATTCCGTGCTCACTTGGCTGTTGTTGGAAGTCTTTGAATCAGTGCGAGCCCTCTTCGACATCACGGGGGAGACAAGGGTACGAAGCGCTCTTTTGAAGAAGGATGAGGTGAGAAGGACAGATCGAATGCGAGGTGAGCAAGAGATCTGGGCTCTTCATATGTCTGTGCTCTGCATGCTAGAGGCGCGATTCAGTCTGCGAGCTCGGGAATCAGTGTCACCTGCGCAGAGCGTGTGCATGTGTCAAAGACCTAATCCAGGCTCGCAGCCATACAGTGTATGGGTACATCCGTAACAGAGCTTTCAGCTGCCCCACGGCACACAGTCCATCCTATCGCAGCCTGAGGTTTTTCTGATCTGACAAGCTCCTCGAACACAATTTCTTCGAAAGACCACAGAGGAAGGGTGATGTCCTTCAGAGGGCGGCGAGAAAAGACGTGGCTTCAGCGTCGATGGATGATCTATTCTTCCAAGGCCTGGTTGTCGAGGGTGCGAGTCAGGACATTTTTGAGACTGCCTCAATCGCACCTGTCTCGTCCTCGTCGGCACGGAGTGCGCAGCGCCGAAATGAACATCCGCGGTCTCATTTTCGGGCCGCCATTTGCAACCGAATTTTTTGCGCACGCGAAAAAAACTCACCCGAGCTGTCACAGGCTCGAATTTGTGCATAGCGGACGGCCGAATTCGTCTTCCTCGCGTTCGGGCTCGCCCAGCCTGGTCGTTCATTCGAGCAGCATCCTTTCACCAAGGCAAAGCGCATGCGTCTGCTTCAGGCAGTTTGAGCTCCATCGACGGATCAAGAGAAAGCAGACAGCGAGATTCTCAGCGTACCGGTCTTCTTCGTTCTTCTGGCGGTCACACTACAAAAAAGCCGCCCAGGCCGCGAGAAAAGCGAAATGAGATGGTATTGAATGAGAAATGCTGAGCGAGGTGCAAGGTCTTGATTCGATCGAGCTACTAGAGGGGATGCTTGTTAGTCGACAGTAGGATAAGGAATCTTCAAGAAAGGCTCCCCCAGGAAGCTCTTTTGGTCGCCAAAGCCCGCTCTTCCAAAGATGAGCATGTCACCGCTGAAAAGTGGCCCCGAGTTGGTGATCAGTTCGCCGCTCACTTCAGACATGTAGTACATGTCGGCTACGATGAGTGCTGCGAGCTTCTTGGTGCTTTTGGTGAAGCTCTTGATGAGCTCCTGTCGCTCCTTCGCTGGCATTCCCCAGACACCGTAGACCGTAATGTTGCTTTCCACGAAGCCTTTAGACACCAGCTTCATCTTCTCGCCTCGGAAAACGGGTTGCTCTTTCCAGAGAACTTCCATGAGGCCTGTGTCGGGGGCCGTGACATGAGCACATTGACCCTTGAAGTGGACCATGGGAACCTCGAAATCACGAGGGCCTGTTTCGCGCATGAAGATCGCCGCAATCTCTCCGATGATTTCACGTCTGTCATCAACCCCAGGTACGGTTCCGTCGTGAGTCCGAAGTACCATCTCGAAAGCGTTTTCGGACCATGGAACAGTACGATCCGAAAGATATCCCGTACTGAGTCCCATACCGTCCCCGAAGACGACCTCTCCCCACTGTTGAATGGAGTACTCCGCTTTCTTATGACCGAGAACCGTCATTGTCCTTGTGGCCCCAATGGAGAGAAGTTCAAAAGTGGATGACATACGACCGTCCCTTCAAAGCGGCATCAGTGCTCGGGTCGGGAATTTGTGTTGTCCTTCGGTCATTGACAATGAAAGGAACGTCAGTACGGCCCGTCAGCAGCAGGAGTTGGGACTGCGGTAACCTGAGTACCTACAAGGAGGGTTGCGGTCTCGCCTAAAACGCCAGAACCTCTATGCGGAAGAGTGTGAGCTGCTTGGAATCTCGTTGAGAAAGTGGATTTGGATGCAAACGAAGCGAGATGGCGTTTTGGAAGAAAGTGTTGTCACGTAAGTCGAGCGACTTATATGGCCTGTGCCCAAGGAGCGGCAAGGCGTGCGCTCTCGGTCTATCTTGTCAGAACTGGGCCGACTTTGGACCGAAATCGACCCAGGACTCGCAGCGAGTGGCATCTGGCAGGGAAGATGGTTGATCTTTGCGCGGCAGTAGCACACTCGTGAACACCACAGATGTGTCGCTTTGTCGACGCGATTCACTGGCAGGATTGCCGGCGCGCAGAGCGTAAACTTTGGCTCAGCATTCAATTTGCGCAAAAGCGGCAAGAACCTATTTCCTTCCACGGTCCTCCGTTCAGAGCCGGGCGCGAACCTTGCGTTTCGCTCAGCCATGGCACACAGTTTCTGGGTGGCCTCTGATCGCCCGAACGAGGGCACTGATTCGCTTCAAGCGCAACGGCGATGCTTGAACAAAGGGAGGCAATCTACCGACAGGCTAGATGTGCAAGAGTTCAAACTCGGACAGATTGTCATCCAGAACTTGTTTGAAAGGCTGCACTGGCCAGAGGACTTCGATCTTGGACGGGCCCAGGGTATCGATGTGAAGGAGGCGGAAGATGTTGTCGTCGTGCTTCCAAAAGGCAAGGGCGACTTTGTTTCCGAGGCCCATCTCGTGTGCGAGCGGAGTGCCTGGTTTGATCACGCTGGAAAAGTAGGTGACGCCCCAGGGATGTTCTGGATCGGCCGGGAGAGTGCTGATGTGAATCACGCCCGTTCGTTTAGCCCGCTCGAGTGCTTTTCGCTGCAAGTCTTCGACGCCTGCATACGAGTCGAGATTGGTGCGGTACGATGTGAAGAGTCCCTTGTCGTGCAGACCAATGTACTTTCGGGTGGCTGCAAGCCAGTTGTTCCTGTCCACCTCGGTCATCTCAGCCCGCACAAGGCCGATGACAATGAGACATAGTGTGAGAGATGCAAGGCGGTAAATGGCACCCATGGTGAAGAGGCGGTTAGCAAGGACTATGGATCCCTCAAACTTGACAAACGCAAGCATCGCTCTTCTTATACGGACTAGCCCAGCCTCCGATTGTCGCTGAAAGAGAACAAAAATGCAAGGTGGGCTTAGGATCGAGCGGCATCCAAGGCCATGGATGTGGGTTTAGATGGTCCGGCTGAGATGATAACAGGCGGATGCTCACGTTGCCGGTTCCACCGCCCCTAATGGCGCTTCATTAATCGCCTGGCAATGCCACGACCGAATGAGGGTGGGGTCCAAGCGCCTCGTCGGAACATTCAAGGTTGTTCCCCACGCAAACACGCCCACGTCGCTTTGCGTCGGAACATGCTCAGAACAATGCCGAGGCTGGTCGAAGTTCGCATGCAATCCTGAGAACATCGCGAGCCGTGGTGGAAAGTATGCCACGCTTTTTTCGGTCGTATGAAGTTTGCAGCGCGAGAGGATAAAAATACACGGGGGATGCTGGTGGGAATGCAATGCGGCGGACAAATGAAGAGCAGGGCCGAGATGCGGGTCAATCGGACTTGCGAGTGTCGCTGGCACGAGACGAGGAGCGTTGCAGCTCTTCGCGGTCGATCGGATCTACGTTCTCGAGGTCCTGCATCATACGATCCCGATTGAGTGCGAGCGCCTTGGCGGCCTTGCTGCCAACCGAACGAACCGGCTTGCCGTCAGCATTGAGGCTTAGACGTTTGGACTTGGGCGACGATGAGATGGAGCTTCGAGACGCATGACCGGAGCTGCCGTTCGGGTCCGGGTACGATGTGTAGACGGAGCCACCTCGAGATGTAGTGCTGAACTTGCCGCTGATCTTCCACGATGAGGCCGCAGGTAGTTGTGTGGCGTTGAACGAAGAAGCATGCGACTGTGTCTCTGTGAAGCGGTCCAGCAGCTGATCCTTCTCGTCGTCGTCGTCCTCCTGGTCGTCTCCAAAGCCATGGTCATCACCGGTGGTGAGGCCGTTCGCTTGGGCGAATTCAGAGGGATTGCCGAAGCTGTAGATGATCCAGCCAAATGCGATGACGACAAAGATGCACGGGATCACGAGGAACGCCCACGAGAGCGAGATGATGCCCGAAGGTGCATCCTGGTGCACGTTGGCATCGGCCACCAGAGAGTCCATGTTGTTGTATGTCGTTGACAGAAATGGCATCGGCTCGTGCGCAGGCTGAGGAGCGATCCGAGGCGCGGGATATCGAGCGATGAGAGAAACGAGAGGCTCAAGCCGAAGATGAAGAATCGTGCTTGGCCGTTGCGCGTCGCTGCGTTCCTAGGTGGCGATCCGCGGACTTGCTGCAGCTAGATCTTGATGCTGTGTTGCGGATGAGATGGAAACGATGCGGCAGCGATGGTCAACATGCAGTGCGGCGGTTGCGTCGCAGTCGGCACCGTCCGATGAGCTCGGTCAGCAGCAAAAGGTGGAAATCGGATGCCAAGCGATGGAGCACGCGGTCCGGCACATGGGCACCTGCGCCTATGCGCGTTGCAGTGGAGGCGATCGCGTGAGGGGCAACCGGCACGCTGGCGGCTGCATGAAACCCAGCGCAGCGGTTTCAGCCGATTTTGCTTTTCGCGCCAAGAAGCTGACGGGAATGCCGATCTCACAATTGCTGATTAACCGCGCGAAATCGCTGTGACTTTGGGTGTGGTGCCGAGACGATAGGAGTGACAGTGCCGCTGTACCGTAGCCGATGGCTCACTCGATCATGCCGCCGCGACATCTCGGCGTCTTTCTCACGGCCCTCCATCAAGCTTCCGTTGCTGTGGGAGACGCTGCACCCATGCCGACGGGCAGGCCTGAAGCATCCAGCTGCCAGCATTGTTGGCTTTGCTCCTTGCCGTTGCGCTCGAGGGGCGGCATCAGACGGATGTGCCGTGGCTACCGTTGATGAACAAGGATGCAGTTACGGACTCCCGCGGCGCCGTCAGACGACGCTGAAGCCGCTCAGGCCTTCTCTGAAATCGGAGCTTCCGATGCCCGACGGGGCGCCAGCCTGACATCACCACGAAATTTGGCTTCGAACCGTCGTCTGTCGTTTTCTCTCGTCAAGATCACATTCTTCCCGCGCACAGACATCCTTTTGACTGCATCCACATGCGAAGCGGCGCTGCATCATGGCCGTGCTCCCGGGTCGTGCCCTCGGCCGGGCGGGATGAGGATGGTCTCGGGCAATCCGCTCAAGTCCCTTTCGAACTCGGACTTGCAGCAGCATCAACGGCTCAAGTTTCAGCATCGCGAAAAGCAAGCTCTAAATTCAAAGCTTTGGCAAGAATTCGGTGGCGCATTCCGCTCACATTTTGACTTCGGCAACGCCGCCGCGCCACGACGTTGAGCTGCAGATTAGGGGTTCATCTTCCCAGTGCCGTCGCGCTGGCCGGCCCCCTTTTTTCGCTGCAGAGCGTGCCCCTGGGGTTTCTGTGAAATTGTGTGACTGTTACTTTTTTTATCCAACACCTGTGCCGTTGCTCTGCTGGGCCGCCTTGCCGCCTTGGCCGTCGCGTCGGCAGGATTCCATGGATTCGGTCTTTTTTCGACCACGACAGTTTGCATTTGACGCAGAGTCAGCCTGTCCGCGTGATTTGGCGCAAGGACCAACACAGGCAGTCCTTCTCAGCAGCAGCAGCAGCAGCAGCAGTCAGGGCGAGAGCGAGCTGCGAGGCGGCTGCAAGTTGCACGCCGCGCTTGCAGGCCGCAGTCTGCCAGCAGTCAGAGCGACTTTAAAGTCTCTTTCACCCACCTATCTCTCCCACCTCCAGCTATCCCATCCGCTCCACCTCTTCCACCCACCCTCCGCATTCCTAGACATCCACACAGCGCCCTGGTCTTCACAGTACTGGCATCACTGCCATTCAGCCCAACACCAATAGATCCGGCCGACACCCTGATCACGTAGCCAATATGTCGGCGCCGTGGACTCGCGTGCCTGGCGGTCCCGTTCCACCACCTGCTGCAGGCAGCCGAGGTTCAGACGACAATGCTACACTTCACAATCCCGTTCGCACCTATGACGCTCCCCTCGCCGCTCAAGGCGTCAGCTCGTCGTCGTACTACGACAACGTCGCCGACTATCCTTCCGAAAAGGAGTACGAAAACTACCCGGGCAACTACGGCGGCTCGGGTCAGTGGACCAACGACGCTGGCTCCGACGCCTCCAACACCTATCCTCCAACTCAGGCTGGTGCCGCTACGCGACACAAGCAACACTTTTCGCACTCCACCGACATGTCGAGGCGCTTCGAGGCTGGTGCCAACAAGGCGCAACCCGAGTCCGTGTCCAAGCGTCCCGGCTTCAAGCGCCAGGACAGCGACTCCTGGGAGCGTCTCCTCAAAGGCGCAGGCTACTCGCAGGACAACGCAAATGCAAGCTTCGTCGGTCTCAACGGCAAGCACGGCGCAGGCCCTCAGCTTGGTCATCCCTCCGTCCGCTTGCTCCTCTACATCCTCATCCCCACCGCCCTCTTCTGGATCCCAGGCATCCTTGCCCTCCTCGTCTACGATGCTCGACCCGCCAACCAATTCCGCGAGCCCAAGGTACTCGATGTCGGCATCTTCTGGTGGTCCATCTGGCTCAGCTCCATCTGGGTCGGCTGGTGGGCCTGCCGTGTCGGCGCCATCATGATCCCCCGCGTCCTCCGATGGACCGTCGGAAACCTGCACCAAAAGATGCGACGATACACCGAGTTCCTCATCGTCACCGAAAAGTACGTCGCCTTCTTCCTCTGGACCATTCTGCTCTTTGCACTCTGGCTCGCCATCGTCATCGGCAACTTCCAGGGCGCAGACAAGGCTGCCATCGAGGCAGCTCCTCTGACACCCGGCAACTCGACCTCGACCAGCACATCGTCCTCTTCGTCCTCTCGCACCACCTACATCAACACCAACGATCAGAGCTCGTGGCCATCCACAAGCGACATCATGCTCTCCGGCTACCGACTCTGGTTCGGCGTCTGCCTTAGCGCCGCCATCCTCCTCGCGGAAAAGCTCTTCATCCAGGGCATCGCCTACAACTTCCATCGCGTCTCGTACGAGGACCGCATCCAGACGTCCAAGTTCAACGTCAAGGTGCTCACCACCCTTTACGAGAATTCCAAGAACCTCAACCGCAAAGACACGTACATCGCTGCCGAGCAAGAAGCCAAGCGCAAGTCTACGGGGCTTCACCTCGCACGTGTCCGCTTGCGCAAGACGGGCGCCAAGGTGCGCGACGTGGCGCTTCAGAGCACCAGTGTGCTTGGCACCGTCGCCAGCGAGATCGCCGGACAGGGTGTGCTGCAGGCCGGCAACCCCCGCTCGGTGGTCGCCTCGTCCCTCAACTCGCGCAAGCAGACCCAGGCGCTCGCCCGAAGGATCTGGTACAGCTTCTGCCCGCCCGGCAAGTCCGAGTTGATCGTAGACGACATCATCCACTGCTTCCCCGACGCCATCACTGCCGAGGCTGCATTCGAGATCTTTGACCGCGACCTCAACGGCGATATCACCAAGGACGAGCTCGAGGCGGCGTGCATCGACATCCACCGCGAGCGACTGGCGCTCCAGCTGTCCATGCGCGACGTCGACTCGGCTGTGGGACGCTTGGACTCGATCTTCATGAGCGTCTTCATTCTGATCTCGGCCATCATCATCGCTGCCATGCTTTCCGTCGCATTCAGCACCCTCGTCACGTCGTTCGGCACGCTCATTCTCGGTCTCTCGTGGCTCATCGGAAGCACCGCGCAGGAGACTCTCGGTGCGATCATCTTCCTGTTCATCAAGCACCCCTACGATGTTGGCGACCGCGTCGACGTAGGCGAAGACTCGTACATCGTCAAGGAGATGCGACTGCTCACCACCGTATTCAAGACGACCAACGGCAAGAACGTCATGATCAGCCACTCGCAGCTCGCCACCAAGCCCATCGTCAACCTGCGACGCTCTGGCGCGATCGAGGAGACGTTCAAGTTTGAGGTGGCGTACGGCACGACGTTTGCACAGATCGAGAGTCTGCGCACCAAGATGATCCACTGGTTGGAGGGCGAGAAGCGTGACTTCCTGCCCGGTCTCGACATCAACGTGGTCGACTTCCTTGAGCAGGGCAGCATGCTTCTGTCGGCAGGCATCCGATACAAGTCGAACTGGCAGCAGGGCGGCCTCAAGGCGCAGCGCCGCAACCGATGGCTGTGCCAGCTCAAGGTGTTCTTGGCCGAGTGCAAGATCTACGGACCCAAGGGCGATCCGAACGTGGTCACCACCAACCACGTCACCATGGTGCCCTACCCGCCGCCCGACGCGTCGCTTACTGCCACCACCGCCGAGGCAGGCGTGCAGAACACGCTGGGCGCAGGCGAGCGCGCCTACCGCTTCATGGACTCGGGAGCAGCCATCGGCGGGCAGGACGTGTTCGACGACCTTGCCGGTGATGCAGGCACTGCACCCGGCACCGCGCCGCCCTCGCGCCCCCTGTCGCCGGCCAACGCGCTCGAGCAGGGCCGACTGCGCAACCCCGGTCTGCCCACATCGTCGTCGGGACCTGCGCCGCCGTACGCCGCCGCACGCCGCACTGCCGGCATGGGCGAGTCGTACGAGCTGACTGACCAGCCGCGACGCATCTGATTCTCGCATCTCTGCGACCGCCGCGGGCTGGTCCCACTGACACCAGCCTATTGAGGTAGTCGTGTCCCCCTCTTTTTCACTTTTGTACCGCATCTCTTGCATCACTTGCATCGTCAATGCACATGGACTCTTGCTTCACTTCCCCCTTCTCTCTTCCAGGATGCATTCGGAGCGTGTGAAGTGTGGATCTCCATTCGAGTGAGCAAGGCTGGATGAAGCTGCATCTCGGCTCAAATTTCCCAGCAATGCGTCGAAGCAGTATAAGAACGCAAATTTCGAGGCATGGCACATGCTGCAGACTAGTAGCGGAGTGGTCAAACGCGCGAGATTTAAGAATTAAACCTTTTGGCGCAGGACACAGGCTCCGGACGCCGAGACCCGCAGATGCTGCGGTGTCCTATTCCTCGTCCTTCGGGTTCGTGGGTTCGAACCCCACCTAGTCTAACTCGTTTTTGACGGCTCCGACTTTCGCCAATTTCCAACTCCAGGCAGCACACTCCACCACCTTCTCTCTCGATTTCTTTTTTCTTTTTTTGGCTCTCACGACGCACGATGCCTCAAGCTGTGGTTGCGATGGTAGCATGCTGCTTGGATTATGCTTTGGTGTACAGTTTTTGGTGGGTATCGTAGATGAGGTCGGCGGCAGCTTTCATGCCAGCGAGGTTGGGGTGGAAGGCGCCGCCGCGGTAAAAGTTGAGGATGGATCCGTCCGAGACCCAGGGTTGTTTCGAGCCAATGGCGTGGGCGTAGCTCGCCTGTGCGAGCGGAACGATGTGTACGTTTGCTCTGCCCTTGGCTGCTTGTGCATAGATCTGCTTGAGCTGATCTGCGGTCTGCTTGTACCTGTCGACTTGATCCTGCGACCAAGCAACGTGCCTACCACCCACTGTATCCGGACCCATCATGGCAAAGTACTCGACCAGGTAGATGGTGGCACGTGGAAATCTCTTGTGGAGATCATCGAGCAAGATGTTGAACCTTTCGATAACCTGATCGGGGGAGGCGATGGTGGGGTTTTCGAGACCTTGCTTCTGGTCTTGTGTCATGAAGAGGTGGGAGTAGATGCGGCCCCAGAGGGTCATTGAGAGGGTGCGGGCGAACATGCTGCCGATGTAGAACATGTCGTTACCCCCGCCTGTTACGGTGATGATGGTCTGGTCGTCATCGTCGGCGGAGGGAAGCAGCGATAGTTGGGGTGGGAACACCTTGTCGCCTGTATCTTGATCGTCCGAGATGAGGTTGAGCATCGTTGCGCCCGAGACGGACAAGTCGAGCAGCTGCGTCGAGTCGCCACTATCCAAGCCCAAACGGCGCGCAAGGAGGTGCGGATAGTTATTCCCACTGCGTCCAGCAGCCGCGTCGACCTGAGGCGCAATCCCAGGCCCCGCGGCAAACGACGAGCCCAGCGCGATCAGCCTCATTCTAAACACACTGTGGTATATGTCAGCGACAGCGTGGATTCTGGTGGTATCAGGCAAGGTGGCACCGAGGGTCTTCTTTGTGAAGTCTGGCTGTGCGAGGGTCGGACAAGGTGGGATCGGGCTCGTGCGCAGGGTTTGGCGCGCGTGACCGGCATTCGGAAGATGAGATGCGCCCGTCTGCCGGTAGGACAGAGCCAAAAAAAGGGGAAACTCGACGTCGAAAATCGGATAGCCGCTCCGGTGCTGCCGTCAAAGGTTGACAGCCCAACACCTTTTGCCTGCCGCTTCCTCCCGGCTCTCTGGCCCGTGGTGGCTGGCCGGCCTCATCTCAACAGACTTCGCAGGGGTCTCATACGACTAGGTGAGCGAGAACCGTCACGGGTTTGACAGTCTGGAATCACTACGCTGTTGGGTGCGGGGGAGCTCGGGCATACTGAACCATTTCGGAAGAGTGGTCGTGCGCACCGGTACCCCACATGTCGGACGTGAGGCGAGCCATTCTCGGGTGAACCAAATTTAGCTGCTGCGGGTGAGCTTGGCAAGGCTCGTCAGCTTCCCCACCCCGTCAACCCCGCAGGAATAGCCGGTGCCCAGTCTCATCTCGTCCCAACGCTGGCATTTAAATACCCGCCTTTGCCCTAGTGGCTCGTTCCTTCGGTACCCGACCATCTCCGTCCCCTTCAAGCTGTTAGCAACGCAAACATGCCGTATACGCCGCCACGTTCGTCGCAGCCTCCTACGTCGATCCCGTTCGAGCTGTCGCTCTCGACGCATCCGGGCACATCGCATTACCGGTCGTCGCTGACGCCCGTGTCGTTCCTGCTGCGCGCGGCGCTCATCACACCGCGCAAGCTCGCCATCACGCACCCCGAGCGCGGCTACGGCTTCACCTACGAGCAGTGGGCGGCACGCACGCTGTCGCTCGCATTTGCGCTGCGCGCGGTGCCCGGATTCAAGACCGGCGACAGGGTGGCGGTCATCTCACCCAACGCGCCGCTGATTGCCGATGCCCACTACGGTATCCCTGCAGCGGGCGGTATCATCACCCCGATCAATATTCGCAATACGCCCAAGGAGGTGGCGTACGTGCTCGAGCATTCCGGAAGCACCATCATCCTCGCCGACCACGAGTTCAAGCATCTGGTGCCTGAGAACCCCGGTCCTGGGATCACCGTGGTGATCAGCAAGGATTCGGGTGGGCAGGAGGCAGATGATGCATACGAGCAGTTCCTCGACCGTGGCTGGGTCGAGTGGCAGCGCGCCGAGAAGGCGCAGATCGACCAGCACCGCCAGTCGTCCAAACCCACTGCGGAACCCAAGACTGGGTGGAAGCTCATCGATGCGCCGCAGGATGAGGAGCAGCCCATCGCGCTTTGCTACACGTCCGGAACGACGGGCAGGCCCAAGGGTGTGCTCACCAATCACCGAGGCGCATACCTCGCTGCGGTGGCCAACGCGTTCGAGGCGAACATCACGCAGGACAGCGTGTACCTGTGGGTGCTGCCCATGTTCCACGCGTGCGGCTGGACGTTCCCCTGGGCAGTCACTGCGTCTCTGGCGACGCACCACACCATCCGCAAGGTGGACAACAAGGTCATCTGGGACGCGCTGGTCAACCACGGCGTCACGCACTACTGCGGTGCACCCACGGTGCAGATCGGACTCACCAACCACCCGGATGCGCGAAAGCTGGATCGCCGCGTCAACGTCGCCGTTGCTGCTTCGGCTCCCACGGCCAATCTGCTGGCCAAGATGGAGAGTCTGAATCTGTACCCCGTGCACGTGTACGGTTTGACCGAGACATACGGTCCGTTTACGCGGCGGTACTTTGAGCCCGAGTGGGCGAAGCTCGACGTGGACGCGCGCGCAAGGATGATGGCACGCCAGGGACATTCGTACCTCACCTCGGACGAGGTGCGTGTGGTGCGCACCGAGTCGTCCAACGACAAGACCACTTCGGACCTCATCGACGTCGCGCGCGACGGCAAGGAAACGGGCGAGATCGTGGTGCGCGGAAACATGACCATGATCGGATACTACAACGACCAAGCCGCCACGGACAAGGCTGTCATGAAAGGCTGGTTCCACACGGGCGACCTTGCTGTCCGCCACCCAGGTGGAGAGATTCAGATCCTCGATAGGGGTAAGGATATTATCATCTCGGGCGGTGAGAATATCTCGTCGCTCATGGTGGAGCAGGAGTTGGCGGCACATGCGGATGTGCTCGAGTGCTGCGTGATTGCGCGCCCGCACGAAAAGTGGGGTGAACGTGGTCAGGCTTTCGTCGTGCTCACCGAACAGGCCAAGGCGAAACTGAACGCAGAGGCGCTCAAACGCAAGGGGAGCAAGGAGAACGTCGAGTTCGTAGAGCTGCTCAAGAAACACTGCAAGGAGCGCATGTCGGGCTTCGCCGTGCCAGAGTGGTTCGACATTGTCGACGAACTGCCAAAGACAAGCACGGGCAAGGTGCAGAAGAACGTACTGCGCGCCCGATTCGCCTCCAAGCTCTAGTGCCCACCGTTGAATAATCAATGTATTTCCTTCCTGTGACGTTTGCGTGTCTGGGTTGTGTTGGGTGGGGAGATTACTTGAGGCTGGGGCTGATGTTGAGGCCGCCACGGATCCAGAGGGAGAGCATGTGGACGATGCCAAAGTTGAACGCGATGGTCCTGGCGAAGCTGTTGACCTTGGAGGTGGTGTTGAGGTAGAGCACGGTGTACAGCGCACGGGAAGCGAGGTAAGCGATGACAAAGTTGTTGATCGTCGCGAGCGGCAGAGCGGTGTAGTTGGCCCAGATGAGGGTGGCAGCAAAGAGGGGGGCGTTTTCGAATGCGTTGGCCTGGCAACTCTGGCCGCGGAGGATGAATAGCTCGAGCTCGGACAGCTTTGAGGTGGCGGACTTGGCGATGAGCTGTTGTACCCAGAAGCGCGGGTTGACGTTGGACCATCCGCCCTGCACCTTGTTGCTCTCGGCGAGGTAGATGGTGTACCAGTGCGGCAGCGCTGCGAGCGTGAGTGCGCCCAGAACGCCGATCCACGACAGGTTGGCCAGCGGATCCTTGCCGCCCGTCAAGGGCGAGATGAGGTCGCGAATCCACGTTTGCGAAGAGAGGTACGACGACATGTTGAGACAAAGCTGTGATGGTGAAGGTAGTAAGGCAGCAAGAGACGTCGTACAAACGGCTTTTTGAGGGCAGGAAGGACAATGCGGCTTCCATGCAAAAGCCGAGTTTCACGCGCGGCTTCCCTCCACTTTTCATCATCACTGCGCAGCGGCGCAAATGCGGAAAAGTCCCCACCAAAAAAAGTCCCCACCGAGGCCGCGGCTCCACACGCTGGGATTGCCGATTTCAACTCAGCCCTTGCGCTGTACGAGTCTCACCACGAGTATAGCCGCACAACTCAACACACCGATCGGGATGTGGGAGGTTCCACCCAGCCATCGCGAAAAGTACGCATGGATCCCCGATCATATCAGAGGACGCCTTCCGGCCTCGCTCGAGAGCATCGAGGTGGCGAGCTGCTACTGCACGGGCGAACGCATCTATGCCGTGGCCAAGATGGACGGCCAGCGAGTATTCGTCAGGATGGTGCGCAATGATGCAGAGCTGGCCAGTCACCCTCGCTATGCCAAGATTACGGCCAGCTCCACAGCGCGGGTGGTCAACCAGTACGAAGCACTGCGCTACGTGAGTCGCGAGACATCGGTGCCCGTGCCTCGCATTGTGGCGTACCAAAACGACGAGGATGTTCCGGCCGACTGTGCTCACACGTGCCTGCACCTTGCCACTCGCCCCAGCAACGCCGCAAGTGGACAGTCGTCGAGCCCTCAAACCAGAGCATTAACTGGCTCGTAGACAGCGAGAATCCAAGCAGTCGTAGCACGGAATGTCAGACTTGAAATGTGCTAGTTGCACCTACGTGTGTAGCCAAGATGAATTGGTGAGCGCGCTGTCTTTGCTTAGTACGAGACTGTGCATGGCGTTTCGAGAAGGGCAAGGTCAGTCGCATGTCTACTGCTCTACTTGGACTGTGCGATACTTACGCGACTTTTCAAGGATGCGGGCGAGGTGTTCGTGGCCGTCTGCGCCGTGGACGTCGCCGATACCCGGAGCAAGGTCGAGCACGCGCCTCTGCGGGATCGTGCCCTTGACGAGCGCCTCTACATGCTCATTTCCATACCCGATCTTGGACAATCCACGCGGCACGCCGAGGTCGGCAAGGAAGGCTGCGATGCGGTCGTACACGAGCGCGCCCACCTCTGCATCGGGCAGGCGCGCAATGTCGGTCGCCTCGCTTCCGTTCTGGTACCCCTCAAAGATCGCAGCGACCTCGCGGTGGCGGTCGGGAGCCGAGGGAGCGGTAAAGTCGAACACGGCCGGACCGGTGAGTGCGACCGAGATGCCGTGGGGCACGATGGGATGGTCCACCTGGTATCCGGGATGCTGATACTTGCCGAACTTCTTGTTGAGCCCGGAGATCGGGTACGACATACCGTGGCACAGATGAACACCGGCGTTTCCAAAGCCGATACCAGCGAAAGTGGCGGCGAGGAGCATCTGACCGCGCGCTTCGGCGTCGGTGCGGTCGCGTGCGACGCGCGGGAGGTACTTGACGGTCTGCTTGAGCGCCCAGAGCGAAAAGACGTCCGAGATGGGGTTGCGGCCCTGGTAGGCGGGGCGCTGGATGGGGTTGGCGGGGCGAGGCATGCGCTCGTTGTAGGGGATGGCCGTGTACGACTCGAGCGCATGGAAGAGCACGTCGAGGCCTGCACTGACGTGCACCGCCGTCGGGCACGTCTCGGTGTTGAGCGGATCGACGATGCCGAGCAGCGGACGCAGCGCACGCGAGGCGATGCCCGTCTTGGACTCGGTGGCGGTGTGGTCAAAGATGGCGGTGCCCGTGGTCTCGGATCCGGTACCCGCGGTGGTGGGCACACACAGCAGCGGACGCAGCACCTTGTCGATCGGCGTGCCGCGACCGATGGGTGCATTGACGAACTCAAGCAGGTCGGCTTCGGGATAGCACGTAAAGAGGTTGGCGACCTTGCAGGTGTCCATGACACTGCCGCCACCGACGGCGAGGAAGTGCGAAAAGTCCTGATCGCGCGCAAACTTGATGGCGTCGGACCAGGATTCTTCGTTGGGCTCCACCCTGCATCTGTCGTACACCTCGTACTTGACGCCGGCCTTTTCGAGGCCCTCGATGGACTGCTTCATGGCGGTGAGGCCGCGCACGGTGGAGTCGGTAAAGACACCCACCTTGCGCGCCTTCATGTTGGCAAAGTCCATGCCCACCTCGTTGGTGACGCCCTCGCCAAAGCGCACGTTGGACGCCGCCAGCTCAAAGGCGTACTCCTTCTGCACGAGGTTGTCGACGGGAGTGGCGTAGCCGCGCGCGTTGGCACCGGGCTGTGCGTTGTGCTTGGAGATCATGTTGAGACCGGCGCGCGCGAGGTTGGCGCCGCCGCGCGCGACGCTGCATCCGTGACAGGGACAGCCCGCCACATGCGACAGGCGCATGAGGTTGGCAATCGTGCTGCGACTCGCGGGTCCTGGCTTGGGCATGTTGGATCGATGTCGTGCGGGGTAGAGATGGGGGTTGGGGTTGTGGTGGAGAGAGGGCAAGGAGCAAAAGTGTGTGCCGGCTCCAAGTCACGAGGACCAGCGGCGTTGAGCGGGAGAGCTGCCGGTGGGCCCGTCTGCAACGGTTGTTCCGAGTTGCCGAGAGCCGTTGTCTGTGCGCTCTGCTGCTGGGGCTCCTCCTCGGCCACGGCGCTAATCGGCGCGGCTGTCCGCGATGCGTGCGAAAATACGTGGCCGAGCAGAGAGGAGTTGGAAATTCGGTCTGTGGGGCTCCTGCGGGGAAAGAAAAGAGGCGATGCTGAGCTGAGCGCACACGACAGCCAACGCAGCAACCCAGCAGTCGCCGGGCAATTGTCCGAGCTCATCCCAATCTCACCTGTCAACCTCGATCCACTCACAGGCAGGTTGTTCGAAGCTGTGTGTCGAAGCTGTGTGTCTAGAGTGTCCATTGCTGCGTCTATGAAGCGCATCTAAAGCAGGCTGAGGCCGAACACAAACATGGCGCCGGCGACCAGCGCCACGCTGTTCACTAGTGCCTGGGGAGCGGCCGCGCTGGACGATCCACCTCGGCCCTTTGTAGCGGCGCCCTTGGCCGAGCTGTTGGTGGCGTTGGAGGCCCCCTCGGGCACCTCTTCAAACAGTCGATACAGCGAGATGTTGTACGAGAGCATGGCGTAGTCCTCGTGCGAGACGTTGGGCATAAAGTTGGCTGTGTGCGTCTTGGGCAGCGCGTTACCGTTGAGTGCAGCGACCGACTCGACAAAGTGGCAGCCGCGCTCGAGGTGGTTGGCGCCCTGGTACGACGCCTCGCACGCCGTGTCGCCCTGACCGTTGTCGAGCAGGCCGTAGTTGTAGTGCACGTTGCGTGCGGCAAACATCTGCACCACCGCGTTCTGGTCGTCGCGCACCCGTTCGCGCGCATAGTTGGGCACGCCCGAGCCGTCCAGTCCGTACGCCCACTCGTCGTAGTCGTTGGCGCAGCTGGCGTTGTTCTGGTTGGGCCGCGTCGAGGTGAGCCAGACGTACGAGCCCGGGTTGCCCACCCAGTACGACACGCTGGCGTCGTATGCGGCGGGCTGCTTGACCACGGCGTAGCGCTGCACCATCTGCGCACCCATCGAGTGGCCCGCCATGACGACCGTCTCGAGCGCCGGGAACTGCGTCTTGTCGAACAGCGTGTCCATGAACGCGTCCATCACCTCGTACGACGACAGCGCCGTCGAACCCGGTCCGCGCGATGCCATGCCCGACTGCCACTCCGAGCCGTGCCAGTAGAGCTCGCCCGACTGGATCGCACCCGCCTTTGCGTCGTCCGAGTTCATCCAGCACGGGCCGAGGATGAGCACCTCGTCCTTGGCGGTCCTGTCGGCGGCGCTGGTGGAGGAGGTGCCGTCGGGGTTGTTACCCGCGCTCTGCGGGTTGGTGGTGTAGACGTTCAGCGCGTTCTGCACCAGCGAGGTGTACTTCCAGCAGTCGCGCGGCTTGCCCGGCATGACCATCACGGCGCGCTTCACCTTGGAGGCATCGTAGCCCTGCGTCTGGTAGAACGGCATGACTGCGCCCGGCTGCACGGCGAAGGTGCGGTTGAGCGTCATGCCCTCGATGTTGGGCAGCGCCTGCCAGCCGCCATCGACGCTTCCGTTGACGGCAGCCTCGGCGATGAAGGGCACGTTGGCGTTCCAGGGCAGCTGGGTGTTGTCCTCGACGAGGTTGTAGCGGTACAGTCCGCCGGTGGCGTACTGGCCTGCGATGAACGGCAGCGCGTTGGCTGCCTTGGCTGCTCCGACAGGATCGGTGAAGGCCTGCTGGTAGATCGCCTGCTGGCTCGCCGTGCTGCCGTCCGGAGCAACCGACTGTCGTCGATGCACGTTCACAGGGCGATACGCTGCGTGCGAAATGGGCCCAGCCACCGTCGGAGCTGCCGACGCCAGCACTCCCAGTGCGAGGACCACGCTTGACTTCATGATGAGATCGGCGCTCGATAAGACCTGCTATGGGCGCTGTTGTTTCCGAAAGAGATGATGGAGAGGGGAGCAGCGAGGGTCGAGAGATAGCAACGAGCGGCCGACACGAAGCGAGCCGCACCGCGGCTTCTGCTGCAAGGGAGTTGCGGTGCCTGACTCTTTTTTTCTGCTCAGAAGGAGCGGCAGGAGCGAGTAAGGCGAATCGAAGCCGCTTGGCCAGACGCCGTGTGTTGTTTCGGCGGCACTGATCTGCAAATGCAGCCAGCCAAAGCCTCGCCGATGCAGGCGATGCGCAAGCGAGCAGACGAGCAGGCGAGCCGGGTCGCTTGCAAGAGCGGCGCGTGCCGTGCTGTCACTCTTCCGTTTGGCTCAATCTTCTCTGCCGAACGGAACGCGTTCCGACTCGCCCTCGAGCCCCATTGTCTGTCGGCGCATCCGCCGCTCGGCACGCAAGCTCAAGCTCCGACCTCTTCGACCCACCACCTCATTTGTGCCTGCCGAACCTCCGAACGCTACTGATACCGGCACTGTTACCTTGCGGACAGTGAATTGCGCAATGTACCGCTGGCAAAGGAAATTGCTTCCTTTTTTTCAGCCCAGCATGGTTGCGTGTGCCGAGGCGCTTGGCAGCGTGCTGCTTCGGTCAGCGCGCACCGCTCCGAGTTTTTTGGAGCGGCGGAGCTGTGAGACCAACACGGAGCGGACTGCACCACAAACGCGCGTCATCTGCAGCCTTCTGCAACCTCTCTCTCGCCCTCTCGCCCTCTCGCTTCCGGCCCCGACTGTTTTTCTCCTCTGCAAGCCGGCCGGGAATGCGCTCAGCCTCACCACGCTTCTGGCCCGCTTCCAGTCGAGTGGGTTTGCATATCTTTGACGGGTCTACAAGTGACGTTGGGACATGCAAAGCCGACTCCGAAGAGCGCGAGCTCAACGTGTGTAGTGTGTATACGCCCGATCAGGGGCACTCGACCGGGTTGGGAGCCACAGCGCCATCGGCCCCCATATCCTTGGCATCGAGCGTAGCCATGTCCTCGGCATCGAGCTCGAACCCAAAGATCTCGGCGTTGGACGCAATGCGCGAAGGCGTGTCCGACTTGGGCAGCGGCACAAATCTAGTTTCACCCCACTCCTTGGTCAGTTGAGCTTTATCTTGACATCGGCTGGTTCGGGTACTCACCCTTTCTGCAGCGACCAGCGCAACAGCACCTGCGACCAGTCCACCTTGTGCTTGGCTGCGATCTTGACCAGCTCCGCATCGTCCGCGTACTTGGCACGCACAATCGGCTGTCGTTCCCGAAACAAAGTATGGTCAGCCGAGGTTTCGTTGATAGCTGACGGGGCAGACTTACGCAGTAGGCCTGGAGAACGATGTTGTGCTTGTTGCAGAATTCGACAATGGGGCGTTGCTGGCACCAGGGGTGCAGCTCGATCTGGTTGACTGCCGGCGTCTCGCCGGCGTCAATGAGCTCCTGCAGATGCTTGATCCCGCTGCCATCGCCACGACACAAAGGTCTGTCAGCTACGACCGTATCCACCGAGATTCGATGTATGGGGGATTTGACGTACTAGTTGCTTACGCCGATGGTGATCACCTTGCCCTCGGAACGCAGCTCCTTGAGCGCCTCCCACAGATGCTTGCGACCCTCGGGGCCAGAGGTAGGCGTGTGGATCAGGAAGCAGTCCACGTAGCCTGCACAATCACGCGAAGGAAACATCAGTACACCACGTTGCGGCTCTGATGTAATGTGGCGAATGGACAGCTTACCGTCAAGGTTGATCTTGTTGACCGACTCGCGCAGCGACGCCAGCGTCTCCTCCTGCGTCTTGGAGGGAGCGATGATCTTGGTCGTCACAAAGACGTCGCGACGCGACGAGTGCGTCTCGAGGCACCATGCACGCACCGCATCGCCCACCCTACATCCAGCACCAACCTCGTCAGTCAAAGTCATCTTTGCAACGTGTAGACGTGCACACTTACTCCTTTTCGTTTTCGTAGTACTGGGCCGAGTCCTACAATCACGCATACCTGGGTCAGCAAGTCCGTCCCAAGGATCAAAAGCAGAGATGCACGTACAATGTGGCGGTATCCCGTCTTGAGTGCGGTGGTGACCGACTTGACCGTCACGTCGGTGGGGCTCTTGTACACGCCAAAGCCGAGCACGGGCATGTCCACGCCCTCGCCCAGCGGATACGTCGACTGCAGAGTCAGCTTGATGGTCATTTTGAACAAGTGATGAGAAGGTTGGTTCTAGAGAGAGGAAGGATGGGGTGGAGTTGGTAGGAAGAAAGAGCAGAGCAAGGGACCGTGCGCTCGATCCCACTTCGCCTCCACTCTTGGACCCTGGCGAAGCGCCAAATTCCGCACTCGGCCTGCATGACTTGGTCAGCCGCCGCCTCGCTACGACTTCCGATCTTGCCCTGCATGTCCTACACTCCAGCCCGCCATTCGTTGTCACTCGCCTGTATAGACTCGTGCCCTGTTATCCTCTGACGAGATCGATGCATCTCCTCTACTTCACGCCCTTTGCTCAAACCGCGCGCAACTGCGAGAACAAAAAAAAGTAATTTAAATTCAAATGCCAAAAAATCATGGTCACGAAAAGCGACTCATGAACCCCGCAAAGTAAGCGGCGGCATGGTGACTGCGACTTCAAGAGCCTTTGTCCTCGGGCCAGGGTACGATGGGATCATTGGGATCGAAGGCGCCACGTTCATAGTGCGGGTCGACGTTCCTACTGCGCGCTTCACCCGTGACTGGTTCGGGCTGCTTGGTCGAACCCTTGCCCTGGTCGTCCTTGCTCTGGGCACTAGCATCGGCATTAGAATCGCGGTGGCGAGGGCCATGATGAACCCATACATTGCCTTGCTGCGACGAGCAGAATCGGTGTAGGTCGAAGGGTGGCTCGTCCAACCAGCCGCGAACGACGTGTAGAGGACAGTCGGCCCGAACCGCGAGGGTCAACTTGTTTTCGCAAAAGTCTTGGAACTCGTGAATCGCTTCTTGCAGCGTAGCGTCGGCGAGGAAGTCCTGACTTGACGAAGAGCTTGGAGTGCCAAAGGATCGCGCTGTCTTGTCCTGCGGCTGGGATGTGGGGTCCTTGCCTGGTTGGGAGGAGGTGGTTTCGCCACGCCGGGTGAGGGAGACCAGGCCCTTGTCGTCCTGGTCTTGCGTTGCGGGCGGATCAAGCCTACGTCGAGGGATGCCTTGGTCAGATTCGGGCTGGTTAGCAGGCTTCGAGTCTTGAGCTTTACCTTGGCCTGCGCTTTGCCCTGCAGCCTGTGCACCCGCTGGAGGTGCCGCTTGGGCAGGCTGGCCATTTTTGCCTCCCTCCTGTCCGGATCGAACCGCATCGCAGCGCTGGCAAGTGGGCAGGGCCGTGTGGCACTTCATGTGTTTTGTGCTCGTAAAGGCGACGAGTGTGTTGCACCACGCGATTGGCTGCTGTGGCTGCTCAGGATGGTAGAGCACCACCACGCTATCACCCATCCCCGTAGTCCTTGGCTTTCTGCGGTCCGAAGTGCTGAGTGTGGTTCCAGTGGGTTGGATCCCCAACGGCTTGTTGGGCGGATCGGGATGTCGGGACATGCAGAAGGTGAAGTTGCGGATGGCAAGCCAGCCGAAGCTTTGGGCGTGCGCCTCCATCGGGTCCTGCACCACCGCATTGGCTGCACCCGAATACACCAGGCCCAGCAAGTATGCCATCGCAAGCGCAAACGACGATGCTCGCCACGACATCCTACTCGATCTTCCCAGAGCCAGTACTGCAGGTCCAACGAAAAGCTTGGCTGGTCTTGAGATGGCGTCGGGAAAGCTGGAAGAACGATGTGGAAGATGAGCCGAGAGGAGAGAGGTGATAGCGGGAAAAGGTTGGGCTGGTATAGTCTCGCGAGCAAAGGTGGGAGGCGGCACCGATGAAGGTCGTGCCGCCCCACCATCTTTTCGGTCGAGGCTTCATATGAAAGCATGGCCACACGGGCTTCAGCCCGCCACTGCATAGTCACAACAATGACAGGACGCCGCTTTGATATTACACCCACATGCGCGCCTCGGGGCTAAACTCATTTCGCCACGCGCAATTGTAGCCCTGTCGGTACGTCATCAGTTGGCGCCAAGCGATGCAAACAGGCGACCCCCCCTGGGCCCCGCTTCCCATCTCCGCATCAACATCCTCAAACTCACTGCATCCAGCACAGATCTTGAGCTTGAACGAGAAAGATATGCAAAGTTGACACATATCGATAGGATGGGTTGATGTGAAAGTGTGCAGATCCGGCGGAGGCCACGCGAGTGCCGTCTGGGCGTGTGAGAGCTATTCCGAGCTTGAGCTGGAGCTGGAAATGGAGCTAGAGCTGGAACTGGACTGCCTCGAGCTGCCACTTTGCTGTGCGAGACGGGAAGATCTCAGCTGCTGTTCGGTCTGCTCGACTCTTTCTCCGCGCAGTTTCTGGATGGCATCCGAAGAGGTGAGGTTGTTTTCGACAATGTGCTCGTGCACCTGTTCCGAGGTATCGTGTACGCGCGGAAACTCGAAGATCTCGATGGCATCCTCGGCACCTGCAGCCACTTCCTCCTCCAGGTCACGTCGAGCGAGATTGCGAGTTCCGCGAGCCAGACGTTGGAACGCCGAAAGGTGGTTTCCAGCTGGCATGGCGGCTATGCCAGCCAGGCAGCTCGTGACGAGGAGAGAAAGGAACACGAGCGATCCAGATCGCCTCATGATTGCCTCGCTCGAATGTAAAGAATGTTTCGAAGCCAATGACGGACGATGTTTCTGAAAGGAAGCAATGAGCCCACGAGGAGATGGCCGTGGTCAGGTGTTCTTATCCACTCGAAGGGGAACAGTTCGCCGGCGGCACGGCATCGCAATCCCGGCGGAGACACCGATGTGACTTCTCAGCACAATCATCAGCGCAAGGTCGGCATTGAAATGGTGGGAGGGACGGCGCTGTGGATCCTTCTCGCAAGTCGCGGCGTCTTTGTGGCAGGGTTGCGGGTGCGAATCCACGCCTCGTCGCTTGGTGCTCAGCCCACATGCATTCACGGGCTCTCATTTCGGATTCAGCCCACCTGCTGTGTTGGTGGAGAACGTGGGGTTGTGGATTGCACAGCCATGATACCGACTGGGTCGCAGCATCTCACATAGCTTTGGCACTCAAGCCACGGCCAGCCGCACAGGTTGGCACCGTCGCTACTGCGACATGGTTGCAGGAGACAAGTCGGTGGTGACCCTGAGAATTTTCCTATTTGTAGAAGTCGAGGGTGTAACATTATCTCAAAAAATTGCATCCCAATATCGGGGCGGACGGCCGGAGTCGCGGTCCGGTGGGTCCGGAAAACTCCACCGCTTGGCGAGTATTTGCTGCAGCGAAGTTTGGCGGTCGAGGCTAGGTCGCCGAATGCCCGCGGGTGCGGCTCGTGCGGGCCTGCTCGCCCGCACTGAGAACGCACCGAAAGCGTCGACGCTTGAGCAGCAGCAGCCTGTCAGGACGCTCCTATTAAAGCAGCGATCCCATGAKCCGGGGGTTGTGATTGTTTTTCCCTCCCCAACCTAAACCCTCTTGGACATTTCATCTGGCTGCCAGGCACGCCCTTTGCTTCCGCATCCACGCAAGCACATCTACGCACGCATCATCGACAAATCATTCGAAAGAACGTAGCGACGCACACAACTCCAGTCATGTCGACATCCGAGGTAGCATGCGAAAAGACGCCGTCGACGTCGTCGTTGGGCCTCTTCAACCTTGCCGGCAAGACGGCGTTGCTCACGGGCGGCACTCGTGGCATTGGACAGGCATGTGCAGTTGCGCTTGCTGAGGCGGGTGCCAGCGTCATCCTCGCAGTGCGACCAGGCACGGCAGCCGGGAGCGATGGCAACCACCCTGCGCTTGCTGCGATCACGGCGGTGGCCAACCAGGCTTCGTCGCAGAAGCACTCGACTGTGGATGCGGACCTTTCGGACCTGGAGCAGGTCAAGACGCTGTTCGATCGTGCGCTTGCCCAATCGCCTTCGGGTGCGATCGACATTGTGGTCAACTGCGGCGGCATTCAGCGCCGTCATCCGTCGACCGACTTCCCCGAGGCGGACTGGGACGAGGTGCTCAACGTCAACCTCAAGGCGGTGTGGCTGCTGAGCCAGGCTGCGGGCCGCCACATGGTGCCGCGCCGCCAGGGCAAGATCATCAACTTTGGCTCGCTGCTCACGTTCCAGGGTGGCCTGACGGTGCCGGCATACGCGTCGGCCAAGGGTGCGGTGGGACAGCTCACCAAGGCGCTCAGCAACGAATGGTCCAAGCACAATGTCCAGGTCAACGGCATCGCCCCGGGCTACATTGCGACGGATATGAACGAGAAGCTGCTCGCTGATCCCACGCGTCTGCGCCAGATCTCGGAACGCATCCCCGCGGGTCGATGGGGCGACCCGGCCGACTTCAAGGGCCCTCTGCTCTTCCTCGCTTCGCAGGCAAGCCAGTACGTCAGCGGCGAGATGCTCGTCGTCGACGGCGGCTGGATGGGTCGTTGAAGTGGCGCCCGACGTGGTCCATGTCGAGTCCCCAAACAGTCTCTGATTCGTGTATAGAATGCAATTGTTGATAGTCGGCCATCCTGCAGCCCCGATGATGATGACTGCACTTTGGGAGCTGTGAGAAGAGGGCCGGCTGAGAGAAGGCCCACTCGAAGCTCCTTCCGGCTTGAAGGCGAGGTAGCCGGGCAAGCGGGGCAGCGGAGGAGCGTGTGAAATGTTGTTGGGAAGCCAAAATGCACGCGTCCGGCTCACTTCCGAAGGCGGGAAAATCGCCTCTTGGCCCGGGCCAACAAAGTGCACTTTGCGCTCGCTCCACATAAAGCGCGCCCAGGGTCCCATGCATCTGATGCATCTCTCTGCCTTTCCTTTCCGCCTCTGTCACACTTTCTATGCCCATGATGACGATAAAGGTCGCATTCCGCTCTCTGGCGAACACAAGCTACACAGCACGGCTGGGGCAGTCCAGCCGAGTCGGCGCCATCCGAGGCTTTGCGTCCACACGGCGTGTGAGCGATGACCAGATGCGCATGCTCATCGTCGGCTCACCCGGCTCGGGCAAGGGGACGCAGTCGACGCGGCTGCTAAAGCACTATGACTTTTCGGTGCTCTCTGCAGGTGATGTGCTGCGCTCGCACATCCAGCGCAAGACTGACATCGGACAGCGCGCCGACGCCGTGATCAAGCAGGGCGGGCTCATGCCCGATCAGGTCATGATGGACCTCATCGGCGCAGAGGTCAAGACGCTCGGTAGCGCCGACTGGTTGTTGGATGGATTCCCACGCACGCTCGGTCAGGCTCAGATGCTCGATGAGATGCTCGATGCCCAGGCCAAACCGCTTCGGCTCGTAGTCAACCTCGATGTGCCCGAAGACGTCATCCTCGACCGAATCCTGCGTGAGTCATGAATCCTTTTCCCAAGCCGTCCTATACAGAATGCACGCTGATCTTTCGCCGACAATATTACGATGACAGAGCGATGGACCCATCTGCCATCCGGCCGCGTCTACAATCTCTCCTACAATCCGCCCAAGGTCGAAGGCAAGGACGACATCACAGGCGAACCGCTCTCCAAGCGCGAGGATGACAACGTCGTATGTTCTGCTTTGCCTCTGCTTCCTTCCGCTGTTCGCTCATAGCTGACACTCTTTGACACGGATCTACGCGCAGGAAACATTCGGAAAGCGTCTCAAGTCGTTTCACGCCCAGACCGAGCCCATGCTCGAGCACTACCGCCAAAAGTCGGGCTCGGTCATCGACATTGACTGCCGCACCCAGACCAGCCCGGACGCATCGAAGACCAGCTCGCAAGACCTCTTTGTCAACCTGCGCGGCGACACCTCCAACCAGATCTGGCCGCACCTCGTCGCCATCGTCCAGTCGCGCTTCCCGGCGCTCAAACCCGCCTCTTCAAGCTGAACACGTCCACGTCCCGGTTCGTTGATACAGTGGAGAGAACAATATAATACAATACGAGCTCAGCCGTCTAGGCGCTAGCTTGACTGGTGGCGCCGATGGTGCGTGTGCGCTCGAGCTGGGTCTGCTTGAATCCTTCGACTCGGTCCTTGAGTCCCTGGAACTGGTCGAGCAGCAGGCGCAGATGGTGCTCAAACTCGAGGTTCGCCACCACCAGCTTGGCCACTTTTTCGTACTCGGGATTGGCGGTCTGCTGGATGGATGTGTGCAGCTTCTGCAGCGCCTGCTCGGCATCGTCGGGTGCGGCAAGTGGGGTTGGGTTGGCGGAAGAGCCCGACGAGACCGAGGCGGTGCGCTGGCGCGAATTGTAGTAGTTGCGTAGTGCAGGCACGTCGGTCATGGCCTGCGAGATGGTCGACTCGTTGAGCTGCATCACGCGCACCGAGTGCTGGAACGTCTGCAGCGCAGCCAGCGCAAGCTTTTGAGGCGTCGACACCAGCGTATCCTCCATACGCGCTGCAGAGCCGGCTGGCAACGAGACCTCGCCCGATGCAAACGTGATCACGTCCGCTCCGGTGGAAGGCTCAAGCATGAAACTGGGCATGCTCAGCGATTCGGCTGCATCCAAGATGATCGGCTCCAGCGCTTCGGGCGAGGATGTCTGTCGGTCCAGCATGAGAGCAGGTCGGTCGACGCATGCCTCCATGCTCCTGCGTTTGTTCTGAGCCGGTTGCGACTTGGGCCGCGGTGCGTCTCCTTCACTCTTGCGCTGCGGATGGCGCCATGACCGATCCTTGACCCGTACCGCAGTCGCCCTTTCCTCGACGTCCTCCTCGTCTTCAAGCGCCTCGCTGTGGGTGTGCGCTGCGTTCTCACGCTGCTTTCGAAGCCTGCGCTTGTGCGCCCTCGCCTCGGCCCGATCAAACAGGCGCGAGGTCGAGTTGGTGAGCACGCGGTGAAAGATGCTGCCGAACGCATCCTGCACCACTGCCAGCAGGATGGTCAGCACCGCCACGCCCATCAGGCCCCAGATCACAAAGATCGCGCGCCCCAGCTGCGTCGACGGATGGTAGTCGCCGTAGCCGATGGTGATCATGGCGATAAAGCAGAACCACATGGCTCCGCCGTAGCTCCAGCGCTCCGAATACGTGAATGCCACCGCACCAAGCAGCCAGAAGGCCCAGGTGACCGAGGCGGCCAGCACGAGCTTGGTGCGTGCGGCGACAATGGCTTCATGACGCAAATGCTCTTCAAACTGCCGAAAGTCTTGCTCGGTGCGCTGCTTGGCTACGAGCAGCTCGTGCTGCAGGGCGCTGATCTCGCGCTGGAGACTAGGATCGCCCGCGGTAGCCGCAGCCGACTTTTCAGAGGTGTGAGCCTGGCGCGTAGCGCCGTCGGATGCGGCGGTGGTGCTGTACGAGGACGCCGTCTTGGCGCTGTCGATGTTTAGCTCGTGCTCGACTTCGGGTGTGGCGGCTTGCTGTTCCATGCGTGCAAGTGCCTCGGCGAAGTCATTGCCATTGTCGTTAACAGTCCCATCGGCGTCCAAAGTGCCGGGCCCAAACGTGAAGGTGCGAGGCATGATACGACGGATGGCGCGATCCTGACGCTTATGTTGGCGGCGCGCCTCCTTTCGCTGGGCCAAACGTCGGCGACGCTCCTTGTTGCGAGCCAGAAGCGCAGCTTGGAACGTCTCGAGGATCGCACTGCGTGCAGCGGACACGACGAGCGCTACCAGCACAATGCCCACGGGCGCATAGATGATCACGAGGATCTTGCCACCCGGGCTGCCCGGTACAACATCACCAAAGCCTACCGTCAGCACAGTGGCGGTGGAGAAGTAGAGCGCGGTGATAAAGTCGATCTTGATGACGAAGACGAACACGAGCGAGCCGAGAGAGAGGTACAGGAGCAGACCCATCACGGCGAGCACGAGCCCCTTCTGCAGCTGGGTCAAGCCGGATCCGGCGTGGCGGAAGTCGTTGGTGCGCACATAGTCCATGATGAGACTGATAGTCACGAGCGTCGAGGTGATGGTCGAGGCGCACACCATCCAATAGGCCGCACTCAAGCTGAGTCCGTCCTTCTTGGGCCCATAGATGCCTCCGAACGTAGCAAGCGCAATGACGTTGATCACATCGTGCAGCATAAATCCAGCGATGGCGAGGGCGATGCTCACACGCGGTCGCAGAAGCTCGAGGAAGCGCGCGACAATGGCGAAGTTCGCCACGACCGCAGCACCGAGTGAGATGGCAAGGCCGACGGTGATGATGGTCGGGTTGTCGATGAAGCGTTCCACGATGCCGTCGGCGTCGATCTTGGCGTACCACTTGGACGTTAGGCCGGGCACCTCGAGCATGATCGAGAACGGCGCCACGATGCCACTGAAGATGGGCGTCTTGCGAACCCGCCATCCATGCCCCGGCTCTGACGAGTGATGCACACCCGCATTGTCGTGACGATGGTGGGGGTGGTGAGGATGCTCGTGGCTGGCCTGACCGTCGAGATCCGCCTCGGTGACGGTCAGAAAGGTCTGGAGCGTGTTGGAAGAAGGCAAGTTCGGTTTGGCCTGCCAGTCATCTTCCATGTGGCCGCGAAACGCTGACCGCGTTTTACTGGCATGCCCGTTGTGCTGGAGAGATGGGATGGGAGGGAGATGCGAGGTGATGTGCGTTGGCCGAGTGGATGCTGCACTTTGAAGCATTGGAGGTCGTTCTCGCATCTCCGCCTCGCCTTGGACCGGCATATCGCTCGTCATCGCGTCAAACCGTTGCTGCTGAATTGAGTCGGACAGGAGGCGGTGGAGAGCACGCCGACGACCGGACTGGACATTTTCGAAGTCGTCACGACCGATGCTGGACCGCTGAACGCAGCGAGGATGATGAGGCGACGATAGAAGCGTGGCAGAAGATGGCGGGAAGGTGCAGGACCAAGTGTGGAGGGCTCGTGTATGCCCGCCTTCGCACGGGAGGCTTCGAGGCATCATCTGCTGGTCTCCTCGCGCCGCCGCCGGCCCGCCCAGCAGGCCAGGGTCTGGACCAAATTTCCTCCTGCCCGCGTCCTACCTGCAGACGCCGGCATGAGCAGGGTTGCACAGGCTCCGCACGTGTCACCCTTCCGTGCCCTCGCCCTGGCTGCTGTCAGAAATGGCCTCTCGTCATGCTCTCTCAGGCTCAAGTCTGTCAACCGCACTCTACCAAGGATGGCGAAAGGTTCGATTGCTCGGCACGATGAGCTTTGACTAGAAGATCGCTCGTCGGAAAAATGCAGAGTCACCCAGCAATGTCGTGGCGCGTTTGGGCAGGAACATGCCGCCGAGCAACGCCATGCTGTGCTGCGGCGTCCTCACTCCTCCGCCGACCATGGCTTCGTGAAACACCCAGAACTCCGAATTGGGTACATCCGCTGCAGCGACAGGCGTAAAATGACCCGAAGCCACCGGCGTCATGAGGATGTATCGGCTGTGTGATCCCAGCGGTACCTCCAACCGGAACACTCGGGGCGCGTGGAATCGATGAGCGGCAAGCTCCCGTGCCACAGCCGACGAAAGACGATCGCCGTTCTGCGTGGGCATATACACCGCAACTCCGTACGCCCGCATCCCCAGCGGTGGCCACAGGTATTCGCCCTCCGTAAGCCCTTCATTTCCTACAGGTTCGGGTCGCAATCCTGCGTTGTTGAGCATGACATGCAGCTGGTGCCGAATGAGTCGCAAGATGCCCGGCTCGGGTCGAAAGATCCAAGTATCCAGCATCGGTCCAATCGAAGCGCCGAAACGCTCGAAATCCGTCGGTATCCATCCTGGCTGAGTGTAGAACTTGGACAGCACGGGGATATCCAGAGGATACGGCTGCAGCAAGAACCGCGTTGATCCGATCATGTATGGCCCGTACGACCTTCCATCCCCCGTGGTGAAGCGGCCTATCTGCCAGTAGACTCGCGGACTTTGAAAGCTGATAGGCATGTTGCTCGAGCTCGAGGCATGCGCCTGTACGTGGGAGAGCGTCCAAGGTCGATCCTCCACCCCGAACGGGTACAGCTGCGCGGCTTGCTCTCGAGAAGGTGCAGGCGAAGGCGAAGATGGTCGCCAGTTCGATTCGGCCGCTGGGGCAGGTGCGGGATCCGGCTGGTAGTGCACGCTGCGTGGATCGTCCGTCACGGGAAGCCTTGCATCGCGTGTGGCTTCCTCGCCATCCATAGCATGGCACCTGCCAATCGCAGTGACTCCAAGCAGCGCCAACGGCAGGAGCATCTTGAAGAGCCGCATCTTGAAAGGATACAGGAAAAGTCGAATGGTGGGAATGATGTGCGGTCGTACTGGGGGTTGCTACTGCGTCGTTGCTTTATATCTTTCGTCCAGCTCCATTGCATCTGCGTTTCAGAGCTAATGGAAGAGAGCACTTATGTCACGCTCCCTCGAATTTAGCTCGGAATCGCGTTGTGGGATGCTTGCCGACAAGCAAATCTGCATCTGCAATGTGCAGGCTGCTCGCAGCCAAGCAAGTCTGCATACATTGTGCACGATGCAAGGTATCGTTGCCGGATGACAACCGCCGCCATGTGCGCCTCACTTCATCGCCGGGGGATGACTTCCGAGCTAAGTTCTCTCACGCCAGGCATTGTCGGTGGTCGACCCTCATCTCGGCCAGCTGCAAAATCAAGGAAACGCAGAATGGGCACCGAAAGCTTTCCGACGCCGACCCTCGACTGGCGCCAGAAGGATCAGTCGCCGTCATGGAATCGACTGGACACAGAGGCCGCCTAAAGTGCCGACAGGACAGCGCGTCCCTCACGCAAGAGAGAGATTCGCGGTTGCAGACAACTATCATTGGCGTATAACAGCTATGATGCGTTGATGCTAGCTTACAGAAGACCCGCCGAGCCGCGTTTAGCACGTTGCCTTACAGGCAGAGGCGCGATAGCACAACATGAAATTGACTAACTAATAGCTTCAGACGATTGCGGGCCTCATCACATCGCTCAAAGCCCCAACGCTTCCAAAGCCCTTGGGAAGGAAGGTGGATCCCAGCAGCGTCATATGCGGAATGGTAGTCTTGACGCCTTTGACAGTCATCATCTCGAAAAACATCCAAAGATCCGACATGCTCGGCGCAAATGGAACGTTGGCTTGAAACACGGGCCTTGTCGTGAAAGCAAGGATGTGCCTCCCTTCGACGTTCAGGTGGAACAAGTCCGGCGAGGCGGGATCAAATCGCCTAAGTCGATCCGTCAACGTGCCGCGCAAGCGCCTCAAAACGCCCGTGGGCATGAAGAGCCTCCCGTTGAAATCCCTGTTGAGAGGTGGTGACAGGAATTGGCCTTCCATCAAATCAGGCGTTCCGGCTACACGGTTGGGATTGTAGCCAAAATGACCCAGCCGTGACCAGATGGTGCTTTGGATGGAGTGCAACAGTGCCGGATCTGGCTGGTAGACCATTCCAAGGGACGCGAAACGCGAACCTCGCACAAAGTCTTCGAAATTGGCCGGAACAGCGTCGTTTTGACTGTAAAGATGTCGTAGAGTTGGCGTGTCAATTTGATAGGCTCGCGCGACAAACTTGCTGTGACCAAGGCCGTAGATCGGATCCTGCGCGGTACCTTGCAGCTGGGCTTCCGCAGGGGCACGTGGACGTCCAGCTTCCTGACTTGAGCCTGCTCCAGATGCAGGTGCAGCAGCTGGGAAGACCGGTCGCGAAGGTCCAGCTTCGTCGGGCCTCCTGGTGACGGGCCGGAAAGCGGAGCCTGGTCCACCCATACGAGAAGTTCCGGCTTGAGACCGCATCGAAATTTCCTGGGCGGTCTGTCTGGCAGGTGCAGGCACAGGCAGAGCTGGAGTCCGAGCCTGAATAGCAGCCGCAGCAAAGGCCGGATTGGTGTCGGTCACCGGCATGAATGCGCGATCGGGAACATCAGGCCATCGCGTACGACGCAAGCCCCACCAGTTCCGACGGCCGGCATTAGGCCTTGATCCAGAGGAGGATTGCGGAACCGCTGCGGTGATCACCAGTAGCGTGGCTAGCACAAAGAGGCAAGAGATTCCTCGCATACTTAAAGTCGAGGCTCGCAGACTGAAAGCAGATGAGTTGTTCCCAGGATCGAGTCGGCCAAATTGGTACTCCTTCTTATACAACACACCGTGCTCAAAATCCTCCGCCCGCTGTACTTGCTCGGCTCTTCATGCCGCGAGCCTCTACGTCGGAAGCGAGCTCAGCAGATGGAGACTCGATCCCACAGCTTCAGTTTGTGTCGAGGCGAGCCATGTAGGATAAGCTTTCCCAGAGATGCGCACCGCATGGCGCCAAGCCACCAATTCATTTGCGAGAGCCGCAGGTGCCGCGGTACCTTCAGTGTGATACTGTGTGCCGTTTACGAAGCAGTTGCCACGAATGAAGGCCATCCTTCGGATGAAACCTCTGTGATGTGTGGAGGGCGATGGTGGATTGCATGGTCACGGATGCGCAGGTCTCACGCAAATGGTGGCTCATGTTCTTATCCAAGTACAATTGCCGGAAAGTTCAATAAGTGTGCACGAATGTGGCTGTTCAGCAGTGGGACTTCAATTCGTTGACATCGTAAAGGCCGCGCAAAGACATCCGGCCGGTGCACGCAACGGGCTGTCGTGCATCAGCCATATCAAACCCGTCCGTTAGCAGCTCCACCTCTGCGCGCGTATATACGGCACTAAGCCGCGCGATTGTGCTCAGATGAGCGGCGGGAATGTTGCTCCCATGCGGAATCCTAGTCATGACGATCGACCAGGTGAAACCTTCTCAACAGCGGGTCCCCAAACGCCTCCTCTCCTTACTATCATAGCAACGACCACGGTAACAGGGATCTCGAACTGGTTGCGTCCTAGAGCACTTGGTAGGACCAACGCTGTCCTCGAGCATGTTGTTCTGTTCACGTGAAGCTCGAACAGCAACTCACAAGACCTTCATCTCCTTGTCGACAATTCTCTCCTCTCTGCAGACCACCTTTGGCCTTGCGGAGTGGTTTGGGTCTGGCTAGACGCACCTTCCAGACACCCCATCGAAATGCATAAAAAGTGCTGAAGGTGATGACTTGGAGCGACAATCCAGCAACCAAACCACTCTTTAAACCTCCTTTAGCTTTCGGCAATGGTTTCCTACTCTCTTATTGCCGTTCTCAGCTGGACCGTCCTTGCCCTCGGCACTCTGGCCGTACAGCAGCCGGAGATAGAAGATCACGAGTGGCCTCCCTACAGAGCCTCGCTGGCTCATATACGATCGACGTTCGAGGAGCCGCGTCCGGCACCCGACTCTCGCGTCCAGTATTACTCCCACCTCCTCGCGGGTCAAGCTACCGCCGAGCGAGATGCCTGGGATTTTGCTCATCAGCAGGGCATGGGGCCCGTCCATGTGAGCTACGACTACAACCGCCGCTATGCCTACGTGACGACCAAGATCCCACGAGAAAGCACGCTAGGTAGGAAGTGGGGTCTCGGCCAGCCCGAGATCAGTGACCTGGGCTTTCGCCGCACGAAGGACGCCTATGCGTACTGGAAGGTCGACAAACGAGGTGCTCAGCTGTTGCGCCTGGACTTGTGGAGCTCAGGCTCCCATGCTGCTCAGACGACATCGTGGCAAAACGTCTACCGTGGACTCAGTCGTGGTCTTTTCGGCTGCCTTTCGTGCTTCGGCTAGGGTACTACCACGGTTGCTCGTATAGAGGCTGGTATAGGAAGCGATTCTTCTGCTTGCATCTTGGCGCATCTTAGATGACTGCACTTCGATCGTCTAGACCGCGAACAGCATACATAGACGGCCCCCGTCCTCAACATTGATTCTTTCCAGAGACTGTTGTCCACCACCTCCATATCCTTCACGCATCAATTCATCATTTTCTTTCAACAAAATAGCAACGTGACGATCGTGCGATCAGCACGTCTGTTCCACCTCATGGATGGGAGAAGCACCATGATGCGATGCCCGATCACCCCCTCCTAAGCGGGTCGGATACGTCGTCAAAGTGGTTCAAACGACTGCCAACACGATCTCCAGGATTGAGCCGAAAGCACGTGAAGCTTCCATCTAGGTTTGCAGGATGGGTCCACAGTAGTCTCCGTCGTCTAGCGCAGTAGCGCTGGTCGGCGATCAGGCAAAAAAGCCGCGGAAGCAAGAATGTTGAGCTGTGTGTGGGTTGTTTAAAAAGTTTCGAATCTGAGTGGGTCGGTAGTCCGGAAGCTCAGTGGTCATGTAGGAAGGATGAAGCGGGTGGGCGAAGGCCGCGACTTTTCATCTTGCTCAGGGCTCCGAACGCAGGGTGCCTCGCACCTTCCAGCCGCAGTAACTCACTCGGAACGATTTGAAGCAGAGGACAGCGTGTCTCGTAGTAGAAGCCGATAAGAATGCAAGTGGAGATCGGCCCACACATCTTCATTGTCAAAACCATGGAAGCGCAATGCGACGGCGGAGATGCCACTTGTTCCCACACATCTTGGCTGTTGAGTGGGTCGAAGATCAGCCTTGGGTGGGGACAGCCCACCAGGTCAGATGATGTCAGAAGAGACGACAAGCTCAGCGGAGCGTGCGTCTAGAACGACTGATGTATGCATACGAGGGAGAGAAACACAGAAGGAGCCGGATGCCAAACGAGTCATGATGCCAAAAAAGGTCGTCAAAAGGTGACATTGGATAGTAAGGTTTGAGTCCGAGTCTGCGCACTCTTCCGCCAAAGCAATCTTTTACGAATCCCACTTCATCCAGTATGAAGCCAAGACAAATATTTGGTGATTGGTCCCCTTCTGTTGCCTCCTTTTGTTTGCAACAGCCGGCCCGAAGATATGATGCTCATCTACTGCATTTGTTTGCGCTGCATTGTGCCCCACCTGCGCCGAGGTATCGACATTGCAACGATGCAGGGGAAAGCAATGAGGTATTCTTACATGCAGATCCGAGTGACTCTCAAGAAGAAAATTTTGTCCGGCTGACGGTTCCTGCAGAGCATTGTAGCCGTTGATGCAGCAGCTGTAACGGTATAAGTACGCGACCCTCGATAGCGCACTTCGATCCATGCTCCTTATCCCAGCCGAGCCTCTACAGCCCAGCCAAGACTCACTAACACGTTCCTCAAGATGGTCGCGATCGCTCAACGCCTTATGAAGTTCTTCCTGCTGCTGACCGTTCTGGTCGGTATCTGTGCAGCCGCAGGCAACAGGATTCCCAACCCGCCGATGAACGATGTCGACTGGAGCATGGTTGACTATGCCACCGTGGACCAGGCCCAGAGGTTCCTGGACATCGGTGCGACGTGGAATCGAAGGGAGCTGCCAGCCAATCAGAGAGTCCCGAACTTTACCAATCGGGCCATGTCTCTCGTTCAGGAGAGGGCCCGCTTCGTTGGCAGCTACGTCAAGCCGAACCGCAACCCAAACCTGATGGGAGACAAGATCACCTACTTCTACACGCTTGTTCACCCGAACGAAAGGCTCGGCAGGGAGATGGGCCTGGGCCGCAACATGGGCGACATCCTCTTCAAGCATTCGTCTCTGACCAACACGTTCAAGATCGTCAGGGTCAGTGCAATCGAGCACAACCCCCAGGTCAACTGGATGTTCGAGCCCCTCGAACAGATCCTGCGTAACCACTAAACGCTCTGCTCTGCTCGAGACAGTGCATCGCAGCTGGGCCGGTCCCAAGCATGCCGAAGCACACCAGCACTCGAGCCTCTTTTTCTCCAAATCGCCGTTTGCGGCATTCCCCGTCAGCCGTTGTGTTCCTGAATTTCTGTCTTCACACTAGGCCTTCTTGAACGTTTAATCGAGGTACGCACATCTTTCGGCTCACACATGCTGGCTTATAGTAATTAGGCCACAAAGTGTCGTGACTTGGTGCGCGGTGATCGTCTGCAGATTTTGTCCCTCATGAGGGGCGAGCGCTATGAAGCCTTGTGCAAAGTTGCGGCGTGTGACTATGAAGAGGCAAACTCATACGAGCGCCTTTTGCCGTATCACGCATCTCATCTTCCGTGGTGCCAGCGCCGGCTGCCAAGATCTCGCATATTCCGCCAGATCCTATTGTGATGGTCATTAGTTGCCGAGGACGAGCATCAACATTTGCTGCGGGGAGCTTCTTGTGTGCGTACATAAGCGGCGTCCGGATCTGCAGCCATAGAACCGGACGCCCACTAACAAAAGGCTGCAACATTCCATTTCAGCCGTTCCGACGGAGTCCGTTGGGCCGAGACATTCTCGGTTGCACTGTTTCTGGGGTCATGCGATCAGCTTCGCACATGAACGGACGTCGAGTCTGGAAGATCTTGTGATTGCCGGCGGTCATCTGTGTGAGACAAGGCTCGACTGCCGTGCAGAGCTGCACTTGTGCGGATGAAGAATCCCTATGCTTGTCGACCCAACGCCAAGAACTGGACTCTCACGCCCTCGGGCCACCCTCCGAAGGTGAGAAAGACCGAAGGAATAGCAGGGGCAAAAGGCATATAAGCGCCGTCCAAACGGCACCTTTTTTGGTCTTTGTCACTCATCCAATCAATCACCGTCTCTTCCTGATCCAGACGCCACTCAAGATGACGTCCAGCTTCCGACTTGTGAGCATTGCTCTTCTTTTCGCTTGGCTCGTTAGCCTTGCTGCCGGGGAATACCTCGTCGACACTGCTCTCGACGACAGAGACCGCGAGATGCTCCAGCTCTCACGCAAGTCTCAGGCTATTCGGCACAACATCGCTGGAGCCGTGATGGAGCCTGCGTCGCTCGCGGCGAATCTGGACGTCAAGGACTTTGCCAATCGTGCGCGGGAAATCGCACGCAAGCGAGCGATCTACGTGGGCACGCGGAACCAGCTGCGCATGAGCCCAAAGATGGTCGGCGACACGCACACGTACTACTACACGGTGATCCATCCCATCGAACCTCTGGGCGCCGACATGAGGCTGCAGGACAAGATGGCCACGATTCTGTTGAGGTACTCGGCCCAAACGGGTAGGAGCAGCATCGTGCATGTTGGCACCATCAGACGTGACCCGCGGGTCGTGTGGGACTTCAAACCGCTATCATACTTCCTAGCCCACTACTAGCCGGGCCTGCTCGCCAAAGTCAACAATGCTTACTCCATTTCTAAACCTTTCTCACTCAACTTCGGGTACTGCTGCTGTGATCGTGATGACCTGGATGTTCGGAAAGCGTGTATCTCAAGAGCGACCGAATTGCCGTATGGGGATAGATTTGGGAAGGCTGGGCCATAGGCATGGCGTCTAATGCCCTCGGCTTTCGACCCTGCCTCCTGCCAGCACTTGGCTTGCAGTCAACACCATGCCCACCATCACTTTGAGCACAGCCATGAAATCAACCGATTGAAGCGCACAGTCATCGAAGGCGCAAATGTGTTCGTCTTGAAACGTGATGTCGATCGAGTACGTCGAGCCATTGAACACTGTACTCGATCAAAGGGTGCGCGATTCTACCGGTCGAAGTGTTGGAGCATGCAGTGGTTGTACTGGGACGCTGATGCTAGGCGACACACAGCACGAGCTGATACGAATGAAAGAGCTGACGGAGGTGCGAAAGGATGAGATGGTTCTACAGTCTGAATGAGCGAGTACAAAGCCGACCAAGTGAGCGACTACAGGGGTGCGACGCTCGCACCCCTGTAGTCGGAGTACGGATCACAGCCGGCGTTGATTCAGTGGGCGCATACGATCTGTGCGTAGCTTACACGTACACGTGGGCGTATAGGGCCGTGCATGCATATGCCGGGCCGAGCGAGCCCAAAACCCACCAACCCTACCCTCTCTTGCACGTGCGTGTCGGCGCGGGGACTGACTCGCATTGGTGCTGAGCCTAGTAGGTCTCACCTAAAGCCCAAACCTCACGCAGCCCAAACCTCACGCAGAGTGATCACTCGAATCACCCCATGGCACTGTCAAAATTCAATCACGTTCTTCACGACGGTGCACGACCAACTTGTGATTCTCATCACCAAACAGGGGCGCCGAAAAGATGATGCTGATCGTGAGCCAAGTCGCACAGCGGTGAGCTTGAATGCCAACAGGCCACTGCACAACCAATACGACTCGGTGCAGCCGCCAAGTCGAGTCTCAGCGCCAATGCGTAGAGTGTAGCTTGTCGAACGTCGATCAACCCGACTTCGATCTCATCAGAAAAGGATCTTTACACCACACAAAGGCCAAGTGGACAAGAAGGTATGATGCGCAAGAATATAATTACAGGCATGCAACACGACGAGATGCGGACGCAGAGAGGCCGAAAAGGTAAAGTAGAAACCAGACGGTGACAGAATTGGATGACGAGGAGTTTTTTTTTTGCGACAAGGAGGCGATTTAGAGGCCCTTGTCGATGGTGGAGCTGGTCTGGGAGTCTGCGCCGATGCCCTCAGAAGCCGCTGCAAGGGCAGCGGAAAGGTCGAGGTGGAAGAAAGGCGTGAGGTCGTTGCCCCAGATAAAAGGCACCGACACCTGGGATTCGGGGTTGGAAGGTCTGCGGTCCTCGCGGTGACCCTGTTCAACATCCTTTTCGAGGCTGTTTCGCGACGGGGAGGAGTTGGACGACTCGGCGCGCTGACCCTCCTCGAGCGTGTGGACATCGTACAGTGCCTCGCCAATGGCGACCTTGCGGGTCGTCAGGATGCGGTCGGGATCAGTGTCGTCCGTGTCATCGTGCAAGTCGACACGGCTCCTGCTGGCGGCGGCACCATCGCCTGCAAGGCCGGCCTCGAGCTCGGTGAGCGGCTTGGTGGGGCGACCTTTGAACGGGTAGGCCGAGCCTTCGTTGGCGCTCTTGTGGCTCATACGTTCGATGGCCTTGGCGCGGCGCGCGGCTTCGGCATCCTCGCGCCTCTGCAACTCCTGCGCACTCAGCGTGGCGTTTTGCGGCTGCGACACAACGGGCGCCACATCAGTGATGCGCTTTGAAGGGAAGCCCAGTCCAAAGCCACCGGCAAGAAGGCCTCGTCGGATCCAGGGGGAAAGGATGTTGGCAAAGTGGAACTCGACCTTGGCGTCGGCATACCGCTCGACGGCAGTGCGAACGTCGACGAGCGTCTGCACGGACGTGGTGTCGATGTTGCTCACCGAGCTAAAGTCAAAGACCATAGCGCGCAGGATGGGGCGTGTGTCGCGGACGGCAGCAAGCGCATCCGAGTCATCGAGCGCGTTCTTGCGGCCTCGGCAGGTGACGGCCCGTGCCGCCTTGACGAGGTGCGGGTTGGGCGGACCGGGATCGTTCCACGGACGGTCACCCAGACGCTGTGACGAAGCGGGCTTTCCCGGACGCGTAGTCTCCTTAACCCTGTCAATCAGCAGATCGGCCAGGTGCGAGGCGTTCGGATAGGTAAAGGCCTCTTCGAAGCGGTAGATGAGCACGCCGGGCGGGGGAGGCTCGACGTGGATCGACGGGTCGCGCATGCCGTCCTTGTCGTCGAGCGGCACAAACACATCGCGGTGGGACAGAGTAATAGCCGACTCGTTGGGCGCGGTGGTGCCGTGGTGAACACGCACGATGCCGAGCCATCGACCGCGGGGGCGGGCAATGCGGATGAGCAGCAGCGCAAGCGAAGCCGCCACCGACACGTACACACCCGTCTCGGTGCCCGAGAACACGGTGGCAACCACAGCACCCACAAAGATGATGAGCTCGAAAGGGTTGATCAGCCAGAACTTGTACGAGACCGAGAACGGCACCACCAGGTCCGTGACGGCGTGGATGATGACGGCGGAGAGGACGGCGTTGGGGATCCAGTAGAACGTGCCGCTGAGCGCGTAGATGGCGATGAGCACGAGGATACCGGTGAACCAACCGGCAAGCGGGGTGCGCACGCCGGACTTGGACTTGATCGCCGTTCGCGAGAACGAACCGGTAGCCGCATAAGCGCCGAAGCACGGACCGACGAGGTTGGTGACGCCGATGGCGACGAGCTCCTGGTTGGGGTTGATCTTGTAGTTGTTGAGACGACCAAACGATTTAGCGATGGCGATGTGTTCGAGCAGCAGCACGACGACCGAGACGGGCAGACGGGGGGCAAGGTCCGAGAGCAGGCGCGTGTTGAGGACGGGCTGACCGATGTGCTTGAATCCCCGCGGCACGGTGAGGAGGATGGAGATGGGGTACTTCTTGGGGTTCGAGTAGTGGCCGAGCCAGATTCTCGAAGCGACCGTAAAGACGATGATGACGAAAGCGTTACGCAGCACCGAGACGAAGAACATGGTGCGGGCGGTGCGCGGGTATCGCGTAGGCAGCCATCCGCAGAACCACTTGATCCAGTAGAGGAAGACGAGCGCAGGCAGACCGAACGCCGCGTTGATGTTGGTGTCGGGCAGAGCCTTGAGCGTGTCGATGATGACCTGGTAGGCGGGATTGCTGTTGGTCTGCACCTTGGACAGGCCGAGCAGCTTGGGCACCTGACCGGCGGCGATCTGGATGGCGGAGCCCGTCATGAATCCAGCCACGGCGGGAGCGGGGATGAACTCGATGATGAAACCCAGCCGCAGCAGACCGATGCCGAGACAGATGACACCGCACAGGAAGGCGAGGGCGGTGGCGATGGTCTCGGGCGCCCACTCGCGCGTGCGCTGCAAGACGTGCTGGACCACATTGAACGTCTGGAGCGACATGACGGCGACGGGGCCGATGGTGACATCCTTGGAGGTGGCGAAGATGGCGTAGATCATGACGCCGACGAACGACGAGTAGAGACCGAACTCGGGCTTGAGGCCTGCGAGCTTTGCGTAGGACATGGACTGGGGCACAACGACGAGGGCGACGGTGATACCGGCGATAATGTCGCCGATGAGCCACTGGGTGTTGTACGATGCGATCCACTTGCGGAAGGGGAAGAGGCTGTCGAAGTAGTCGTTGGCCTTGGAGCCCGGGTGGCGGAAGATGTTGCCGAGCCAGTCGCGACTGCTGACGACGGGCACGCCGACGCGGTTGATCTCGTTGTCATTGTAGCCGATCGCCCACTTGAAGGCGTCGGTGCCGCGTTGGCGGATGGAGGGCTTCTCCTCCTGGTGCTGCAGTTGCGAGGCCATGATGAGGAGGGGCCGGAACACTGTGCGGCGTATGGAACGACCGCGACAGGAAGGGAAGGGGTGGGGGGGAAGGGGGGGGGGGGGGTGTATGTCGGCGAGGCAGACGGACTTCTCTAATGGGCGACTATATAGGAATGCACGCGTTGGTCAGCTCGCCACGAAGGGCAGGTTCGGAAGCGCGAGGAGAACCGAGCTTGTGGAAGCCGAAATCAGAGTTTTGCGCGACGGTGGCGAGGATGCAGGGCTCGTGTGCCAAGGTTGCGGGCGAGCAGGCTAAGCGAGACGGCGGCGGAAGGGAGAACTCGCTGGTGGACGAGAGAAGAGAACCGCAGGAACCGCTGCGAAGCTTGGTAGTCTTCTGAAGACGGAGGAAGAGGGCGGGTACCACGCGGCGAGCGGCGGGACGGCAAGGGCGGCGGGTGGCTGAAACGAACGGAAGTTCACGACGACGTGGGGCCTAGGTACCGATTCGAGCAGAGAGCTTCTTGGCGTGCTTTGTCGAGGAGCAAGCGAGCTGCAGGATGGACGTTATCGACGCAAGCAGCTGGATGGTGCTGGGTATGGCGATGGTGCGACCAAGGATTGCGAGGAAGCCGCCGCGTGGAAAGAGTCGGAGGTCTGGACCCGTGTTGGCAGGAATGCAAGACGAGACCACTAGCGTGGTTCCTGACGAAGTTGCGGGATCGATGGGGCTGGCTGAGAAGCAGGAGCAGATGGCTGGGCGGGATTTCAAACGAGCCACAAGATGGCGTGCTGAGTGGTGAGGGTTAAGGAAGAAGCAGCGGTGGGGACCGAGGTGGGCTGCGTTCCAACGAGGTGATGGCAGATTCGGAAGCCATGGTGAAAGGCGGCGGGGAATGGCTTTTGGCAGTCAAAGGCGCGGTGGAGATCGAGCTAGAAGATCCGGCCTTGTTTGAGCTGCATCAGGCCGAGACTTGGCGGGCAAGGCTCTTCATCACCTCCAGGCACGGGGACTCCTGCTCCACCAAGGGGGAGGGGAGGGTGGCGGGAAGATGTCGGCGGGAAGTTTGCATGTTGCGCATGGCGACAGTGTAGCAAAGGCAGCATGCAGGTGTGGTTGAAGAGTGGCATCCGATTGCGACATCGGCGGGGAGCTGTCATTCTGCGCAGCCTCTGTGTCGTACAGAGAGGTCTACAGCGACCGGATCAACTGCGCGGGCGTTCTTCTGGTTGACGTGCTTTTTTTCGGCGCCTCGAATCGCGGAAATCCCACACCGAAACGCCGCCGCGGCGTCCGCTGTGGAACGTCTGGAACGAGAAGTTAACATTCGCATGACTGAGCAATCGCCCCGCCCGCGCCAAATTGGAGCAAATTGGGTTCACCCGCGGCTGCCAAACTCTTCGAATCACAAGCCAAGATCTAATCGGCCTCTGCTTGCGATCTGAACATGCATACCCCCCGCAGTCCCGGTCTTCGTATCTCACAAGCCGTAGTATGCTCCAACTCGATGCTGACATCCTCTTCTCCATCGTCGTAGCATAAGATAGCACTGCTATAGAGGTTGGTGGGGTCGAGAGAATGTGGATTGGGAGTGCAGCTGCTGGAAGGGTGGGACACTGCCGCAGTGAGGCGAGGGCCCAAAATTTATCGCCGAGAGCACGCCATCGGAACGCGCGTTGACGACGTGCTGCTTGCCCGGCGCCTCCACACGGTGGATCTGCAGGGTTGCTCCATCTCGCAGCGGCCTGCGCGGTGATTTCACCACAATGTTAGCTCCTCGTCTTTTGTACAGAACCTAGTTTTTTGCGCGTTCGATCCGTGCGAGACTTCTAGCATGCTATCCAGCCCACTGATGGCGACATGCCATTCCTCCTCCTCCCACCCGTAGCGCCGCATGAATCTACACAGCTGCCACAGTAACCACCACGCCTATGCGAGGCACACCACCAGTACAGCACTCAAAGATTCATGCTGTTGTCTAGATAAAACTAATTTGCAGTCGGGTTCATGCAGACAGCGTTGGGGAGTCTAGCCCCTCATGCTTGGCCTTGGCCTGGCCGCTGCTCTTCGGCAGGAGACTCGGGCGGTGACTCGGCAACGGCGGCCTCGAGCGCATGCGCCACATTGGTCATATCCAACGCCGTCGAGGGCACCGCTACGGGTCGTGCAAATCGCGGGCTCGACATTACCCCGGCGGGCACTAACGGCGACCGCACCCGCTCGGGCGGCGCAGGCATGTCAAAGTACGACTGAGCAGCTGCAGCTGCCTCGTTCGCCGAGCGTTCCTGCGTCACGTTCGAGACCGAGTCTGGAGTCGACGGAAGGGATGGCGACATGGCGGGCGTAGCTGGCGACGAGCGTCCCGAGCCGGTGGAACGATGACCTTCTCGACTCAACGACCTCGTCCGTGCCGCCTCTTGCTCGATGCGCTCCGCCTCTTCCAGCTGCCGCATCATGCTCCTTGCTCCGTACCGCATGACGGGACTCTGGCGCGCCATCTTCTGCCGTCGAGCCATGATTTCGCGCCGCAGCGTGTCGTCGCCCTCTTCGAGTCCCGTGGGATTCGGCGGCTTTGGCTGAACGCCACTCGCTTCCCTTGCGCCGCCACCCACCCAGCTCAGTTCGCCTTGCTCGACCGCAGGCGAGGCAGGTTCGGCCTCCAGCTCGGCCTGCGTCATGGGGTGCGCCGTTTCGTTGTGCAGCTGCGCCATCTCGTCGGCCTGAATCGCAGTGCGGCTCGTGGATCGCGGCAGCCCGCCCGAGGCCGTCACAGCCGTACCGTTGCCGCCCCGCGCAGCCGCGGCGGCAGCATCTTCTTGCGCCTCGAGCCAGCGGATGCGTGCTGCGCGCGTCCACTTGGGCTCGTAGTCGGACGCCAGCCCCACCTCGATCGTGTGCTGGCAGTTCTTGCAGCTGCATTCCGCATTCAGAGGCGCCTCAAACGGCCATCGACCCGCCTGGATCTCACGCCTGATCGCCGTCTCGTCCATGTGAGCCGCGTGGCTCGAGCTGCTCGGCTCGGATCGCGACGCATCTTCCGAAGCCGCTCTATGGAAGCGTCTCCACCGCGACCCTTTCGACTTTTCGGCCGGTTTGGTCGCTGGATGGTTCTCGTTGGGGGTGACGGCATCGCCGCCCCATGGATAGCGTTCATCGTCGGGCGAGCTGAGCGGCGACGGGCAAATGACCGGGTTGCCCTGGGCGCGCCGTCTGCGCTCGAAGCAGCAATCGCGATCGTTGGAGCGCGTGGCTCGAAGCGGCCGCATGCCGTCGTCCATGAGCGTGGGTGGTCGTGGCGCCTGCGGAGTCTTGGAGCGTACGAGGCAGCTTTTGGGCGGCGGGCGTGCAGGCGAGGGTGTCTGCTGGCGCAAGTTGGTGATGGCGCGAATGTAGGGGCTGGACGAGCGCTCGTGGCCGGGCAGTGGAGATGCGGTATGCACGCGTTCGACTGGCATGTGATGGTGCTGCATGGCCACTCCGGACACGGCCTGGCGGAATTCGGCGTCAACGTCGTCAAAATCGATCGACTCTTCCTTGGCAGGCGAAGCGTCTGCGAGGCCGTCATCCTCAAAGGGTATGAGTGGACTTGCAGTACCCCGGGCAGGTACGGGTGCAACCAAGCGGGGCGCACTGGAGCTGGTCGGAGCGCCAAAAGCGGCCGAAAGACTGCCGGCGATAGTGTTGGAGTCGACGCCGCTACTGCCCCAGCTGGTCAGACGCGTCTTCCACGATGTCGAGCCGCTGGGCACGCCTTGACCCAAACCGGAAGCTTTCCTGAGCTGAGGCGACTTGGCTCGAGCGAACGGCGGTGAGATGGTGCGAGCGATGAGACTGGCGGGACGAGACGACGATGCGACGATGGGCGGAGACTGCGCACGAGTAGGGCAGAGACTGAGCAGCTTGCGGAGGTCGTTGCAGTCGCCCTCGGGGATCACCTGGCACTTGGCATCGAACGCTACATGCCTCGAGCTGGCTGGCGATGCGGTGCGAGTCACCTCTGCCATGATGCAGTTCCCTCCGGCCAGAGTGTGTATGTAGATGCGATATGGCGTTGGAAGATTTGTGCGTGGTGCTTGGAGATGTAGAAGGCTATCGATGCGTCATGCTGGTCAAGGGTCTCGCCTGCAACAGCTGCACTGGCCTGCACGCGAGACGAAGAGGCGTATGGGGGTGATAGTGATGGCGATGGTGATGGTGGTGGTGGACAATGGACGAGGCAGTGTCCGACTCCAACGACGAGGCAAGTATCAGGCCATGCGAGCGTGCGATGTTTTGGCACGTCAACGTTCGAAGCGAGCCGTTGACCGACGCTGTGCGGCTGAGGCGGCAGAGGCCCCGATTTCGCGGTCCCTGCATCCAACACAGCCGTCCGAAAGCGTCGGGCAGTTAAGAATGCGAAATTTGGATTTTGGATTTGGCTCTCCGCCGCTGCACACTGCAGATCCACAGCCTTGGCCTGGCTCTTGGCCCCAGCTCGCTCGAGTGGATTGGAAGCAGCGCCTGATCTTGTGACCGCGACCATGCAGGCACACATGTGCTCGGTTGGGCTCCAGCTTGGCCGCCAGCTTAAAGCTCGAGCGTGTACGAATCGGGCCCGATTCGACCACCTCCACACTGCTGGAGCCGCACCGCTGTGAGTCACAATTTCGACATTTCACAATCACGTTGCAGCAGCGGCTCATCCTGCGGCACTGTGCGGAACTGCACGGCCGCACGGCTGCACGGCTGCACAGCGACCGGGCCCGGCACTTTCATGCACACACCGCCTCGAGGGCATCAGGCTTGGCGTTTGGCTATCCGCACACCTCAACGCTACCCTACAATCCGATCGTATTGCAGACTCGAGCAGGCGCACAGGCGGATACGCATCTCTCGCAAAGCTTTGTGTCTCTCGCGCATCTCTGTTTGCTTCACGATGCAATAGTCTGCTCCAAGCCCCAGCAGCGGCGGGTCTCTATCCGCCCGACGCTTTCATATCGCACGGCATGCGTTGCTGATCCTTCATCGTACATCATCGACAGACTAGCGACACTCGAGACTTTTGTCGTTGCGAAGTAGCACGGGCGCAAGATGTCCTTCTACAGCGCCTTTCCGACCAGCCCGCTGAGCCGCTCGGCGCTCGAGGCAGACTCGAGCTCCGAGCGTACCTCTGCATCCAAGACTTTTGGGCCAAGAAGGTCGCCAGCACAGTCCACGTCGGCCATGCCGATCGATCCTTCTCGTCAGGATGTGCCGAGCATGCGCAAGTTTGCGAGTCGCGTCCCTCTGGCAGATGCGATGCCCACCTCGCTGGGTCTTGGCCATCCCGTCGTGTCGCCCAGCTCCTCCTCTCGCCACGTCAGCGGACCCGCGCGTCTGATGCGCAGCCCCAACGCATCCGCATGGTCTCCAAGCCTCGCTACTCCCTTTGACGAGCTCGCCGTCTCGCCGCCTTTCGCGTCGTCTAGCTTTTCTCGCTCCATCAACACGCGTCGGCGCTCGTCCGGATACAGCTTTTCGGCCGCGTCCGGTCTGACACCCAACTTTGGCAGCCTCGTCGGCTCGTTCCAGGAGTCGCTGCTGAGCGGCCGCATGTCGATGCCCGCTTCGAAGCCGCTCGTGTTTGATGCCGAGATCGGCGTGCTGGGCGCTGGCAAGTGTCGTCCGTCGCTGCGCTGTCCGCCGCATCTGCACATCAAGTTCGCCGCCCACTTTTACGATTTCCACGCCATGGACGCTCGCGCCAGCGCTGCCACGCCCGGCTCCACCGCCGCGCTCGGCAGTCCCTACGTGGGCACCGTCGACCTCGAGTCGCACTACACCAGCCAACTCCTCTCCAGACGCTTCTCATCCCCGTCCACTCTTGCTGAGCCTGGCGAGATGCCGTCGTTTCCTGGCTATGCTGTGCCGCCCAAGGGCCAGATTCAGCTCATCGTCAAGTACCCCGACCTGGCGGCGGTCAAGCTCTTCCTCGTGCCTTATGATCTGACCGACATGCAACCGGGCACCAAGACCTTTGTTCGGCAGAAGACCGTCGTTCGTCCAGCAGCCGAGTCTGCCCAGGATGACGCGCGGCTCGGCACATCCGAAGGCTCACATAGCCAGGCGCGCACGTCGCCCAAGGAAGCTCTGCGCTTTGCCATCCACCTCCAGTTCTGCTGTCCGCCAGTCAAGCCGCGACGACACGACAGCCTCGCCGGATTCGAGGGCTCCGACACGCGGCGCTTCCGATCGCGCGCCGATGCAGCCGCCAAACAGCCCAGAGCTCCGCGCATCTTCTTGCACAAGTCCATCCGACTCGTCTTTGGCGCTCGTGCGCTCGATGCGGGCGAGAAGCTCGTGGATTGCATCGAGACGCCCGGCACAGGTAGCCTGCGCTTCTCGGCGTATCAGGGGCCGGACGAGGAGTGGGTGCAGCTGCAAGAAGAGATGAAAGCGCTTCACAGCTCGGATGTGCCTGTGCCCGAGGCATCGACTGGTACCGAGTCGGTGCGGATGGGACTGGGCATCGCCATCCAAGCTCCTTCTGCGGGTCACGCCAGGGACGAGGGCGACGAATTGTCGAACCTCGTCCCGCTCAACTCGGATCCCAACGGCGAACGCTGGCAGGCGAGCGTTTCATCGAGCATCGGTGCGGCCGCACCGCAGGATGTTGCAGGTGCGATTCCAGCGTCGCTTCGAAGCACATGGACTGTGAGCAGTCAGGAGAGCAGCCTTGGAAGAGTCGCTCCAGCCTGGCCTGCGCCTCAGCACGAGCAGCGTGGCGTGGGCCAGCTCGCTCACACTCTGGCGTCGAGTCATCTATCCGACTCGTGGGCCGATCCAAAACCACATCGGACGATCCGAACCAGAGCTGCGGTCGATTCGGACGCACCGGCCAGTGCCTCTTCGACGGCCGCGTCTCGACGTCCGTCGCGCATGCGCTCTGCCTCGGCAGCCGGACTGTCGGAGCCGCGCGTCCACAGCGTATCAGCACTGGCTGAGCTGCAGGAACCAGCGATACCACCATCGCAAACACCAATCGCACCTGATCCAGCACATCCGATGCTGGCGTGGAAGGCGCCCGGTATAGCCAGCAGAAGTGGCGACCGCCCTAGCCTGCTGCGCAAGCTCTCGGAGCAGTTTGCAAGGAGTCATTCGCCGTCGCCCGCCAACAGCCCCCGACTCACACCCACTCGTCGCCACGAGCACGACGGGTTGCACATCGACGAGGGTGCGGCGATGGATGACTCGCATTCCCGCTCCATCCGCTAAACCTCGTTCACTGTCGGCGGTATGGCAGATCCACGTCCGCTTTTCGCCGCACTTTGTCGGCCCCCCACTTTTTGTTGTTTTTGCCAGTCCAGCATTTGTCTTTCGTTCGCATCATGCATTGCAATTCTTTCGTTTGTCGTTGTCTTTGTCTTGCAATCGGGTGTGTTGCTGTGGGTCTTGGTTGGAGGAGGGTTTGGCGGGAGGGCGGGAATTGCGAATGCGGTTCGGCGCGGCTTTGCCGAGGCTGGAGGCCAAACCGGCGGTAAGAGTTGGGGTGCACCGCGGCATTTGACTCGTGCGCCGGGGTTGGACGCGTGGAGGAGAAATGCCCCCCACGTCCAGAAACGACCGCATGGACCGCCCGCCTTTGTCCTACTTTTCCGCTCACCACCGCATGGCTTTGCTATATATCCCGCTGCCCATCTGCACCATCTTCGGCTTGCTCCATACACACAGAACGAGATGGCAACGTTTTCAAGGACAACTTTCGACGCAGCGGCGTACTTGGCTTTCCGGCCGTCGTATCCTCGATGGGTGCACGACAAGGTGCTGCTCTACCACTTTGGTCCCCGCCCCAACGGCAAGTCCTCCCTAGCCCTGGACTTGGGCTGCGGACCTGGGATTTCAACTATCTCGTTGCTGCCCCACTTTGATAGAGTTATCGGTTTGGATCCTTCGGCAAAGATGGTCGATGCAGCAATCACTCCTACCACCCCGAATCTCCCGCGCCATCTCATCCCCAACATTGCCGATGGCAAAAAGGGGAAGCTAGGCAAGGTCGAATACCGACAAGGCTATTCGGAGGAGTTGGGATTCCTGGAGGATGGGAGTGTGGATCTGGTGACGGCGGGGCAGGCGGCGCATTGGTTTGACTATCCCAAGTTCTGGCGCGAAATCACCCGAGTCTTGCGGCCTGGAGGAAGTGTTTGTCTCTACGGATACCCCGACTTTTTCCTACCCGACTTTCCCTCAACACGATCGCTGCTCAATCGCTTTTCGCTTCGAGACGGACAGGCTCCGCCATCTCCGCATCCACAGGGGGCAGAGGTGGATTCGATTGGCGAGTACTGGGAGCAACCCGGCCGATCGATCGTCAACCAAGGCCTTTCGCCCATCCCCTTCCCCACAACATACCCGGACGTCGCCGCGCACTGGAACGCTGCCTCGGCATTCAAAAGAACCTTCTCCACCGAGGGACTTCCCCAGGACCAAATCTGGCCCGAATGGCCTCCCCTCACCTCCACCCCCCTCACCGCCCAGCTGGACGAGAAAGTGAAGAGCGAGTTTGTGGGTGAGCAGAACGACGCCACGATGGATAAAATGCTCACGTGGAGCCAGCTCGCGAGCTATTTGAGGACGTGGAGCGCCGCACACACCTACCTCGCCCAACACAACCACAAGGATGACCAGGGCAGGGACGTCGTAGATCGGTTCGTACAAAGGTTGAAGGAAGAGGTGCAGAGGGAGAATGGCGGAAAGGAGGTGGAAGAGCTGCACTTGAGGTGGCCGCTGTGCTTCGTCATGATCAAGAAGATCGACGCCTAGACAAGGAACGACTGGATTCGCAATGAAAAGATGGACGTAGTTCAGAGCGTGCCGCTGTGCGATGCGTGCCAACGCGCGTGTGAGAGGACACGAAGAAGATGTGCGGCTCGGCGATGCCGTTCGCGTGTGGCGAAGCATCGGGATGAGCAGTGCGGGTCAGGCTGCGGAAGCAACGAGCCAATCGCTCGGAAAGAGGCGCCGCTCGAGCGCGGTGTTGGTGGGGTTTCAGCTTGCGTGGTTCGATACCTGCATCAGACACTCCCATACGCTTTGCGCTTGGATGCATCGGCAATGCGAAGTAGGCTAGACAGTCGGGACGGACACAGGAGGGACTCGGCCCGTCCTCGCCGTTCGCGTGCGGACACACTATCAGCTGCATGCTCCGTGCCGGCGCGCGAGCTTATTCGCTGCCGGCCCCCGTGCGAAGGCGGAGCGAGCAGGTTCCTCCTCCGGAGGCAGGATCGATGTATCAGGAACCCGCAGTTCCGCACTGCTCCGCAAAGTGCGGAAGGCCAGGGACCTATCAAGGATATAAGGCCGAGGCAGTCCCCCACTTGCGTTCTCACCACCCCAACGGTCTCATCCGATTGACTCTTCAACGACGATGGCGAGCAACTTGCCTCAGAATCCAGCGCCTCCTCTGACTGTCCAATACACGATTCCGGCCCAGCCGCATCCGTTCGAGATTACCGTCACCAAGACGCCTCTTTCTCTCGATGGCGAGACGCGACTCCTCGATCAGCAAGTGACACGTACGACGATCGTCCGCTTGCAGCGACAGCAAATCATCGTAACGACCGCGCTTGGAGGTCCACCCACCGTCCCCAGACAGGAATCGGTCGTCTTCAGGACTAGACACGGGGTCGAGCCTCGCAACCTCGAGGCATTCGCAGCTGCAGCAGTTGCTTCGCCGCATGTCGTAGCTGTACACCGAGGAACGAAACCCCGCAGTGGAGCAAACACCATCACGGTCATTGTGACTTTCCAGGCTCCTCCTCTCTTCGTGGACGCTGCTCTTGAGTCCGCACGACAACTTCCAGGCTTTCTGTTCTCGTTTGGGGCTCCTCCTGAAGGAGACGCAATCATGCGAGCAATGCAGTCGATGACGTTGTGATCGCCGCGACGGAGTCATCGAGCACGAGGCCTAGGTCATCATTGCCAGACGAGCAAGAGGCTCGCTTCCGATCTAAGCTTCTTCGATCTTGGTCGGGTCAATGCTACTATCGATGATGCAGTGCGACTGTGCACCATTCGCCACCTGCCACGTTTCAATGTTCGTTTCCAACGACTCTCTCGATCTCGACGATCCATAGCGATCCGCGAGTTGTACTGCTGTTCTCGGTAACATGTTACTCGCAATGGCAAGAGATCGAATCCTCTTTCGCACCGACTGTGTTGCGTTTGAAGCTGAGAAGAGTGCAAAAATGGCGGGAGCTTTGCGAAGAGGTTGACGTCGAAGTGAGGCTGCGCCGCACGCAGTGGGCCCATTTCGGTCTGAACCAAGCTCAGCCTGCTTCGACATACCGAGCATGGAGTCGATGCTGCGCCAGACCGACCAGGCAGCGAATCAGTCGCGAAACCGGGAGTTGCATCTCTCTTCCATTAAGCATTGATAGGTACAAGTCTAGCGAAGATAGCCTCTAGGGCATGGGGGGATTGGGGCGAGCCTCGTGCTTGGACTTCTGGAGGTCGAGCGTGGCGTCGATGCGGATGCGGTGCTGGAGCCAATGGGGCAGTACCCTGAGCCAGGCGAGATGACCGATCCAGCCGGGAATGTACAGGCTTCCGCCCTGACCACCGAGGAGCTGCTCCACCATGCGCTCGCCCACGAGTTCGGGCTTGATCATCTTTGACAGCGCCTCGGGCTTGAAGATGGTGTCCAAAAGCGGTGTGCGGATCCAGTAGGGATGCGCGATGGAGCACAGGACGCCCTTGCGGTTCTGGTAGAGCAGTTCGAGTTCGAGCTGAAGCGTTTCGTGGAGCGCAACGAGGCCGGCCTTGGTGGCGCCGTAGTCTGCGCCGCCTGCGGGCATCATGAAGGATCCAGCACTGGCAGTGGAGAGAATGTGGCCGTGGTTGTGTCGAATCATGTGGGGCAGGAAGACCTTGAGCGTATAGAAGTGCGAGAGCAGGTTGACGTCGATGGTGAGCTTGGTCTTTTTGGGGTCGAAATCGAGGATGCTCGCGCCTGGGTTGGCAACGCCTGCATTGTTGACCAGAATCGTCACAGGGCCGAGGTCGGACTCTACGCTCTTTCCTGCCTCGGCAACGCTGTCGTAGTCGGTGATGTCGACCTTGTAGAAGCGAACCGTCTTGGAGAGGAGACTGTCTTTGGGAGGGGTGAGGTCAAAGATGGCCACCTTGACGCCCTTTGCTGCGAGACGCTTGACGACTTCCATACCGATACCGCCCGAGCCACCGGTGATGACGGCAACTTCGCGGCTGGGGTTGGACCACGCCTTGCGTGCAGCGATGCGCTTGCGGCGCTGGAAGAACTTGCGGATCACATAGAGCGCCAGCACGGCGAGTGCGGCCGATCCAGCCTTGGTCGAAGTGACGCGGTTGTAGTAGCCGCCGAAGCGCTCGGTGATGGCACCAACGTTGAGGTTGCTCATGGTTGAAAGATGGATCAGTGACGATTGTGATGAGGTGTCGATGGAAGAGGATCAGAATGAAGCACAGACGGTCTTATGAGCTTGGGGAGCGAGCAAGGGCCTGTGCGCATCCGCGCTTTCACGCCGGGCAGTAATTGAGAGGTGCGACGGCAGAACTCGACGACTCTAGAAAAAAAAAAGCGACCCGAGAGTGCGGGGAAGCGAGCCGGGCGGCAACCTCGCACAAAAGCCTCGCACAAAGACTGGAGTGCGAGCAGAGCGTAGCTCCGAGTCGTTACCACCGACGCGCCGCTGCGTTACCACCGCATCCGGTCGTCAGACCCTGCTGGTGGGCAGAGCATGTGAAATAGGCTCGGTCTGTTGGGCTCACTAGTGTACGTAGAGCGTCGCAAAGCATGCCTCGCCCGCAGCAGGTGTTCGCAGAAGCAGGACGTGAAACAGGCTTCCACGACGCCCGCTGACGTGGCCTTTGCTCTTCTCCACAAAGCGCTTGACAGCTCGGCTTGCGTCGCAGCCTTCGCAGCCTTCTCGCCGTTTTTCCGATAGCATCTCTGCGTGGTCAGGCCGGTGAGAGGCGCTGCTACAGGAATTTGTAGCCCGTAAAATGGAGCAGAGCCGAGCCGCTGCCCCAGGGTTCAATCGCACACACTCACTCCACATCCTTCGCATCCGCTTGCTCCAGCGAGCTGCGATTGCATCCTACCTGCTGATCACCACCCACCATTCCCTACACCGTCAACCAAAGCTCCACACCCGCTCGGGAGCTTGAACTGCACAGCGCAACATGCATCTTTAGCCCTACCGCCTCTGTCGCCGCATCCACCGTGTCCACGACGCGCCCTCACCATGCCCAAAACCATCTCGTGTCCCCACGCCGGGTGCGACTACCTCTTCTCCAAGCCGGTGCATCTGCGGCGTCACCTGCTCTCGCACTCGGACGAGGCGGTGTGGAAGTGTCCGGACTGCGACCAGGAGTTCAAGCGCATCGACAGCTTCCAGCGTCACAAGAAGCGCATCCATCCGGACCAGCCCAACCTCGCGGCGGTGCGCATCGGCGGCGATGCAGACGCCGACAGCTCGGCCAAGTCGGACGACGAGGCGGATGATCAGATCGACGACCTCGACATCTCGATGCGAGATGATGATGCAAAGCCGATCATCTCGGTCAAGCGCGGCGCGACTAGTCCGCTCTCGCGCGGTGCGACCGCCTCCGCTTCCGCCACATCGCACCAGATGAGCAGCTACAATACGCCCTCGGGGCTCTCTACCCAACGCTCTGGATCCACATACTCGTCACCCTCGTCTTCGCGGCATCACGGTCTAGCGGCCGCAACAGAGCCGTCGGCCTCGATGTACACCCGCGCCCACCACTACCATCCGTACCAGCGCAGCGATTCCGCACCTCATGCGGCACAGTCCAACAACGGCGACTCGTCCGCCGTCAGTCACAGCCAGTGGCCATCCCAGCCCGCACAGTCGTCGATGTACGACTCGAACAACGCTGCTGCCTCTTCATCCTTCTCGTTCTATCCGAATCTGTACGGCGCGCCCATCTCGTACAATGGCTATGCCGCGGCCTCTTCGTCCTCGACCGGCGCGGATGCGCTTGCGGTTGCGAACACCTATGGCTCAGCAGCATCGGGCGATGCGTCACAGACGGCGGCTCCGCTCTCGATAGCATCGCTCACCGCACCGTCTCCCTCGTGGGGCTCGTCCAACTCGGATACCGAGGCGCAGACGTTCTTTGACGACATTCTGCAGTCCATCCTCATGGATTCGATCTCGACGTTTGTGCCGCACGAGACTGTGGGTGCGTCCGATCTGCACAACCTCACGGGTGCTGCGATGACGCAGGATGCGTTTGGGTTTGGTGATGCAGGTAGCGCGGGCCAGGTGATGCCCTCGGCACAAAACTCGTTGCAGGTGCAGCAACCGGGACAGCAGACGCAGCATCAAACCCAGCCGCCGTCAGTAGTTTCTCAGGAAGACCAGCATCAACAGCAGCAAGAGCCAGTGCAGCAGGGTCAGAACCAAGGTCAATGCGCACAGCCGGCGGAGGTGCAGTCTGCAACGGCCACGTCGACCTCGCAGCAGCAGCAGCCACCACAACCGCTGGTGAATCTGGTGCCGTTTGCGACGTTTACCGAGTCGGCGCACAATTCGGGGCGGTCGACGCCGGCGACGCCGCGCCATGCGCATGCGGGCATGGACGATGCGGACGAGATGACGCGCTCGGTGGAAAAGGTGGGCGACCAGGCTGCGACGAACATTGGGGCGCGCACGCGCGATCTGGTGTTGCACGGCGTCAACATCCCCAAGAAGCCGCCGCGGCTCACTGCCGCCTCGCTCTTCAGCGCGGCTACGCGGCACACGCGGTCGATGCTGCCGCTGCTGCCGTCGTACTGGCTGCTAGACCACCGTCGCTTGGCTGCCGAACGGCCGTACGTGTTCATCTCGCTGCTGGCGCTGGGGACGCTGTGGCAGCCACGCGCCGATGTCAAGGCGTACGGCGCCGAGCTGTGGCAGCTCATCTTCCGCAGCATCTGGGCGGGCGCGGTGTTCTACCTCGACCAGCCGCAGCTCATGCGCGAGGCGACGGCGGTCATGGCGTACACGCATCTGTACGCGTTCATGTGCCGCGACGAGAACATCCGTCGCAAGTCGATCCACAGCACGTATACGGGCAGCTCGCTCATCCGCGAGTACGGATGGCGCCAAGGTGTGTGGTTCCTCGTAGGGCCGTGGGAAGAGTCGCTCCAGCGTCTGCTTGGTGCCAACATTCAGATGGCACTGGTGGAGCTCGAGGTGCTTACGAGGGATCAGAGCACCAACAGGTTGTCGGCGGAGCAAAAGAGGCTGTTGGATAGGCTGCATGGGGTGTGGAAGCAGTGGTCGGATGCGGAGGAGGTGAATCGCAACATGATCTGCCACGGCATCACCGAGTCGCACCACTCGGAGTTTCTCACGAGCCACGGACAGATGCGTAGCATGGGAAGGATCACGTGCCAGGCGCTCGTGCCGAGTGCCGACGATGTGTGGGACGCCAAGACGGCCATCGAGTGGGCGCGGCTCGTGCTCGAACACAAGAGCCGGCGCGAAAACCACCAGCGTCCACTACTGGCAGGCAAGCGACAGCTCGGACCGATCCTGGATGCGCTTTGGGACGTCGATGCCCCCTCGCCTGCTACGGCCAAGCGGCGCGATTCGGGCGAGAGCGGAGAGCTGGACAGTCTCGAGGCCAAGCGCGAGCTGCAGCGCATGATGTGCTTTACCATCAAGGAGCACTTTGCGCTGCTGACGCTGCTCGAGGGACTGCATCTGCTGTGGATCGCGCGATACATGCCGCCGTTCCGAACGGGCACGTCGTACGCCGCCGACTTTAGCCCGTCGCAGCCCACGTTTGCACCCGGGATCGAGTCGGTGTTCTGCATCAAGGGCGGCACGGCATACCACCATCTGAACGTGCTCGACAACGAGATGATGCTCGCGGCGCTCTCGAGGTGGATGCGGCTGTGCCACCAGTCGTACCTGCCCAACCCCGTCGCCAACGGTACAGGCTTCAGCCAGCCCATCAGCAGCGATGGCCCCAGTGCGGCCGCCGACAAGTCGGCAGATGCGGGCGTGCCAGCCAAGCCACGCGTGCAGAGCATCGGACCGATCAATGACCGGTTCCAGCTGCATTTCCGGTTCCACGTGATCCAGCTGTCGGTGCTGTTCAATGCGCACCATGTGGTGCATGCGCTCGTGTCGTCGTGTGGCAACGAAGAGGCCAACGGCGTCGGTCAAGGTGCAAAGGCGGCAGCGGTTCGTCCGGGCATGCAGACGGCGGTGCCGTTGCGCTGCGAGAGCTGTACGGATCCAGACATGTGCCCCTACCGCAATGCGCGTCTGCAGCGCTGGGCTGCACTGCATGCCGGAGCGGTGATCGGCAACTTTATGTCCATGCCGCGACTGTCCAATGTGACCCCGACGATCCTCGAGGGTCTCGGGCAGGCATTCGGCATCCTGGTGATCCTGTGTCGGCTGCAGCGACCGCTGGCGCAGCGTCGGAGGACCATGTGTCGATGCGATGCCGAGGTGCGCGAGGGAAGTGTCGAGCTGATTTCGGACCAGTGTCTGCATCTCGATGCCGAACGACCCAGCCCGGGAGAGGGGGTCAAGGAGAAGGCCAGTGCGAGGTTCGAGTCGAGCAGCGACTGCTGGCTCCAGCACGGCACGCTCGACGAGGGCGCAACGCTGCTAGGGCAGCCGATACAGGAGTGGGCGTTTGTGCTGCAGGATATGGGCAATGAGCTCAAGAGCGTCGCAGGCACCTGGCAGACCGCCGAGGAGTTCCTCGCCGTCTCGCAGAAGATGCTCAACAGTTTTACCTTCTATGTCGAGTAGCGTCCGCATGCATTTTTCAATCGGACGGTGCTGTTCAATGGATGTGGCTCGAGGCTGAGCGTGGCCGTTTGTTGAGAGCCGAGGACTTGAGCTCAGTCGGTGCGTGTTTGTGCAATATGATCACGCTCAGCTACTTCTAACGCACTGTGGTGGACCGGACCGTCAAGAGAGGGCAGACGGGCGGTCAGATCAAAGGTTCACCGGGCGTAGGACCGAGTGCACGGCGTTTGCAAGACTAGGTACGATGGTCGAGAAGCGCCTCGAAGACGACTGTCATGGCCGAGGTGCATCGATCGAAGGGCCGAGTTGGGTGGAGCGGCGATATCGGGCTGATCTAACCCCGCGTTGTGGCCACCTCGCACGACGGCGGATTTTGGCAATCTCCGAAGCCGGCCCCTCCTTCCTTCCCCTTGGACCTATAAATGGAGCCGGCGATCTTCGCTTGTCCCTCTACTCTCTCCATTGACAATACGATTGACTGCGGCATCTCATGCGAGTATCCGCCACAACTACCCACCCCAAGCCAGCCTCAACCTCGCTCGGTTGGATCTTCACTCTCAGTCTTCTGGTTGCGGTTCTCGCGCATCCCTTCGTCGCTCTACTCTTTTCCAACTCCCAGCCTGCGCCAGGAACGATGTCGATGACACGAGCCGTGTCGCGCGGAATCGCCAAGAAGGTGCGCAGCATCGAGACGGCCGAAGGAGCGGGAGCCGTAGTGAGGCGGTCGATCGGCACGCCGGCGCTCCGCAATATCTCGCCGTTCCTCATGCTGGATCACTTCCGCATCACCGAAGGCGCTGGATTCCCTGACCACCCCCATCGCGGTTTTTGGTTTTGAGCGTTTTATTACGAAACCCGAGACTATAGACAAGACCATATCACGGCGGACACCTCGCTGGGTCTCCAGGGCGCAGGTTGGTGCGAGACGTACCCGCACGCTGTTCCCAGAAGCCCATCGAGGGCCGGAACAAGAAGAGAGCGCGAAGCGAAGAGAGACACTAACAGGGCGAGACAGAGGCCGAGGAGAGAAATAAGGGGCGCGAAGCCCGCCAGAGGAGGAAAGGAACCGAGACAGAGAGGCTCGAAGCTGACGAGGCAGCAGAGAGAGAGCGAGATGGGCCAACGATCACGCCCGGCGGAAGAAAGAGGTGATAGTGGTTTGAACCTGGCGGCGAGAAGGGCCAGGTTCGTCGTCGAGAAGCGCAGCCATGGAGACGTCGGAAGGAAAGGCGGACGAACCGGAATCGGAGACTGACATCTCGTCAGGCACAAAGGCGTCGCCCTCGCCAGGCGACTGTACCACCAAAGCGCGCGCTTTGCCTTTGTCTCGGCGAGGTGCCGGCCGGTCGAGGTCGGAGTCCGAGGCCGGCTGTGCATGGTCTGGAGAGAGGGCACGAGCTTTGCCCTTGTTTGATGGACGCACGGGCAAACGACGCACAGGCCTCGGCGCTGCTGGCACGGCGGCAGGAGACGACGATTGCGTAGCATTCGCTCTCGCAAGCTGACGAGCTCTCTTGAGCTCCCGCCTAGTCGGTTGGCGCTCGTGCTCGACCTCGCCACACTTGCAGACCATCTTGCCGCTGCGGAACCACCTGTCGTTGTAAGGCAGCGTTGGGGCGACGTCAGGGAAGTGGCAGAGCCAGCATTGGACGCATAGCAGTGTGTTGACCTCCTGCTTACGAACCACGAGGCAGCAGCGGCATTGTAGAAGGCCTCTCGTGCGCCATTCCTGGACGTCGGGGACTCGAAGATTGGCAAGGAAGGCCCCCCGAACCGAGAGCACCGTGTCATCGTCCTGTATGTCTGACTCTGGCGGCGCGTCTACCCATTCCGAGCTCCCAGCCGGGTCTTCGGCGGTCTGCGTCGAAGGTCCTTCGCATCGTTGACTGTTGCGTGAGTACAGCAGCAGGGCAGTCTCACTCGGGGCAACCGAGTCGCTGCTGAACACAAACAGAGTGTTCTCCTGCTGCCAAAGCCTCTCAAAGTCCTCGTGCGCAAAACGACCGGGGCCGCGCGCGTCGCCGATTGCGAGCGACAGCAGGTCCTGCATCAGCATCGCTGGTACTTCGCTCAACTTGCGTAGCAGTCGTGCAGCTGGGATAGCCTGAGTGCGGCGTTGTTGCGACTCGTAGACTCGACTGAGCTGAGCCAGAGTCAGCGCGAACCAGACCCGGAAGCGGCCGACCAGGTGAATCGGCAGCGCGGCCTCGACACTTGGGAAGCCTTGGAGAACGTCCGTCGCCCCAAGATCGCTCCAGTCGGGGCAGCTCGTCATCAGCAGTCGCAGCAGTTCCCAACAGGCCTGCCAAACGTCGCGGACTTTGGGGCACTCCAGGTAGGCGTGCTGACACGTGTGCTTGACGGCGCAGAAAGGGCAGAGCGAGCTTCGAGGCGTCCAGAACTTTGTGAGCGGATGCTGGACCATCGTGTAGATGACCGCTGCCTTCCCGTGCAGAACGAGCCACCAAGCGTCTTTGGCGTTACCAGGGAGCTCCCATTCGAGGAAACGAGGCCAGATCGCTTTCCAATCCAGCGCAGCATATGCAGAGGCGGGGCGCGTGGTGGTGTGGCTGGGCGCGCTCTCGTCCTCGTCGGAGTCTGACGATGGCTCCGAGTCGGATAGCTGGTCAGGCCTGTGTGCGCGAACGCGCGGCATACCTCGAACCTCGGGCGTCTGAGCGTAAGTTGGCACGACCACTTCTCCCGACGCTGTAGCGTGTAGCCGCAGTTGTCGTGCTCGTACATCGGCGCTTGGCACCCCTCCGATCGTCACCGCACGCCATGGGAACGGGTCAGCATCGAGCGGGAAGGGTTGGCGGCGGCTCACTGGAGCGGCGGTGTCCGAAACAACTAGGCGCACGAAGTCGCGAAGTTTGGAGACCAGCGCCGTCGGAAGCGCTTCTAGGTACGTGGCCCAGATCCTGGGTAGTTGCGTCCAGAAGCTGTCCACTGCCACGTTCGGCTCGTCCTGCGCCAACGGGAACCTGTCGCGGTGGTTGAGCATGTCGGATGCCTTCTCCGGGGGCCCCACGTGGCGGACAAAGTTGCGAGGTGTTGCAATATAGGGCGACGAGGATGGTGGGTGGAGCCAGAACGCGTCCGCAAACGTTTGGAGACCGTGGTGGGCGGCGTTCTTGTACAGCGTCGGGAGCCTGTCATTGACTATTCGCTTGCCTGTCGTCCTCGGCTCCGTGAGCACATACTTAGCTTTCCCCGAAGTCGTCCGCCAGATGTCTCGGACCTCAAAGGATGGGTGCCACCATGGCAGTGCCGCCGCCTCCGCGGGGCTGAGCGTGGACCAGTCAAAGTCGGCCTGGAAAGCGATCGGAAAGCGCAAACAAGCATCCAGCATGCGGCTGAACAGGCCTTCGCCAGGACTCTGTAGCGGCGTGGCGCCGTTCCTCTCGAAGGAGCGAGCAAACTTGTTGCGCGTCCTCGTACACACTCGAATCGCGATGTGGGGGTGGCCGTGGCTACTGAGGTACATCACAAATGCCGGTGTCATGCAGTGCGTCTGCAGCAGCCACTTTTCGAACCCCAGGCGGATCAGGGCCGCCACACCTTCGCCTTCGTGGTTCGCCAACGACTGGAAGAGCCAACTCGCGAACGTGGCCGGGATCATGAACTCGGGGTCCAGGAGGCCCAGGCCGCCGAGTGCTTTCGGCTTGCAGACCATCTTCCAAGTTACTTTGTGCCCGTTCTTGGTGCGAAAGAGAGGCTGCAGCCGTCTGCGCACTTGGGTGTAGAGCTCTCGGACCGGCTGAGGCAGCGGAATCGTCTCCAACATGGCCCAGATCTGTGAGAGCAGCCTCTCGTTGACCATCTGAGCGCGGCCAAAGAGGCACAAAAAGCGGCCTGCTTGCCCCCATCCCGTGCGTAGGCGCGAAGAGACTTGACCAACGATGAGATCTTCCGCTGGCTCGGCCGTCATTCGCAGCAGGCGCCCGAGGCATTTGAACGAGGTGGAAGCCTCTCTGACCCTGAAATGCTGGCAGAACTCTTGAATCCACTCGATCGAGTCGCCCTCCGTGCCTGGAGGCCACAGGACTGTGACGCAACTCTCCTTCTCGTTGAGTTTGGCGCCAGACGCAAGATCATATCGACGGCGAGCTGCCCAATACGCCTTCGCGTCTTCGGCGGACTTGAGGAAGAAGAACGAGTTGTCGGCGTACGCGAGATAGCTGAGCCTGACGACATGGTCACCAAAGCGCAAAGCGATCCCAGTCTTGCTGGCCTCGTAGGCGTCGAGCATGGGCTGATATGTCAGCGTGTACCACAACGAAGAGTCTGGCGCTCCTTGCAGGAAGCCTCGCTTGACCTCGACGGGGTCGCTGAGCTGATCCAGCTGGAAGCGGATCGTCGCTCCGTCGTACAGGTTGTGAAGGTACTGGACGACCTCTGGCGGCGTGCCCAGGTCCTGCATAACGTGGTCGCGCCACCGGTGCTCGACTCTGTCATACGCCTTCTCTTGGTCCTGTTCCAGCACCACGACTGGTGAGTCCAGCCAGCCCAACGCACACGCCTCGGCCACGAGAGCGATTGCCGCCACGTTGCTTGAGATCGATCGGCCTGGGATGAAGCCCGTCTGCGTTGAAGGGACGATCAGCGCTAGCTGCGGCGACATACGTGCCGCAAGGAGCCCGTGGAAGATGCGGCGGTCCAGGTCCAACACGCTGATCGGGCGATAGTGCGCCACTACGTCCTTTGAGTTGCCTGGCTTCGCCTTAAACACCAAAGTGCCCAAAATCGTCGGTCTGGTACCCACGGCGTAGTGCAACAGTGACGAGGCAACCCCTGCCGCAAACGCAAAGAACTCCTCTGGTGCACAAGCGTACGCTGTTACTGGGACGCCGGCGTTCCCTGGAGAGGTACCTCGCTTCACCTTGGCCACCACGTTGCGGACTTCCTCTGCGGTGAATGGGGCTTTGAGAGCCTCTGGGTCCGGCCACTTGCGACGCCGAACCAGCAGCTTCGCAGCGGCAGCAGGGATGCCAGAGTCAGCTGCCCGTTTCTCGCTGTATAGCGCCTTGTAGAACGTCACGACATCGTCAGCAGCCAATGAAGGCCTTTCGCTTGCGACGCGCGTCTCCGCCGTCGGCCAAGTAGGCAGCTCGCGCTGGACTCGCAGGATGTCCTGGCGCTCCTCCGGGAACGCTGCGACGCGGGCCATCTGGTAGAGGTTGCTGAGCGCCACGTACTCTTCGCTGTCGCTGGCCGATGTGATGACAAACGCGTCCAAGTGGTCACGCAGAAGGGAGACCTCTTTGCGAGAAGGAATCGCCTTGAATGGCTGAGCCAGAGAGCGGTTGAACAGATGGCCGCGGATCCTGCCGATTTCCTTGAGCCAGTCCTCCCATCGTGGGTCGAGCGTGAGCGCGGCCGAGGATGCCCAGAGGCGCTCTCGCTCGGCCTCCTGCCGCAAGACTTGCGGGTCTGGCCGCCACGATCGAAAGGATGCGAAGGACTCTTGCTCGTCGTCGTCGTCTTCTGATACCGGGCAGAGCACGACAATGTGGTGGTCCGACGCGCCTCCAGGCGAGAGGGTGAGAACCTCCTTGACAAAGTCGATCACCTGTAAGGGAGCGAAGAGGTAGTCGAGCCGTTTGAAAGTCCCCATCCGTTCGACCAGGAACGTGCCCGTCGTCGAGAACGGATGCAGCGTCGTGAACACGTCCTCCAGCGGCGCCAGGATCCTGCAGATTGTCGTCCAACCGTGACCGATGCTATCCGGTCCGGAGTGGATGTTGAAGTCGCCGCCTACAACGCACCTCGTCGTCAGCTTGTCTAGGTGGACCAGACGTCGGAACGTGTGTTGGCACGTGAGTAGGCGATTCCTCCTTGTCACGTCAGCTGGCAGGTAGATGCTCAGGAACGACCAGGTGACCCCAGTTGGAGATTGGACAATCGCCAAAGAGCTGAAGTCGCTGTGGTGTTCGTCGATGATTCGCCACCTAGAGTTTGTGACTATGACGGCTGTCGCTCGATCGGAGATCGTTTGCCAGCCAGGCGGCGCGACCAAGGCTTCAGCTTCCTTGTTGAAGCCGAACGACAGACACCGCCATTCCTGCACTAGCCAGATGTCGACTTTGTGTTGGGCCGTGCGCTCCTTGAGCTGTGCGATGGCGTGAGGTGTCAGCACGTGCGCGTTCCAGGTGGCGACGACAGGCGGTGGAAGCGGATCTTCTGGGGCCTCATCCTCGTGCTCGTCGCCTACCGTCACTGCGGCCTGGGAGATCGATGGACTCGCGTTGACCGCCTCTTCCGGTGGCTGTGGCGCGGATTCGCCCTCTCCGTACTTCTCCACTTGTTGCTCCTCGCTTAGTCCCTCTCCAAGTTCTTCTGGGCGGGCCCGAGTGTCTGCCATTGACGTCTCGGTCGCCGGTGCGCCCGTCCGCGACACAGACATCGAGAATACCGCTCGAACCTCGATGTTCGTGAGATGGGACGGGATGACGTCGATTTGTCGACGCCATCTATCTTGATGAGCTTGAAGATCCTCGTCGTTGCAGCCAGTTGGCATTTGTGGCGAGGGTGGGTTGTCGTGAGTCTCTTGTGGGGCTGACGACGATACGCTTCGGCGCAACGGAGGGCGGCCTTCCATGATTCTGCGCAACACCTCCTGGAAGGATGGGCGGGTGCGCGGCTCGAAAGGGCTGAGATTTGGAGGGAGCGTTGGGCGTGAGCGAGATGTGTGCCTCAGAGACAACGTGGCTGCGAGTCGACGAGGCGAAGAACGCAGAGTCTGAGGAGCTATCCATCGGCGACGCCGGGCGACGAGTTGGGAGTCCAGCCCGGGCTGGGGCCTCGGGTGGAGGCATGGCGTCGCGATCGCGGCGGTCTGACTCGGTCTCTTGGTCTTCGCCTACCTCGCCTTCCTCTACGACTCTGTTCGCACTGCTGCTATCGTCGGAGTCGCGAGGGGTCGCATCAGTTGCTGGCGCGGCTGGGATGCCTCGGGGAAAGGCACGTTGTTCGGAGCTGAGCAAGGCAACTGGCATTTCTGCGGCAGGCTGAGGATTGGCTTGTCGGGCCGCCGGCTGGGAGTCGGGGCAGTTTTTGACGAAGTGACCGAATGTCTTGCAGCCCGAGCACTGTACGTACGGACACGAGTTCGTGGTGTGCCGCTCGTCGAGGTTTTGGCAGTTGTCGCGGCACAGCTTGCAGTAGTCGTACCGGTTGCGGTACTCGAGCTCGAAGAGCGCCGTTTGAGGAGCCCAATAGATCCATCCCGGCCATTTGTCCGCCGCCACCGTGGCGGTGCCAACGGCGACGGAGACCAGAGCGCGAAGGCGATTGGCGTATGTCCAGTGACCCGGCATGAACTCCTCTTCGACTTCCCAGACGTCAACGACGGTAATAGGGCACTCGGCAAATGAGGCGAACATCTTTTCGATGCCCACCTGAAGGTCTGTGGCCACCTTCATCCTCGCGTGATGAGGGACGTTGATGAAGTCGATCGTCGTGAACTCTTCAGGGAGCTCGGCTCCTAGGAAGTAGCCGGGCTCGAATTCCTTGCCATTGACGCGCCAGTTCTTGACAGCCTTCTCGGCGATTGTTACCAGGCTGATTTTTGGCGTCCGATTCTCCAGGTCAACGAAGCGATGGTCGCCGTATCTGCCATCAGGGAAGATGACAGAGATGATCTGAGCGCCGGCAAAGTCTTTGACGAACTGCTTGAGGATCTCGAGGCGGATTGCATTCTTGTCCCGTTTGGCTGTCTGCTTGGGCAAGATGAGGCGGATGACACCTGGGCCGACGTTCATCCCTGCAGGGTAATGCGTCTCGGCCAGAGATGACCAAGAGATCATTGGGTCTGGTTTACCCTCGGCGTCCTTGCCTTGAGCGATGAGCAGTGTGCCACGTAACCTCGTCGTCATGGCGACAGCTGATCTCGGAGGAGTGAAGATCGAAGACAGGAAAGGTGGAGCTGTCGGTATCGGTAGCAGGGCAGGTGGCAGAGCAGTTCGTTCTGCTAGCGGGCCGTTCTGCAAGTGTGCGGGTCCTTTGCCGTATGAGCAGGCGAAAGGAGGTGTGTAGGGCATATGAAAATGCACGGGACGGTGGGACGACGAGACTGCCTGGATGGGATTGGCTGCGGTACCGCGGCTCTTATGAACCCGCCGGCTGCGGTTTGGGGAGAAAAATTTTTTACTTGCTGAGGAGATCACGGCTGGACGGCGGCTGGGTATTGATCTCGGAGATGCTGCCGGGTGTGGACGCTTGGGGCGTAGGAGGACGGCTGTCCTGAGGCGGCGAGGTGATGGTCGACAGGGGAGCGATCCAACCGTTGGCGATGGTTATGATGGCTCGTTTGATGATGACTGGTGCTGAGGCGGTGCAAGGCGGCCGGTTGAAGGTGAGCGCGAAGGCGGTGACGATGAGTCTCACCCGTATACTTCCGTGTACCAGGGAGCGTGGTATGTCGGTAAAGACTGGCGACTGGGGCTATGGATTGGGTCTGGTCGAGCCTCCGCCGTCCGGTGACGGGCAGAGCGAGGAGATCGGTAGGCGAAAGATGCGTAGATGGCGACGATGTTACTCATCCGTATACAGAGTACACGGAGGAGCTTGGTACGATGACGTTGACGAGGACTGGCGACTTGTGACCGGGTTTTTTTGACATGGACCGTCTTCCTATCCGTTCGCTGTTCCCAGCATGACTAGTTACCCTCACGTATGCTCTTTCTGGCCAGGTCCAGCACGAAGACTTTGCTGGACATACGGGTACGATCAGTCCGGGGGATGTGCAGTGGATGAATGCCGGGCATGGGATTATGCATGCCGAAATGCCCGTGCACCGCGACGCGAGCGGAAATAAACTTCCCGACCCAGTGGGATTGCAGCTGTGGGTTGATCTTCCGAAAGAAGCCAAGAAGGAACCCCCCAGCTATCAGGAGTACCGCTCCGCTGCCCTTCCTACAGCAAAGCCGAACGGGGAGGGGGATGAAGAGGGATTTGAAGTCAAGGTGGTGGTCGGAGAGTCGCACGGTGTCGAGTCGCCCATCAAGCTGCCCAAGAACGGCGGCATGACGTTCCTCGACATTACACTCGATGCTGCGGGGACAGTGTTTCAAAGGCTCGACCCGAGATACAACGCCTTCATCTACACGCTCGAGGGTACGGTGGTGGTGGGCGATTCCACGCCCGTCGATGCACCTGCTCGAGCGGCATTTGGATCCGGGACAGAGGCGGTCGAAGGTGAAAAGATCGAACCATTCCACACGCTCGTCCTCACCCAGCGCGGTGAAGCCGGAGTAAGGATCAGCAATGCGGGAGGGGAAAAGGCACGATTGGTGTTGGTGGCGGGAGAGCCGTTGGATCAGGAGGTGGTGCAGTACGGACCGTTTGTCATGACGAGTAGGAACGAGATCCAGCAGACGCTCATCGACTTTCAAACGGGCAGCAACGGGTTCGAGCGCGCGCCTGGCTGGAGGTCCAAGATCGGCGCCCACATGACCTAGTCACCAGCACCCCCCATACCACATTGTACTGTATCGTATTCGCGGAGCGTATGAACTTAGTTGAGTGGGATTTGTGAAGGTGCCTGTGTGGCCTTGGACTGCTGGTATTGATCCGACAGCGCATTGTACTCGGCCTTGACGTCTTGCATGTGCTTTTGCAGCTGTGACTGTTGGGGCTCTTGAGACTGGGTGATGAGTTGAGCGATGGACCAGCTGGACCAAAAGTCGTTGGTGGCATTGTACAGCGGGGCGTCGTCTGGATCCTCTTTATGCGTTTGGAAGACCTGTTGGAGGATATTGATGTCGTGCGGGATGGCGAACGTCTTGCGCGTATCCTCGTACGTGAAAAGATAGTAAAAGTTATCAAACCCACTCCATGTAATCGCACTAAGGCACAGCGAGCAAGGCTCGTGCGTCGAGACAAACACGCAGTCTCGAGGATCAATGCGCTCTTGGACGGGCAAGGACGAGTTGAGTTTGTGGAATTCGAGCAGCGTCGTCACTTCTCCATGAAAGAGCGGCGAGGTCAGCTCATCGTTCGTCGCGGCTACAACGACCGAGAGGGTGGACTTGGAAAGGATCGCCGCGCCGAACACTTTGCACCCGCGAGAGACGCCCGCGGTGGTGAGCGGGATGATCGAGTCGTGAATCACATCCAACAAGCGCGCTGCCAGCGCCGAGGGAGTGAGGCCGTAGTGTAGGGATGTCATCGTGGATACGGTTGGGAGGATGCGAGGTCGATGGAAGGAGGCGGATTATATGTGCAACAAGGCAAAGAGGAAGGGCAAGGAAGGGGGGATGCTCGGAAAGTCGGACGGCGTCGGGCATGTCCGAGAGAGAGAGAGCCGGTCCATCGGCCCGCATTATCTTATCTCTTCCTTTGCGCCTCGCTCGAATATCCACTCTGGAGAACAAACGGCATGCCTCAAAATTCACTCTTTACAGAGCATCGACGCACAAAGCTGGACGAGGCGGATGCATTGCTATTGATCTAGTTGCGAACCTTGCCGGGACTCGTGGTTCTGTGTTAGGAGTGCACGCTCGCGCTCCAACCTATCGAGCAGCACCTGTCTGCGCCGTGCCACCTCTTCCCTCACCTCCCCACCATCCGTACCTTCACTTCGGCCTGCGGGCACGCTGTTCTTGGGTGGCGGATACTGCAGCCAGGGGCTCGCATCATAGTTGGCCAACTCTGTCTTTCCACTTCGCAGAAAGCACTCGAGTTCGTGGAGCAGATGGCGTGCCGTGCGTTCGCCGAGGAACTCGCCCAGTAGCCGCACCGCCTCGTCGCTCGACACGCCAAACACCTGCAACAGCGACCCCAGATATCGCGTGAGGAACTCGCCATCCACGTGCGGCCAGACCTGCAGCTCGCGTCGAACAAAGCTCGCGATCCGGCGCGCAACAACCCCACCCGTAGCTGCGTCGTGCTTGATTTGCGCCGGCGTGGGTGTGGCTCTATATGATGTGTGCCTGTTGCTGCCGACGTGTCGAGCGTACAACCCGTACCGGTAGATGTGTTTCCGACGTTCGAGCGCACTAGCCTCGAAGTGGGAGCGCGATGCACGAGCACGTTGCATCTGCGATACAATGTGCCGCCTCCGTACCACTTCACCTTGCGACATAGAGGCCGAAGGGAGAGAAGGAGGAAGGTGGTATCGGACATAGTCGGCGTCGTCGCGGATGGCGTGGATGATGTACTCGCCGACGTCGGATTGGCAGAGCGGACAGCGCGGTTTGATCGCACACCAGCGCGTGATGCACAGGAAGCAGAATTGCGAGTGCAGGCAGCGCGGAAGCACCGTCCGATCCACCACGTCCGAGTGGCAGATCAAACACCATCCCGACGAGTCATCGGTTGAGGTGTCGGATGCATCGCTGGCTTTGCGTTTGCCCTTGGCAGTGTCGGGAGGTGGTGTTACATGCTGTTGCATGGGCTGCGCGAAGAAGGTGGTGGGTGGCAAGCAGGGTATCCGCGGAGGAGACGGGCTGAGTTGAAGCGGAATTTGGAGCGAGGGCGCGGCGTGACGCGTGCGAATCGCCGCCAAACATGCCATGCGCCGGGCCGATTTGGATGCCGTCGGAAGGATTGCATAGCCCGCTCGGACCACACCCCGCCGGAGGTCCATGGTCGTACAAGAAAGGCATCCCCCCCACGTCTGCCTCCATATTAGCCGTCCATCACTCCTCCTACCTTCGACTATAGATCACGATGACCAGCCGCTACGTCTTACGCCTGATCCGGCGCAGCGAGATCCCCGAAGTGGTGCGCGTGCAGCATGCGGCCTTCAACGACCCTACCAACACCACCCCGGACGAGATCAGCCAAATCCTGGCGAGCGAAGCGCAGAACGAGACGGGCGAACCTGCGACACCGGAGGAGCGCAAAGCAAAGCGCGTCCAGTCCGAGTACGAGCTGTACGACAAGCGCATCTACAGCTACGTCGGCGCGTACCTCGTGCCTGACTCGGTGGCGGAAGCCGACGAGGAGGATTCCTCAACGCTGCCTGCTGGCTCGGTGCTGGCTGGCTTCGGCGTATGGCGTCGTCTGGACCCATCCTCGCCACCCGAGGCACCGGAATGGAACGACAAGGAGCAAAAGGATCCCAACCTGCTCAACCGATTCATGGCGCAGATGTGGCGTCGACGCGAAGACACGATGCAGGGCAAGACCTACTGGTTCCTCAAGCTGCTCTGCATCGACCCCCAACACCAGCGCAAGGGTCTCGGCACCATGTTGCTCGGATGGGGAATCAAGCGCGCCGACAAAGAGGGTGTCGACGCTTGGCTAGAGTCGAGCCCGATGGGTAAGGGCGCCTACCTCAAGGCGGGATTCCGAATCCTCGGCATCGACCAAATCGACGAACCAAGGGCAAAGAGAGGCTTCGTAGACTGGCCCTACATGATCCACGACAAACCCAGCCACTAGAAACCGCCACACTGGAAAAGCATGGAAAGGATGACGTTATTAGACCCCGTGGAAATGCATGACATGAACAACCCTATCTCTCTTCACACCGCGGAGCTGGGCTCGGGCGGCGGCGTGACGGGTGCGCTGGCTTTGCCACGCTCGTGCCGCGGCTGGGAGTAGCGCTTGTAGGCAAACACGACGAGCGAAGCGAGCGTCGAGATCGCGAGCGTGGCCGAGATGAAGGCGATGAAGGGTGTGAAGCCGAAGCTGCCGTACGCCGACGGCTTGCCCAGCTGGTCCGGGTAGAACTGCACCGCGATGATGGGTCCGCACATGGCTGCCAACCCGCGGATGCAGACCAAGTACAAAAAGCGCAGCGAAAACTCGTCGGACTGCGCCTTGTCTTTAATCTCGCGCGACATGGGCGTGAGGAACGAGCTGAAGCCTCCGCCCGAGATGCCAAAGAAGACGACGTAGACGATGATCTTGGTGAGCGAGCCGTCGGCGAACCCGAACACGAGCACGGTGAAGACGAGGTTGAGCGTGGTGGAGGTGGCCATGATGAGCGGGTAGGGGAAGCGGTCCACGAGGTAGCCGAGCACAAAGTACGTCACCGCCGCCGAGGCGTTGAAGGCCGAGAGCACGCCCGTGGAGGTGGCGCTGCTAAAGCCCATGGCGGTGGCGTAGTTGGAGATGTTGAGCGACACCGAGTACCACGCTGTGGTCTGGGTGAGGATCACGCCGGCGTTGAGCAGGGTGAGCGGCGAGAGGAGCGAGCGCGGAAAGCCGGGCACGACGCGCTTCCACCGAATCGGCCTTTGGATGCCGTCGAGCCTGCGGCCGGGCTGGAGGCACAGTACCGCGCCGCCCGACACGACGAGCTGCATGAGCGCCCACGCCCTAAGCGTCCACCTGAAACCGATGCGCTCGAGCATTTGTGTGAACAGAATCGGCCACAGGATGCCGCCCACGGCGGAGCCGGCAAAGATGAGCGCGGTGGCAAAGCCGCGCCTCTTGTCGAACCAGTTGGGTAGCCACAGGATGGTAGTGGTGAAGAGGTTGCCGCCAAAGATGCCGAGCAACAAACCCTGGAAGACGATAAGCAGCGCCACCGACTGGGCGAAGCTGGCGATGAGCAGCGAGAGCGCCGAGGCGGCGACGCAGGTGTAGGTGAACGTCTTGATGAGCGAGGGGAACATCGAGTAGAGGCCGAAGGCGACGAGCGGGATAAAGTGCTGTCCGGCGAGCAGCGTGGTGCCGATGGACGAGACGGAGGTGAGCGAGGCCGTGTGGAAGGGCGAGGCGTCGCTGTGCTGGTGGTAGTCCTGGAAGGAGCCGTAGCCGTACGAGGCACCCCACACCATGAACTCCATCGTCGCCGACGCGAGCACGAAGCGCCACGCCGCCCAGCCGCGATCCTTTACGGGTGCATTGTCGGGGCCGATGGTGTCGCTTCCCGCAGCGTCGATTGGATGTGGTGCGGCGGCGTTGGTGGGCTCTTGCTTCTCTACGTCGCTAGTGGCCTGGGACGGCTTGTCTTGCCAAGTGGCAGGGCTGGCGACGTCATGCTGGTCGACGTGCGCCGCCTCTTGTTGATGGTGTTGGAGGGACTCGTCAAACTCTTTGGCGTGGGCCACGAGCTCGATGTGTTCCATACTATCTGCGAGCGAGCTGCCTTAGAGGGGCGTTGTGAGTAAGGAGATGGCGTGATTGGGATGCGAGGATGTCGTGATGGACGCTGAGGCGGACGAGATCCGACGACGAGGTGGGGCTATTTGAGCGCAAGGACTGCTTTGGCTACGACTTCATTTGGCCGCTCTCGCGCTTTCTTGTCTGGCAAAGCTTGTCGGATGCAGCGGCGTGGGAATGTGCTCATACGCTGTGTGCACCTGGCGTGTGACTCGCCGGAAAAGCCGCCGAAAGAGAGAGTACCTTTGAAGTTGGAAGCCAGAGCTGTTGTGGTGGGGAGCGTGTATGAATGTCTGAGCAAGCCACGGATGGCCCGAGGCTCGAGGCTCGATGCTCGAAGCTCAATCTTCTCAGCGAGCTTGAGAGAGCAGAGGGTGGGAATTCAGGCGCGAATTTCGCCGAAAGTCACAGGAAATGGCCCGGAGAGGAGCCCGAACGAAGCGCAGCGCTGTCTAGAGCCCAATCTGGAGCCCAGTGCGCCCGCTCTAGCGCCCACCGCTGCCTCCCTCGACTGCAAGGCGGCAGGAACGACAGCACATCTTGACAGCGGCCTTCCCCGCTGTTTTCCGCCCCGTTTTTTCAGGACCCTGGAGCCCGAATGCAGGGCCACGCGGTCAATCCGCTCAGCCGCCGTTTGCAGGTTGCAGCTGCTTCGGTCTTTTCCCGTGGCCAGAAAAAAAAAAAATCGCGAGCCCAGAGGCCCGTTGTAGACGCCGAGCCTTGGACACATCGGGAAAGATCGAGATTGCGATCGACGATCCAAGCCGCCCTCCAACGCCACAGAGCGCGAATGGTGCCGCATCCGACTGCATTGCCGCTCGCCCTACCGATGTGAGATGCCGCGCTAAGTCCGCAGTTTCATGCGGTGGCGCAACCACCGCATCTCACACACGCGCAGATGGGCGTGCGAACGAACCAAGCGAACCTGCGGGAAGGGTTGTGTGTTGCACTACAGAGCTCCACGTGTGCGCTTCGCTTGCTGCCTCCTGCCTCGCAGGATGAGAAGGAGGTTAGGTTCATCGACCCGGCCATTCGGCTTTTTCTCTCGGCTTCCATGCCGGTTTTGTTTGTCTGTCTGCCTCTTTTGGCTCGCGTGGACTGCAAAATTCAGCCAGAATTTGGCACGGACAAAAAAAGGTCAACATTTCCGGCATTTGAAGGCGGATTTTTTTGGAGGATGTCGCATGTCATCATCGCCAAAAAAATCGCGTGGCGCTTCATAGGCTGGGCGACAAGCATTTGCATCGAGGGTGTCGTGTGCTGCGTCACGCCAAAGTTTGCAAGCGGCCCTCTGCGCAATTACGACGAGTCGTGTGTCAGATGCAAGGAAGATCGAGAGCGCATCCAGCAGCATCCAATCCATGCACGCCTGTTATGTCCGAGTACGATAGCCGGGCTGTGCTGGTGGGCTTGCCGTGTGGAGGTAGGACAGCCCTATCTACAGTATCGCTCAGCGTCGCTTATTTCTGCCGAGCGCGATCGGCAATAGAGTCTAGCCTCCGATCCGACAAGTTTTCTTCTGGCACCCGTAAGCCACGCCCGACTTGGGCAACGAAAGGAAGATCGCATATAACCCAGCCACTGCTTGCCATTATCCCTTCTTTCCTCTCCCATCCATCCATTCACAAACTCAACTTCGGCATCATGACCACCGTCAACCTCGGCACTGTTTTCAAGGGCTCTTCGTCCGGCAAGGTCGTCAAGGCGCAGGGCGCCGACCGCACCGTCAACGCGCGCGATGTGGTCATCGACATCACCCACTCGGGCCTCTGCTTCACCGACATCCACTACCTCAAGAAGGACATGGTCATCGGCCACGAGGGCGTCGGCGTCGTCTCCCAGGTCGGCGCCGAAGTCAGGAACTTCAAGAAGGGCGACCGCGTCGGTTGGGGATACAACCACGACTCGTGCGGCACGTGCAAGTTCTGCAAAAAGGGCCGCGACACCAACTGCTACGCGAACAAGATGTACGGCAACGCCGACCTCGACCAGGCGTCGTTCGGTGACCGCTTTGTCGTCACCGAGGAGTTCTGCCACAAGATCCCCGACGGTCTCGAGCTCAAGCATGCGGCGCCGCTGCAGTGCGGTGGTGCCACCGTGTTTGGTGCGATGCACGACGCACGCATCCAGCCGTACGACCGTGTGGGTGTGATCGGCATCGGTGGTCTCGGTCACCTCGCCATCCAGTTCCTCAACAAGATGGGCTGCGATGTGGTCGTCTTCTCCGGTTCGGAGAACAAGAAGGACGAGGCGATCAAGCTCGGTGCGCACGAGTTCGTCGCGGCCAAGAACAACCCCAAGCTCGAGGGCGTCAAGCCGGTCGACTTCCTCATGGTCACCACCAGCGCACAGCCCGACTGGAACACCTACCTCAAGGTGCTCGAGAAGGACGCCACCATCATCCCGCTCTCGGTCGACTCGAACGACTTTGTCTTCCCCTACATGCCCATCATTGGAAAGCAGCTCAAGATCCAGGGCTCCCTCGTCGCCACGCGTGAGGTGCACGAGAAGATGCTCCTCTTCGCCGCCCGACACGGAATCAAGCCCATCATCGAGGAGGTGCCCATGACCGAGGAGGGCATCAACGGCGCCGTTGAGCGTCTGAAGAACGGAGACGTGCGCTACAGGTTCGTCGCCGTCAACTCCAAGACCCAGGCCAACCTCTAGGCACAAACAATGACTGCGCTTCGTCGATACCATCATCCCGTAGATAGCTCTCGCATCGCATTTAATCTCATAGACATGTCTTGATTTTTCTCTCTCTCTCTCTCTGGTTGCTGTTTTGGGTGTGGTTGAAATGCGGGGGGGAAAAAGCTGTGCCGAAAAATCACGAATTGGCCGAAATGGGCATCGCCGGCGGTGAAAACTCCACACGACTGTCCACTTTCGACTGTCAGAAGAGCTTATTCAGAATATGGCCGCTCGGGCTGTACGACTCGCACCTTCTTTCCACCACATCGCATCGCAGCTTGCATCTCGACTGTGTGCGTATGTGTGGCGGCGACCATGGCACCGCCAGCGATTCCCGCCTCGCGCATGCGCGATGGTCTCGAGGTGGTGCATGCCTCGATCGAAGATTTCGCCACCACCTACCGCGCCTGGCTCACGCTCGCACCGGCCTACAGCTATGCGCCTGCGCTGCTCCCCTCGGACGATGCGGCGCAGTATATGCCAGATGCCGAGACGCTCGCGAGAGCATACTGTCCAATCGCAGGCCCGCGGTGGGACGAGCATCGCGAACGCATGCTCGCCTCGACCTCGCTCAAGGGCCTCACGGTGCTGCGCAGCCAGGTCGAGTCCGAACTCACCGCGCTCGACCGTCTCACCGCAGAGAGGGGAAACTGGGACCAACCGCATCCGTACTCGAATGGGACCCACCATATCCGGTTCTGGGAAGAGATCCTCTATGTTGCATTCGCACGTGGGCCCGTGGTGTCGATCCAGGACCGCTTCGCGTTTAGCATGAGCGCGGCCTTGCGACGCAAGAAAAAGATGCGCAAACCAAGGGGGCAGAACGTCAACAGCCAGAGCGTCAAGGTCGACGTCGTGGCGAACAACGGCGATGCATGGACAAGGATGTACATCGTCAAGCCCGAACGGCTCAGGCAGGAGTTCAGGGAGGCAGAGAGCTACATGGTCGACGAACAGGACTCGAGCACGGATGAAGACTCCAAGTCGGAGGGCGCAGACAGCTTTCACGAACACCGGCATACTCCACAGTGCTCGGCCGCCGCAGCGTCAGTCGCGTGGGATGTGGCGGCGCAAAAGTGCTCGCTCACCAAGCTTGTTCACGAACTCAGGGCTGCGGCGGATACAGAGGCGAGCGCGCGTGTCAAGCGGTCCGAAGAAGATGGGAGGAGCTTGCCCTTGGTTCCGATACGAGTAGAGATCGTCGTGACGCGCATGCAGCTCCAAGAGCCCTCGCAGCCTCTGCCGGAGGCGCTCGCCGCGTTCTACCAAATGCCAGAGTGGGACCGCTTCAACCACCGCCTAGCCGCGATCGTGCAAGAAGCAGAACGGTACAACGTCGACATGGTGTTTGGCCACCGCTCGTTGCCGCTTCATCTCGCCCGTCTGCCTCCCAGCATCGGCCTCACGTCGAACGAAGAGGGTATGGCGCTACCCAAGATCGCACAGGCACCCAGCAAACCGCCCTGGCGCACCACGAGCAAGATCAACCTCGACGTCACGGCGATGATTGCGCTGGTCAGCGATACCACCCACGGCGTCTTTCGCGAAGGCAGCGCATCGACCATGCTGGATGAGAGCATGCGACATCCCAAGATCGAGGATGCCGAGTGTGGATCGGGCGCAAAGTATCAGCATCACTTTCGCACGTTTAGCATCCGCAAGGAGGCGCTCGAGGCGAGAGCGGCCGAGCTGTCGCTGCACGACGATGGGCACGACGAGGCGGCGCGCGCGCTCGACCATGCGGCCGCAAAGGAGGGCAGGGCTCTGGCGATCCAGCTCGAGCGCGAGCTCAATGTCGAGACGCTCTTCGATGCGATCCTGGGCCCGATCGCGGGCACCGGCGCGGCGCCTCGACAGCCGGTGCAGCTCTTTGCCACCGTGGGTGCGTTTGACAGGCTGCGTCGTGTGAGCGCAACAGTCGGCGGACCGAGCGAAAAGCGTCGCGTCAAAGCCCTGCTCGGTGAACCCGGGAGCGATCCGCACGACTTTTGGCGTGGGTCAAAGTGGGATGTACACGAGCACGAAGAGTTGCGTCGGTGTGTCGTGCTGCCCGTACAGGCGCTGCAAGACCTGGGGCCGGGAGGGTTCGAATCGATGGAAAGGCTCAAGCAGGTGTATCCGGACCTGCCGCGTGCGCATTTCATCTCGCACATGGTCGACACGCTCGAGAGCTGTCTGAGCGAGCTGTGGGGTGCGGACTGGCGCGATATCTCGGAGGATCTACCGAGGAGCAAGTACAAGAAGCTGCGGCAGAGCACGGTGCACCAGGCGGGAGGTCAGACGTATACGACGCTAAGGTCGATGCATGCGTGTGCGCGATACGGCATGACCACGCTCACCAGCAACATGGACAGCGTACAGTGGCTGCTCAAGGAGATGAGTCGACGTCCCTACTCGGACCAGACGAAGCAGGTGTTGCGCGAGGCGACGCAGCAGGAGCTCGAGGAGATCAGAGCACAGCAAAGCGAGTTTGTGGCGTGCTTTATCGTGCTGCACCCCAGATCGTTGTCCGAGCAGATGAGGGTGACCACCGAGGCGCCCGCGTGGAGAGAGGTGCTCGATGGATATCCCGCGGACACCGGCAAGCAGTCAAAAGTAGAGACCAATGGCCACGCGGAAGTACAGGGCTACACGATCGATGATTCGGAGGAGCGTATCGCGTCGTCACACGGCGTGGCGTTCTCGGTGGATGCGATTGCGCTGGCGAGGCAGCGCGAGACGTACGACAGCAGCCTGCACGCATCGTCGCACCAGAGCGACAGCATGGGTGCCAGTCAGCCCGACACGATCAAGAAGCACTCGCCAATGACGCCGCTCGGCCTGCAGCCCGAGATCGAACCCATCTTTTATGCCGAGCACGCCGAGCACGAGCAGGCGCCGACAGTGCGGCGTGGGGTGACGGACCGCTTGCGCGCGTTTGTACTCGGTCCCCATCCACCGAAACATCTCAGCCTAGGGCATTATCGGTGGTGGCCGCTGGCCCGCGTCGAACGGGCTTGGATCCGCCTCACCAGCGCGCTCGCATGGAAGCAGCCCCCCGAATCCACCCACTGCTTCGGAGGCGGCGCCGAGATGGATTCGGACGTGCCTCCCGGTCTCGCGTGGTGGCGCAGCGTCACGGCGGACTTCAAGTTCAACAAGCTGCACTGGATCGCCCTAGTAGCGGTCTACATCGGCTGGATTTTGGGCTTTGCATTTCTCGCCAAGGCGATGTGGTACGAATCTTCCCTAACTATCGACGGAATGGAGAGCACGCCGGCGTTTCTGTCGTGCACCTCGACGTACTGGCTGCGCAATGGCGAGTGCGGGATCAACGGCGAGGCATGTGCGCCGTTCTACACGCCCGCTGCCGAGGCGGGGCAGCCATTTAGGTGCCCCGCAAAGTGCGTGGATGTGACGCTGCTCAATCCGCGCGCGGTGGGTGACGAGCTGGTCAACTATCGACCACTGGTAGTTGGGGGTGGCGATGCGAATCGCACGTATCGCGGCGACTCGTTCATCTGCGCGGCGGCGATCCATGCCGGCGTGATCCGCAACGAGCGGGGAGGGTGCGGGTCGGTGCGGTTGGTCGGCGCACAGGCTGGATTCGACGCAAGCACCGCGCACGGGATCGAGTCGGTCGCATTCGATGCAGCCTTCCCGGTGGCGTACAGGTTCGAAGCCGTGCAGGGCCAGACGGACTGCACGGATCGACGGTGGCAAGGGTACGTGGTAAATGCGCTCATGACGGCAGTGGTCGGGTTCGTGCTGCGCCCGAAACGAGTTGTCTGGTTCTGGACGCTGGCGTGCGTGGGCTTCTGGCACATCACGCTTGTCTCGGAGCCGCGCGACTATCCTCCGCCCATCGGCGCAGCTGTGGGCGACTTTCTGCCGTTCCTCTTTGTGTGCTACGCCATCTGGCGGCTAGCCTTCCGCTTCGTCTGGCCCGCCTTCACCCACCTCCCGCTCGAGAGCACGTTCTGGACACTCGGCTTCTGGTGGCTCGGTGTCTTGCTCAATGTGGTCTTTGACAAGGTGCCGTTGCAGCGACTGGTGGCGCGCGACATCAGCCAGCAGCCCGGCAGTTTGGTTGCGCTCATCGTCATCGTGGTGGTGGTGGTGGCGATCGCGGTGAACCAGGTGCGCGTGATGCGCGCGACGGGCGAGCTGCCCAAGTACCTCTCGCTGTACGCTGTCGGCGGCGTGGTGGTGGGACTGGCAGCGGCGGTGCCGGGCGAAACGCTGCGTCTGCACCACTACATCATCGCGCTCGTGCTGCTACCTGCGTGTGCGTTCCCCACGCGCCTCGGCCTGGTCTACATCGCCTTTCTGCTCGGCATGTACACAAACGGCATCGCAAGGTGGGGCTTCGACGGCCTGCTGCAGGATAACGCCGTGGTGCAGGGAGACGCCACGGGCGGCACCGCAAGACCGAGCTTCAACACGACCGCGCGAGACTGGGCGCAGTCGGACGGGGTGGTGCGGTGGAATGCGTTCGAGGATGGCGGGTGGGACGCGTACCAGCTGCTGGTGGATGATGTGCTGCGCTACCAGGGTGCGCAGACGAGCTTTAATCTGACGAGCGTGGTGAATACGATGGTGCAGCAGATCGAGGCAGACGGACAGCCGCTCGACACGGCGCCGAGCAACTCGACGATGGGCGCAAAGCACTATGTGCGCGTGGCGTTTAGCGCGGCTGGCAGTCCCGGCGACTTTACGCGTGCGGCTGTAGCTCTAGCCAACGGGACATGGATCCCCGCCCCACCCGGCGCAACGTAGCGCGCTTCTCCGGCTGGTAATGCAAGAAGAATGTTGTGTTTTGCGAGTGTAGATGGTGGTACAGAATTGAAAGGATGGTATAGTACAGTGATGCTCGGGTTTGGCTTTGGGTGTATGCTTGAGGCTGGGTGACTATGCTTTGACGGGCTGTTCGACTTCGATCCAGCCGCCCTTCCTGGTGAGGACGACCTTCTGGCCGACGGCGGAGCGCGGTTTTTCGCGGTCGGATTCTTCGGCCATGGTGGCTCGTGTGGGCGCGCGCGACGCCGGGCACGGCAGGATGGTGGAGGCCGAGAGCGAGACGGTGAGGAAGGCGGCGGCGAAGGTGGCGATGAAGAACGACGAGGTGGCGAGTCGGCGTGTGCGCACCGACGGATTCGCAAGGCGGCCCCACATTGCGTTTCCGGCGCTGTGTTCGAGGTGGTCACGATGCCAAGGTGTGGTGGTGGTTGCGTGTCGAGAAGAAGAACTTTTGTGCAACCCTTTCGCATTGCCGACCCCGGAAGCCTTCGGACGCGCGCCCGATTTGTCAGACACTCGCACGATAAACAGCGATTTGAGCTCACAATGTCAAGATATAAGAATGTAACACTCGCAAGGAAAAATTGCTCGCCGTCTTTTTGTGCACACCGACGTCAGACTGCCGGTTTAGGCGGTGGAATAAGCTTCGGACGGCGCTAAGCGACGGCGTAAATGGATCTCCGCCGCCCCCAAGTGCGGACCCCGTCGTCGGACCCACGGCTTCAAAGGCGGTGAGCAGCTAGCCCGAAATGGAAGGTCGGCACAAACAAGCCGCCAGTCGGGCATGGCGCTCATAGCGCCAAGCCAACCGGCTGTTGCGATCCCGCGCCCATGTCCCACGCCCACGCCCCTATGCCCACCAGGCGTGGGCGTGGGCGTGGGTGGAGCTGGCACCGCTCGCACCCGAAGGGGTCCATCAGGGTGCAGTTTCGTACGAGGCAGAGACCGCAACAAGGTATATAGTCCGCACTGCTACCTCCATCCGACTGCGACCCCAACACAAAGACGCAACGATGCCGACTCTCAACAAGATCATCTTTGGAGCGGCGGCGGTGTTGGTGTCGTCCAGCGCCGCGTTTCCGCTGTACAGTGTGCACGGCGATTCGCCTTGGATGGCACGTGCGGACAACTCTTCGCTCGAATCCTGTCTGTCGTCCAGCGGCGGGTTTGAACAGGCATATGCATCGTCGGGCGACTACTCGGCGCTCACGTCGTCGTACAATCCGCTGTTCTCGTACAAGCCTCTGGTCGTGGCGGTGCCCAACACCGAGTCGGAGGTGGCGAGCATCGTCAAGTGCGTGGCGGCGCAAGAGGGCAGGCAGAAGCTAGCGCCCAAGTCGGGCGGACACTCGTACGAGGCCTACTCGCTCGGGGGCCAAGACGGTTCGGTCGTCATAGACCTCTCCCACCTTAACAGCATCCAGGTGGATCAAGCCAACAAGACCGCAGCGGTGGGGGCGGGGGTGAGACTGGGTGCGTTGGCAAAGGGCATTTGGGACCAGGGCAAGTTTGCGCTGCCCCATGGAACGTGTCCGCTGGTCGGCGTGAGTGGACATGCACTCGGGGGTGGGTTTGGATACACGACGCGTGCGTGGGGGTTCCTGCTGGACCGCATTAAGTCCATGCGGGTAGTGACGAGCAAGGGAGACGTCATCACCGTCTCGGAGGACGAGAATACCGATCTGTGGTGGGGCCTAAGAGGAGGCGGGGCCAACAACTTTGGCGTGGTGACGCAGTTCACTTTTGCGCTGCAGGATGCTCCGACGCAGATCCTCAACTACAACTACGCGTACGCCACCAACGAGGATTGCGCCAAGGCGATTGTTGCGATCCAAGACATGGCGAACGATCCGGACACCAGCACGGGTTTGGAGGCTGGGTTGGGCGGCGAGCTGTTGGTGGCGGGCTCGGCGGCGGGCGACTTCAACGGCAATGCATGCCAGCTGGCAGGACAGCATATCAACACCGCGCGAGAGGGGCACGATGCGCTCATGGCGAGATTCAACGCGCGTGCGGGCGTCCAACCTGCAACCGCGTCGGTCAAGCCGTTCGATAGCTGGATCGACGCACTGACGGATCTCATGGGCAATCTGTCGGCCACCGGACCGCAGCATGAACAGTTCTACGCAAAGTCGCTCGTCCAACCCGCCACGGCGCGCTACAACTACACCTCGGCACTCGAACTCGTCTCAGAGCTCAACTCGTACGCCGGGTTGAGGGGCACGGGCAACAGTATTTCGTTTGACTTCTTGGGCGCGCTGGCGTATTCGGCGACGATCGAAGATGCAAGTTTCAATGCGCATGGTGCGACGCTCATCAACCAGTTCTACTCGTACGGCTTCCCCAGCAACGACGACCCCAACGCGCAGCAGGATGTGTGGAAGGCATTCGACAGTCTTGTGCGCACAGCTCAGGCCAGCGCACCCGATGCGGACTGGGGTGCGTACGTCAACTACGTCGATGCTAGACTGGACGACTGGGCGCACGCCTACTACGGCGCGGGCCTGGACCGGCTCAAGCAGCTCAAGGCCACATGGGACCCGCAGAGCATCTTTGACTTTCCACAGGGTCTAGCGCACGCCTGATCGCAATCCGATGCCCTTTCTTATTCATTGCAGGTGGAAAAGTGTGATTAGGCTCGGTAGTTTGTTCTTGCGAGGCCGGCTAGGATGTGCATGCCGGCGATGGCGCCGTCGATCACCGCGACACTGGCATAGTCTGGTCCAAGCGCAGCGCACGCCCGGCGCACGAGCGGCTGCATGCCCGTCATCCCCGCACAGCCTAGGATGATCACATCCGCACCGCTTGCTGCGAGCTTTTGCGCACCGGTTGTAATCGCCGCTTCGACCTTCTCCCTGTTGCCTGTTTGAAGTTCGACGACGCCGAGACCGGTAGCGTGCGTGCCGACGTATCGGTCGCTGTTGCCGCCGAGTAGCTTGCGTACACCCGCCTCGACGTCCGGCACCACCGATCGGCCCGTGGTGAGCACGCCGAACCGATTCCCCGCAGAGAGAGCGTGTACGACCGCAGCCTCGAGCAGGTGTACGGCTGGTTTGGACGGGCACTTTTGTCGCAGCATCCCCACGAGCGGATGGTCGCTGAAGCACGCGACTAGGAACGCATCGGCCGGATGCAAAGCTAGATCGTCCGACGGAGAAGAGGCCACCAGAGAGCGGTACGTCTCGGCAGCCGAGATGATCGAGCCAGGGATATCTTGAATGCTCTCGGGAGACGATGGTGGACCAGTGACGAAATTTGCGTGGCAGCCCGGTGGCACGGCGAGAGAGGCGGCGAGAGCAGATGTGATCACCGCCGAGCTGTTTGGATTCACCACGTACAGCGCCACCGACGACGAGGCGGATGCAAAGGTGGTGGAAGTGGTGTCTGCTACAGGCGCCATGTTGAGCGTGTTTGAGGGGTGTGAGGATGGTGGTTGAGACGCAAGCATGGCTGGATGGGAGCAAGAGCCAAGGGATGAAGAAGAGGGCGGGCACAGATGCACGTCGGTTGTCGGCTAGGGCGAGCGAAGTGTTATCGTTCCCCGCGCCGTTATCAAAAAGACGGCGACTCGCCCGCGATGGAGGCCGGAATTTCAACGCATTCTCGGGCGAGCTCCCGCGCGTCCCCTCTCCCCGCCAACCTCCCACACCACACTGCACATACGATTCAATCGACACTTTGTCACGAAACAATCTGAGAGCGATGAATCAGATGGAAGCTGAGAAAGGACAGTGGCTAGAGCGACGCGGTGGGTGAAAGTGAGAGATACGGTGGGTGGAAGAGGTGCAGGGCTGCGGCAGGCGCCAGAGCGTCCGGACACTCTGACCAGGTAGATGCGACACTCAAAGCCACGTCGACGGGCTCGAGGGCAGATCACGCTCGCGCAGAGCGTACCGCGAAGCGATGATGGCCTGCTTGGGCACGTTGAACGCCACTGCCGGAACGTCGTACTCGTGGCCATTCTTGGATTTGGGCTTAGCCTTCTTGGCGTCATCGTGGTCATCATCATCTCACTGATCGAGAACCGAATGGAGCTGCGATCCAGCCATGTGAAGCTTTGGAAAGTGCGTCATGGTGGTAGCCGCGTTCTTCGGACCCTGATGAGGGTTCGAGCGGGCATCGTTGATGCTGTCCACAGCCCTCCAGAGGACCAGGCCGGTCATGGCGGTAGCAAATGCGGCGGTGGCCACACGAGCGCCACGCTTCTCCACGACAGCGCGCTTTGCAATCTTGCCACCACTGGTTCCGAGGGATGCAACCTGTTGCATGTCGGCCTGACCCTGGGCCTGGGTGGCGGCGATTTGGGCGTTGGCCTCGTTGGTGCGGTCGATGTTGCCCTTGATGATCCACACGAGAATGGACGAGATGGTCAGACTGGTACCTGCGGCAACGAGAGCTTTGGCGCTAGACAGGCGTGCCAGTACGGGGTTCCTGGGGTGTGCGGCAGCCGCAGCCTCGGCAGCTACCTGGTGGATCTCCTGCGCCGAGGTATGCGTGAGTGGAGGCTGCTGGTACAGTCGTGTGCGCAGGAGGTTGTCCACATCGCCACCGTAGCCGGTCTCGTGGCCGCGGAATTTGAACGGCTCAGGGATGCGAGGTTGGGAGGCAGGTGCGGCTTCGGGGGCTTGGACGTGAAGCTCGGTGCGAGGGCGTGCCTTGGCCAGCTCCTCCTTGGCAAGCGAACCCCAGCTGGTCGCTTCCACGGCGGGCTTGGTGGCTGCGGCAGAGGGAACTCGACGACCCACACGTCCAAAGAGCTCAGAGACCATCTCCCTCGCAGAGGCAGGTGTTTCCACCCTCTGAAGCGTCGAGTGTCAGCGATGCGCAGAGTAGCACAGGTGATGACGACAAACTTACACGCTTGGCGATGGACGGCTGGCGAGTCCAGCGAGAGCCGCTCCTGCTGTCAAAATTGTTGGCTGCATCTAGCAGCGGCTGGCATAATACAGCCGCAACCAGCACGTAGGCCGTGGCGACCAAGAAGAGGAAATGCATAGTGGAGTGAGCTGGCCTGATCAACACGCCAGCTTGATGTCACGGAAAATGGTAATGGAAGCGTTCGCAACAGTCTATATGGAGAGCAAGAGAAGCAGTAGGGGCTCGACACAAAGTTCAACGTAGTCAGATGTAGATCTTGGAGCTCATGAGACCACATCCTGGCTGCAGCCCACCGGCAGGCAAGTCCCACGAGTGGCACAGGTGGGGAGCAAGTTGCATTGTTCCCACGCACTCCGCTCTGCAAGCCTGAAGAGAAACTTCATCTCGGTTGCCTCGAAACTAAGAATGAGGATGCATCTTCATCTGAGCGTTGCGAGAGCCCATCCTGACTAAGGTGACGGCAGTCGGAGTGGCGGCGGCCTCCCTTGAGCCGGACATTCATATGAAGCGAAGAGGGTAAGGTGGGGTTGCGGGAAAAATGTGGAGAAATGTCAGGTCGACGCTCGAGACATTGGAAAACGGGCGCGAAAAATCCGCACGCGAGTTGCGCCCTGGCTGAGGTGTTGGTTCGTTGGCTGGTTGGACTTTCTTCTATTCACAAAAAAGCGGCGGCGCGGTTGCGTTGAGAGAGAGTGGAGGTGCAGTGGGCCTGTGCGCAAAAGGGGGCGGCGCCGGTCGAAGGCTGTGCAGCCCAACCAGCACAGCTCAGCTCGCAACTCAACCACCATCCCAACCTAAATCGCGACACCCCCCTTCATCATTGCGACAATGTCAGCGACACTGCAGAACCTGCTTCCGGGCAACCCGGCCACGACGCGTGCACAGTCGACCAAGATCTCGGCGGACCCCAAGGGCGAAAAGGTGGTGTACTGCCAGAACCGCACGGTGTTTGTGCGCTCGCTCACCGACGCCTCGAAGCCGGCGCTGGCGTACTCGCAGCACACGCAGCCCACCACGGTGGCGCGCATCTCGCCTACGGGCTACTACTGCGCCTCGGCCGACCAGGCGGGCAACGTGCGCGTGTGGGACCTCGTGGGCGACGAGCAGATCATCAAGAGCGAGGTCAAGGTCATCGCGGGCCGCATCAACGATCTTGCGTGGGACGGCGAGTCGAAGCGCATCATCGCCGTCGGCGACGGTCGCGAGCGTTTCGGCCACGCTTTCTCCTTCGATTCCGGATCGAGCGTCGGCGAGGTCACGGGACACAGCCGTCAGATCAACGCCGTGGCGATCCGAAAAGAGCGTCCCTTCCGCGCGGTGACGGCGGGCGACGACAACAATCTTGTGTTCTACCACGGCGCACCGTACAAGTACAACAAGACGATCAGCACGCACACGCGCTTCGTGCAGGACGTGGCGTATGCGCCCAACGGCGACAGCTTTGTCTCGGTAGGCTCGGACAGCAAGGTGTTTGTGTACGACGGCAAGACGGGCGATACGCTCGTCGAGCTCTCTGCCAAGGCCACCGGCGGCCACACGGGAACCATCTTTGCCGTCGACTACTCGCCGGACAGCAAGCACATCGCCACGGCGGGTGCAGACGGCGTTGTCAAGGTGTGGGATGTTGCGGGCGAAAAGGTGGTTGCATCGCACGACTTTAGGGGCCAGGGCAGCCAGAAGGCGGATGATCAGCAGGTGGGGCTGGTGTGGGCCGGCTCGCGCATTGTGTCGCTCAGCTTTGCGGGCGATCTGAACGTGATCGAGGGCAGCGAGGTGCGCAAGCTGCATGGGTCGTGCAAGCCCTTTGGCGTGCGTTCGCTCGACGTGGTGGCGGGCACAAAGACGCTGGTGGGTGGCAGCTACGATGGACGTGTGCTGACGTGGTCGTCTGACGGTACGTGCAAGCCGGTGCTGGGGACTGAGCAGACGAGTGCGGTGCTGGGCGTGCACGCGACGAGCGAGGGCGCGTACGTGGTGTCGATGGACGATGCGGTGCGCAAGATCGCCGACGGCAAATTCGCGGGTGCGGCAGTTGCCACCTCGAGCCAGCCGAAAGGCAGTGCAGCCTCGTCGACGGGGGTGGTGGTGATTGCCGGCGCAAATGGGATCGACATTATCGCGCAGGGGAAAAAGACACACACGGCTACGACCTACACGCCCTCGTCGGCTGCGATCTCCATCGATGCGTCGTACGTCGCTGTCGGTGCTGAAGACGGCAAGGTGCACCTGTACAAGCACGCGTCGGGCAGCTTGACGGAAGCTGGGGTTCTGAGCAACAACCGGTCGGCGGTGACGGCGCTTGCCTTTGACTCTGCGACGACGCTGTTGGCGGCGGGCGAGTCGAGCGGCAAGATCCAGGTGTACGACGTGGCGAGCCGGACGCTCAAGATCGCCCACTGGGTCTTCCACTCTGCGCGCATCAACGACATCCGCTTCTCGCCCGACGGCACGCACGCCGTGTCGGCCAGCCTCGACACGCACGTCTACGTGTGGAGCGTCGCCAAGCCTATGAAGAACATCGCCGTCAAGAATGCACATGCCAACGGCGTCCAGGCCGTGGCGTGGCTGGGGGATGACGAGTTTGCCAGTGCAGGTGCCGATGCCGCCGTGCGCACCTGGAAGCTCAAGCGTCACGACGGTGCCTAGTGCGCATACCCCCGCATCGCTTGATCACCAATCGAAGGCTTAGATCACACAGCAACATCGGATCGTCTGTCTTCTTTTTTTTCACTGATTTGACACTGACGGCAAAGAGAGAGCATGTCGGCTTCATCGCCGGTGTCGAGGGTAGATCGGCCCGATGCCAAGGCGACACGACGATGTGGGAGCGGCGTATTTCGCGGTGATTTTGCGGCGTGTGTGAGTGGTGGGATCAAGAATGTGGCTCGCGTGTGGAGTTGGCAGCGCGGGGGTGGGAGAGAAGGCGAGAGAGAGCTGCCTATGCGCGGTGGGAGAGGATGTGGGGTTCGCCGGTGTGGAGCTGTGAGGGCCGGATGAGCCGACGTCGACGGTCGGAGCAGCTCCGTGTGGACCGGATACCTTCCGCGCCGTCTTGCTCCCACTTTGACCCTGCCCTGCCCTGCCCTGCCTAGCGTGGTCAGGTTGAGCTACAAAAGAAGTGAGCTCGCTTCGCCCATCCTTGTCTCTTTTTCTTCAAATCACATTCATCCCAGCGTGATCTCTTCAAGACAACATGCCGGTGGACCACACGAACAATCTCACGCTGCGCATCCTCCAGGCGGCCCACGAGGGCGGATACGCGATCAATGCGCAGTCGTGCTACGATGCGCAGTCGGTCATCGCACTCGTGCGCGCGGCGGAGGAAGCACGCTCGCCTGCGCTCTGCCAGCTCTTCCCCGTCACCATGGCGCAGTTCGGCAAGCCGTTTGTGCGATTCTGCCTCGACACGTGCCATGCCGCATCGGTGCCCATCGCCGTGCATCTCGACCACGCCGCCAGCGATGAGGACATCACGCGCGCGCTCGACTGGGCCGAACAGGGCGTGGCGCTAGACAGCATCATGATCGACTGCTCCCACCACGATACCGACGAGGACAACATCGCGATGGCCAAACCCTACGTCCAGCGCGCCAACAGCCTCGGCATGGCGGTGGAGGTCGAGCTGGGAAGACTCGCCGGTGGTGAGGCCGGTGTCAGAGTCATCGAGGAAGGAATGCTCACCAAGCCCGAAAAAGGTAAGTCCGCATCATCCCCGCCAAGCATCGGGGCAGTGTTTGCTGACGAACCAAGCGACTGGGGGAAACAGCTTCGCGATTCTTGACCGAGCTGGGAGCGCAGATGCTGGCACCTTCGATTGGCAACATCCACGGCCGCTACGTCAACCCGCCCGCCTTCCGGCTCGAACTGCTCGAGGCGCTCCAATCCGCCGTCGGCCCCGGCACCGCCGCCAACTCCTACCTCGTCCTGCACGGCACCGACGATCTGCCCGACGAGCTCTTCCGAGACTGCGTCAAGCGCGGCGCGTACAAGATCAACGTCAACAGCTGGGCGCGCGACCCGCAGGTCGAGTTCTGGGCCCAGCATCTCGAAAAGGAGCCGCTGCCGGATGTGTACGAAGGCGGCATGCAGCAGTTCGCCAAGGTCTGCAACAGGTTCTTCCACCTCCTTGGCTCAGCTGGCAAGGCCTAGTCCTCCCCCCCACGCACAACTGAAATCTTAGATATGTCTGTGGATTGAATTCGGTGTTAGATGCGCTGTATGACTTGGCCGTCTCGGAGGCGCAGGAGCGAGCCGAACGACGTTGGCCATTCGGACTCGTAGTGGCTCACGACGACCATGGCCATGTTTCGGCGCTGCTGCAGGTCGGCCTGCTGTTCGTGCGGAGGTCCGAGAGGGAAGAGGTGGGGATGGTCGAGGAACTGACGCGTGCGCTCTACTTGGCGCTGGTCCATGCCTTGGAACGGTTCGTCGAGCACGAGCAGTTGCGGATTGCCCACCACCGCGCGCAGGAACAGCACCACCGCCTGGCTGCCGTGGCTGAGCTCGCTGAATCCCATCCCCGACAGCGCGCGCACCTCGCTCGACACGCCACTGCTGCGCGACTTGATCAGATCGCCAAAGTGGCCCAGCAGATCCCACACGCGCTCCTTCTGCGCATCGGTGTAGGAACGACGCGCAAAGACGTTTTCGAAACCCGAAGCGACCACTTCGCCTACACTCAATCCACCTGCGGCAGTGGGCCGGCGTGGGAAGGCGTTGAAGAGTTCGGGGGAGAGATGACCAATGCGTCGGTTTAGTAGCGTCCGGGCGTTGGAGGCGTGGTCGCGTGCGTGCGAAAAGAGCGAGAGCGAGGCGGCGTCGAACGAAAACGACCGCGGGTGGTCGCCGAGCAGAAGCGCAAGGAGCGTGGTTTTGCCCGAGCCATTGTCGCCGGCGAGTACGAGCCGTGTACCGGGGTAGAGCTGCAGATCCACCGAGTCGAGCACCGTCTTTTCGCCGTACACGATCGAGACGCCATTCAAACTGACTACAGGTGGGGCATTCGTATCGCCCTGCCCCACCCCGGCAGCTGCATTCGCTTCGATCAAGTCGACTCCGCTATGGCTCTTGCCGCTTTGAGCCGCCTCGGTGGTGTGGCGATGACCGACCGAGACGATGGCACCCCCTTCGTCGACGCGCAGCACGTGCGTGACGAGGTCGGGCACGGCGTCCTGTTGGCGCAGCACCAGCAAGAACCGCGGTCGCCGCTGGGCATGCAGTTGTGCAAACAGCTCGCCGAGCCGCGTGCGCGTCGCAGTGTCGATGCCCGAAAACGGCTCTTCGAGAACGACGAGCTCGGCGCCCGTGATGAGGCTGCTCAGGATACGTGCCCGACGTGTCTGTCCGTTGGACAGCGCAATCACGGGCCGATCCAACAGCTCGTCGCCGATCAACAACAGCGGAGCCATCTGCCGAATCACCGCGTCGGCGCGCTGAGCTTTCTGCAGTGCGGCATCTCGCTGTGCAGCAGAGGCGTACTTGAAGCGTCCTACCTGCTCCGTCTGTTCGAGTGGGTCGGGGACGAGCTTTTGGGCTGCGACCAGGCCGACGGGACAGTCGAGCAGGTCCATGAGGCGCTCATACAGCGTCACCCTGTCTTGGTCGCGAATCGCACCGTACCGTGCAGAGTAGTTGGTAAACTCGCCGCTACCGCCCGCACCCATTTGCGTGGCGAACGAGACGTGCTTGATCGCGTGCATTGCCGACCGACCGGGGTCGAGGAACGGATGCGGAGGTGTGTGTTGGGTATCGGATGTGCGCGGACGTTGTCGGCCGGAGAGAATGTCGATGAGCTCGCGACGCACCGCTCCGCCCTGCTCGGACGCCGGCGCGATGATCGCCCAGCACTCTTCGGCGCCCGCGTCGCGTATCGTCCAGTCGAGAGGTGCCGAGGAACTGCCGAGCTTCGCCGCGCGCAGGTCGAGTAGAGGCGGTCGCGTCGATGCTTGCCGCACCTGAGCGATGACGCGAGAGGAGGATGCATAGTGTTGGCGAACGACGCTCGATATCGGCAGCAAATTTGAGCGGGTGGTAGCTCGCCATGGCTGGGAGATGCACCGCATGGCTCAGAGTGCGGATGATGATGGGTGCACGGAAGGAGAGCGGGGATGCGCGGTCGAGCGGGATGCACTCACCGCTCGGCAACTTGATCGGCGCCTGTCCTCCGAGTCGCACCAACCTTCCTTCCGCCTGAGTCGCGTTCCGTGTGGGGGGACGGGGCAAGGAGAGATGCAATCGGCGATGACACCTGCAACTGCACCGATATCCACCACGATGGGCAGGAGCTACGCAGCTCGAATCTCACACGGCGGCCGCTTTTTTCGAGTGAGGGGTGGCACAAAGTTTCAGGTTACCGCCGCTGCGCTGGTATCTGGCGGTCACCTTTCGCCCAGGCACGCGGTATCGATCTGCGACCCTGGCTGCCCTCAAGTCGGCTCGAGATATCGATCGGGTCCGCAAAGCCACGGCTCTGTTGATTTGTTAGCGCTTGAAAGGGAGCACTGCACGGGAATTGACCGGCCGGTTTCCGCCAACCCTGCCACCCTGCAGCACCGGCATGTGCCACATGCCATCCCGGAAGACGTGGTATTGATTTGCGCTCGAACTCTCGCCGAGCCGAGACGAAGGCGTCGAATCCCGGACGTGCATGCTGTAGCATGGGCTGCGTGGCTCGGACGTTCCGGAGGTTTGCACTCCCGACCCCTCCCGATGTCAGCCTTTCTCCCCCCAAGGCGAGACGACGAAGAAAGGCGCTATGGGGGTTGGCAGCACATGGCAAAACCAGCTTGGGTGTGCGTGTTTGGCGAAAGTGCAGACTGATGTCAGCAGTCTACAGTCGGGGCCAACAGCAAACAGAATGGACGGTCGACGCAGGGCCCAGGGACAGAGACGTCGGAAGCTAGCACGCAGATTTTGGAAGATGCTAAGCGAGTAGCAGGTGGGGAAACCCGAACTGGTCCAAGGTCCCACGACAAGAACGCTCCCGTTGTTCCAGCGAGCTTCGCGGCCACCGGGGCAGGTGGAAAGGTCTCAGTTCCACCACTTGGGCATACAGCCTCCACATCTCGCCCGTCTCTTGTGAGCTGGCTCAAGTCCCCGCGCCTGCACCTGAAACGCTCAAAACTCGCTCGACCACGCCAAAGCAATGCGCTCGTGTGGTTGGATCGATATGCACCCAAAGCCAGAACCGCCAAGGCTGCATACTTTATTGAAAAAGTGAGAGGTGGGGGGAGAGCGGCAATGGCATCGGGGTTGGAAGCGAGAAGTTTCAGGTGTCGCGCGGATGCAGCTGGGCTGGTGCCGGTCGAACCGAGCGCAGCAGCAGCAGCAGCGGCTGTGATGCAAATCCTTTTGGTCCCCGTGCCTTTCACGCAGCTGTCCAACCCAAACCCAGCTCCCGGAACGTCATCATCCCATCCCAGGCTCAGAGAGGCCTTCCGAGTGTGGAGTAGGGATTTGGCCCATGACGATTTTGGCGACGCCATTATTTTTTTTAGGAATTCCGTCACCCCCCTCGCTGCGACGACCCGCTGCTCCCGTCCAAGCGCCACCTCAAGTCTCCCTGTCTCACACACACACACGAGAGAGTCACAGTGGGTGCCCGTGCATCCTTCCGGTGTTGTTGCAGTCTCTGCCCTCGTCTGCCCCCCCAGCGTCGGCTAATGAAGACAGTATAATAGTATCGACTGGATCGGTGTCTTTTTCCTTCTTTCCCCTCTCCACAACAACACTCTCCCTTCGATTGTTTCGCAACCATGTCAGTTCCTGGCAAGGTAGGCACGTTTTTCGCCGGCCTGGCTGGCAAGACGACGCATTCCAAGCTCGGCTTCAAGCTGCTTGCATCGGACCCGGTGCTGGACACGGCGCGCCACTTTGGCTTCAAGGTGGTCGAGTACGATGTGCCGCCGTACCCGCTGTGGACGGCGGGCGTGATCGCGGTGCGCATGCTCTCGTTCATCGTCGGTTCGGCCGTGGTGGCGTACATCCTGTACCACAACGTGGCGGTCAAATCCAAGGCGGGCAAGTGGTTCTCGATCGTATCGCTCATCAGCACGCTGCTGGCGTGGCCCATGCTGACGGGACGCTCGGGCGTCATGCTGCTCGACTTCTGGCGGCCCGCGCTCGGATTCCGATCCAGCCTGCTCGTCTGGGACATCTTCCACATCCGCACGCACGATGAGGTGCGCTCGTGGTCGTTTGCGCGCTTCTTTGCGCAGCTCTGGACTTTCCCAAAGGAGCTCGACGACCTGGCCGAACGCGCCAAGGAAGAGGGCTACGAGCGCAACGCGCGCTGGGAGAACCTCAAGGGCATGCCCAAGGTCGCCGTCGAGGCCGTCGCCATGTTTGGAACGCTCTACTTTATCCCGCCCTTCGAGCTGACGCGCAACATGAGCCAGCTCGCCTACCACGGCTACTGCGATGCGCTCGGCCTGTGCATCCTCATGGCGCTCGCGCTGTTCGGCGACGGTCTGCTCAAGGCGCTCGGCATCCTCATCAACGTCGAGATGGCCGACATGTTTGAGAATCCGCTCGGAACGACCAACATTCGCCTGTTCTGGAGCCACTGGAACCGCGCCATCGCCACGGTGCTGCACCGCGTCGTGTTCGGCGGTGGCAAGAGCAAGACGGTCATCCGCAAGAAGAAGCTCGAGGCCGAGGCGGCGGCCAAGCGACGATTCTCGCACATGGACGGCATGTCCGAGACCGACGCCGGCCATACCTCGGGCGAAGACGAACACGCGCACTCGAACGGCGGCCGTCGTCGCAACGCCTCGGGCCTCAAGCCTCTGTCGCAGGTCGCCGACGGCGATGCGCAGCTTCGCAACCGCAAGAACGGCAAGGCGGACAAGAAGCCTAACGGATCGGCTGCCTCGCGCACGGGTGCACCGGCCAAGAAGTCGTCGTTTGCACCCAAGGCGGCGGCAGCGATCGTGACGTTTGCCATGAGCGGCATCTTCCACGAACACATCACCTACTTTACGCTCGGCTTTGCCAACGGCGAGAACTTCCTCTTCTTCCTGCTCAACGGCGTCGCCACCGTGACGGCGACGTGGTTCAAACGCACCTACCCCGAACTCAACGACAAGATCCCCACCTGGCTGTCGGTCATCATGCTCCACGTCTTCTTCGTCTCGGTCATCCCGCTCTTCTGCTCGCCCTTTATCCGCTCGGGCTTCTTTGTCCAGCTCGAGGCGCTCCGGTACGAGCTCATGCCGATTCGTGACAGGCCGCGTGGCAGCTTCATCTACCTCTTTGGCCAGTAGTAGCCATCCTAGCCCCCTCCTCATTCTGTTTCTGCTGTTCTCTTTGAAGCCCCCCTTTCTGATTCGAATAGGAACTCGTTGTCGAACATCGAGGTGTGTGGGGGTGTGAGGAGGAAAAAGGGATCGGGCGATGGGGGCGCATGTTTTCACGGCGTTGAGCACAATTGCCCCGCATCGGCTGGGTGGAAAAAAAGAAGGAAATTGAAATGAAAGAGAGTGTGCGGTTCGCCCCGCAAAGGGGGGGATCGACGAGGGGCGTTGTGCCTGCCGGGTTTTGGAACCAAAACACGCCTCTGTACGCCCCCGCGCTTGTGCCCATCCAAATTAGGAAAGGGCGGCGAGAGACTGGCATGCAACACCATCCCATCCTACTCTCACCATTCTCGCTCAGGACGAAATCGCGCGATGAAGATCAGTACAACACTAGCCGTTCTGGCGTTGGCTTGGGGCGTTCGTGGTGATGGCTCGACCATCACCGTGTCCACGACGCAGTTCAATCCGGCCATTACGAATCAAGGCGGCACCACCAACGCTGCGGGCACGTTCAATGTCTCTCCGCTGGCGACGTCGATGAGCTACGAGTTTCAAACGCTGCAGCAGACGTCGACGTTCGTTCCGGGTGCGGTCAATACCCAGGCTGCCCAAGGGGGTGGTGGAAATAGCGGTGGGAACGGCGGAAGTGGAAGTGGAAGTGGAAACAGTGGAAATATCGGGGGGGGTACGGTGGTGGTCACTGCAACCGCACCAACAAGCACAGTCAATATGGGAAGCACGTCGGGTGCAGGAGGGTCGAGCGTCGCAACGGCTAGCAATGGTCTGCCGAGTCTGGCGTTGGGAAGCACCAATGCCGCGGTGCAACCACAGATGGCGAGCGTCTGGCCAGCAGTGGTTGCGGTCCTCGGTGCAACGATGGGCGTCCTCGCCCTGGCGTAAACAACTGGACACGAACATAGATACCCCAAACACCCAGGCACAACCGTTTCGCTTCAAGATCCAAACCCCCCTCCCCCCCGCCTTGTGTTCCTCCCACTTCAGTCTCCTTTGCTGCGATTCCGCTTTCGTTTCCACTCTCCTCGTCGAACCGGACCCGCAATACGATGCCCAAACTCTAATGTCCATTGCTGCGAATCTATAGTGTCAAAACGAGGGTGATGGGGTGATGGGGGTCAGGTCTCCTTGTCGCTGTCCGGCGGGCTGGGGAGCGACTTGGTCGGGTCGTGGATGTAGCTCTTCTCGCCCAGCATGGCGGTGGGCACGTCGTTCCACCCGCCCACTCGCGGCGGCACGTATGCCGGCGGCGCCGCATAGCTCGGAGCATTGACACGATTCGCCGACATGGGCGGACGCGCATGCATGCCTGCACTGCTCACACCCACCGACTGCGCCGCCGGCACGGAAGGCACGGCAGTGAGCGGCAAGATGGCCTGTTCGACCGGCGTGTCTTGTCGTCGGGTCGCCTTCTTCTCGCCGCGGTCGACGTCGTTCTTGGTCTTGCTGTCGTTGTACATCCAGAGGCCGTAGAAGGTGAGTGCGATGCCGAACCACTGCAGCAGCGACACCGACTGGCGGAACCAGATGATGGCGAGCACAATCACAAACACGCGCTTGAGCAGCGACGCGATCGAGTACGTCACGGGCGACACCATGGCCAGCACGTTGAACGCGAGGATGTTCTGCGCAAAGTGCACCAGACCGTTGCAAAGCAGCAGCCACAGCACCAGCATGCCACGGTCGTGCGGGTAGGCTGGCGATGCGCTCCACGACGGCGACGAGAGCATCGACGATGCGTCGTAGAACAGCGCCATGGGGATCATGAGAACGATGCTGCACGCCGACGAGTAGAAGAGGATGTTGATCTTGTCCATCTTTTCGTCGCTCGATTGTCGGTCCGCCTTGCGCAGCAGCTTCTTCGAGTAGATGTTTTGCGCCACAAACACAAACGTGGATGCGAGCGCGGCGCCGAATCCGACGACGTCGTCGGCATTAAACGCAAAGCCGGTGCATGCCATCATGACGCCTGCGGTGAGCGGGACGAGCGAGAGGTACGTCTGGGACGAGTAGGTCACGTTGAAGAGGTAGGTGTAGCTGAGCACGGTGAAGAGCGGCGAGAGTGCCTTGATGGTGTGCACGGTGGCGACGGGGACACGGCTGATGGCGAGCGACGAGAGCGCCTGTCCGAGCACATTGAAGAATGCCAGCTGTGCGACGTCCTTTACGCGCGCCAACGACGGTTTGACGAGGCGCGTGAGTGCGCGGCTGCCGAGCAGACGCTGCGAGGCGCAGATGGCACAGCACACGTTGACAAAGCCAAAGTGGATGAGCGTGAGCGTGACCGGGTACGGAAATGCGGGTGGGCGCGCCGAGTGTAGCGTAGGATCCGTGTTGCGCCCCTTGGATAGAAGCGCCTTGGATGTGTTGGACGAGAGCGACGACGACGTGTACCACGCCAGGCAGCCGAGCACAAAGAGCAAGGTGGAGCGCGAGGGGGCCACCGCGTCCCACGACTGCGCACGAGCGTCGGCCGTATCATCCTCGCGGTCGGAAGCACGCATGAAGAGTCGTGGCCGGTCCAAGCTTCGTTTGGGCTTGGTGGAGGCGGAGGAGGAGAAGGAGGGGTGGCGCCATGGTGATGTTGCGGTGGGGAGCGACGTCTGTTGACCCGAAAGATGCGCAACGGTTTCGAGCGCACGCGAACGGACGCTAGAGAGAGCTGCGTTCATATCGACGCCGTTCGTTGCCCCACACTGTGTCCACACTGTGGCTGCGAGTTGGTGGTGGTGGGAAAGATGGTGGGGGGCACAATGAAACGGTGGGTTGGGTTGGGGAGGAGCAACACCAACACTCGGCCGCTGCTGCTGCTGCCGCCGCCTCTTCTCAACGTGGCCGAACCTGCATGAATAAATCCGATTTCCCAAATCTTTTGCAGCCGCTTCCTCTTCCCGTGGCCGAGCCGCCGAGCCTCCGAGCCTAAATTGGGCGAATTCCGAGGTGGCGTGAATTTTTAGCAGTGTTAGCCCGTCAGCAAAGTCACAGTTTTGAGTTTTGTTGCCCGCTGCACTCCTCTGCAGGGTTCCACGTCGGAGGCGGCCCGACGTCGCTCCCACCTCGCGCAGCTGCCGCCTCGCTGCTTGGCTCTCGACGCCCAACGACTAACCACGCTGCGACACTGGACATGCATTAAAACGATGGCCACCGCAACATCACACAACAAAAAGTCGTCGGCGGTGAAGCGCATCCTCTCCGAGGCGCGCGAGCTCGCCAACGACTCGTCGGACCTCTACTCGGCCTCGCCGCTGGAGGACAACATCTTTGAATGGCACTTTACGCTGCGTGGGCCCGCCAACACCGAGTTCGCCAACGGTCTCTACCACGGCCGCATCCTCTTACCCGCCGAGTACCCCATGCGACCGCCCAACCTCATGCTGCTCACGCCCAACGGCCGATGGGAGCTCAACAAGAAGATCTGCCTCACCTTTACCGGCTTTCACGAGGAGATGTGGCAGCCAGCGTGGGGCATCAGGACGGCGCTGTTGGGGCTGCAGACGTTCATGACGGCCAAGGCAGAGGCGGCGGTGGGCATCGGTGCGCTCGACTATCCGGTGCAGGCGAGGGAGAAGCTCGCCAAGGAGTCGAGAAAGTGGACGTGCGACGTTTGCGCGAAGACCACGCTCGAGTTGCTGCCGGACCCGGATCCAGAGCAAGAGAACAAGCAAGAGGCTCTGCCAGATGGACTGTGCGTCGACCTCACCGCACAGTCACACAAGTCGCAGGCCAATGCAGACACTTTCACACCGGCCGCTGTACCCGATGCAGCTGCTCCTCCCGTCATCACCACCGCAGCCACGTCGGAGGAGCCGCAAGCGCCAGTCGCTGCCCCAACACCCTCGCCGCCTGATTCAATTGCTCCAGCTGCTGCTCCAGCTGCTGCTCCAGCTGCTGCTCCAGCTGCTGCTCCAGCTGCTGCTCCAGCTGCTCCAGCTGCCCCAACATTACCGGCTTCGGCTCGTCTCCGACCCTCTTCCAACACAGCCGTCCCGCCGCTGCACACCTCACCCACGCAGCACAAACTCAGCCTCATCGACAACTGCATCAAGGCGCTCAGCGTGCTCGTTGCGCTGCTCGTCGTCAAGCGCCTCATCTAGTCCTAGTCCTCTCCCGTCTCGTTCTTTGCATTTCCGTTTCACTGCATTCGTCAGCATGGCATTTTCATTTCGTTCTACTCCGCTTCAGACTGACGCGCACGCGCACGCACAAACTCGTAGAAGCGGCGCGGGAGGAAGCCAACGCGGTCGCCCGACTGGCGCTTGTCTTGCACCTCGTCGTGCACCTCCGACTGGCTGAGCGCGCGGATCTCGACGTGCTCAAACGGCGCGTGGAAGGTGACTCGGAACACCGCGTGCTCGATCTTGCCGTCAACGTCGTCGGCGGGCGGTGAGGAGGCAGTGTGCTTGGAGACGACGTCGCGGATGAACGAGAGGATCTGGTCGCCAAATCCGAGCGTATCCTTGGGTTCCCACACGGATCGCTCGCGCAGCACCGGCTGACCACCAGCGTCGAACTGGCCGGGCACAGGATGGCCTGCCCGAACCATGCGCGGGATGCGCAGCGTCTCAAACTCCTGATGCGTCGTAAGCAGGCCGTGGAAATCGCGAAAGCCCACCACAATCTTGCCGATGCCGAGCAGATAGCTCTGCAGAAAGAACTTGAGCAGCTTCTTTTCGAACCGCTCCTGCTCCACCGCCGCCTTGGCCGCGTTGCGGTGCGCCGATGTAATTTGCATCGACGTCTTGAGCTCCACCATCTCTTCCCTTCCGTGGTGGCTCGGAAGAACAGCATCCACCTCGCCACCGATGATCAGTCGGTTCGAGCCGAGCTTGGTCTTGACCACGCAACACCACTGCACGTTGGTATTCACGTCGCCAGACCACCCCTCCGGTTCGCCATCGTTCGAGCGCGCGTGCGAGACTTGGGCTGCGTCGTCGACGGTGCAGTAGCTCTCAAACGCATACCCGTAGTATCCGAAACGCTTCATCGCCGCGTCGGCCTCTTTGCGCTGCTTCTCGGCACGCGCGGATGCAGACACGTGCTCCTCCAGATACAGCGTACCGTCGACCATCATGGCGTTCAGGTCGAGCGGGTCGGCAAACCGCGCCGACGCACTCTGCTCGTACGCCGTACAGATCTTGGTGATGATGCCGCGCCACGTCACCACACCGGCGCGTCGTCGTTCCTGGTCCACCTCGTCGCGCACCTCCGCCGACGCCGTCTCGGTCCGATGCTGCAGCGCTGCCACGAGCGCGTCCAGATGCTCCGGCATCGACTCGTCGCGCTGCACATACCGATCCATGGCGTAGTTCAGGTCGGCGCCAAACACGGCTGGTGCGCGCGTCTGGACCGGGTGTCGATTGGTATAGGCGGGAGGACCGCGGTAGAAGCGCTTGCATCGGTCGTCCTGCCACAGCCGCCGCTGCTCGTCAAACGAAAACGAACACAGAGGCGTCGGCTGCTGGAACGGCGGTGCCGCAGCGTACGGCGACGTGCCTGCAGGGATTCCCGTCATGCGCGGATGCTTAAGCGAGCCCAGTATCGCGTCTGGTGCGGAGTCGGTGTCATTGTGTGGGGTCAGCCGCTTGGTGGGCGCGGCGGGCCCATCGCGCGCGTCCAGAGCGCGTTTGTCCGGCATCAGAGGTGGGCCGTAGCTGAGCGCACGGTGCCGCGCAATTCAGCAACGACGTGCAATCCAGGTGCTCATGGCAGATCCTAGCTCGTGGCTCGTGTGTTGCAAAGATGGCTTGGTGTCGAGTGGAATGCACTCCGAGTCATGGTGCGGAAGCAAGGCTGTGGAGGCATCGCATCCCTTTTTTGTGTTTGCAATCAGTCCGAGTCCCGCCAAAGCGCTTCTTTCTTTTTGGACCCTTCTTTTCTCAGCCTCAATACTTTCGGCCTTTTTCTCACTCTGCGGGTCTCGTTGTCCTTGATGGTGTTTGCTATTGCACATGCTCAGTGGATCCTCTTCGCCATCTGCAATCCGCTGTAGGAGAAGCCGCACTTTTCGTAGAAGGCTTTCAACGCCCAATGCGAATGTTTTGTCAGCGGACGAATCCAATCTGTGCGCCTTGATGGAAGGGTCCAACTCACGCTTCTTCTCGTCGCTGCAGTTGAGGATGATGTTGCTGCATCCTTTTGCTTCGGCGATCTTCATGACGGTTGAGACGATCACTTTACCCAGCCCTTTGCTGTGCAGCTTGGTGTTAACCACAATGTCCTCCACGTGGCCGACGCGCGTGAGGCCGCGGAAGAACTTGAGCTCCACAACCACGCTGCCCATCGCCACGATGCGATCCGTCGACTTGCTCACGATCACGATGGGGAAGTACGTGCCGTTGGCAGCTACCATGGCGTCGAAGCGCTCAAGCCAGGCTGCTTCACCCAGGTCGGGCGTCTCCACCAGGCAAGAAAGCACCTCGTTGAAGCCGCGCGCGTAGTCGGTCGACGCCAGCGGCCGCAACTCGTACTCGTCGCCGAGCAGGCTGAAGCATTCCGTGGGGATGTCGGATGCGGGGAACGCCAGCCGCAATGGCGAGTTGGAATCAACGCTAGGCATGTTGACGAGCCATAAAGAGGTCCGAGGTGATGGCGAGGACGACCAGCGGAGTCGAGTGAGGTTGGTGGTGGTGGTGGAGGTGATGGGAGCCGCACCGGATACCCAAGCGCCGACACGAGATGCGCAAGCAAGATGTGCATGTGACCCTGATCAGCGTGCAAGGCGCCGAGGTGGGCGCTCATCGGTCCGGTCGGTCCTAGCTACGACCCCCTGCCGGCGTCCATCGAGGCTGCTGATTAGATACGCCTCGTGTGCCATCGCGTCGTCGCGCATGACCCCTGGCCCAGAGTCTCGCCCTTTCCTATCTCTACTACAGTAACCACGTGGGGTTCGTAGCAGCGGATGCTCCGGACCATGGTCTCCGGCCCCATTCGCGCGCCCAATCACGGCCCAAGCGGACAAAGCAGCCAGCAGAGATTGGTCGGACAGTGCTCGGCTATCGTCCACGCATCGGCCCGACGTCGGCGACGACGCTGCACAGGGTCCTGGGCCTCGAGTGGGGCGCTTCGCCTGTTGAAAATTCATTTTTCATTTTGCCCATCAAAGTTGGCCGGCGGAGATGGCGAGCGGTGCAAGAGGTCGCCGTCCATGCCATGGTGAGGCGACACTGGGAGGATGCTACCCCGACCGTCGGTCGACCAATCCCATCGTGCGCTTCTTGCCCCGCACCGCTCCGCCCGCGTCCGAGCCCATGCGGCGCCGGCTCGCTTGCCACCAGACGCACGCGAGCGTTGACTTCCCCCCCCCCCCCCACCCCCGCTGTCCTCCCCCTCCTCCTCGGACGCAGTGCCTGCAATGGTGGGTGGCTATCTTATCGTACCCTCGCATCCTCCCCCGCACCAGCATGTGACGGTGCATGCGTGGCTCGATCTCGTGTGTCAACGCTCCTTGTCAGGCACCAGCACACAGCGTGTTCGTTGCGAGATCTGTGCGTAGCGAAACATGCGTGCATATCACCTTCACCTAGAGTCATAAAAAGAGGGCTCCTTTCCGTTGCGTTCTGCATCAATCCGGCTCACACTCCGCAAGATTCTCAGGCACCACCGGTCTCACTCAAGCCGAGAGTGCTTATAGTCCGCTTTGACCCCTCGTACCAAAGCACCTTCCGCTTTCCTCTTCCCTTACCTCCTCCTCCTCCGCCTCATCCCCCTTCGACTTGCTCCCGTCCCGACCTCTACACAACATGCTGGTGGACAACAACGACGTGGCGCGCATCGACGCCGACACGCGCGACAAGCTCGTGGACAAGTTTGGCGAGCGATTCGACGAGGTGGTCGAGAGGAGCGCGCGATGCACAAAGTGGCAAACCACCACGACTCTTCGCGAAGCGTTCCGACAGTGGCCCATGTCGGTCACCTGGTCGGTACTCTTCTCGCTCGCTATCGTACAGATTGGATATGACTCCTCAATCCTTGCTTCATTCTTCGCGCAGCCGACGTTCACGGCGAAGTTTGGCACTTGCAAGACCGCCGCAGATGGCTCGCAGGACTGCGAGATCTCGGCGCCCTGGCAGCAGGGTCTTACCAATGGAGCGTGGATCGGCGGCATCATCGGTCTCCAGCTCGCTGGCAGCGTGGCTGATCGCATCGGCCATCTGCGTCTGATGATGATCAGCGTCGTTCTCATGCTCGCCTTTGTGTTCATCCCCTTCTTCGCCACCAGCCTGCCCGTCTTCCTGGTGGGCCAGATCTTCATGGGTATCCCCTGGGGTGGATTTCAGTCGCTTGCCTCGGCATACGCTTCCGAGGTGTGCCCCGTGTCGCTGCGTCCGCTGCTGACGACGTACGTCAACCTGTGCTGGGTGTTCGGCCAGCTGCTTGCTTCAGGTGTGCTGCGTGCGACCGTCCAGCGTACGGACGTGTGGGCGTGGAGGATCCCGTACGCGGTGCAGTTCTTCTGGCCCTTCCCCGTCTTCATCACCTGCCTCTTTGCTCCCGAGTCGCCGTGGTGGCTCACGCGACACGGCAAGCACGACAAGGCCTACGACTCGCTCAACCGCCTCCTCAGCGGCGAGGGTCTTGCCGAGAAGGAGAAGGACGAGCTGGTCAAGGACTACCAGGCCATGATCCAGTACACCGAGGCCATGGAGGAGATCAGCGAGAAGGAGAACACCGCACAGAAGAAGAACCGCTACATCGACTGCTTCAAGGGCGTGGATCTGCGCCGTACCGAGATCGCATGTTGGGCATGGCTCATCCAGATCACCTCGGGCGGTCCGCTGCAGGGCTACTCGACCTACTTCTTCAGCCAGGCGGGTCTGTCGACGGTCAACGCATTCAACATGTCGATGGCCATGTACGCGCTCGGTGCCGTGGGCACCATCCTCTCGTGGTTCCTCGTGAACCGCGTAGGACGCCGACAGATGTATCTGTACGGCCAGACGGCCATGTTCTCGACCATGCTCATCACCGGCGTGCTCGGATTCGTCAAGCAGACTGCTGCCGTGTCGTGGGCGGTGGGAGCCATGCTGCTGCTGTGCACGTTCTTCTACGACCTCACCGTGGGACCGATCTGCTTTGCCATCATCGCCGAGGTCTCGTCGTCGCGACTGCGCAGCAAGACGATCGTGCTGGCGTGCAACGCCTACAACATTGGACTCATCGTCGCCAACATCCTGCAGCCCAACATGCTCAACAGCGACGTGTGGAACTGGGGAGCCAAGACGGGCCTCTTCTGGGCCGGCACCGGCGCCGTCTCGATCATCTGGACCTACTTTAGGCTTCCCGAGCTCGCAAACAGGTGCGTTTTCGACCCTCCAAACATTCTGAAAGCGGGAGAAATCCAGACAGGGTCCCGCTGTCTCACCCGGCGCGCGCACGTTGCTGACTCTTTTCTTTTTTTTTTGTTCTACTTTTTTTTTCTCTTCATGCAATCAGGACCTACGGCGAGCTGGATGTGCTGTTCGGCGCCAAGGTGCCCGCTCGCAAGTTTGCGACGACGAGCATCGACCAGTTCCAGGCGATCGAGCACGAGGTGGCATCGGCCGACGTCGAGAAGTCGAGCGTGTCGGACAAGGGAGGCGTCGAGGCGGGCGATGGCATCGCCGTCGCACAGCTTCCCAAGTCGCAGTGATTCGATGTGCGTGCAACCAATCAAGCAACGTGCGTGGCTAACTTTCTGCGGAAGGCTGCCATCCGAAGCCAAACTTTCGCAACGCCGCTTCCGTCGCACCGTTCCAAGACGATGGCCGCTTTGCATCCACGCTCGATTCCTGTTCTCGTGTTATGGTCATGACTGAATGTCAATGTGATAGATATCCGTGTCCTGATTGTGATGGCTCGTATCAAAGTTGGGATGGCAGCAGAGGACGAGAGCGGCAGGGCGGCAGAGCGGCAGAGCGGCAGAGCGTGAGAGCGTGAGAGCGTGAATGCGGACCGAGCTCGGGGCTGGTCGTGGTTGGGGCGGCGCATGAAGAGCAGCCCACACAATGCCGAGGCACTTTATCTCTCGCCATGCAAGTTCATGCACAGCTGGCCCGAGTTGACCGGCGAGGTGGTCGAGGCCGGCTCCAGCACCGTGGTTGCGGCTGCGATCCCCCGCCGTTTGTGCAGACCCCCAAGGTGATATGGTCGTGTGAGACCCCTTTCCCCTGCTTTAAGATAGCAAGGTGTGGCATCCACAGTCGGCCCGGCAATGGACCGTACCGATGCAAGAAGAGAGCTTCGACGGGCCATGTGAGCGTGGACGAGGCACGACGAAAGGCTCAACGAAGGCTGTGGGGGCGGCCAATCACAGACCGAGAGCCCAGTGACTGGCGAGCCGCCTCAAATCGGTCGCCCCTGGTCGACTCGCGTCGTTGGCGCCTCGGCAGCCGAGGCCTGGCTGAACCGAGCACATGGGTCGCCGAGCAAGCACCGGTGCTCCGTCCTATCAAGTAAAGCTTCTCCTCGGCGACCTTGTCCTACCCTCATCGTCGCCATCGTCGCGTGCACCACCACACCACAACACCAACACCGCCCATGATGTCCGCATCCGCATCGCACTTCACGTCGCAGCCGCCACAACTCCACGCATCGGCATCGGCGTCCACCAGTAATGCGCCCAGCTCGCCCGACAAGAGCAACGAGGACGATGCCGACAAGCCAAAACGCACCCAGACCTGCTTCCGATGCCGCCAGTCCAAGGTCAAGTGCGTATTCGAGGACAATGCTTCCTGCAGAAGGTGTCTGCGTCTCGGCGTCACCTGCGAGCTCCAGGGAAAGCGCGAGCCGCTCAGCTGGCAGATGAGGGTGCAGCATCAGCTCGCCGCACTCGAAGGCTCCCTACAGAGCTTCCTAGAGAAGCAGATGGGACCGCAGCCCACTTCGTCGTCATCCGACCCTTACAAGCGCGCCAGCTTCCCCCGATCTAGAGACTCGCCCTCCACCACTCCAAACGCATCCAGGTCACACGACCACGACGCCCCGAAGAAGAGGCGGCGCACCATCGCCACCGAACACCGCTCGCCGTCCGATTCCCACCAGCAGCAGCACATCTACGGCCACGCTTCTTCGTCCAGCATCCACCCCGCGCAGAGCCCCATGTACGGCGACGGCAACAGCGGCTCCGCTTCCAGCTACCCCTCGACACACTTTTCGCCGCGCGATTCGGACCGCGCCAATCAAAACCATAGCGGCAATGGCCTTCTCGGCTCGGCGGTCGCACCAAACGGCCATGCCAGCTCGCCAAGGCACAGATTGACGTCTGAGAATCCGGGAGCCTCGACGCATCTCGCCCCGCCTCTCGCCTCGTCCAACCTCGCAGCTGCTGCCAGCTCCTCGCTCGACAACGATCACACTTTGCCAGCAGACGATGTGGGCGCCGACACCCAGCGCTCCGCCTTCCAGACCGACGACGAGCTCGACCAGGCGTCGCGCCCACTCTCTGCCATCCAGAAGCTCAGGATGAGCGTGCTCGATCGCAAAAAGGAATACTCCCACTCCGGCGAGCGAGTCTTCCCGAACCTGTACCGCCTGGCAACGCCAGACGTCGGCAGCAACGACCCGCGTCCCAACGTCATCAAGCAGGAACTCGTCACGCCTTCGGACGCAGTCGTCCTTTTCCGCTTCTTTGCAGAGTATCTGGATCAGTACAGCTTTGGCTTCCCAACCTACCGGCCCGACGCCATCATGTCACCCATGATCCTCACTTCGGTCGTGTGCGTCGCTTCGCTCCACCATGCCCAGCTCAACCGCCTTCATGCGCCTCTAAAAAACGACCTCATCTCCCGCCTTCAGACCGACGACCCTTCCTTCCCCTGCTCCGACGTCTACGAGACGCTCTTCTCGTCCACGGGCCAGCGTGCCTCGCGCCTCCGATCCAACCTGCATTTCGAAAAGGAGCTCGATCCCGAGCTCGGCATCGGCGTCGAGGAGATCGTGGGAGCCAGCCTATTTGCCAGCTGGTTTGGCGGACGCAGAGCTTGGATGGCGTCGCGCCTCGCCAGGTGGTGGTCCGCCAAGTTCTTGCGCCAGCAGCAGCATCCGGCCATGATGACCATGGGCGAAATCATGAGCATCCTCCCTCCGCCGCGCGACCTGGGCAAGCAGGACCTACTCCGCGTCTGGCTCAGCGCCTACATCACCGAGATCCATCAAGCGTGCATGGAGGGCACGCCGTCCATCGCAGGCCTCTCGTCGCCCCATGCCGTGTGCGACTCGCTCCAGTTCGCAAAGGGTCTCTCGCAGCGTACGACGCTGCGCGATCGCGTGCTCATCCTCCACTCCAAGATCGCTTGGATCCTTAGCAAAGCCTACCACATTGCCGGTCTGGGGTCCTTGGATTCTGCACAGGGCGACAAGCCGGCAGCGTCCAAAGAGAGCCCCTCGAGGAGCTGCCAGTCGTGTCGCGACGGCTCGACGATCGAGACGGGCCAGCCAACTTCGGTGACGGGCGATGCAGCTTCGTGCTTGCAAGCCATCCTTGACGCCTTCGAGGAGCTCGACTCGTGTCAGGAAGAGATGGCGGGTCGCTTGGACGCCGATGCGACCGGCGAGTCGGAAAGTATGCTGTACCTGGATCTCTTCCTCGCACGCGTGCTCATCGCCTCGATCGGATGCGACTTTCTCGACTCGACGCTGTGGGACGGCAGCCTCGGACAGCTCTCATCCAAGACGCGCGGCAAGGACAAGAGCTCAGCGGAAGCGGATCTGCAGGGCCTCCGCAGTCGAACGCTGCGCGAAAGCCTCACACGCGGCGTAGAGGGTGCGCTCCGATCGCTCGAACTCGTCTGCCTCCCCACGCCCAGCACCACCACGGCAGGCTCAAACAGGTCGGACGGAAGAAGCTATGCCGAGGTGTCGATCAACATGCTGGTGCTCCCGCTATGGTTCCACTGGGCGCTGACGAGGTCGGTGCTCTTCCTCATGAACGTGCTGGCCGAGTATCCGGAACGACTGCTGCCGCGCGATCGAACACGCAGCACCGAGCTCATCAATCTGTTCCTCGACGTGTATGCAAAGCACATTGGACACGCCAACATGGTGCTGGAGCACGGCACGGGGCACCGAACGCAGTCGGCAAACTACGGTGGATCCGCCTGGTCGCCTGCCGACGTCGAGATGCACGCTCGCGGCGGCGATGCGCACGATCTGCGCCAGTCAAACGGCGCTGCTGGAGTAGCGGACCCCAACGCGACTACACAGGCGTCGTGGCAGCCGCAGACATCGGCGCAGGACGCGATTCAACACCCTGCAACACCGCTACTCGACACACTCTCGCAGTGTCTCACTTGGGCCCGCCATGGAGGCGTCATGTAAAAGTTAGCACAGAAACGGACCTCCACTTTAGGGGATGCAACGAGCGGTCCGATGGAGCCGGAATGACAGCCACATTGCCAGCTTGCATGGGGTGTGAGGTTGCGCAGATGAGAAGCCGTGCATGTGAGGCTCAGCGTTGCAGTACAGCTTGGAGCTCGCGCTCAGGTCCTAGTGTTTATCTCGCTCGGAGCGGGCGCGGCGATCTAGCAAGGGTGCGGGGTAGACAATGCAATCCGTACCGCAGTGGACGGTGTGCGTGCGTGTGCGTATGCTAGGCAAAGGCGAAGCTGTGGCGATCAAGTGAGGATGGCCGAGGAAGGAGCGATGATAACCGGACGAGCTCGTCGGTCCGAGCTCGGCATGCGCTGCGAGCCCGCGACCCTGGCGCCTCGTGGAGGCAGATTGCGGAGTTGGGGCACTCGATGGGACGCCCTATTTCTAATCAAACCCTTGCAAGACCACCGCTAGGTCGGACCCTCGGCATTGATCGACGCGAAAGTCACCGACCGTTGGCGCTCGGACCTGTGCTCGCCGAGCAGTTGTGCGCCCGCTGTATAAAGCTCTTCGGGGCCCGAATCGTTACAACCACCAAGTGTACCACMACCACCACCACACATCGGATCAGGGGACCACAGCCATGTCGATTGGAGAAGCAAACCGTCCCGTGACGCTCGCCATCATCGGCGCAGGCCAGCGTGGAAGCGCCTATGCAGCGTAAGTATCGCAACTCGGTCGAGAGCGAGACCCTCCGGTGCGGCTGTGGCTGACATCTTGACGTTGGTTTCTGGCTGAACGATATAGCTACGCTGAAAAGTACCCGGATCTTTGCCGCGTCGTTGCGGTGGCCGATCCGTGGAAGTTTCGACGAGACAAGATGAGCAAGGTGCACAGGTGAGTTGCAGCCAACGCAGTTCAAGCTGGACAGTCATTGCCTCCGAAGATCAAAGCACTGACACAGTCGCATGATGCATTTTCGTGCTCGATAGCGTTCCAGCCGAGAACCAGTACGACGGGTGGAAGAGCCTGGCAGCGGCGGGCAAGATCTGCGATGCAGTGGCCATCTGTACCATGGACGACACGCATGCCGAGGTTGTGAGCGTCTTTGCGCCACTTGGCTACCACATTCTGTGCGAAAAGTAAGCATGCGCTTGGATACTCGGCTGCTCTGGATTTGCGGGCTGACGATCATGCTCTCCTGACAGGCCAATGGCGAACTCGATCAAGGACTGCGTGTCCATGGTCAACAGCGTTCGTGGCAAAGACCTCATCTTCGGAATCGGCCACGGTAAGTTCCCGTAAACCCGAGCACGAGATCTGCATTCAGGAACTGACTTGAGCTTTGTCTGCGACGCAGTGATGCGATACTCTCCTTACAACCGAGCGGTGAAGGAGGTGCTCGACTCTGGTGTTCTGGGCGAGATCATCAACATCCAGCACATTGAGCCGGTGGGCTGGCAGCACTTTGCGCACTCGTACGTGCGTGGCAACTGGAAGAACGAGGCGACGACGAGCTTCTCGCTCATGGCCAAGTGCTGTCACGACCTCGACATCCTGTCCTTTTACATGGGCAGCGATGCACCCAAAAAGGTGTCGTCGTTTGGATCCCTCGCGCACTTTAAGCCGAGCAAGAAACCCAAGGAGGCCGGCGAGGCAACGAGATGCACAGACTGCGCGTACGAACGCAAGTGCCCATTCAGCGCCAAGAAGATCTACCTCGAACCGCTGCAGAGCGACAACGAGGATCCGGAACGTGTAAGTGCACTCGCCTCGCGATCGATCCTACAGGGATGGAAGCTGACTTTTGGTTGTGGATCAACAACAGTGGGCGCAACATTTGGTGGACGTTGTGGACATCGAGAATGTCGGCCGAGCGATCAAGGAAGGGCCGTACGGGCTGTGCGTGTACAACGGGCAGAACGACGTGGCGGACAACCAGGTGGTCAACATCGAGTTCGAGTCGGGCGCAACGGCCAGCCTGACCATGGTGGCCTTCTCCGAGGTGGTTTGCAACCGCTCTACGCGCATCCACGGCACGCGAGGCGAGCTGATTGGCGACATGAACTCGTTCACCGTCTTTGACTTTTCCACACAGGAGAAGAGGACGGTGGTGCCCGAGCAGGAGGGCGGCGGTCACGGCGGAGGCGACCTGGGACTTGCACGCGCGTTTGTCAAGGCGGTGGCGGCCAAAGACGCGCAACACCTTGGTGTGACGCCGGAAGACGTGCTTAGGAGCCATCTCATGGTGTTTGCCTCCGAAGCGTCCAGGAAGGAGGGCCGCGTGATCGACTATGGCGAGTACGAGAAGCAGCAGAAGGCGCTGTACAGCTAGATACGCAGACAGCACCCGCGTCCCGATCTCAATTGCATGTCCTTGTTACGCTCTGATATGAAGCCGTGGAAAGACGAGCAGCGCGGGGCAGGGCCGGAATGAGGAGCCCGATGTGAGGTTGTTGCGTTGTGCGAGTGTGAGTGTGAGTGTGAGTGTGAGTGTGAGTGTGAGTGTGAGTGTGAGTGTGAGTGTGAGTGTGAGTGTGAGTGTGAGTCGAGTGAAATTGTGGGGTTGGTGAGGAAAGTCTAACTCGGTAAATCGCCGTTCCGGTCAGCCGAGCCGAAAGGGTGTCGACGGTGAAAGCGCGTTTCGCACTGGCCTTCCCCGCACTCTGGACGGTCGATGCTCCTGCCTTTGCACCATCATCACTGACACTACATCCAAAATGTCGTCCTCACACGGAGGTGGAATGCCACCCAAGCCTGTCACCAACCCGAACCTGCCGCTGTCCGGCATCAAGGTTGTCGAGGTAAGAACGCGGCATCGACGTGCTTCGAGGGGATTTCGCAATGGACGCTGACTTTGTATCAACAGTTCTCTGGACTCGCACCTGGACCGCTTGTGGGCATGGTGCTCGCCGACTTTGGAGCGGACGTGATCCGGATTGACAAAACCGCGACGGGACTCAACCCGGACAGCCTCTGCCGAGGCAAGCGATCGTTTGCCGTGTCGCCCAAGAGCGCCGACGGCCACGCGCTCATCTCGCAGCTGGTCCGCTCCGCTGATGTGGTTATTGATCCCTTCCGCCCCGGTGTCCTGGAGCGTTTGGGACTGGGACCGCAGGACTTTGACAAGGAGATCAAGAAAGGCCTCATCTTTGCGCGGCTCACGGGCTTCCAACGCACGGGACCGTACGCTCAGATGGCGGGCCACGACATCAACTACATTGCGCTCAGCGGCGTGCTCTCGATGCTCGGACAGGCGGGAGGCAAGCCGCAGCCTCCGTCCAACTTGCTTGGAGACTTTGCGGGAGGCAGCATGATCTGTCTGTTGGGTATCCTGCTGGCGCTGGTGGAGCGTGCGCGTTCGTCGCAGGGCCAGGTGGTGGAGGCGGACATGGTGACGGGCGCACGCTACGTGTCGTCGTTTGTGCTGCTTTCGAGCTACCTCTCGCATCCGAGCTGGGGCGCCATCCACGCCGACGGCACCGACGAGACGCGCGGCAGCAACACGCTCGACGGCGGTGCTCCGTGGTACGGCGTGTACGCGTGCAAGGAGGGCGGGTACATGAGCGTGGGTGCGATCGAGCCGCACTTTTACAAGGAGCTGCTCGACATTCTGCGCAAGGTGGTGCCGACTGCACCCGAGGGCACACAGCATCCGTCGGCCAGCACGCAGCACGACCGCGACACGTGGCCGGAGCTGCGTCGCTACTTTGTAGCGATCTTTGCACAGCTGCCGCGCTCCGAGTGGGAGCGTCACTTTGTACGCACGGATGCATGCACGGTGCCCGTGCTCACTCGCGACGAGGCGGCGCTCTCGGGTGTGCTGCCTGCCGCCTCGGCGGAAAGCGTATCGGATGGCAACCCGGTGATCCCTACACCCGCGCCGCGGCTGACGAGGACGCCTGCGCGGCCACCAGCGGGCAGCGCGGGCGGCGAGTGGGAGGGCGAGAGCGCCGAGATGCTGCTCACGCCGGGCGAACACACGGACGACATCCTGCTCGAGCTCGGCATCAGCGACAGCCGCAAGCGCATCGAGCTGTACGCGGCGGGTGCGATCGACGGACCCGACCGTCCCGAGGGCGTGACCAAGGCCAAGCTCTGATCCGTCAGGCCATACGTGCTCCGTGTAGAATACGATTCCGTGCTGTACATCTGTGAATAGCCGTGTAGATCTGTGAAAATGGCCGATGTCACGCGATATCATCACGATTCGTATCGGCAATTCATTCCTCTGTGCAGGATGATGACTTAATCCTTCCGTGCATGATTGCATCCGATCCGAGTCTGCGGCTTTTGAGACGCGTCGAATGTTCCCAACGCGCCGAGTATTGGCAGCTTCCCGCGGAGAAAGAGAGCGATCGTTCGCTCGGTTGGAGCGGCTGCTGCTCAGGGTAGCGCGGACCCTGGCCACGAATAAAGGCCTCGAGAGCACAAAGCCACAATTGGAAGTCGTAAGCAACACGGCAGAGATCGACAGCTCCGACTGCCTCCAGACCTCCATCTTGCTATCCACCCTCGCACAAGCAATACCAATACAGTACATCAACATGTCGAGGTTCATCGGGCTCAAGTCCCAGCCCTATCCGCTCGATTCCACCGGCCCCGACGCCTCAGTCTGGGACACCCTGTCCGCACCATACCCACGCTATCCAAACAAGGACAAGCTCTTCGCCCAGCTCTTCCCGCCAGCCGTCTACAATGCAACGCTCAGCCCCTGGCTGCCCTTTTCGTTCTCTATCGCCTACTATCTCGTCGCACACGCCGCCAACCACATCGTCAAGCGCAATGGCAGCACAGACTTTACCAAGGGATCCTCCCTCCGCGCACGCACCCTCCGCTTCCTCATCCTCGTCCACAACGCCGCCCTCGCCATCTACAGCGGCTGGACATGGGCGATGATGTTCCCCTACGTCGTCGACTTTTTCGTCCAAGGCTGGTCCGCTGCCGGCTTCCAGGGTGTCAAGCTCGCGCTCTGCTCCATGCCAACCAACTGCCCGCACCTCGGCAAGTATGCCTACATCTTTTACCTCAGCAAGTACTACGAGGTATTCGACTCGGTCATCCTTCTGCTCAAGGGAAAAAAGGTCTCCAACCTTCAGTCCTACCATCATGCCGGCGCCATCATCTGCATGTGGATCGCCTACCGTTACCAGAGCCAACCAGTGTGGGGTAAGTAGTCACGCTTCGGCACCATCGCCTTTGTAGCACGACTGACATCTTTTTCCTTTTGCTCGGGCAGTCTTTTGCGTGTTCAACAGCTTTGTTCACACCTGGATGTACACCTACTACTTCTTCGCCGCAATGCGATGGCCCTTTCCACGTGCCGTCAAGCGCAACCTCACCACCATGCAGATCGCACAGATCGCCTCCGGCACCTTCCTCACCAACCTCTATCTCATCACCACTCTCAACCCCGACAAAGTCGTCGCTGGATTCAAAGCCAACAACGTCTCTTCTTGGTTCCAGCAAAACCCGGCAAAGGACGAATCAATCTTTGTGCACGCGCTGCTTCGAGCCGCCTCCTCCGATCCCCACACTTGCATGCAAACCACGGGCGCAGAGATCGCACTCCACGTCAACACCATGTACATGTTCGTAAGTATCTCTCCCCAATTCTCAGCTTGACCCTCGCTTGCAAGAGGGGCACGAGAAACTGACACATTGCCCCTCGCTCACTTCATCCTATCAGCCGCTGCTTGCCCTCTTCTTCAACTTCTTCATGCGCTCCTACATTCAAAAGCCCAAATCCGCCCCCAGCTCTCAGCCAGTCAAGTCCAAGTAGACTCGCCTCGCTCGTGCAAACTTCCCTTCATGGTCAAGGGCTGCACAGCCTAAACACACTGTCGCCAATCACCCTGGCTCCATCAAATGAAGTAAGGCGGGAGCTGTAACACTGCACCCGCTCACTCTTCCTTTCCTCGCCAATACAATTATCATAGAAGCTCGCTCCCAAAGTTACGATCGCATGTGCGCCTGCAAATAGCTGTGGCGACCTTGAACGCATTCATATCCTTCCAAGGTATGGCCTCGGTCGCATGCGATAAGCCGCCAACAATGCGCACAGCATGACTTGATTTTCCTGTAAACCGCTCACTCCTCGGCGTCATCATCTTTGAACTCAAGCGCTTCACGCAATTCCCGATCATATCCTGAAGAATCGCGTACTCGCGACCCTCAGCTAGGCATCAGCCGGAATGATGTAGGAGTAGCCAGCATGGAAAACTGGCTGCTGCGCGGTTGCTATTCGCCAACCAGCATGCATGACGGGGAGCTGGCTGGTCTGGTTGGCACTCATGCTTCGCCACTTTCCGTTCCTTCAGAACTGGACCCTAATTATGGATCAACTTCACGCAGCCCAGGTGACGCATCAAGGCAGGCAGGCGCGACAAATGATGCATGATCACATCAAGACTCGCGTAGGGTGTATGGACAGACCCGAAGCATGATAGCCGTGGGTACGCAAGTATCCTAATTCATGATTTCTAAGTCGGCCACACTTGAGTTTTAAGATTTAAACGAATTATTGATGACCCGTCATCAAAGAAATTCTGCTCGAGCGTAGAGCCGGGTGATCATACCATTTTCGTGATTTTTTGTTTCACTAATGGGCCTCTTTCAGTAACGGGCCACTCACGTTAACAAGAATCGCCCCAACCGGCCACCGAAGATTGACTTTGCCATTCATAAAATTCACGATTCAGTCACACGTCTGTCCTTTGTCACCTTTGCGGAATTTTCTCGAACAATGATTTCGGCGCCCACACTAAGCTACCTGTTGGCTGTGCGGCAGTTTCCTGATTACTCCTAAGTTATCTGTTGAGGACCACACAGCGTAAATCATGATGCTATAGTCATGCTTTCTCACGGACCTCTGTGACACGCATCATTCAGACGCGATTATTGTACGCTTAAATATGTGACGCAAATGGACGGCGGAAATGGTGAACAATCTCATCCTGGTCACCGAAATGTCAGGCCAAAGTGACGAGAAATGATGTCGAAAAAGCGGATGCTTGCAATCTCGAACCCAAGCGCGCGGTCAGATCTATTCATGACTTTCAGTGGCTTGGCAGGGGAGCAAAGCGGAGGCCAATCACGCTTTCTCAGTTGGCGCCATGCTTGAGATTTGCCGCTGCGTCTTTGCAAGCCAAACGCATCGGCTAGGTCTTCGGCTTCATCAACAACGCACCACAATTATCGTTGCGGCTTGTCCAAAACAACGTGAGCAAGCAGCCCACGCGCTCAGGCCCATGTTGATATAATAAAAGAATCATATCCTAAAAAGNACGTGCATCAGTACAAGCTCCCGGGTGTGTGAGACTTCCCGTCCACGATATATGCGAGTAGGCGGGACGTCATCTGTGGATAGCTGCATATGACAACACACCATTCTGTGGGGCACGCTATTTGGCTCGTGACTGACATCTTGTTCTGAACGACTCGGGGAAGCATGAAGGATGCATGGCGACTCATGGCTTCATGAATTTCACCTCGAACACAAATTCGTGAATCCTGATTCCTTCATATGCTTACCTGTCTCCGCCCACTCGTACTCGTGCTACTGTATCATATCCTAAAAAGCGGGGGGGGTGGCGAGGGTCAGCCACCCAGCAGCCACCCGGGGTGGCTGTTTGGGATCAGCCACCCCACAGCCACCCACACACACTTGGGTGGCTGATGGGTGGCTGCTCCCGAGAAGCCACCCCGGGTGGCTGAGGGGTGGCTGCCGGGTGGCTGATTTTCGCCATCCCCCCCGGGTGGCTGATGGGTGGCTGCTCGTCGCCACCCACCCGTCTTTTTAGGATATGAATGTGGAATTCCTTTTTAATTCCCAGCGTAGTGTGCGTCGACTTCAGCGGAAAACTTGTACGGCCTACTGTCAACCTTGACAAGTTCTTTGTTGCTTGAGTGGATGGGAAGAGTAAGTACAACAGGGAGAACCTCGGTCAGGCCCTTTATAGGTGCCACGTTTTGCTCTAGACTACTAGTGACGGCGGAAAGTTTTGAAACGAGAAACGCCCCCATGTGACCACCCAGTTTTGGGGTGGCTCACATGACGCGCAAGGAGTCTTATCCAACCAAGCTTGTTAGCCCAAGGACCAGGGTTGCCGACAAGAGATGAGAGAGGAGTGTCGAGCTCCAACTTGACCCTTCATCCTGTCTAATGAAGGCCTCGACCGTACCATCAATGCCGGAGCGGAGACCCGAGCCTTCTGCACCATCTTTGCTTAACGAGAAAGCGGCTTGCGGGGTCGGATTGAGCTCGACATTGTGCACATGGAGGTAGCGGCTGTTTGCCTTATCGATGAGCTGGACAAGGGCAGGGTGTTGTGTTGGACCGTTCTGCCTGACTTAATTTGTTCTTTGAGATGCCTGAACTTTTGAACTCCAACTAAGTTACGGCAAAAGGTGCCTGGACACCAGTGTCGAAGCTGAAAATGTACTTGCAACATGAAACCCAGCATCGCCGCATGACAACCGCCGAGAATTTAACTTGCGCGACGAGGCGAAGGAATCGACCCGCCAATGGACATCAGACACTTTGAGGGTGTAAGCCTTTTTGCTTTTCATGATTTGATTGACGACGAAGGATAAAGTAAGTTGTCGCAAGTTGAAAGAAATTTGGGCACAATTTAAGACGCTGACGTATGGGTCATTGTTCTTTACTTATGAGTTTCCGGACCGGATAGCGGTGTAAGGAATGCAAAATCATGATCTTCCCTTTTTTGCTGCGGGTTGACAAGTCTCAGACGACGCGTGATTGAACAAAACGAATGTGTCGTGGGCAGCCTACTTTGTTTCAATTTGGCTTGATTTCAACTTGAGCCCCCGCTTCGTATTCAAACGGAATCGCAAATCGGGAAACAGTCTAATTCAATGACACGAGAGCTTTCGACGAGCAGCCTGGCATGAGCCAGCGAGCAACCAGTCAGGTCCCTAGCTGCCTGGCTGATGCTCGGTATGCGATTTTTCGGTCAGCGCGGCCAGCAACATTTTGTGTGCAACTGAAAGAGAAATATGTTGACCGCTTAACTTTATGGCCGAAGACCTTTGTCACGAAATTCTTTCAAGCTAGTTGCGACGATCATATCCTGAAGAAACGTGAGCTGGCGAAAATCAGCCATCCAGCAGCCACCCTGGGTGGCTGATGGGTGGCTGATTTTCACCATCCCCCCGTGGTGGCTGATGGGTGGCTGCTCGTCGCCAGCTCGCGTTTTCTTAGGATATGACTTGTTAGGATATGATTTTCGATGCGCAATGCTTCGCCGTATCAATCATTGATTTCGAGGGTCTCAGCCGGGATTCCAAGTTTGTTTCAATGTTGAAATTCATGATTTGGCTTTTATTAGTCGCGCGAAATTTTTGCTTTTTGCTTCTTGCACTCATTCCTGGACAAAACATTCAAGCATTTAAGACAATCATGAATCATAAAGAGATCAGGTTGACGGATTGCAGATCTGAATCGTCCTCTATTCATGACTTGTCAACTGGATGATGGTCGCTTGTACAGGAAAGCACCATCTCGAAGAAAAAATCAATTCGATCAGTTCCGCTCATAAACAGCCTAGTGTGTACAGATCTCATGACTGATTGTGCAGCCCCTTCACGCTCTGTATATCAATCCTTCTCATGAATCGTTTCTTCTTCCACCAGACGTAATGCATTATTCTAGATGGCCAAGCATGTTCATATCTTTGATTCATCATTGACGAATGGATCTATGACTGTGAACCAGGATGCGCAGAAGCTGAATCTGGATCAGTTGGGGAGGAGATTGTGGATGGACCTCCAGTAGTCGCACCTCGCACCCCTGCCGCCTTCCCAAGTGTAGGCGTTCACTTTGGAGAAGTCGTTGCGCAGGCCGGGACCGGTGAAGATGGTGACATTTGCGCCGAGGTCCGGCATGGAGCCGAGGGTGCCGCCGGTCTGGTTGAGGTTGATCTGGTACGGAGTGGACGGAGAGAACTTTGGCCAATTTTCGGCCGCATTGGGCTGCGCCGGCGACGAAGACGAGTTGCCGTTGGCGAGAGCCGAAGAGATGGAAGGATTGTCCTTGGTGACAAAGTTGCCGTAAATGTTCATGAATGCCTTGACAAAGTCCGGACCCTGCACGTTGGAGGGCGGGCCGAAGTAGCCGACGACGTCGTTGCCGTGCAGAGCGGGTACAACGCTGTACTGGTAGCGGTATGCGGACCGACCGGATCCACTGTAGGCTTCGGACATCCAGTAGCTGGGGCAAACAAAGGTGAGCTCGCCATAGATGTTCTGTATGTACAAAGATCAGAGGCAAGCAGTAGGGAGGTATGGTCAACGCATGAAGTTCATCTCGATCGGATGGAGGAAAGTACTTACGTCTGCGCGTGCCTGCTGACCGTGGGCGACGGGGGAGACGCTGGTTGCGTCTGGCGAGTCGAGGCCATTGGTGGCGTAGTTGGTGGTGATGTTGGTGTCAAGAGGATACTGCTGCAGGATCTTTGTGACGTCTTCGTCCTTGAGGAGAGGGAGGAGGGTCTTGAGCCACGTTGTGAGGTCCTCTTGGGTGTTGATGGAGCGCGGAACGAACAGACCGCCCTCTGCGCCGTTGTTACCGACGAGGAGGTGTTTGCCATTGACGCGTCGGGCATTGAGCTGTTGCGAAGGCACATCCTGCACGTAGGTGCCGTCTGTGACGGGCAAGAAGGACCACGTGCCGAAGAAACTGCTGGCCGAGACCTTGACGTTGGCCTGCTGGAGCGTTTGGGAGTCCTTGGTGAGGAGACACTGGAAGATGTTCTGGTTGGTGTTGCCGTAGGCGGATCCGTTGAAGCAGCCTGCTTCGGCGGCAAAGGCGTAGTAAGATTGCGAGGGCTCAAAGTCCTTGTATCCGAACTGGAGCGGCAGGTAGGGGCTGGCGGCGATGACGTTCTTGAAGAGAGAGGTGCCGAGAGTGCCGCCCTGGCCGAGAGCATGGAGCATGACGGAGCCTCCACCGGCGGATTCGCCGGCGATGGTGACGTTCCTTGGGTCGCCGCCGAACTGGGAGATGTAGGCCTGGACCCATTCGAGCGCGAAGCGCTGATCGAGGATGCCGGCGTTGGCAACGCCGTAGCGGCTGAGCTCGTCGGAGGCGAGGAAGCCGAAAGCACCGAGGCGGTACTGGATTGCGACGCCGACAAAGTCGTTGTCGTTGGCGTTGATGATGGAGGTGAAGTCGTACTGACCGTTTCCAGCGCCGTAGCCACCGCTGTGAATCAATGACGAGAGCATATGAGCTGATCAGCAAGGGCTCCGAAACACAAGGCCAAGACGTATGAGTGCTTACCCGTGAATCCAGACCATTACGGGCAGACCGGTTGCATTTTTGGGAGCAAAAACGTTGAGGAAGAGGCAGTCTTCGTTTGCGTCCTGATACTGCTGAGTGTCTGTCTGGGCTTGAGGATTGCCAAAGGGATTTTGGGGACACTGGGAGCCGTACTGGCTTGCATCGATGACGTCGGAACGGTTGAGCGAGGGTGGCTGTGGAGGCTGCCAGCGGAGGTTGTCGGTGGGAGGCGCGGTGAATCGAATGCCCTTCCAGGAGTTGATGTTGGAGGTGGCGTTGAAAGTACCTCTGTACTGTGAGTAGCCTAGATCGACGGTGAGGTCGTCGGTAGCCTGAGTGTCTTGGCGCTTTGCGAGGAGATCGGCGAAAGGCTGCGAAGAGATGGGGGAAGCTCGAGCCACACTGCCGATGCCGAGTGCGAGCGAGAGCAGGAGGCTGCTCTGGAGGAGCGCGAAGGACTTCATCTCCGAGTTGGGCTTGATTGGGGGGAGGGCGGAACGAGAAGGACAGGGGAATGGGTCCTTGTTATATAGACGCTGAGACCGAGCTGGCGATGCTTTGTCTCTCGGTTGGCTGCGAAGGGATGAAATGCGGCGGGAACCGAGGCCCTGTTTGGAGGAGCACACGGCTGCCAAGGAATGATGGCGCCGATTGGATCAAGCTTGAGATGAAGGGCCTAGCTGGCGAAGAGCGACAGGACACGGTGGAGGTGCAGGATGATGGCCTTTAGGGATGCCGGCGGCGGGTGGGCAGGAGAAAGAAGCCGAGCAAGCCGACCAACGGCGACCGGCGACCTTTTGGGGGGTGGTGGGTGCGATGCGGGGAAGCTGGGAGCCCCAACGACCTTTTTGGCTTGCCGAGGTGGGTGGCCATGGCGGCTAAGCGAGGCCGTCTAGAACAGCGAGGAGGAGGGAGAATGCCGCTCGGCAATGCAGCCTGGCACGATGCAAGCCGGCGACACCGGACCGCTTGGTGGGCGTAGGGCGGGGTTTCGTTACCACTCGTTTGAGAGCAAACAACAGGTATCCACGGGGGTGGGCTTCCCGACGTTGCCAGCTGTCATCATTGTGAGTTGTTGTTTGAGCGGGGATGGTCGAATATTGAATATTTTTGGTGGGCATTTTTGGGGGCTTCTTTTTTACATATAAATTTAAAGTGGGATTTTTGTTGGCGCTTCGGTGCGTCTGTCAAAGTCAGGTTGTGCGCCGGCGCCCAACAACGACGCATTGGCCAACGCAACACGCGCGCTTCTGCCAAAACCGACTCAGCCTTTCCTGTGCCCTGCCTTGCCTCCTCGCCACCGCCACCATCCCATCGAAATCATCGTCACCATCATCACCACCATGGCCTCTGCATCTGCACCCGGAAAATGGGCTCGCGTCTTCAAGGTGTCGATCTACCTCAAGAAGAAGGACGACATCTCGGACCAGCAGTTCTCCGACTACTATGCCCAGACGCACGCCGCCCTCGCTGGACCCGTGCTGCTCAGGCACAACTGCATCTCCTACACCCAGGTAAGTCCGCTCTGCCGCTCGCATATCGACCAAGAATCTGCGCCGACTGATCCGCATATATCTCTCCACAGTTCCACCACATGACCGAAAAGGCCAGGGACTCGATCACGTCCATCTTTGGACCCGATGCGCTCAGCCCGCAGAACCCCATGCAGCCCATCGCCTACGACGGCTGCTCCTCGTTCGTCTTTGCCTCCATCGACGACGCACGTGGCTTCTTCCACGACCCAGAGACCGCCCAGATCCTCGGCCCCGACTCGGTCAACTTTACCAACACCGCCACACTCCAGGTCGCCATCGGAGACGAGTTTGTCGCCATTCAGGACGGCAAGCCCGCCGCATGATGCGCTTCTTCATGCCAGCTTCGGCGCAACTTGTTCGAGCATCATCCCAGGGTATCAATTGCAAACCGTAAAAGTACAACAAAACACAGCAGATAATTGCGTGGGTGATCAACCGTACAGGCCTTCATAAATGATCGAACGGATACGACGACCCAAGCCACTCGTCGATCGAGAGCGCTCCCGACAAGATGCCGTCGAGCGAAGGGAAGAGCGTCTGGTCGCCCTGCCAGTCGCTCTCGTTGGAAGCCACAGTCCGTGCTTCGCCTCCAACAGACACCGCCTCGGCCATCTTGCCCGGTCCGTCGCCCATCATGCCGGCGAAATCGGTGGGGTTGAGCCAGCTGTAGTCGGCCTGCATTGCGTTGTTCGAATCGGTCCGCGCCTCGCCCACCGACGCCACGCTCGACTCGCGCGTATGTTCCGCCGACTCTCCCTCGGCGAGACGCTTGATCTTGTCCGGCCTACCTGCCGCCGCCGCAGCCTGTCGCGCATCCAGCGGACGCTTGCGCTTGACCCTCGACGACGCGCTAAACACGCGCTGCAGCACGTCCAAAAACACATCCTTCGTCCCGCTCGTATCCAGCTTTTCTTCCGCGATCCTCTCCAGACCACCCAGTCGCGCAAACGCTTCCCGGATCTTGTCCTCGGCGTTGAGAAGCTCCTTGAGAATGCGTCGCGAGTTGCGTGCCGCTTCGCTCCCCGGCCCGGCCTTGGATAGCAGCGAGATGGCCGTTGCCAGATTCGCTCGCACCGCCGTCGCATCCAGGTCGTGCTGACGTGCACAGCACAGCTCCATCACCAGCGCCATCGCCGCTCCCAGCAGATAGAACGTCACCAACCAGAACTTGTGGATCACGCTCGACTCTTGCAGCGAGAGGATGCGGATGATGCAGCTGGCCGACGACAGGCATGCCTTGCGTGCAAACCTCCACTCGTCGTCCGTGAAGCCCGAGAGCTGATGCACGCGATGCAGACGCAGGATGCGGTTCAGATACATCAACTCGAGCATCACCGACTCCATCGCCTGATCGGGCGCATCAAACGTACGCTGCGGCGAGTATCGCAGGCACGAAGGCGTCGAGTCGTGCACCTCGTTGAGCTTGCTTACAAAGCGGTGGATCTGAGCTCGGGAGAGCAGCGAGCGTTCGTTGGAGACGTCGACAATCTCGCGGTAGAGCGTGACGTAGCGCATGCGCATCGTGATCGACGACGAGTGCGTGTAGACGTCGGGCGAGTGCAGCGTGAGGCTGTCGCCGTGGATCTCGACGTTGGCCGGCAGATTCGTGCGATTCTGCAGAGGATGCACCGAGTACACGCCAAAGTGCGCCACCGCATGCGACCAGTCGAGCCAGGTGAGGTTCCACCAGATCCGACGTCCCAGCTCGCGCCGCGCCTCGGTCCTCATGCTGATCGACGGCTGATGCGATGTTGAGCCATGGTCGAGACGCGCAAGCCCGACGTTCTGAGCCACCTTGATCGCCGAGCCGAGCAGCGCCCATTGACCGTCGGCCTGCTCTTTGCGGTTGTGCTGATAGACGCCGAGCAGGCAGATGCACGCGAGATGCTCGAGCTGCTGCGACTGCAGGAAGTTGCTCGACCACAGCAGCTGCTGGCTTCCCGTGCACAGCGTATCTGCCAGTCGCGATGCCTCCTTTTTCGAGATGCCCACGAGTTCCAGCAGCGCCGGGTCCGACCAGTGCAGCGCAAGGGCGATGACGACAAAGTAGCAGCACACCAGCGCGCTCGATACGGGGAACGCAGCGATCTGTTCGGGCTGCATCTTTGAGAGGCGCAGAAAGTCGGCGGGGCTCTCGGGGGGCAGGACGCGCGTGGTCCAGTCGACGTGGGTAAAGTAGAAGTCGAGCAGCACCGACGTGTTGGGCGGCAGGAACTGTGCGAATCGGAAGGCGACGTCGGCGGACGAGTCGGCGGAGCGCTGGTCGAGCATTTGCTCCTCGTCGGTCTCTGTATCCTTGGGGTCGCCTTCTGCCGCGGTGCCGACAGCATCGATGGGAAGACTCTTGAGTTTGAGCTTGCGACCCATGGCAGCATCTTCGAACAAATCCTGGATGTCTTGACCGATGTGGAGCTCCTGCTTGGCAGCGGCGCGATCGGCGGCAGCTAGCGGCTCGTCCTCGTGGTCGGCGGCAGAGACGAATGGCGCGCCGTTGGTGTTGGTACGGCTGTTCAGAACGTAGCGTTCGATCCGGTCCATGCGCGCCTCGAGGCGGTAGAGGCGTTCGGCATCCATGCCGATGAAGCGGTCGGATGCAAACGACGCTGCTTCCTGCAGCTCGTTCTTGGATGACGACGAGGAAGGAGGAGCGGCGCCCAGCGTGGATGCTTGGCCATCTTGCGAGAGAGAGATGGAGGCGCGATGTGGCCGGGGAGGCGCGAGCTCGCGCGTGGGCGAGGTGGCGGAGCCGAACGAGGTGGTGATGGAGGCGATGGTCTGCTGCACCTGTGTGCAAGAGGCCTGGTCTCCGCGGATGACGCAGGGGGAGCAGGGGTACTTTTTGTCACATCGCGTCTTGCGCTTGCGGCACTGCAAACAGCTGAGATTCTTGACGCTGCTGTTGGCGTTGGCCAGCGCGGCAGCGGCAGCCGCGTTGGCCGAGGTGTTGGCCGAGGACTGCGTGGACGACGAGGCAGCGGGCGGGAGAGAGGTGTCTTGCGGCGAGATGGTTGCATTGGTGGTGGCGGTGGGATCGAGGGACTGCATTGCGAATCAGCTTGGGGCTTGGAGTGGGGTTTGAGGTGTTAGAGTAGTGTCTACGAAGCCGGGGTATGAGACGCCATTGCACCGAGGGATGCGAAGGCGGACTGCAGGTAGCTGCAGGGTGTAGGTAAGCCGGTTCGAGAGATGAAGACAAGGTTTGGGTGGTGGAGGGTTCGGATGATGACGGCAAACGGCGGTCGGTAACTGACCGAGGGGCGACGGTGAGATGAAGCCAAGCTTATATACACGGGCAAGACGCGCGGACGCTGCACAGCATGCATGCAGCTGTTACTCGGCCACTTTGGCAACTTGTCGGCGCGGGCGGATACCGAGCTTTGATTCGATGGATGCCGATAATGGCAATCGATGGACAGTGCGGTGCGGGGAAAGCATGTTTGCGACCAAAAGACGGCACCGATAAACGCCCGCCGATTAGTGCTCTCCGCTGTCAACGCAAAATGAAAATCGCCAGCCGATAGCGCAGCGGACGAGATTCGCGGAGACCGTCCGCGGCTCCACATCCGCCCCTCAGATGCCGCGCACCTCGACCCGTGCGACCCTTCCCTCAACCTTGGCACAGTTGGCACAGATGGATGCATCGGCCGTGGAGAGCCAAGAGACCGCCATTCCCGTGCGCGGTGTGCGGTGCGTGTGACACTCCTCGCCTCGTGCGGGGCATGTAGCTGTCCAACTGTATGCTGCCTCGGACCTTGTCCGTCAGTAGCCGGATCGTCGTATTGAGAGCGTATCGAGGGCCATGTGACTATATAGAGCGGCGGCACGGCATGCACTCCCACCAGCTCTCACAGTGCAACCATCTGACCTTGTCCTCCTCCTCATCTCTCTCCGAGCGCCATCATGTCCGAATCATCCACATTCAAGCAGCTTAACGTCGCCATCCTGGGCGGCGGCATCGGCGGCTTCTCGGCTGCCATTGCTCTGCGTCGCGCCGGCCACAAGTGCACCGTGTACGAGCGCAGGGGCTTCGACGTCGAGGTGGGTGCCTCGATCTCGTGCGCCGCTAACGGCACCCAATGGCTCCACGACTGGGGCGTCGACGTCCAGTCCGGCCGACCCGTCATCCTCATGGAGCTCACCATGCGCGACTGGGAGTCAGGCGAGATCCTCAACCAGTACCACCTGCACGACTACGAAAAGACCTGGGGCAACGTCTACAACATGTTCCACCGCCAGGACATGCACAAGATGCTGCTCGACACCGCCGTCTCGCCCGAGGGCAAGGGCATCCCCGTCGAGATCGTCATGGACCACATCGCAGAGAACGTCGACCCGGACACCGGCATCATCACCTTCCGCAACGGCAACAAGGTGCACGCCGACCTCATCATCGGCTCCGACGGCATCCGCTCCAAGGCGCGCGTCGCCATCGGCGTCACGCCCGACATCAAGTCGGCACCGCAGACCTGCTACCGCTGCAACGTGACCAAGGAGGAGGTCGAGCGTCTCGGCCTCACCTGGGCTGCCGACCCTGCGATCCAGTTCTGGGGCGGCTACCCCAAGGAGGACCTCAACCAGTACTACAAGATCGTCATGAGCCCGTGCGCTGGCGGCGACGTTGTGTCGTTCTACTGCTTCATGCCTACCGAGCTTACCAAGCACCAGTCCGAAGGTTTCGTGTTCGAAGAGGTGCCGCCCGAGGAGATCCTCGCAGGCGCCTACTCGAAGCTCGACCCTCTGTGTGTCAAGCTGATCCAGAACTCGGTGGAGCGCAAGCCGTGGCGTCTGTACGTCCACCAGCCCTACTCGCACTGGTACAAGAAGCAGACGTGCATCCTCGGTGACGCTGCGCATCCCATGATGCCCCACCAGTCGCAGGGCGCATGCCAGGCCATCGAGGACGCCGCTGCGCTCGGCATCATCTTTTCGCAAGAGTACAGCTTCACCAACAACATCGAGGCGGGTCTCAAGCTCTACCAGGACATCCGCAAGCCAAGGGCTACGCGCGTGCAGCAGGCCTCGACACGTGCGCTCGAGAACCTCAACGAACGCATCGGCTTCTCGTCGCTCAATGCGCACGACGCCGCGCTCGCCGCCAGCGAGAACAAGCTCACCGTCAACGAGATGAACACATACGACATGAAGAAGGACATCCGCGAGACCGTCTACCCCAACCTCAAGTCGACTCCATCCGTTTCGACGCCCATCGCCAACATCAGTGCGGCGTCGACCCCGATTGCTGCCGATGCATAGCCCCTCCTCTCCTCGTGTCGGAATCGTAATTTGTTTTTGCATTGCATCCGACTGTGACGAGCGATTGTGTGCGTAGCATGAATCCAGCGTCTGTGCCTGGCATGAATGAGATTGAGGCCAGGAAGCCTCTAAGCGACGCGGAAGACGCCATACCGAAAGACTCGAGGGAGGTGGTCAACTGCAAAGGGCCCAATCCACCCACAGCGAGGGTTCGGTAAAATCTCCGAATCAGATTTCAGTTTTACAACCGCCGCCGGCCAATTCCATTCCACCCCCTCTTTCTCGCCGACATCGGACCGGCACGAGCCTCGGTCTCGCGGTGGGGAGATTCGGTCTAGGCGACACTGTTGCGACGCTCGAAGGGTGCTGAGCCGGCAATCGAATGGCAGTTGCGAGATTTCCTATCTTGGTTGCTGCCGGAGGTGCATGAAATGGCGCTAAAAATCCTGGTCTCTGCCGGTGGTGGCGCTAATTGGGCGCACGCAGCTGTCACGCCATCGTGTCGAACCATCATTCCATGGCGCCCCAATCACACTCGCACGCCGCCTGTGTGGACCCTTGCAAGCTGTCGCAATCCACCACCGCCGGCGCTTCGGGATGGTACCTTCCGTTCGAGTGTCGCGTGGACCGATCGGCAACGTCGAATCAGTCTTGTCCAGGCGTTCCTTCGGTTGGCAGGCGAGCCTCCCGTCGGTCCGGCGCTTCGGTGGTCTTTTTGCGATGACGCCTTCGATGCAGCGCAGCGCTTCTCCTATGAAATGAAGTGCACTAGCTGGCAAGCACTCGACGGTCGTTGCAGCTGCATGTTCCTGAGCGAAGTGAGGCTGCCATCTCGCACACAAGCGTGCACACATAAGATCCGCTCGTTGCGGGATGGATGAAGCTAGCTCGCCCCGCATCAAAACCTCTCGCGACCTTCAAGCGTTCGTCTCGGCAGCTCATCATGTCGAGCGCACCCTTGCCTGCGTCTGGCACACCAGAGGTGTCGCAGCTGCCCATCCTGGCCTCCGACGATAAGCCTGGTTCGATCTCTTCGGCCAACGACGAAAAGGCCGACGAGAAGGCCTCGACGCCCACTTCTGAAAAGGTCTCGACACCCACCTCTGTGCCGCTCGACAGTGCTGGCGAGCCAGTGGAGCCTCACCAAGGGGAGAAAGTGATTCGCAATGGGCGCGATGTATCCGACTACCTCATCAGCGACCGCGACGATGGGGATGCATGCTTCACCTTCCGCAGCGTCACGCTCGGTCTGGTTGGCGCTGCGTTCCAGGCTGTCCTTACGCAGATCTATCGGTTCAAGCCCACCGAGGTGACGATCTCGGGCACCTTCCTCGCCATCATCATCTACATTCTCGGCACTGCCTGGGCGCGCATCCTGCCCACACGCAAGAGCCTCACCGCGCGATTTGGCAGCCGTCTTCCCGAATGGGTCTTGGCAACGGTGCACTTTGTCAACCCAGGCAAGTTTGGGCTCAAGGAGCATGCGATCGCCTCCATCACCGCATCTAGCGCCTCGAACGGTGCGCACTCGAGCGACGTGTTTGGCACGCAGAAGCTCTTCTACCCGGACATTCCGGTGACTACCACCACCGCCGTGCTCTCGGTGCTCTCGATTGGCCTGTTCGGATACGGTCTCGCCGGTATCTTTCGGCCATTCTCCGTGTATCCAGCCGAGATGGTGTACTGGTCCACGCTGCCGCTCGTCGATCTGTTCCAGGCGTTTCACTGGGACGAGTCCTTCTCCGCACGCCGCACCAAGGCGTTCTGGTGGAGTTTCGGCGGCATGGGGCTGTACGAGATCCTGCCATCGTACATCTTCCCCACGCTCAACTCGATCTCCATCCCTTGCTTCGCCAGCATGCACGCACCCAAGCGCATCCAGCAAACGCTGACCAACATCTTTGGTGGTGCGCAGAGCAACGAAGGCATGGGGCTGCTGTCGATCAGCCTCGACTGGCAGTACATCACCTCGTCGCAGATGTCGCTGCCTTTGATCCAGCAGGCGAATTCGTGGATCGGCTATGCGGTGTGCTACATTGCCATGGCGGGGATCTACTACGGCGACGTGTGGGGCGCAAAGTCGTTTCCCTTCATGTCGACGAGCATCTTTTCCGACTCGGGACACAAGTACAACCAGACGGCGGTGTTTGTGGATGGCATTCTGGACAAGGCCAAGCTGGAGGCGGTTGGGTATCCGAATGTGACGGGCACGTATGCGTGGGGGATGCTGATGCGCAATGCGGCCATCGGCGCGCTCGTCACGCACGTCGTGCTCTTCTGGGGCAAGGATGTGCTTCGCAATCTGCGCGACGCTCGCAACAAGACCCAACCGGACCGCCACTGGAAGGCCATGCAAAAGTACCCCGAGGCGCCGCACTGGTGGTACTTGGTGCTGTTGGTCATCTCCTTCGTCTTTGGTTTGATCGTGGTGCTTACCCAGCATACGACGCTTCCGTGGTACAGCTACATCGTCTCGCTCGTCCTTGGTGCTGTGGTGGCTCCCTTCTCCGCCGTGCTGTATGCGATCCTGGGTAACGGAATCAGCACCAACAACCTCACCAAGATGATCGGCGGCGTTGTCAGCCCTGGCCGTCCTCTGGCGAACCTCTACTTCTACGCCTGGTCGCACAGCACGATTGCGCAAGTCATCAACCTGTCGAACGACTTAAAAATGGGTCAATACTTAAAAATTCCTCCGAGGGTGATGTTCGTCACCCAGGTCGGAGGAACGGTGTTCGGGGCGTTCCTCAACTATGCGATTGCATCGACGATCATCAAGTCCAAGTTCGAGCTGCTGCTGACGAATACGGGCAGCTACGTGTGGTCGGGTGCGTACTACCAGTCGCTCAACGTGAGCGCGGTGACGTGGTCGATGGCCAAGTACATGTACGGACCGGGCACGCCGTATTTCATCATCCCCATGGCGGTGCTGATCGGCATTGCGGCCGTGATTGTGCACTACGGCTTCACCCTCGTCGTGCCGCAGATCGGCAGCTTCAAGACGCGAGACCTGGTTCTACCCACCGTGTTTCTGTACTCGGCCTGGATGACCGCCGGACAGAACTGCGTCATCCTGACGACGATCGCAGTGGGTGTCGTGTCGCAGGCGGTCCTGCGTACCCGCTATCCCAAGTGGTTCAAGGAGTTCAACTATATTGTCGGAGCCGGCTTCGACGGCGGCTCGCTGCTCGTCATCTTTATCCTCAGCTTTGCCGTGTTTGGCGCGGCGGGCACCGAGCATCCGTTCCCAACATGGGCGGGCAACCCGGCAGGATTCCCCGACTACTGCCCCGACCCCTCCTCTTCGTAGACACGCACGGATCGTAGAGAGGCAAATTAGAATTGACGACTGTGTGAAGCGTGTTTGGGCGGCTGTGTGTTGTTATTCTTGTTGTGCGAGTGTATGCGGATTAGACAAGGCTCTTGGGGGCGGGGAGGACGGGCTGACCTTCGGCGGTGACATAGGCGCTGGAGAGACCGCCGTCGACAAGCAGATCGTGTCCGAGCACGTACGACGATTCGTCGGTCGCCACTGTTGTGACACCAAGGCAAGAATGTCAGCTTACGGGCGCTACTCGGTGTGGTGGTGTGAGAAGAGTACGTACGGAAAAGCACGGCCTTGGCCTGCTCGACGGCCTCGCCGAATCTGCCGAGGGGCAGATGGGTGAGTCTGCGGTTGAGCTTTTCGGGGGTGTTGAGGAAGTCCATGAGCAGCGGGGTCTGGAGCGGGCCGCTGTGGCGTGGCAAGCCAAAGTAAGAAGGCGAGATTAGCGATGATCGAGGCTGTACTGGTAGGGTGGGTTGGCACGTACGGGCAGAGCGAGTTGACGCGGATGCCTTCGCGTGCGTGAACCATGGCGAGCTCACGCGTCATTGCGAGGACGGCGCCCTTGGATGCGGTGTAAGCGATCTGAGGGGTGGCAGCGCCCATGACGGCTACAAAGGAGGCGGTGTTGATGATGGAGCCGCCGACGTGGAGGTCCTTGGACTCGTCGGTGGGGTTGTTGCGCATGGCGATGATGGCGTGCTTGCAGCCGTACCAGACGCCCTTGACGTTGATGGCCTGGGTGAGGTCCCAGATCTTTTCTTCGGTGTTGAGCGCGTTGTCGTCGGCGGGGTGCATGATGCCGGCGTTGTTGAACTGTCAAAGTCGAAAGGGGTGAGCCTATGGAACGTCATACGATTGTTGGGTGGGGTCGCGGCTTACCATGACGTCGAGACGGCCAAACTCGTCTACTGCACGCTTGACAATCGCCGCCACCTCGTCCTCCTTGCTGACATCGCACTTCATTGCAATTGCCTTGACGGGAGGCTGTGCGTCCTTGAAGCGCTCGTTGACAAGGTCGGCGGTCTTTTGGCAAGCGTCGATGTTGATATCGGCGAGCACGACGCTAGCACCCTCGGAGGCGAAGAGCACTGCGCATTCACGACCGATGCCGCTGCGATCATTGAACCAGACGCGTGTGAGAAGTCAGCGAGCGTGCAAAGAGCTGAGAGTGTTTGGAGAAGGACAACTTACGAGCCACCGCCGGTGATGACGGCCACCTAATGCATCCAAAGAGGGGGGTGGACGAGAGGTCAGCGACAGACGCGCCGATTGGGATGCGCGTGGACGACGACTTACGCGATGAGGAAGACGAAGACCAGGCATGTTGATTGGATGCGGTTGTGAGTGAGCTGTGATGATGGTGTGATGTTGTGATGGTGTGATGGTGATAGAGAGAGAGAGAAAAGCTCGAGAGCGACGGCGTCGGTCGGACCGACAGCGGCTCCTCCGCACGCACACGCACACCCACACGCACACCCACGCTCTTCGGAAGTTGGCCGGCTGGGCCTGCCTTATCGCGCGGCGCTTCCGACGCGCAGACGGGCGCTTGCGAAGCTTTAAAAAGCGGAGGTCCGTGCCGCGGCCCAATTACCGGCGCCAATTTCACGGGATTTTGCACGGCCCAAAAGCGGCGCGTGACCTTCTCTGCACACTCTCCAATCACAGCGACCAACGCCCTGGCTATCTCATGCACGATCCATTGCGGCTCTACAGTGGCGAACAATGCAATCTACGATCAGGCCTTGCGCAGACGCATGTGGATCGCCTTGGGCTGCGTGAGCTGGTCGAATCCAAGCGTGCTCAGGCTGACGCCACGTCCGCTGTCCTTGACGCCCGTCCAGGGAAGCGCAGGGTCGAGCACGTCGGCACGGTTGAGGTATACGGTGCCCGTCTCGAGCTCGGTGGCGAGGCGGTCAAACGCAGCCGCCGACTCGGCATCCTCGATGTTGGTCCATACGGACGCGGTGAGGCCGTAGTGCGAGTCGTTCATCAGCTGGAGCGCCTCGTCGTCCGAGGAGACCTTCATGATGCCGATGGCAGGTCCAAACGTCTCTTCGGTCATGATCTCCATCGAATGGTCGACGTCGACGAGCACCGTGGGCGCCACCAGCGCAGTGCCAGCTTTGGCTTCGGGGAAGAGCTCGGCGGGAATGAGGTTCTTGGCGCCCTTGCTCAGAGCATCGTCCACCTGCTTGCGGATGCGCTCGGCCGAGGCGAGGCTGACCACGGGGCCAAGAGAGACGCCCGACTGGCTCGGATCGCCCAGCTTGTACTGCTTTGCCACGCCGACAAACTCGTTGACAAACTCGTCAAACACCGAGGCGTGCACGTAGATGCGCTCCACCGAGCAGCACGACTGGCCCGAGTTGAACATGGCGCCGTCCACCAGCTCTTCGGCCGCCCACTTGATGTCGGCGTCCGCACGCACGTACGCAGGATCCTTGCCGCCGAGCTCCAGACCGACGCCCTTGAAGCCCGGTCCGTCGGCCGCCGCCTTGGCGAGCGCCTTGCCACCGGCAACGGAGCCAGTAAAGATGAGGAAGCCGATGCGCGGATGAGCTGCGAGCTTGGCGGTCGTTTCAAAGTCGAGGTGGGCGATGTGCAGCAGACCCTTGGGCAGACCCGCCTGCTCGAGCGTGCGCTGGAAGCTCTCTGCCGTGAGCGGCGTCTGCGGCGACGGCTTGAGCACCACCGCATTACCAGCGAGCAGCGCGGTGATGAGGCCGTTGACGGTGGTGAGGTACGGATAGTTCCACGGCGTCACGATGCCCACCACGCCGAAAGGATCGCGGCGGATAGCAAGCTTGAGGTTGGGCGTCTCGGTCTCGGTGCGCGGCGAGTCGGCCAGGCACTCTTCCGCCACCTTGCAGAGGTATCGGCATCGCTGGAGCGCGCCCTTGATCTCGCCGGCGCACTGCGAGGCAGGTCGGCCCATCTGCTCAGAGAGCTCCTTTCCGAGCGCCTCCTTGTCCGCATCGAGCAGCGCCATCCACTTGGTGATGATCGCCACACGCTCCTTGACGCTCACCTTGGCCCACGACTTCTGCGCTGTGGCCGCAGCATCGATGGCTTGGTCGAGCTCGGCAGCCGAGAGCAGCTGCTTTTCGCACACGACGCTCTGGTCGTAGGGCGCGATAGTGGTCTGGATCGAGGACGACGACATTGCTGTTGTTGGGTGATTGAGTTGATGAAGGTGGTGGTGGTGGCGAGGGGCGAGTGGAGGCGGAACTTCCGAAAAGCACTCGCGCCACATTTTGGCCGGCACTTCCGAGCAGCTGACTGTTGCTTTGAGCGGCTGCGACCCGCGTGTCCAAGAATCGAGCCAGAAGAGATAAGGCACCTTGCGAGTCAGAACCCACAGAGTTGTGCCTCGGCACTTTTGGGCGCCTCTCGGCTGGCCCGTGTGTGCTGCTGCGCGTGCTCGGACCATCGCCGACAATCAATTGATCAAGCTGCATGCAGCCTTCGGAACATGGCCGACACTGCAACACTCACTCTGCGGACCAGCCGACCGGAGCATCCGACTCGATATCAGTCGGTCGCGCGACCCTCACCATCCCCCCTAACGATCCGTCACCATCCTCACCACCACCATCACCTCCGCCGCCTCACACCATGTCCGAAAAGCAGAAATCCATCGCCTACGGCGACCTCGAGGAGCTCCTCCGCAATGACAACAAGGTCAAGCTAGGCGGCGTCGACGTCGACGGCATCGTGCGCGGCAAGTACGTCTCCAAGAGCAAGTTCCTCTCGGCGGCCAAGCCCGACTCGGACTTTGGCTTCTGCTCGGTCATCTTTGGCTGGGACATGCACGACCAGGTCTACTCCAAGGAGCTGCTCGTCTCCAACAAGGCCAACGGCTACCGCGATCTCTCGGCGCGCATCGACCTCGACTCGTACCGTCGCATCCCGTGGGAGGACAATCTGCCGTTCTTCCTCATCCGCTTCTTCAACCCGGACGGCTCGCCGCTCGCCGTGTGTCCGCGCAGCCTGCTGCGCTCCGTCACCCAGACCGCACAGCGCGATCTCGGGCTGGTCTGCATGGCCGGCGCCGAGTTCGAGTACTTTCAGTTTGCAGAGACCGCGCAGAGCCTCGAGGCCAAGGGATTCGTCAATCTCACGGCGCTCACGCCGGGTAATCACGGCTACTCGATGCTGCGCACCACGCTCAACAAGGACTACTTTCTCGAGCTCTTTGACGCCGCGCAGGCGTTTGGCATCGACATCGAGGGACACCACACCGAGACGGGCCCGGGCGTGTACGAGACGGCGCTCGCCTACACCGAGGTGACGCGCATGGCCGACATGGCGGTGCTCTACAAGCTGCTCGCCAAGTCGGTCGGCATCAAGCACGGCATCATCCCCACATTCATGGCCAAGCCCTGGGCCAACCTCGCCGGCTGCTCGGGCCACATCCATGTGTCGCTGCGCGATCCGACGACGGGCAAGAACGTGTTTGGGCTGAGCGCCGACGAGATCGCCGCGGGGGGTCGCAAGGATGCGCCGTACGACGATGTGCGCTATCTGTCGGTGGTGGGCGAGCAGTTTTTGGCGGGCATCATGACGGGATTGCCCGACATTATGCCTCTGCTGTGTCCGACGGTCAACTCGTACAAGCGTCTCACCACGGGCGAGGCATACTGGGCGCCCAACATCTGCTCGTACGGCTACGACTCTCGTCTCGTCTCGGTGCGCATCCTGGGTCCACCGGATGCTCCCGACTACGCCACGCGCTTCGAGGTGCGCGTGCCCGGTGCCGACCTGAATGCGCAGTACGCCTTTGCGGCTGTGTTTGCACTGGGCATGTACGGTATCCAGCACAAGCTGTCGCTTCCCTTTGCACCGCTCGATACGACGCGCAGCCTCAAGGACCAGGATCTGGTGTACCTGCCTACCTCGCTCGAGGCGGCGACGCAGAAGTTCATGGCGAAAGACAGCTTGGCACGCAAGGTGCTGGGCGATACGCTCGTCGACCATTTCGGCGGCACGAGACTGCACGAGGTGCAGCTCTTCAACCAGACCGTCACCAACTGGGAGATGCAGCGATACATGGAGCTCATCTAAGATGGGCCGAGTCGCGCAGGTGCAATGGAATGGTTAGCAAGTGGAAGAGCGGGCGGGTTTGCACCGGTGCGGCTGGTCGTGGATGAGAGCAACGGCGCGGAGTGAGGGTTGACGGCGAGTGCTGGCGTGGCTGGGAGGCGGATGCGGCACGACACAGCGGAACAAGTGCGCGGTGGAGGATGGGTGGCCAAGGCGAGGTTGCGACTGCCACATGGATGCGTTGGGTTTCCCGGATGGTCAGCACGAAGGACAGTTGCTGGCACGGCCGCACTTGACTCCCACCTGATGCGAAAGGAAAACTATATTACGATCCTACTGAACGACATTCTAAAAATCTTATCTCAGAGCTGCATCTACTGGACGGAAACGTAGAGCCTGCCCTCGTACGGCTTGAGGGTGCCCTTTTTGCCATCGGCCCTCGTATCGAGCACCGCCTCTACATTGCCGACCTCCTCGGGCACCTCGTACGTCTGCTCCTCGGCAGTAAAGTTGAGCACGACAAACGCCTTTTCACCGCCCTCGGCGATCTTGATAAACTTGAACATCTTTTCATCCTCCTCCTCGACCAACCTAAACTCTCCCCTTCCAAGCAGCGAGTTACGCTGCTTTCGAACGCCGATGGCCTTGCGGTAAAAGTTGAGCACCGATTCGGGGTCGTCCTGCTGGGCAGCGACGTTGATGGTGGTGTAGTTGTCGTTGGTTCGCATCCACGGCTTGGTCGTAGGCGTCTTGCTGAATCCTCCATTGGGAGCCGACGACCACTGGACGGGAGTGCGGGCATTGTCACGACCCGTCTTGTTGACGTTCTGAACCGCCTGCTCCAACGCAGCCTTGTCGCCGTTGGTACGCTTCTTGACCGCAGCAAAGTAGTTGATGCTGTTGACGTCGAGGTACTCCTCGGCACCCCAAGTCGAAGGAACATTGGTCATACCAATCTCCTCGCCCTGGTAGACGTACACGGTACCGGTGAGCGCCATGTTCATGAGCGCCAGCAGCTTGCCCGAGTCGGTAATGTGTTCGGGCTTGTCCGATGCGAAGCGCGAGATGGAGCGCGACTGGTCGTGGTTCTCGATAAACACGGTGGTCCACGCATCGTTGCCCTCGGTGAAGCGCTGCCACTTGTTGACGATGCGCTTCATGTCCGGCAGGCCAAACTTGACCAGCTTGAGGAGGTCGACGGGGTCGCGGCCGAGGTCGACCAGGTCAAACTGGAACACCTCGCTCAGCTCGTTTTCGGCCGCCGAGACGTAGCGCACCACGTCGGCGGTCTTGGGCGTGTTGGGGAGCTCGCCGACGGTCATGGCGTCGTACCTTTCGAGGATGGCGCCCATCTCCTTGAGGTAGGTGTGCATCATGGGGCCGTTGCAGTAGAGCATGCCGGCGGGCTGGGTTTCGGCGCCCTCGTCGACGATGGGCGCGTCGGGGAAGTCCATGGGCTTGGAGTACATGTTGACGGTGTCGACGCGGAATCCGTTGACGCCCTTTTTGAGCCAGAACTCCATGGCGCTCTTGTAGATGGCGTTGCGGCAGTCGTCGTTGGTCCAGTTGAGGTCGGGCTGTTCGGGGCAGAAGAGGTGGAGGTAGTACTCCTGGGTGGTCTCGTCCCAGGTCCATGCGGGCTGGTTGAAGTTGGACCTCCAGTTGTTGGGCGGCCTGCGCGTGCCGTCGGCGTCGTACTTGGCGGGCCTCCAGATGTACCAGTCGCGCTTGCTGCTGTCCTTGGCGGAGCGCGAGTCTTTGAACCAGGCATGCTGGTCCGAGGTGTGGTTGACGACGAGGTCGAGGATGAGCTTGATGCCGCGCGAGTGGCACTGCTTGATGAGCTCGTCCATGTCGGCGACGGTGCCGTAGGGCGGGTAGACGGACTCGTAGTCCGAGATGTCGTAGCCCATGTCGATCTGGGGCGAATCGTACATGGGCGAGAGCCAGATGGTGTTTACGCCGAGCGACTTGATGTAGTCGAGCGACTGGATGATGCCCTGGATGTCGCCCATGCCGTCGTCGTTGCTGTCGCGGAAGGAGGCGGGCCAGATCTGGTACACGATGGCATCGCGGAACCAAAAGGTGCGCGAGCTCGAGCCCACGAGCGAGTCGTTGGAGGGCATTTTGCGGGGATGTAGCGGGAGGAACACTTGCTTGTGAGGAGTGGAGAAGAGAAGAGACGGAGCGAAGGCCGTTCAAGTACGTTCTCTGTCTGCGCGATGTGAGCGCAAGGAGTGACAGAGTGGTTGAGCTTGTGCTTGTGCGAGTGTAACGTGAGCGGGTGTGTGGTGGAAGGGTCGGACGGCGAGGCCTTTGGCTTAAGAGCGTTGGGTGGATGCGGGGGCGAAAGGGCTCAGTTCGAGGGTCCCAGTGTCGATGCGGGGCGGCTGGACTGTGCGGCGACCTTTATTTTCTTTTGGTGGCGAAATCGCACTCCGGCTCGGATGGACGCCGGGCGCACTGGATCCGACGACGACGCCCAGTCACCTCGGCGAGATTCAACCCCACACTCCGAGAGGCTGCTCAAGAAGCCGGACGTGGGGGCCAACGCGCCCTTGTTGCAATGGTACCGTCGCTTGGCGCGGCGTGATTGCGACTGTGATTGCTCCGTGGATCAGCCGGCTGTTTGGGCTGTCTGTGTTGGAGACTGGGAGTTGCTCCGACGATGCAACGAGGAGAGCACTGTTGGTCTCGGCGTAACTCGCTGCGTTGGTGATTGTTAGAGCGTAGCGAGAGGCGGGTGTGCGGCTCCAAATTGGGCGCGAATGGTCACGAAGCACGGCGTGATGCCGACGCACGGCCGAGGATCACCCGAAAAGCAGACGAAAGTGCACCAGTTGACCGGCTTTGCTGACGGCCGAGAGCGGCTTTGTCGCCGCCTCGAGCTGGATTCGCAATTACGACATCGAGCGAAGCTGCGCCGAGACTCGACCTTGTCACCAGCCCGGATCCCGGACCAAGCTGGAGAGAGCCTCGGTCAAGTGACGCTGGCTCGACTGCCATTGCCGGACAGGGCTGGTGGTGAATCTCGCCGAAGATCTTCCGTCGAGCGCTGGCCAGGCGGCTCCCTCCATCCATGCGCTCGACAAAAGCCCACGCCACCGAAGAATCGCCGCGGCCAGGGTCTGTGACGGTACCATGCGATGCGCTGGTGGCTGCATCGTGCCGTGCTTCTGCATCAACGCTCCTTCCAGACTGGACCCTGGCCAGAAGCAACCCGGCCGAGGATGCGCCGTTCCCCGCATCGCCCGGTCGCTGCCTCCCCGCATGCTGCACACTGCATTGACGAGCCAGCCAAGCTGATCGGCCAAGCGGCGGTGTGCCTAGTGCCTAGTGCCTCGTGCCGCACGCCAATCCCCGTGCCATGTGGTGCGGTCTTGGCTGAGAAGCAAACGAATCGATCGCTCGATGGAACGTGAAAACACGTTCAGCTGACCATGCTCTACAGTACATACGTCGCGATGAACGGACGATGAAGGCGGACAATGGGCACGATCTGGCGGGCAAGGTAGGGCGGAGCTGCAACTATCCTCGGTTGCCTGATGTCAGCCCTTGGTGTTGGAGCTGCATCGACTGCATTTCCAGCCGAGCTCGAGCGGGAAAGACCCTCGCTCTCTCTCAGCTCGGCGCATGTGGCCGCTGTGGGGTAACTCGAGCCGAACCCAACCCAATTCGATTTACCTTTTTCCTGCCCAGACCCAGACCCAGTTGGCCAAATTGGCATTGGCATTCATGCGTCTGGCTCGGTGCTCGAGCGTGTCCGTATTGGCAGCATGACGATCGTAAGCTCATCGCTCATGGCTCGCGGTGCTCGACTCCTACTCGAGGCTTGGCGGACGTCGAGCCGACCAACCAGCGCGGGGCGGCAACGCAGCGACGGCCATTCGCAGAGCCCAGCCAGCAGCAGCAGCAGCACACCACCTGCGGAGCTCGAACTGAACCACGACCGAGATTCCTCCGCCAGGCCAAATTGGACCAATCGCCCGTCACGTCTGCCCCGCTTCTGCCCCGCTTTGGAGCACTGCCCCACTGCCCCCGCCTTTTTTCTCTTTCCCACAATGGAAGCCTGCACCTCGCCTCGCCCTGCCTCCCCTCGTCTCCACAGCATCCATGCCAAATCGCACGACCGAGACCACTCCTCGGAGCCAAGCTCTGCCCCAGCTTCCACCACACCCCGCACTCCTCTCACCCCACGAGGCACGCCCGGAGTCGAGACATCCATCATGCTGCCGCCCCTCTAGAGCATCTCTCCATCCCGACGGCGTGTGCTTTGCGCCCAACCCACTGCTCCGAATCCGCTCCTTTCTGGCCTCTCTCCGCGTTCCCGCGCCTTTCTTTGCCCTTTGCCTTGCGCTCTGACGGCCCTTCCGAACGCTCTACTCCATCGTCACTCGCCGCTCCTTTCCCCTTCGCCACGAGCTCGGTCGAATTGTGCTCTCTCGGCGCTTCGGCTCCTCCGCTGTGGGTCCGTCTCTCCTCCCCAACCATCACGCTGCACCTCTGCTTCAGGCACCGGCACATCCGCTGCCGCCATCATACACTCCACTGCCAACCATCCGCCAATGTCTATATTACCCGTCCATCCCTGAGTCCATCTCCCCACCTTTTCTCGTCACCAATCCACCTCCACTCCTCCTCTCCCCTACTCTCCTCCTCACTCTACCGCAACAATGGTCTTCCACGACGGCGACGACGTCGCTCGCATCGACTCCAAGGCCGCCGCCGCCATCGCTTCCAAGGTCGAGGACTACGACGCCCTCGTTCACGATGCCGCAGAGGCAACCCAGAAGCAGGAGAGGATGAGCGTCGGCAAGGCCATCAGGACCTACCCGCAGGCCATCTTCTTCTCGGTCGTCCTCTCCCTCGCCGTCATCATGGAGGGGTAAGTCTCGATCCATACCGCCAGCTCTCTACGATCCATTCAGCTGACTCCTTGTTTTCTTCGTCTCCCTCTCCTCCACAGCTACGACACCCTCCTCATCGGCAACTTCTTCGCACAGCCCGCGTTCCAGCGCAAGTACGGCGTCTGCAAGCCCAACGGCGAGTGCGAGATCCCCGCCCCGTGGCAGACCGGCCTCACCAACGGCTCCCAGGTCGGTTCCATCATCGGCCTCCAGCTCACCGGTATCGCCTCGGAGCGCTTCGGCTACCGCAAGACCATCCTCGCCGCCCTCATCGCCATGACCGCCTTCATCTTCATCCCCTTCTTCGCCCCCAACCTCACCGTCCTCCTCGTCGGCCAGATCCTCCAGGGCCTCCCCTGGGGTGTCTTCCAGACCCTCACCACCTCGTACGCCGCCGAAGTCACCCCCGTCGCCCTCCGCCCTTACCTCACCACCTGGGTCAACGGATGCTGGGTCGTCGGTCAGCTCATCGCCTCGGGCATCCTCCGCGCCACCGTCAACCGCACCGACCACTGGGCCTACAAGATCCCCTACGCCATCCAGTGGGTGTGGCCCGTCCCCATCTTCATCGGCTGCTGGTTCGCCCCCGAGTCGCCCTGGTGGCTCGTCCGCCAGAACCGCCTCGAGGATGCAAAGCACTCGCTCCGCCGCCTCGCCGCCTCCGGCTCCGAGTTCACCGAGCACGAGGCCGACCAGACCGTACAGATGATGATCCACACCAACGAGCTCGAGAAGGCCGCCGCCGAGGGCGGCTCCTACTGGGACTGCTTCAAGAGGACCGACCGTCGCCGTACCGAGATCGCCTGCGTCGTCTGGCTCATCCAGGTCTTCTGCGGTGGCCCCCTCATGGGTCTTTCTTCCTACTTCTACACCAAGGCCGGCCTCCCCACCGACCAGGCTTTCAACCTCACCATCGGCCAGTTCTCCATGGGTCTCGTCGGCACCATCAGCTCCTGGTTCCTCCTCAAGAAGGTCGGCCGTCGCCCCCTCTACCTCTACGGCCAGATCGCCCTCTTCTTCCTCATGATCACCATCGGCGGCCTCGCCTTCAAGTCGGACGACAAGAACGTCTCGTGGGCCATCGGCTCCATGCTCCTCATCTTCACCTTCATCTACGACCTTACTGTTGGACCGCTCTGCTACTGCATCGTCGCCGAGATCTCGTCCACTCGTCTCAGGGCCAAAACCGTGGTGCTCGCCCGTAACGCCTACAACATCGGCGGCATCATCGCCAACATCCTCTCGCCTCGCATGCTCAACTCGACCGAGTGGAACTGGGGCGCCAAGGCCGGCTTCTTCTGGGCAGGCACCGGCGCCATCTGCATCATCTGGACCTTCTTCCGTCTGCCCGAGACCATGAACCGCTCCTACGGTGCCCTCGACATCCTCTTCGAGCAGAAGGTCTCGGCTCGCAAGTTCGCCTCCACCGAGGTCGACATGTTTGCCTCGCACACCCAGGCCGTCGCCCACGGCACCAGCTCCGTCGACGACGAGAAGTCCAGCTCCACCGACAAGGTCGACGGCGTCGTCGCCAACACCACCGGCCTCGGCTACAAGTACGAGGCTTAGAACAGCAGCACCCAAACATTCCTCTTCGTCCTTGCTTCAATGCTCCGTATTCCCCCTCACATCCAGTCTTTGTAAAACATGTAACGGTCTTCACTCCATGCCCTGCTCCCAATGGATTCTCTTGCCTCGTCTATGTTCGCTGTGTGTGGTCTCCACTCTCTTCGCTTCCGATGGATCTTCTGCCTTATCCCTGCTCGCTGTGTGTGGTCTTCACTTTCTTCGTCACACTCTTCGCTTCGGACTTTCTTGCCTCATCAAAGCTTTCGTTCACGGAAATGGTCGTGACTGTACCTTGCTTCTTGTCCGCATTCGTAAGGTGTTGGGTCGATCGAGATGGACGGGCAAACTCGCGCTGGTTGGTGGGTATCCGGCTTCGTTTGGGCCGGTGTCCCACCTTGACAGCACGCACACATACGGCGAACGACCTCACTCGACGCCGCACTGTCCTCGGGTCTGCGCTGGGTACGCCCCTTCAGGACGACGCAAGTACCCTCTGGTCGTCCCTCACTCACCTAGTCACTGAGCTTCGCTCTCACTCGCACATCCACCACCAACTCCCTCGCTCGCATCACTGTCAGAACGTGCATGCTGATCGCACACAGCTGTCTGCCGTCTGTCGCCAGCACTACCAGTCTCATGATCCGCCATCGCGAGCTCCGACAGCGCTTGATGTCGGCTTCGGGCTGGTGTCGGGGGCTTGCCACGCCATCGATCTCGCGTGAATCGACTCGACGCTGTGCCACGCACTCTACCACACACGCACTTCCAAGCGGCCGAAGTAACACGTTGCAGAGATCCATTCCAAAAGAGCAAGCTAGACGACCATGACCGCAAAGACATTTGGAGAAGGGAGAGCGTTGAATCAACTCGACTTGGAGAGACGCTGCTGCTGGCGCATGGCCCACTTGTCGAGGCGGTCACCCCAAACGTAGAACGGGATTCCCACGAGATACGCCGCCGCCGTGACGGCCGCCAGGACGCCGTAGGCCCACTTTGCACTGTGCTGCGTGACCATAGGCAGGGTGCCCTGGGTGATACCGTAGCTGATGATGTTCTTGGCGCCGACGACGAGCAGCAGTGCCGCGCCTGGGTTCTTGGGGTAGGCGATGGACGCGAACGCCGATCCGACAATCAGCATGCTGGTGAAAGCAAACTGGTTCAGGAACCACGCCATCACCGGCCCCGCCCAAGTCGCTTCTCCCGATGCCGTAAAGGCATACAGCATGAGAGATGCAAACGAAAACACACCGGGGACGATGGCCACAACAAGGTAGTGACCGGGACGCAGAACGCCGTTGTTGCGTTTAGCCATTGCCATGACGATGCGGCTGCCGATGGGACCCGAGTAGACCATGCCGAGGAAAGCACCCACCATGCCACCGATCGCAATCAGCCCGGCGTTTTTGGGTGCCCAGTGGTACACGGCGATCAGCACCTCGGAATACGTCAGCGAAAGAGCGATGGATGTGCCCAGGATCACGCTGAGCAGCAGCGCCATGTACATGATCGACGGACACAGCATGGCCAGCACCACATCCCACAGCGTCCGTGCCGCAATGCGCAGTGCGGGCTGCTGAACGCCCGACCACGGCTTGAGCGTGTCCATCCAGCTTAGCTCGCCCTGCTCGGCATCTTGCGTCTCTGCGTTGGGAAATCGTCCCTGTGCCTGTGCGACACGCAGCTGATCTTCGGTCATAGCATGGTGTACTCCAAACTTGTCCACCACGTAGTAGACTCCATCCTTGTGCTGAGCTGGACGATCGTAGGCGGTTTCGGTGAGGAAGAAGAACGCAATCACCACGCCGACGGCAGCCGCAATGACGTAGATCCAGTAGAACCATCGCCAGCCCATGCTAGCCACCTGGTACGAACCGGCGAGGTTGAGTGCGGACGAAAAGACGTTCTGCGACGCCCAGTAGATGCCAAAGATCATGCTGCGCTGATGAACAAAGGTGATCTCGGTGATCATGAGCGGGAGCAGCGACTCGGAGATACCCGCCGCCAGACCTTGGACGATTCGGGTGGCGAGATGCTGTTCAAACGTCTGGGCACACGCTGACCCAATGCAGCCGGCTACTAGAACCATCGACGCACCGAGTGCGATCGGTCTGCGTCCAATTACCATCGACGCCGGCAGAACGATCAAGTTGCCCAGCCCCACCATGACCGAGGGCAAGGTGCTTAGCCACGTCACCTTTTCCGCGCCCTCTTGGTGGTAGAGCGCGTAAAAGGTGCTCATGATCGGACCGAGGCCTCCGATGAGCGCGAGCGAAAAGATCGAGAACCAGCAACAGCTGACGACGATGCCGAGCTTGCGCGCGGTGCTGAAGTTGAGTGGATCGCGTGCGCTCGAGCTGGGCATTGGCCATCGCTGCATCTCGCCATGCGAGTCGACCACACGCACGTCCGTCGCCACGATCTCGACCGACGAAGACGACGCGAGGCGAGGAGCTACATCGTATGCATCCGTAGAGGTGTGCACGCCGTCCGACTTCTTGTCTTCCATGCTGGATTGTTCCGCGTCGCGCGCGCACGCCTGAATCGCCGCCATGCTCCGGAGTTGTCGAGTGTTGTATGCGGCGCCGGTGGTAGGAAGCAAGATATGGGCCGACGAGCTTCACAATGGGAATCAAGCATGCCCACCTTATAGCCAGGCACGGGCTGCGCAAGATTCAGGCACGAGCGCCGCAAGCAAGGGCAAAGATGTGCGGGGTGTGGTGGAGAGATGCGCATGTGCGTGTGGGGTGAGCTGCAGCACCGCGGAGTCCAGGTTGCAGCCTGGCTTAGCGGCTACCGACTCATTCGGCACGGCACGACCAACGATGGCAGCAGCAGACACAAGGATGATGATGGTAGGCGGAAGAACGCGGCGTTGCGGCCCCCAACATGCGGGGTCTCCAAAATGCCTTCAACCCCACATGCTCCTCGGCTGGCGACCACGAGCCGGGCTGCGTTCCCACTTGGCATCGACGCCATCACGGCGACTCGCAACGCGGGACAGACTTTGGCAGCCGCATGCTGCCCACGCCCAACATCTGCCTCTGCTCAGCTGGCGGACGGCCATGCTAGCTGGTGGCGAGCAATAGCCGCGCGCCGATTCGCAGAGCTACGCCTCGCGTGGTCGGGTCAATCTACAACGCCACGCGGCTCCCAACTCCGCAATCGCCAGCCGAACCGAACCGAGCCGGTCCCCACAATCGTCCCCAGCCGAGCCGAGCCGAGCTGAGGGCATCCTCAGCGTCGAAACGATGGCCCTATCCCACTGTCCGCTCATTGACCCAACCCCACTCTGAACAATAGCATGCACGCACCCCGCAAAACAAGCAAAAAAAAAAAGGATACGCAAAAATCGGCATGGCATTCAGGCACAGCTACGAACTCGGAACGGCAGCAGGCGCTACGGCGTCAAAGAGCGACGATGCGGCCGCAGTGTGGGTGTTGGAGGTCTGGGCGGCCTGGCGTGCGAGCCATGACTGGCATCCTTCGTAGTTACAGTTGTAGTCCATGAACTCGCGCGGGTTGAGCGTGACCTTGCCGGCGGCGCTGGTGCCCGGTTTGGCCTGCTGGCGGCTGTAGGCCTGGATGAGCGAGGCGCGCTCGATGCGTGCGGCGTAGACGGCTGCGAGTGCCCTCTCTAGCTCTTCCTTGCTGCTGTTGGAGCCGATATCCCGCAGCAGGTACTGCAGCGCTTCTGCGTCTTCGAACGACTGCGAAGCGCCCTGGCCCTGGGTGGGGAGCATGGCGTGCGCCGCATCGCCGATCAGCACCGCCTTGCCGCGATGCCATGCTGCGAGAGGTGCAATGTCGCGCAGCTGCCAGATGCTTGGCTCCACCGAGCGTGCGATCAGCTCGCGCGTCCACGCGGGGAAGTCATTGAACTGTTCGGAGAACTCCTGCACCGACACCTCGCAGTTCCACGAACTCGACTCCTTGGTTCGATCCGTATCAGGCACGAGCCCGACCACGCCCAGCACTGTGCCTGAACGAGAGGGGCCCATGACCAAGCGCCGATCCCGACCCACAATCATGAGCGTCTGATCCTCGCCTAGCTGCACACCCTCCGGCAGCCCTTGGATGTCCTTGAGATCGTCCATGGGGATGAGCGTGCGGAATGCAGACAGACCGGTGGGGAGAGCAGGTGCATCGGCTTGCACCACAGCCGCGCGCACCGCCGACCGGATGCCATCGGCTCCAATGATGAGGTCGGCGCTCATCTCGCTTCCGTCCTCGAGCCACACCTTGCCCGCCTCGGTGTCGACCTCGGTGACTCTGGACGAGGTGTGGATGTGCGCACCGCTGTCCAGCGCCGCGTGACGCAGCGCCGAATGCAGATCGACGCGGTGGAAACACACGCGATCCTCGCCGTACTGCTCGGTGGAGAGCTCGATCTTCATGTGCAGCTTGTCGTCCGTGCCGTAGAGCAGGAACGCCTTGTCCGGCACGCCGCGCCCGAGCGAATCGTCGCCAAACAGATACGTGTCGAGCTGGAGGAAGCGCTTGGCGATCTTGACCGCGTTGGGCTGCAGCGAGATGTTGGCGCCCACCTCGCGATTCAGCCGCGACTGCTCGAGCAGGGTGATGCGTCGTCCGGGCGCTGCGAGCGCAACCGCCGTCGCCAGCCCCGCAATCCCCGCGCCCGCGATCACAATCTCGAATGGCTTGGTAGTCTGTGTCATCGTGGCCCTCTTGTTGCAGTGCAGTGGTTGAAGCTGGAAAGGAGCGACGATATTCGCGGATCGACCTGCACCAACGGCTATATATTGATTGCCAGCCGGACCGAGGTATCCTGCCCAAAGCTTTGTAGAAGGGTTCAGGGTCCGTTGCAGCCTCGGTTCATCTGACACCGGTGGGGACGAGACTTTTGACATGTTAGTGATGCCCAGCTGCATCGGGCGAGGTGGGGGTTGTGGGGCAAGTGGCAGGCGCCGGCAGCTTCCTTGTTAGGTTGCTATGACATCTCCGCCGAGCCGAAGGTGTGGGGTTGCTATCCGAAGCGAACCGAACCGAAGACCCTGGCCCGAACCTCGTCGGGAGCACACCTTCAAGGCAGGGTCGGATGGTGCTAGCCGCTCCGGTCAGACATGCCGCAAAGAAAGACGTTGGACAGGCTGGAAAGCATATATGAATCGAGCCTCGTCACCTCCCCAGCCACATCCGATTTCAGCTTTCTCCCCAACCATCTCGGACATCCAGGCCAGCCAATAGCTAGCAAGCTAGACGACCACGGTTCAGGATGCTCTCTGTTCAGACACCCGTTGCGCCTGCTGTTCTCAAGCACGACATCGCCGCGCCCTCCACCACCACCGCCTCTGCGCCCAAGACCGACGCTCAGCTCGATGCTTGGCACCGTGACCTGCTTCGCGATGGCTACTGCGTTGTCAAAGGAGCGGTGCCCAAGGAAAGGGCACTGCAATACGCCGACCGGATGCACGGATGGCTCGAAGGCTTCCAGCTTGGCTACGACCGCAACGACCTGTCCACCGTGCACAAGGACAAGCTGCCAGCCATCACGGAGAAGGGCATGTGCCTCAACTACGCCGTGACGCACGAGGACTGGGCGTGGAAGATCCGCGCCGAGCCCGGTGTGGTGGGGGCGTTTGAAAAGTTCCTGGGCACCGACGACCTGATTGTCTCGTTTGACGCCGTCAACTTTGGCTTCCCCAACCGCAAGGATCTGCCGCCCAACAAGCCGTGGCCGCACCAGGACCAGGACCCGCTCAAGCCGGGCTTCCGCTGCCTGCAGGGCCTGGTGAATCTGCTTCCCAACGGACCCGACGATGGCGGACTGATCGTCTGCAAGGGCTCGCATGCGCTCTCGACGCAGTTCCACGAGGAGATGGCGTACGAAGAAAAGATCCCAGCATGGACCAACGAGTGGTACGGCTTTACGGACGCCGGCATGAAGTGGCTCGCCGACCACGGGTGCGAGTGGATCAAGGTGTGCGCCGAACCGGGCGATCTGCTGCTCTGGGACAGCCGCACGGCGCACTACAACCTGTCGAGCAAGACCGACCAGCCTCGCTTCTGCGTCTACACGTGCTTCATGCCCGTGGCCGATGCGTCGCAGGAGGATCTCAAGCGCAAGAAGGATGCCTTCGAGCGCCGCGTAGGCACCACGCACTGGCCCAACGCTCGCCACACCGGCTCCAACGTGGCCAAGCGTGATGGCGTCGACGACCCTCACAACCGCGACCGACCCGTGGAGGAGCCGCAGCTGAGCGAGCGCGCCTTCCGCCTCACTGGCATCCCCTACATCAAGGCCGAGTGAAGCCGCTGTCTCTATCGATCCCGTTTGGCAGGAAGCCCGCTACTCTATCTCCGCATCTTGTGCCTTTGCTTGCACCCGTCATCTTTCTCGCGAATTGAATCTTTGATCAGTCGATCCCAGGTGCGTCGGCCAAGCAGCATGCATGGACCGAGCGAGTCGTTGGTCATGAGCAGCGTTGATGGTTGTCGAGTGACATTTCCGGCTGCTGATTTTCGTACGTCTGATTAAATCATTTAATGCTTTATTGGTTTGAGGCGAGGAGGAGGAGATGGCGTTGGACATCCCAACGATCGCGACGAGGACGGCTTGCCTCTCGACCTCCATCTCTCTTTGGCTTCCTGCGACGCCGCCTTGCACTCACAATGAACACCAGCTTATGACATCTAGCCCGCAAGCATCGACTCATCCTGCTTGCCACTGCTCACCACCATGGACGATCTTCCCGAGCCTTCGACCGATCCAGCCAACGGCGAGCGCGCACCAAAGCGCAAGCGGCTCTCGCATGCGTGCAAGGCATGCCGCGCTCGCAAGGTCCGCTGCGACGAGCGCCTTCCCGCCTGCACCAACTGCGCCAGGCTGCGCATCCAATGCTTCACCGACGATCCACGCAGACCGCACATCCGCTCCGTCACACGCTCCAGAGCATCCGGCTCGAGCTCATCATCCACATTGGCCCTGGATCATCGGTCACAGGCGCACCACCCGGACTCGATAGCGGTCACCCAGTCGGAGCACAACGATGCCCCAGCAGCAGTCTCGCACCAGGACGACCAGCACCGCTCCCGCGCTTCATCCCCATGGGCCGACCCCACCTGGATGAGAAACGCACTCGGAAGCACCTCGGCCAGCATCATCTCGGATTCCCACGCACAGGACCGCTTCAAGTACGTCGGTTCCTCCAACCTCCAGGTGTTTTCCAACTGGATCGACCTTCTCCTCGCTCGTCAGCGCACCACCACCTCCGCCCACACTCGCAAGCCCGTCCCCTCGGCCTCCATATCCGATCACTTTGATCACGGCCGCATCCACTCGGAGGAGTTCCACTTTGCCCTGCGTCCCGCCCTGCCCGGCCTCACGCCCCTCCGCCACATCGATGCTATCCTTGACGCCTTTTTCGACAACGCCAACAGCATCTTTCCCATCTTTGACGAGGCGCTTCTCCGGCACCAACTCGCCCGCCTCATACAACACCTGCGCCTCGATGACCCGGCCGCCATGCAGTTCGACCGTCTCGGCCCTTACGAGGTGCCCATGCTCGCCACTCTGTACGTCATCACCGCCTTTGGACTGCTCGATGTCATGCCTCGACAGAAGCTAGAGGTCAAGCGCTATCTCGACGCCGCCTACAGCCTATACGGACATTTGATCGGCGTTCCTTACCTCGCCTCGGTCCAGGCGCTCTTGGTCCTCCATCTCGCCCTCCGTGCCATGAGCAAAGATGGTGCCGCATGGCAGACCCTCGGTTCCGCCATCCGTGTCGCCTACTCCATCGGTCTGCACCGCGCACCCGTCTCGCCGCCGCTCCACTCGCCAGCGCTCGAATCCACAAAGGCTCGCGTGTGGTGGTGCTGCTACGTCCTCGACCGCGTCGCCACCCTCGACTCTGGTCGTCCCTCGATGATCAACGACCTCGACGTTCAGCTCACTGCACCGCGCATTCCACGCCAGCCCGCCTCGGACCTCGTCGCCACCTCCTCGGCCGACGATCCAAGCCATATGGCCAGTCTGCCAGACGACCTCTTTAACGAACGCTACCTCGCCTCGCTCGTGGCTCTCTGCCGCCTCAAGGCAGACATCCACAGCAAGCTCTACACCAGCCGCAACCACTCGCTCGCAGAAGCCGAGCTGTTCGCCACCATCGCAAAGATGGATGCAAAGCTCATGGACTGGTCCTCGTCGTGCCTCGTGCATCTCCAACTGCCCACCATGGCTAGCGAGGAAGCTCTGCGCGCCGTGTCCCAGAGCCGCGACCTGCGCGTGCTGCATCTGCTCTGCACCTACCACTTTACGCTCATCAACGTCCACCGCGCCTCGGTCATGCTCGACACGCGCCTGTACCAGCACCACGTTTCGCAGACGCTCACCAAGCGCAAAGACCGCCTCTTGTCTGCCGAGACCATCTGTCGAGGCTCGGCACGCACCATCATCCGCTGCATCAACCAGTTTCGCCTGCTGCATCGCTCCACCGCACGCATGGTCGCAGGCACCATCCCGCTCTCGGCCGTCTACGTGCTGGCCATCTGCATCTTCAAGCATCCCAAGCAGTGGAGCGTGGCGTCCGACCTTGCGCTCATCGAGAGCATCGCAAAGACCGTAGCGCAGGACTTTGAGAACGACGGCATGCCCGCAGGATTCACCAGCATCTTTGCCACCTTGCAGCAACTCGCCACGCAGTGCGTCCGACACGTCTCCAGTCGACCCGCTTCGCCGCAACTCGCCGATCTGGACGCGCTGCACGCCCAGGTAAGCCTCGAGCCGTTCTGGAAGTCGCTGGGTTTCGGACAGGTCGTCTCCTCTCTTGGTGACCAAGCACAGCCCAACCAGCCAGCCGCCACCGTCTTTGTCTCGCCCGCCGATTCGAGCGCCAACGCTGCTGCAGGACCCGCGTGCGGCGCGCAGGATGCCGACGAGGTGCCCAGCTTTCAGAGCTTGCTCGAACTCGACCATCCCGACCAGCTGCTCTACTCGCTGCTTGGCCTGCCAGAAATTTTCACCCCCGGCGCAGAAGCACCCGTTGACAATGGCCTGCTCGGTCTGAACGAGCCCGAAGCATGACCGCCGCTCCATACTCCACGTCATTGCACGGCAGAGATGACGCCGCCAGACCACAAGCCGAGCATGAACCAGATCACGCGCGTTGCGGCCGGTTCGTGCTCGATGCGTTGCAGCCGCGATTCCAGCTGGCGTTCCGATGGCTGGGACCCACGCGAGCACTCACGAGCTCAAACCGACGCATGGCGGGCGGATCGTAAGGATGACACGTGGCGAAAGATTGCCCGCCTGTCGATCCCTTGCAATGCCCGTGAATAAAGACTCCAGATGGCGGTGGAAGTACCGGTGAGCTGGAAGCGCGTTTTGCTTGCTAGCATTAGCTTTGGGCCCCTGTTGCATTCGTCTGCCGCACAGGGTGTCATGACGTGGCCTCGTACGGCCAGGGGCTAAAAAAGGCCAGTGCAGGCGGCCCAGCATCACCAATCCGGCGGAATCGCAGCACCCTGCAACAGCGCGCGCGGTGTGAGAACATTTCATGCACTAATATCACGACCCTGCACAGCCTCGTTTGACTGTGAGGCTAAAGGCAAGCTCTGCTGTTTCTAGCTACTTTGCACAGATGCTCATAAAAATGTGCTGATTGTTCCGTCTAGACCGGCTCGCACATGGGTCCTTCTCCCGCCTCTCTTTCGACGATTTCTACAAACCACCGTCACCTCAACATTGTGTTTCAAGTGTTCAACCAACAGACAGAGAGCATGTCAAAGAGGGCAGATGAGGAAGCTCGACAGCCTCTGCTGTCCAACACCGATCATGACAGCCAAGATCCTGCCCAAGAGCAACCCCACGTGCCATCCGCTAGTCCTGAATTGACGAACAAGGAGGAGGATCGACACTGGCTCGAGAAGCTCGTCTTCAAGACTCGCCGCCGCTTCTTCATTTCGGTCTGCATCTTACTTGGCTCTCTCTACGCCGTTACGGCCATCCTCACCGGCCGTCCCCCATGGGCTGGGTCACACTTGCCCTGGACGAGAACTCCAGAACCTTACCGCAGCTATGAGCTGGAAGAGGCTACGCGCAGACTCGAACAGCAGCCCTTCTGTCTTCCCCCGGCCAACAGGCTAAGCCTGAATGATACGCGGTTCGTGCACGATCGCTCACGAGATCCAAATCGGCTGTCTTGGAATCGCCAAACAGGTGCATTGTTTGACTCCCTCGGACACGAGTTCGATCAGCTCGCCGGAAGCAAAGTGCGTGGCTCGTCCCAACGCTACCGCGGGTCGCTTCATCTCGCCATGTCCCTGTCGCAGGGCGAACCGTTCTACACGAGGAACGTCAAAGCTGAGGCCATACCCGGGCTACTTGGACCGACTGCTCACCATGCCGACAACAGAACCTTCCGCAGCCTTGCTCTTGGCAAGGCGATCAGCCGTCTGAGTGTGTTGGCTTCAAGCGCTGCTGATAGACATGTCGGCCCCGAAGAACTAGTCCAGGCCCTACGACTCAGACACTCCCGCATCGTCACCGAGACCAAGCTCAGCTCTGCCAGTGTAGCTTCCCGCGAAGCGATCGTGCTCGAGACTACCTTTTCGGACGTGCATCGATTTGCACAGTCGATCGTTGCTCTGTACCACGGCGAGAGCTCAGCTGCGGATTCGTCACTGCTAAGCCCGCACGTCATGCGCAACTATCTCAGACGTCTCGAGCCGACTACCGACGGCACAACCTCTGTCACGAGATCCGCATTCGTCGCGATCAGAAAAAGCGTCGTTCGACGAGGTGGCAGTGCACTGAAGGGGGTTGGAAGACATAGTGCTGGAGGCTTGCGACTGCAGAATCGCGATCGCATGTTGGAGATCGACGTTCTCACAGAGCTCACGGACGAACACGAGCTGGTCGTCACCCTTGACCTCGAGAGAGGGCTGACTGTCACGTCGTTGGCTCGTCTCCACGAACCTCGTGGCAGCCAGACTTGGGCGTCTCACGGGCAGCAACAAGTGCATGTCAGCGAAGCAAATCTTTGGGACTGGATGAGCCGGTCGGCTGATAACATCTTTCACGGGCTCGACTGGCAATCCGACGATCGTCTGATCACAACACTAAGCGGCACCTACCGATACCAGAGACAAGATTCGAGCGCAGCCCAACGTCTTGGCGGCCTTGGTGGTATTGACTGGCTCGAAGTCGACGTGAGTGTCGACGAGAGGTCGCTGTGGATCACCAGAATCGAGTTGGCTGCAACAAAGGCCGGCAGCCCGACAGTGTCGATTCTGCGCAAGTACAACGTAGGTGGTACCGCCGACTTCTTCGGTGGCTGGACTTGCACCACCGATTACAGCAAGAATGATCTCGCCGACTGCTACCGTCCTCACATGGGTGAAGATGACAGCAAGTGCGTGTGCACTGATTCAGGCGCCGGCACCACCTCCAACTACCGCGTAGGACTATGGCCGACTCCTTCGGTGAGACGTTCGGGATCCTACGAGATCCCTCGTGCGGCTATCAGAATCGATGGAAGCAGCTACATGGACCAGGGTGTCGGTGGTTGTCCTTCGCTGTGGACGCCCGACGCCAATCAGGGCGTTCCCGAGATGGACCTGCTTGGGTACAAGCTCGCGTTCACAGAGGCACGGTACGATGGCAACGGTAAGATGTTGAAGCAAGCCGGACTCGAATGGCTCGACGTCGGCATTGATATGGTACGGATCAGCAATGACCAGCCTCGCTGGTAAACTCTCGGCATCGCTCCTTCTCCACCTCCTACACGACTGGCAGATCGCAACCAATCTCACACAAGTATGTGAATCGTGAACAGCGTGGTCTTGTTCTGCGCGCTACGACTCGTGGTTCAAGCGAGAGATGGTCACAGCGCTGCCCGATGGCGCGACCCGCTCGCAATGGCCTCGGACCAAGTCCGCGCGTCAGAACTCGACGCCAATTTCGAAACCTCTGCTTTGCCTCGTGCGAAGTTGGCGCCGCTCACGGACCATCGTTGCCTTTGAAATGCAGAGATGATGATTCCCGAGGAAACGTGCAGGGAGAGGGTATCATGCCAGCCGTTTGGATCGTGCACACTTGACGAGGCCGACGAGCCACTCTTGATGGCCGTTGATCATGGGATTGGGCAAGACCGATGCCATCTCTTTGGCCGGCTTGCCGTTCTGGGTTTCTTGGGTGAGAATCCTGACACGATTGTGCGAGAGATCCTCGATGATCCACGCGTGGATGACATCAAGCCGGTGATCTTGATCCCCCTCGACCCAGCCGTGCCACGACACGCGTCCTGGCTTGCCATCCGTTGGTGGCTGCCACTCGATCACTTTGGCCTCAACGGCGAATCCAAACGTGCTGAAGCGAAAGTAGACGTCTTGCGAAAGCTCGGGACCGTCGTCGTTGGGAAATCGGATATCACTGGCGTTCGAGTAGTAGCCCGGCCACTCGTCTGTATTGTTGAGGCACCGCCACACCGCAGCAGCGTCAAGACCGGCAACAATCACCTCATTGGAAGCAAAGTTGTCCGTTAGGCCCGGCTCGAAACCCTTTGGCCACACGATCTGGCTGAGCGTCGATGTCATTTGGGAGCAGTGGGTGGACGACAACATGCAGGCAAGGACGGATCTCGTCTTCCTATATCCCTTTCTGTTGGCGAAGTCGAAAGGTACCCCGAGGTGAGCGGTCTCAGTGCAGGAGGTCCTGATGATACATACTTCCATTCCTGTATTGCCGCTGCGGATTTGTTTTCTTTCCCCGCAGCCGCCCCGCGGCTTTCTTTCGAGTCGAACGCGACTCGCCCAGGCGAAACGCGGCGAATTGCCCATCTATTTACGCGTCCCGCTCCGGTCGCTACCCACTCTCGACATCATACACCACCAGCGAAATGGTGATTTCCATTGAAAGAGGAAGCGCAACTACTACGATACGATTTCGAACTCCCTCGGCCGTCTCTTTTGGCTCCATTTCCTTGAGTTTGGTCTCCTCCCGCTTGTCCTCAGAGCAGGTGGCCGCAGACTGGACAAAGCGACTGCGCAACTGATCCTCTGCTAGCGCTTACTGCATACCGATGCTTCCGCATCGACCGTTGCTGATGGTGAACACCTCGTTCCCGTCGGACAAATAAGCTGTATGTGGGGCTGGGCACGTGTCCGCGATGAAAAGGTAGCATGCTGTGGTGGCATAGAAGAAAGAAGGCTGGCATCTAGTGTCACGCTGACACGCTTCACAACCCTCCATGGCGCTGGCCGCGTTGATGCCGGCGATATCGCCGTTTAACCCCCCTCCATCAATGGGCCTAGAGTCGATGCGACTGACGAGGTTGTTGATAGCCCGGACGGTGTAAGCGGTGGTTGTGGCGGTCGCCAACGTCGACGCTGTTTCAGTCTGGGTAGTGGTGGTGGAGACAGTGCTCGTCGAGGTAGGAGCGGTGCTCGTCTCCGTCACCGATACGCGGGGAGGAGCGACGGTGACAGTCGAAGTGGCAGTGAGCATCGTCTGCCGAGTGGTCGTCTGCGGAGCAGCAGTGATGGTCCGAGTCTTCTGGAGGAATCCGATGGCGATCCGCTCTTTGACAACCTCAACGACCTTGTTGCAAGCCACCGATTTGTTCTTGAGGTTGGACTGCTGTCCGATTCGAAGCAGGACCGGGCTCTTCGGGGCTCCTTTGGCCCAAAAATGCTGGTCTGCCGCAATCGTGGGCAAAGCGCGACGAAACGGCTGAGCACCGGCAGCGACGATTTGCGAAGCGACCGGTGTAAAGCCGTCGGCGGTCGGCACGGTGGAAGTGCTCGTCTGCGTCACTGTGACCGTCTCACCATCGACAGTGACGGTCTGCGTAGCAGTGGCGGTGTCAGTCTGCGTCACGCGGGGTGTAGTGGAGACAGTCGAGGTGTCCGTGACAGGGAGGTCGGTGCTGGTGGTCACAACAGTCTGTGTAGCGGTTGAGGCAATGGGAACCGGAGCGGGGGTAATGGTCGTCTTCGAAGCGCGTCCCACCTGGATTGTGTTGGTGACTTAATTTGTCGTCGTCTTGTACTGCGTTGGCAGCGGATTGACTGCAGCACCCGTGCCCAGAATCGTGCTGCAGGCAACCTTGGTCACCGTAAAGTCGAAAGACGGCAAGCCAAGAGCCGGCTTGAGTGCAGGGAATGGAACAAGCGCCTGTTCGAGGCCCGCAGAGAACGCGAGGTAGCACCAGAATACGAGCAACGCCTTGGCCCGGATACTACGGGATCGGAGGGACTGTAGAACAGTTGCTCTGTGCCCTTCATCGAATTTCGGTTACGGTGACAATCACGACCCGAAAACCCTCCGACAGTTCGAAGTCCGGACGACCTCCAGATAGGAATCTAGCCTACCTTGATAGGCGTATTCAATGATTGAGCGGACCAGTCTGTTGTCCATCTCAGAGCGTGAACACCTGTCAAGAAATGCAGGCGTTTGAAAGGCTCCGAGGTTCTTCCAAAAGGCTCCGGCGAGACGCAGTGTGTCCACGACCTCAGGGTCCCGGCACGTCAGGGCAGCTGAAACCAACGTGGGGACCCACGGCGCCATTCCAACCTTGGAACTGCGGACTTCGGCCAAGCCATATCAGCACACGATCTCGACTCGGGACAAGGGAAATCTGTCATACATATACGTGTACCTCGACGTGCTTTCCGTATCTCTGCTTCAAAGCCCCTCCGATCGATCAATTGTCCGGGACTACCCCGATTTCTTCCTACATCAATCGAAGACAAAGGGGTGCTAGAAGGTGGAGTACGAGACCGAAGACAAGCCAGGAGACCTCGAAATGAGGCTGCCCGATGGCCAGAATGCCTCGACGGCAGAAACGCGCCAGAGATCCTTTTCGCTCGAGCGAAAGCACAAGACCGGATTCGCGATGACCCAATTTGGAATCGGTGCTCCCTTCAGCGCATTCAACACGTACATCACCTATCAGATGCAGATCGTTGGGTACACGATTGGAAACGAGCCAGGACAGCCGCGAGGCTCGGGCTGTTCGCTGCTGGCAACTGCGTGCGAGGTGCCCTTTGGCACGAACAGCTTCATCAATTATGTCTCGTTCAACAACTACATCAACGCGATCACCTACGTGTCCACTGGCGTGCTGATACTCGCTCTCTCCGGCATCGGAGACCGCATGGGCTACAAGAGGGAGCAGTATGTGCTCCTGACCATCGCTTATGCTTCCCTTGCTCTACCCTCCGCGGCGCTCACAAAGGTTGACAGCTCCACCTTTGCCGCCCTCGCCGCTCTCTACGTCGTTTTCAACCTCCTCGGCTTCCTGGCGGGAAATTGGGCCAAGTATGTCGTACCATACGTCATGTTCAGCTGCTATGACAATGGAAAAGACGAGGGTCATCAAGAACAGCCCTCTGGCCTCGCAACTCTGCCATGCGAGCCACTACGCGCCACGCGTGAAATTAAGGGGACAAAGGCAGCGGTATGGGGTAGCAATGCGCTCAGCATTGGGCAGATCGCCGTTCTGCTCCTCACTATTGGCATTTCTTACGTCTCGGCATCCTCTGCTGGGCTTTACGTGTCGACAGCAGCCGGCGTGATAAGCATCGTCATCACTCTACCGGCGTGGCTCCTGCTTCCGAAAGCTGCCCCAGCACCACATGCCCGAGGTTCCACGAATGTCTTCTGCGCCCCCTTCCAGGCGGTGCTCGATCTGCTTCGAGGCATCAGCAAATATCCCCAGGCATTTAAGCTGCTAGTCTCGTACACCATCTATGCCGACGCCGCGCTCGTCCTTGGTGGAGTAACGGGGAGCCTGTACACATTAAACGTATCGCGTGACATCCGCATCTACACGGTCTACGCACTAGTCCAGCCCGCGTCAGCTTTACTCGCCGGGATGTTCTCCGCCTGGGCTTACCCAACAATCCTGCGCAGATGTCTTCCGTCATCCAACTCTGCGCTTAAGGCCGTGATGCTGGTCACTCTGGCCGTGAACTTGTTTGTTGCCGTGTGGTGTTGCATCGGCATTTCGCCGCGCAGTCGAATCGGCTTCAAACAACCTTGGGAGTTCTACCTTTGGCAAGCAGTGCAGGGCTTCACCGGAGCGCTTATCAACTTCTCCTTCACCGTCCTCTTTGCGCAGCTTTCGCCTCGCGGTCGCGAGATCGAATACTTTGGTTTCCAGACGGTGCTGTCTTGCGCCACCATCTGGATCCCGCAAATCGTCAATGGCCCCATTGTAACAGCAACAAACATCACCAGATTGCCAGCAGCAGTTTGTGCGGCAACCCTGCTCGGCGCTCTTGGATTGGCTTTCTGGTGTGACGATACAAAAGGCGTCCGCCTCATCCAGGAAGAGCAGGCGGATCGTCCTTGACAGACTAGGCAGGTCGGTCGAATACCCAACTCTAATCCTGAGACTGACGATGGTCTGCATTGGTCAATGTGCTGCTTCGAGTTGTGTACCTAACTAGAGGCTGGTGCCATGGAACGCGCTACGTCACATCTGTTTAGGTGATTGGCTGAGGACTTTGCGCGTCCACGCGAAGCCTGTGATACCAGCAAGCACGGTACAGAAAGCGAATACTGCTCGCTCAGCCTCCTCCTTCTCCTGCAGCCCTTGCGGAACGCCCAGAGCTGTCTGGAAGGCCAAGGGTGATTTCGCGAGCACGGTACCCAGCATGAAGGCGATGGCCAGGTAGACTCGGAAAAGGTGTATCACGTAGCAGCTTGTCGTGTGCAACACCGCCCAATACCGATGCTTAGCAAAGGCCCGCCTCCTGGCATGCTTGACCGTCTTGTAGAGCGTGAAAAGCTGCGGGATAGCTACCAAAAAGAGACCCTGGTTAAACGTGATGAATGGCAGATACCACTTGCCAAAAGCATAGTGAAAGGAGAGAGAAGCTGGCAAGGAATACGACAAGCCTCGAAACGGGAATGTGAGCCCAGTAGCGGCGAGCAGAAATGAACCAGTCAAAGTCAAGTATCCACAAACACGGTGTGCTGTGGGATACTTGACTCGAAATGAGTCGATGTGCTGCAAAGGCATCACGATGCTCCAAAATACGGCCATGTAGACGTGCAAGTACTTGTAGGTTAGAGGGTTTTCCTCGACCCGTTGATGAAGAAACGACTTTCGATGCTGTCACCCGACAACGAAGAAGAAAGTTCAGCTTCAATGAAGATTCTGCGCTAGATCGGCTCCCGTGTTTGGCTCTGGATCCAGAGCAAGTAGACCGACATACCTTGTCGCGAAAAATTGTCAGAAACGGCTCTGACCCATTGGAGTTGTACGAAATACCCAACAACCTGTACAAGGTGTTGAAAGGCCGCTGCTTATCTTCGTAAAAGTTGAGATGTGCGTAGAAGATCATCAAAGCAGATAGACCGAACAAGGTCATCGGCCGGAGAGCAATGTACCTTGCCATCCTGAGGTCGTTCTGAAGGATATGCTCGTTCCAGGCGGGTAGAGCTTATTCACGTCTCTTATGGGCGTTTGCATAGCAGTGAACTCTCGGCGTATATGTACCTTTTTCTGAGCTTTTCAACGAAATGAGCGAAACCCTCCCGTCGAGACGCATAAGGAAGGCAGTTGGGCGTCAGTAGCCAGTGCGAAGCCTCAGTAAGACTTGTGCGCTGCTCGGCGCCTGATCCTGGAGCCTTCCAATTCGCCGAAGCCTATTGATAGATTGATAGCTGTGGTGCCACCCTGAATCACCGAGGCTCTCGCTTTTTGCCAACGCAAGAGGTACTCAAACGAAATCCGCAATAAATGCGGAGCATATTCGCGGATATTTTCACGCTCGTAATAGCGCTCTGCCGTTCCTCGCAAAGACATGGAACGTATTGGAAAGGCGCTAAAACACAGCGCGCAGACCTCGAGATCCTGGAGAAGCCTTTGAGCTCTAGCCCCTAGGCGGTGGTGCGCAGGCTGCGCACGCACCGTGATGAGGACGGCAAAGCTTCCAAGAGATGCTGACCAAGGGCTTCCCTAGTTTTGACGCGCTTGCGCTCCTTAGCCGCCCAGGCGGGTGTCCGGCGGCGGCAGGCAGCGGACGCGTCTGTGCCAAGCCAAAAGATAGAGCGCAGCCCTGGCCACATTGGCCATCGTGTTGGAGCATACGGCACTCGAACTCTATGCGATAGGAAGATCGCCGTTCTGCTCCTCACCATCGGCATATCCTACGTTGCGGCATCCTCGGTCGGGCTTTACGTGTTGACTGCGGCTGGCGTGGCTCCTGCTTCCGAAAGCTGCCCCATCCCCACATGGCCGAGGTTGCACAAACGTCTTCCAAGCCTCCTCCCAGACAGTACTCGATCTGCGCCCGATCCCAACAAAGTGCTCAGCTTGCAAAGCTTGCTTGAACCCGACCAGCTTCTCAATCCGCTTCTGGGCCTGCCAGAGATCCGACGGCATTGGCAAGGGCCATTACGGATACCGAGTCCCCGTTAGGGTTAGGGTTAGGGTTAGGGTTAGGGTTAGGGTTAGGGTTAGGGTTAGGGTTAGGGTTAGGGTTAGGGTTAGGGTTAGGGTTAGGGTTAG